TATTGCATCCATAATATCTCCCCCCTTCTTACCAAGCATTGAGATGTAACCTTCAAGCCGTTGGACAGACACAAGATAAGTTGCATTTACAATCCGATGTAATTTTTCCGTGATCGTCAGTCGCATCTGCCATAGGGCCGATTCCATTTGACCATTGTCTGCCATTCCGTCCTCCAACATTGAACAACTCGTAGTCCAACAGCGACCAGATTATTGCGCGTTTCATTCTAACAACACGGCTGCCTTTTAGCGTCACGTCCGCGCTAATACGAGAAAAGATCGACAACTCAAGCTGCTAAGCTTGTAGTACCCGTGCCTTAAGAATCTCCGGATCTGCATTTCTATCCTTTATTTGGCGTGTCGTAGCTATGGATTATGAATTTTAGATGGCACCTGCCAAGTAGCGTTAATTCGTCAACGACACTGAGATTCTGCAAAAGTCAAGAACATTGAAAACGTATATAACATCGTATACATCTCATCGACATGTATCTGTTCATCATACTCCATTGGACAACAACATCCCCTCTAGGGTTGTATATATCACATTCTTTTTGCCGCTCTTATAGGCATTCCCAAGTTGTACATACACATTATTCATTTCATTCTTTGATCCCAACTTTCACTCTCTTTACAAAATGTTTGTTCGCAACGCAGTCGCCATTACCGGCCTTTTGGCCTCCTTTTCCAACGCACTGCCCGCCAAGCGTGCTCTTGACGCTGGCAACGCCCGTTTGGTCATCTACTGGGGTGCTGAAGATGACAGCACAACTCTCAGCGACGTCTGCTCAGACGACTCTTACGGCATTGTGAACCTGGCCTTCCTTAACAGGTTCGTTGCTGCCGGTGGCTGGCCAGAAATCAGCATGAGTGGCTTGGACAACACGTCCGATGCTCAGCAGAGTGCTGGCGCGACTGGGCTCAAGGACGGCAGTGGCATTGCAGATGCTATCAAGCAGTGCCAGTCTGCTGGAAAGCTGGTTATTCTCAGTCTTGGTGGTGCTGATGCCGATGTCACTCTCCAATCGGACTCTGATGGAGAGAAGATTGCCGATACTCTTTGGAACTTGTTTGGTGGCGGCACTGAAAACGCCGAGCTTCGTCCTTTCGGCGATGTCAAGCTCGATGGCTTCGACTTGGGTATGCAATTTGAGCCTATGTAACATGGGCAACATGGCTAACATTGTTCAGACAACGAATCCGGAGACTCTACCGGCTACTTGGCCATGACACAACGCTTCAGATCCAACTTCCAGTCGGACACCAGCAAGACGTACTACCTCACGGCAGCACCCCAGTGCCCATTCCCCGATGCTTCAGAGCCTCTTGATGTTTGCAAGGAGCTTGACTACGTCTGGGTTCAATTCTACAACAACGGCGATTGTAACATTGCGCAGTCTGACTTTAAGAACTCTGTTCAGACATGGAGCAGCGGCATTGGCAATGCTACCCTGTTTATCGGGGCTTTGGCCAGCGGCGCTGATGGAGACCAGGGTTACGTTGATGCCGATACTTTGGTCAGCTCTCTTCAAGATGTGAAGAACATGAATCTTCCCAACTATGGTGGCGCTATGCTTTGGGAGGCTCAGCTGGCTGTGAAGAATGGAAATTTCCAGAAGAAGATTGCAGCCGGCTTGTAATTGTTATTCCGTATGTATGTTATAATCAACTGGGATTATCATATGTTGGTAAATGGATAAAGATACTTGTACATGATATCATTCTTAGTTTCTTAATGCTTATGATATAGTGATTTGACAACGCTTTTGACTTTTTGGCCACTGACGTTCTGGTAACTAACTATTATATGGTGATGTAAGCAGTGTATAATAGAATTGTTACGTTATCCTAGGAACAATCTCTATTGCCTTCTTCTTACTAATATCTCCATCTACTACCTCTGTTTCTCTGGTACTTGATATCACGCAAGTACACGTAAAGGCATGAAAGATAAGGAGTCCTCCTTTGTGTCAAATTATGAATTGTACATTATTTACGCCTTGATATATTCCCGCGAGTCATCGGTAAATCTTGATGTCAAATCATGATTCACATTATCAAGAGATTTGTTTAATAGGCTTCATGTATAGGTGATCAATTATTCATTACGTTTATATCATGTACAAATAGAATGTCAATCTGGGTATCCAACCGTGGAAAGGAAATTCCTATTCCATCCGTAAACCAACCTAGGACAGCAGGATGGCCATGCCGAAAGTGAAGGCGGCAATAATGCCAAGGGAAACCTGGACAGAGCCTGCACCGGAGCAAGTGTTTGATCGCTTATACCCGTTTCCGTTGCCAGTGTTGCTGCTGACAGTGCAAGAAGTCGTGGCGGCAGCAGGAGCAGAGGTTGTCGTGGTGCTGGATGTGTCGGCGACAAGTTGACCACCAAAGACCGAGGCAGGGTTCGAGGCACTCTTCACATTCTTGGCAGCACTCCGGTAAGCCGCAAGAGTATTGCCGGAACTGGGGCCATTGACCACCCCCGACATTCCCGAATTTTTGCAGTGCGAGAATGTGTTTTGTGCGCAGTAGAAGAAGATGGGGTCGGTGGAGTTGACCTTGACTTGGAAGCTCTCGTCCTATGAAACACCGTCAGCTGAGATCCCAACGCATACAGACACAGAGATCGGTATTTTTCGAATGAGAAACTCGTTGGAAAACACAGAAATGCCCTGAGAATGTGTATGGTTTAACGTACCGCCTCTCCACTGCCCCCAGAAACAGGCATGAAGCCGGAGAAAAAGCCACCCGTCTTGGCCGGAGCACAAGGATTCGCAAAGTCGCCCATCACAACGGAATGGTTAATGGCGTGGAAGTGAAAGTCGAGGATATCCCCGACCTTTGCCGTCACACTGTCAGGGGAAAAGGCCAAAGCATTGTTTTGTCCAACATCGATTCGGATCGTCTCTGCATTGACTTGGGAAGCCAGCGCCATGACGGCGGCGGTAGCGAGAGTTGTAGCACGCATTGTAGCTGTTAAGGAGTGGAATTGAGTATATCAAACAATTCAAGACTGGAATATGCTGCCGCTTTGATTCTTTGCTCGTGGCCAAGACCGAGGATCCGGCTTTCAGATGGACGCGCCACCAACGTCCTTTTGTACCATCTTCCAGCCAAGTCCTTCGATGCCGAGATTCCGAGATTCCCAATTCCAAATACCATCTGAAAGCAAACAAGAGGCCGCCATGCCCAATCCCATAAGCTGGATCCAGACGCGGCACAACTCTGGGTAGCCAAGGAACGATTCTCTTCCCGATCTGTTGACTAGCCCATCGAGCTGCTGCACATGAGCACGCGGCGAGTGGATTCAACCTGCTCCCAGCAACTCCACGACAGCGTCCCAGGAGAGCAGTAGCCGGTGGGGTTTCTTCTCCCGAGCGAATGGCTCCCACGCTGGCACGTTGTTGATGCTATATTAAGCAGCTTGCTAGGCCGCATCGGGCTGGGGGCCGGGGTTGGCTGGCCTTCTGTGGCTTTAAATCCTCGCGAAAAACTTCCAGCCCAACCTTGGCCGCCCGCTCGGTCGGGAGCAAGAGATGGGCCGGCTTTGCTTTGTTGGGCGAGGGTTGGCGGGGGACAAGGAGGACTCGGCTGGTGAATATTGCTTGCTAAAGGAGCGATTACAATGAGAAATAGACGGGCTTTGAAAACGATATAGTGAGATATTTTCATGCTAGTTCCGTCTGTGTAATCGGCTAGGAAGGGCTGACATCTCCATCTATATGGATCTAGTATGACACTCTGCGGGCAAGATCTCAACGCCCTTTTATTTGCCTTATAAAACCCGGTTACTGAAAGAGGGCTTTTACACCGTTTGACCTGCGGAGTAGAGTCCGCTGGCGAGTCATGTTTGTCTACAAGATGCATTGCTGACGCAGGCATTCTGGATGTTACTTTCAATACGTTCAACGTGATCAATATAGACTCGCTGAAGCACCATCTGTGTATGAATACAGGAAAGCCATGGTGCAATTCCCATTGTTACCAAGAGCTACTAGTAGAAACTACGTAGATCGTGCATCTGCAAATGCAGCGGCGTCGATTTGGCTACTATGGTTGAGACGAGTTAGATGCTGCACATGTTCCATGGTGGATGCGGAGTAATACGAATGCGAGACGGCCATGGTTCTTTTATAGGGGATAGTGTATCTGGCTCGTATGTGTAAGCCGCTCATATATTAAGCTTGCTCTGAAACCAGATCCATTGGTAGGCGTGTAGTTGTGTCCCTACGACGTAGTCTATCTTCTATGTAGCTTTACTGGAATCTGATTTTTGAGCCAACAAGATATGTTACTTTGTTATGAAGCATTTCCTGCCCATTCTAATCACTCCATTACAACGGTGATTTGAAGAGAATGGAAAAAATGTTAAAGAGATGATCACGATGGCAGTGATTCTACACCGAAGTTTTGTCTTATTGTTGCTAGTTACATGTTATCACCACAGCTGTCTTCCTCTGGGAAATCTTTCTCTACTTTTCTCAATGAACTCCAGTGTCAGATACAACCCAGAAGTAGCTATAAATAGAGAGTTACTTCCCACTGGTCCAATGTTATAAATTATACCATGTCCCGTAAGCCCGTTCTTCACCTGATCTCGGGTAATAGTGCATGCGTTATTGATGCCAGGGAAGAAGACTGGGATAGCCCCATTCCAGACCAGAGTGGGGGTTAGTGGAGGTCCTTGTTAAGATGCCCCTTATTAAGTCTTGTTGGATCTTCGGATTATTATTTGTTTGCTGGCTGGCATTGTTACAAGCGACCAGCAGGTGTACAGCGACTCAAGTCTAAGACTCTAAGACAGGTGCCGGTAACATGCTCAAGAGAGGGAACAAGGAAATACAACTACAATACAGTTCAAGATTGATGCAATTCTAAATTCTATATCGATAGCGCCCATAACTCTGATTCCATTGGTCTAAAAACCCACAACTCCTGCTATCTATCGGTGTTGATGTTATTCCTGCTAGACAAGTATGCTTTTATACAATGATTTATTTGAAGGGGTTAGTCTCGGCACCGGCAAGGGCAGTCTTGTACATGTTATTGTCGAGAATCTCCTGCTTACGAGCAAGTAGCTCATCGACGTCCCAGTTGACCCAGACGAAGCGTCCGCCCAAGAAGCTAGCCTCGTCGGACGCCAACCAGGCAGTGAAATCACCAGTGAGAGAAGCCTCGGTGACGGTCAAAGACTCAATGACACCAGCTTTGTGGCCCATGTCAGTAGCAACCGCACCGGGGTGGATAGAAATGAAGCGGGCGACATCCTTGGGGACATCGACGGCGATCAACTCCATCAAGCGGGCAAGAGCAGCCTTGGTGGAACCGTAGGATGTGAGGCCGGGGAGATCAAACTCATACGCGGCAATGGTGTTGAGAGTAATAACAACGCCGGGAGTGCTGGCCCCCTTGGTAGCGCGGTGCTTGAGGTAGTTCTGGGTGACGTTGACGGTGCCGAAGACGTTGATGGTATAACCAGACCACCACTCGTCAAGATCGGCTTCTCGGAATGAACCCGGTGTGCTCATATACCCAGCGTTGTTCACGAGATAGTCAATAGGGGCATCTATGCTGTCGAAGAGTCTCTTGATATCGTCCCTGGAGGAAATGTCGGCGCCAAAGGGTGTGAACTTGGTCTTGGGGAACTTTTCGGCGAGCTTAGCAGCAGTGGCCTGGACACGGCCCTCGTTACGACCGACAATAATGACATTGACAGCATTACGAGCGGCAAAAGACTCGGACATGTTGATGCCCATGCCGTGGCCACCTCCAGTGATGAGGACAGTCTTGCCGCTGAAGTCGACGCGCTCGAGAGCGGCAGTCAGACCAGGGTAGCGGACAACGTGTTCCTTCATTACGATTGCTGGTTGTGAGAGTTTGTGAAGAAAAGTGAGAATGGGAGGTTATTCAGTTAATGTCTTGTGTAATGATAAAGCTGATGCTAATGACGCCGATTGTCTCTGGTTTTATATCTCCGTCAACTTGAGCCGCTTGACTCGTCTCAACGACATCACATCAATTATTTTGCCCATTACAAAGCCCCGCAAAACAAGACTACGAAACACGAAAGTCGCTTGGTAATGCTGTGCCCCTTCCAGCCGTATAGGTCGTAAACGCAAGCCATTGACTGTTATCGCAGAGATTGAGGTCAAGTTTTGGCGAAAAGGCGCATTAGTCAATTAGTCAAGGGCTAAGAACGAGGGAAAGTTTTGGCGACGCTTGGCGTGGATGGTCGAAACCAACTGGGTGAACAAGAGACGTCACAGCAAATCGAAACAGGCGAATGATGGTTTGTAAATATTCACGACAGATACTTTTGTTACGAATAGGGGGGGCTCGGGTACAGGTTTTGACGACCAGCTGTGCGAATGATGATGATGATGTAGAGAAATGGGTTGATACACGTAGTTGAAGTTGCATGTTATTAGACGGTAAGCACGATTCCGGCCTGAAACTTGTTGCGGCTTGGCCCGATGCTGGCGGGGACAATTCCAGGCCACTTCTAGCGCTAAAGAGGCCCCTAAAAACGACCTGGAGACAAACAGGCAAACAGGCAATTGGTGTCTGGCAGCTGCATTTCGGGTGCCCAAGTGGAGGGGCGTTTTAGGGGTTTGTAGGGGTTCTGGTGCATGCGGCTACAGCGATCGACCTTTGGCAACTTTCGTGCGACTTCTGTCGAAGCAATCATGATTGAATCCATGTTTTCTATTCCATAAGATTGCCAGCCAGATCGGGTTATTTCTGCATCTTTGAACTGAAGCCCGTGAGCGGAGTGTTGGTTGATGCGATTTATAAAGTCTTGGGCCGGTGCCACGTTCATATTCTCTCAACTTTATTCCATTTACGTCCAGGTTCTGCGAGACCCATCCATATCATCTGCCATTGAAATATTCCTTCGGTGAACAGGTGCGCGAAATTCTGGATAATGCTTTCCTCGAGAATTTCACGGCATCCGACTTGATTCACGGCTCCAATGTTCCTTGACGATAAAATAGACTGGACCCTTGGACCCTTGATGCATGTGCTTATGACGTAGTCAAGGGTGGAAGCCTGCCCTTCACGTGATGAGGCGAGTCTCACGGCAACTACCCGTGATCCGAGTCAACAGATATTTGATAGTGGCATTGTGTGTGAATCTGTCTTCAGCCTCGGCGAATATACAAACCAGTCCACCGAGACATGGGAAGAGAGCCAACCAGCGCCAGTTGCCATACATGTCGTCGTCGCCGCATCAAGTGTGACAAGGGGAAGCCGTCTTGTGGCCAGTGCGAAAAGTCTCGATATGAATGCCTGGGATACGAGCGAATCCTCCGAATCCAGAGCCATGGAGTTGGGCTGAGCAAACAGCCGGGCCGTTCAAGCTTGGTCAAGATAGGCGAATCAGGGTCTTATCCCACCAAGGAGCCCGTCGAAAATGATGATGACGATGATTCTCAACTTCACGGCCATGACCGAGGCGGGAAATGTAGACGCAAGAAACCCCAGAAGCGGCAGATCACCGGCGGTGCTTCACCAGCAGCTGCAGCATCACAATCACAGAATCTCGATACTCACCTACCGCAAGCTCTGATCAGCCAGACCATCCAACCAAGCCTGGATCCATTCATCGACAACATTGCCTTCTCCTACTTCTTCGATGCCTACAGCTGGATCAATATTCACAGCATCTTGCTTCAAGATACCCCGATGCGTCAGCATCTCACTGAGCAGAGAGACGAGCTAGGCTACGATAGCCTTCGTGCGTTGGCATATGGAATCTTTGGTCGAGATCACCAGGTCCAAAGCCTACAGCATAAAAGCGGACGGATTTATGGCACAGCCCTCCAGAAGTTGCAAACAAAGCTCACCACATCATCCAAACCGGAGTTGGCAGCTCTCATCAAGCCCATATCCATCATGGGATCGTATGCGGTGAGTTCGGGCGCCATGACGCTCTGTCACATGTCTGTGCCGGGGCATAAATGACATCTCGAAAACGCTAATCAATGCATCTGCGCAGATTGCCGTCGACTCCGATCTCCGCTTCATTCACCACCAAGGGCTGGCTCGCATTCTAGAACATTGCGGGCCGGAATACTTCCAAAACCCTTCGATTCTGCCCGTGTTCGAGTCTTGCAGGTTCACAATGGTGAGCTACCACGACAACAACTCTCGGAATCTCTACACAGCAACATACTGATCAACGTCTATAGCTTGCCAATGCGCTTGTTCAAAGGCAGGGCACGTTTCTCGACCAGGAGCGGTGGAGGATAGTGCCGTGGTCAACGTCTCCCGAGACAAAGACTGCTACAAACAAGCTTCTCGACATAATCTCCAGTCTTCCCGCTCTCCTCCAAAAGACTGACAAAGTTCTCAATGAGCGCTCTCAATGGGTCGCGGGTAATTCCGACGTCATTCGTGAGGAGACTCCAAGCACAGTTTCGGATCTTCAAGCGCAGCTAGAGTCCATGCTCTTGGACCTAATTGCATGGCGCTATCACTGGTCCCTGGACAACTTTCCCACAGCGCAGAATATTCTCGATTGGGCATTATTTCGAGTTGGTGATGAATCATATCGACCTGGCATCTCCCATGTCCAAGGCCCAGACGTATATGGGCTGAACCTTGGCACAACCATTGGCCTAGACATTCCTTTTGGGTTAACCAACGATGCTCACAAAGATCTCGATGCGAATTCTAATACTTTTGCTCTGGTGCAAGAGGCTGCTCTATACATTACGGCTCTGATCAGCATGGAACGACTGCGCAAAAACCTTGCCGGCGCCGCTCGTGCCGCGGAGGCGGTTGACTTTTATAACGCGCCCTTTTTCTCTACGTGCCGGTGCTACTTTGACAATCCCGGACCATCACGGCTTTGTCAAATATTTCCCGAACCAAGCGACAACGTCAGCACCGCTGCGTCTTGGAACATTAATTCCGCAAGAGTGGCTGAGTCTCCCATTAGATCATTAAGCGGCGATAGCGCTGGGGCTTCTACAAAGCCGACGGCTCGTCCGCTCAACGAAGAGCCTATCTTGGGCGCCACAGGAACGATGCTTCTCCCTGGAGATGGTCGCTTCTCTGCACAGCTACGGATCTTGAATTGGCTGATTAAACATTTGCCGGAGAGTCGAGCTCATGTTTTAGCCACGCTCGCCGCAATGGGGTTGAGCCACTGCGTCCACGACGTTCGCCCATCAGAGGGGAATGAGTATATTGCCGAAACCGTCCGCGACACCATGATGAAGTCAAGGTTTGGAGATGCAGCGGAAGTCTTGCTGAAGAGATACCGGTAATCCGCCCAAGCTGGCTGGACCTGTGAGGGACAGGAACGCGAGTCTCAACGGGTGGCGATGCCGGTTCTTATACTTTTTGCAAATGCTGCGATGGCGGCGGAGAAAGTTGCCATGAGATCAACTAAGGATCTCCTATTAATGTGGCACAGTCATACTTTTTACTCGCATAGCCATAGGAAAACATGCCTTGCATATTGTATCCTTATATCTTCCTTATACTTTATGGATTCTACCGTTGCAATTCCTGAAGGACCCAACAAACTGACTTTTCTGTTGCATACAAAAGAGCTGGATCTCCCCGCCCTCATTCATGCCCGTGAATCCTCCCTGACAATAACAATCGCCTTAGTTCTATCTACATCTAAGGCTACCACGACCTGTGTACGCAAGGATGCCAAACGCACATTTTCGCCACCGCGACCTGCTCCGGTGGGATCCCGATCATCAAGATGTAGAATCTTCTGATGAAGAGTTTGAAGAGTTCGGTAGGTCCCATTGATTGCCTCTGATATGAATAATCTCTAACTGCTTGATTAGCCCTGCTGGCGGGATTGCGGCCCGTTGGTAAGTCGCTTAATGACATGGAACACGGTGTTTACCGAAGAATCGTACTTGCGTGTCTAACAATGTTGCCAGGGGGTCGCTTCTATGAAGGTGCCAATGTCTATAGGATCTTCTGCGCTTCCGGAGCCATCTGCTGGTGCCAATTAAGAGACCGCGAATGGACTGACCGACTGACTCTGGACGAGGCGGCGAGCGCCATCTTTGAATTGCGATCACAAGGGCTGATAACCGATGGTCAGTCTTTATTCGACTGGTGGGTGGCCACAGAAATTCGACGTGGGGAGAATGAACGGGAGTGAATCCTCTATTCTTTTGGAAGGATTCTTCATCACTGTTGTTTCGATGGGGATACTTGGGTTACTGGTCTAGTGGTTCACGTTTTCGGATTATTGGGTTTATGGGGTTGCGGTGGATGGTGGGTAATTGTTCGGATTCAAACCGATAATATAATGGGGCTTCTGCAGTTGAGTTAATGGGACCGAGATATATCGATGTAGGATTGACTCTCGAATCTTGTTCAATTGAACCATGCGGTCAGTATCTTGTACTATCTTTGAATGGACCGAGGTGCCAGCCATTTTGTCAAAGTACCTAGGGTAGTGACTAAAAGGCTGCTACTGATCTCTGAACCTTGTAGAGGTACCTAGATAAGGGAGGCGCATATAAACTTTTATACGCCACTTTCCGCTGCTATCAGAGTACAGGGCATTTTGCGTTTCAATGGATGGAGAAAGGTTTGAGAGTGCTGAGAACCTTAGTAAGTGGGTGCTAATATATGTAATACGTCTATGAGCGTATTTATGCTTCATAGCAACGTTAATACACACCCGAGGGTGTAATTGAAGAAGGGGTTAAGCAAATCAAGATACATTGGCTTTTATCTTCTCAGCTTCTCTAGCATCATGCTTCTGACATGTAGCAATATTTGTGCACATAATTGTTCATGGAATTCTCATAAACTCATGAGAGTTGACTTGTAGCACCGCGGCTAACCTGGGTTGCCGACAACTAGCAAACATGCTTACTTACAGCCTATATTCATTATCATAGGCTGCCCACTTGTCATTTATTCATTGTAGGCCACCCATTGTAACACCGATTGTAAGCCACCCAGAAAACTATGCGGCTGGGTACATGTAGTTTACCGCATCGAATAGCCACTATCGGCATGCTACTTGTAGCCAAACCAATAGTAAGCGTTTCCGTACCCATGTTGGCTACGTACTTCTCGGTAACATGCATACACGAAGATTAAACCATGTCCTGAGGAGAGGTTACTGCGCTACATTGTACCAAGGATGACAACGGTCATCAATATTGCACTGTTGTATCTCTAAAAGTTTAGGGTAATAGCAGTTTGAAGGATGGAAGCTCCTTGTGGCGGTATTCGCAATGAGGATTCGGGGTGTGCTTTAATAGCTGGTGTGTGGAGGAGCATACTTGGCTAGCTATGCCCCAAAATTATACCAGCTGCTAGTAATTCCTCCCATGAGATGATGAGGTATCAAGATGTGTGCTCTCTTCCCCGTAACATCACATTGCAGCATCTTGTACCCTGTGGCACGTTACTCCTCAGTCAGGGATGCCCATTCCCGACTAACTTCCAAAGCATCCAGCAGCTTTCCATAGGAACTATTGGACCTACCGCTGGTATCAATCTATCACCAGTTAGCCGCAAACAAAAGAAAAGAGTTGTTCAGCCATCCCAGAAGTTCACTTACTGTGATGAGCTTTCCGGCCTGCTCGTAGTGAGCAAGTAGAGAAGGGTTCAATTCTTGAAACTCGGCATATCTCTTTCTAAACGTCTCGAGGTTATCTCCTTCGCGGCCTTGCTTTCTGTGGAGCACTCGAACCTCGGCCTTGTCTCTGGGGCAGTCGAAGAACAGAACAACTGTAGGATGCTGAAACTACAGTAGTACAATGTTAGAAACGTAGCCAGCCACTTCACAAGTTTGAGTTTGCAAGACGTACTTGTGCTTCAAATGCCTTTGCTTGGTCAAGGCATCGAGGGAAACCATCCAAGATAGTGATGCCGCCTGCATTCACGTGCGGCTCCAAGATCGGGAAGAGCATCTCCGTAGTCAAGAGCTCTCCGCGTCGAACATACCCGACAACTGTGTCATCTGCATTTGGCGATGCCACAATTTCTCGTAAAAGATCTCCTATGGAGAGATGCTCAAATCCATACTTTCGGGCGAGCTTTTTGGTGAGCGTTCCCTTTCCTGCTCCAGGGGCGCCTTGTCGAGATGCGTTAGCTCGCGCAGAGATTTGTATATCGAGTCGACTTACCGAGCACAAAAATTACCTTTCCCTTGATGGAATCCATGATGACCTTATAGAGGTTGTAGTCAAAACACACCGCTATCTAGGATCGATGCTCCGTTTGTGTAGGAGGGGAAAGAGTTGGTGCTACAATAGGGCACGGGTGGGGGTGTTGCTCTCCTTAAAAGCGGGAGAGAAATCCGTTTGTTATGCCGATTTCTCTCTCCTCTTTTACATTGTATTCACTTTAGACTAACTGTGAAAAATCCAAATACTAAGTCAACCAAATCCAACACCTTCAACATGGATCTCTCCATCTACATTCTGATTCTCACTGTTACTGTCATGTTCTTTACTGTCAAATGGCATGTTCGCTCTGGAAAGATTCCAGTATCTGTCAACTATCACTTCTCACGCAAGTGTAACAAGGAATGCCTCTTTTGTTTTCACACAGCAACCACTTCTCACATCGAAAAGCCAGAGAATGCCAAGAGAGGCTTGGCTCTCCTCAAGCAAGCGGGGATGAAGAAGATCAACTTTGCCGGCGGAGAACCATTTCTCTACCCAAAGTTTCTAGGGGAGATGATAGATTTTTGCAAAGACACACTCCAACTCGAATCCGTCTCTATCGTTACCAATGGAAGCTTGGTCAAAGAAACTTTTCTTCGAAAACATGGCCGCAACATCGACATTCTAGCCGTCAGCTGCGATTCCTTCGACGAAGATACAAACATAAAGATTGGACGAGGATCCGGGGACAATGTTCGCAAACTATACGAGATTGCTTCTTGGTGCCAGAAATACAACATCAAGTTCAAGCTCAACACAGTTGTGAATAGATTCAACCATTTGGAGGATATGAATGAGCACCTCACGATGCTTCAGCCATTCCGATGGAAGTGCTTCCAAGTTCTCATTGTGGCTGGAGAAAACGATTCCGACAAGACCCTTCGTAACGCTCACAATCTCACCATTTCCGACGACGAATTTGATCGCTTTTGTGAAAGACATGGCAGCCAAGCCTCTCTCGTCCCAGAGCCCAACCGACTGATGGCGAAATCCTACCTCATACTCGACGAATACATGCGTTTCTTGGATAGAAATGGCCAGCAGCCATCAAAGTCCATCTTGGAAGTTGGCGTGCGGCGAGCTCTTCAAGAAGTTTTTTGGGATGAAGAGGCATTCGTTGAACGGGGAGGGGTCTACGACTGGAACAAGCCATCTTGTTCTACGGACAACAAAGAGCTGGAGTGGTGATTTGACGGAATATCTTCTGTTGGATCTCAGCAATAGTGTCTTGTGTGTTTTATTGACAGAGTCATTCCCATATGATGCCAATATCTTTGCCATGTTGGGGATTTCATACATGATATGGTTGAATACTTTACAATTGTTCGTCTACTCTTTCTATTACATCTGTAGAGCAATTGAGACATCCATAGCAACAATCTTCCATCTTGTTTGTTCGCGCATCTTCCTTGGCGATCGGTCTGACAGCAAATATGCTGTAGCCTGAATCAACAATGGCTCACGCATAGTTGTGTCGCACATGTTAGAAGATGCCATCTCGCCGTTCCCCATGATTCCGTAGCTTTCCGCCTCTCATGCAGAATTTCTCCGCTGACGCTCAAAATATGCCGTCAACTTGCCCTTTGGCTGGCCTTCAGAAAACGCCCATGCATACGTCTTCATAAAGGCCGCCACCCTCTCATCCATCACCCGCATTTCATCTTGCTTCTGCTGCTCAGTGGATTCGCCAGCCAAGGACTTTTGCAGCTCGACCTCCCCAACTTGGTGACCAAAGTCCATGGTATCGAGCACAATATGGAACTCGTCGTCGGCTATCCACGATTCGCGCGTAGTGGAAAAGATGGCAATGGGATCAAGACCAAAGTTTCGTGCTGCGGGATCGTCGATGGCAGTGGTGCGTTTGATGTACGCCGATATATCGTCAACGTTGTTGAGCTCTTCGAATCTCGAATTGGTAAAAGATCCGCCCTTTTTAATTTTGGCTTCCCACTGCCCGTCTCTTTTCCGGATCCAGGCTCCAGCCGACGAGAGGAGACTCGACTTGTCGTAGTAAGAGTCGCGAATTGTCTGCACTGGAAGTTCCTGTAGGCTTTTGAAATGAGGAATCCCACCGCATCGGGTCAGTTTGGAGACTGCAAACGAGCGAAATTTCCGCTCCACCTCCAAAACGCAAGTCGGGGGGAATCGTCGAAATGCCATGGAAGAGCCGGGAGAGATTCTCTCTGAAGGGAATACTACGTAGAAATTAGCAAGTAATTCTCTCATGAAATATGCCTGAGAAATCTCCAAGCTTACCTCTGTTCAGTCTGCGCTCTTGGGTTGGAGAACGGAGCAACAGCTGCCAGACAAACAAACGCTCGAGTTTCACAACACCAACGCAGCAAACGGATATCGTGGCCCGTGCGCAGGCAAAAATGAACAGTCATTGGGCCTCAGGAACAGCATCCAAGTACTGAGAGATTCTGGCTTGAGAACTGAAGATTTTGAGATGGAAACCTCTCAATTACAATTTGTTGTATGCACGCTGAGGTGTGTCATGCTTCCGACACTTTCTGACAGTTCAAATGAATTTGTTTCCTATGCAATCGAGTGAGATCGAGGTTATTCGTAATTGCCAAAACTACTTTGTATATAGTTTATGGACAGCTTCGTCTCAGTCCGCATGAAACAACTTCAGTCTAACATTGCCTGCCACTTTACGATCTATAATAAAGAACACATTTGTCACAGAAGCGACGGGGGTTAAGATCGGTTAAATAGGCAAGCGGGGGACAGAAAAACCAGGACCGAGGATTACAAACACTGACGCGTGAAATTATAAGCCTGTTTTTTAAGTATCTAATATATTTCTGTAGTATCTGCTATTATATTTATATATCTCTAGTATCTGCTGTTATATTCATATGTCTCTTGTATATGCTACTATATTTATATATTTTAAACTAACTATTCTTATATTTATATTTCTCTAGTAGCTTCTATTATGTTCATGTCTTCTTTAGTAAATGCTGTTGTTGTTATATACTATAATTCGGGTGCTAGCTGAATATCAGGTATAAGTTCCCTTGCGGAGTATAAAAACACTACTTGATAGACTGATTGGGTGCTGAGATTCATGAAAGTATGCACTTATTTATTTTGCAGTCTCGCTTTTTCTTACCTCTACTTGCTAGGGCAAGTTAAACCCAAAAGTATGCCAAGACGATTGACAAAAGGTCAGGCCACGATCCCATCTCCGTCAGAAAGATGCCGGATCACATGATAGCTATGAGATGACCGACTTCCGGTCGATCTCCATCTTGATGCCAGCTAATGCAGGGGCTGTCCCGCATCTAGTCGATCCTCCGCATGATCATCCTACAGGATTGATCCTCTGTCTTACACCTCGGTTGTTGCCTTTACAGGATAAATGAAGCGACGAGCATCGCCACAATCTGTTGGCAGACGATCATTTCCGTTTATATAGTGATAAAAACAAGCTTAAACATGTGAAGTCTGCCTAGGGATCTAAATTGTTCGGCATCGTCGGTTCGTCTAGTGAAAGGATTGACCAATATTACGATAATATTAGCACCCTGATGCCATCTTGACATCATCTGGTTTCATAATGAAACAAAGTACACATCAAACGCCAACCACGCTGAAATGTGTTGGAACAAGCCGAGATGATGGTTACACTGCCTCATCAAAAGAGGCAATTGGTCCTCCAATTCTTTACACGAATGTGCCAATCACCAAAGATCCAGGCTTTGACAAGAGTCGTAGGATGAAGGAATGGAGCTCCAGTCAATGATTGGGGTCGGTTTGTCTTCATAAATAGTAGAACCATCCCCTCCCGTTTGAAGAAATGTCATTCCATCACCCATCTCAAGAATCAATTCCCTTCGAAGCACTTTCATACTGAAGCTTTATCTCACGATGCATCTCACCAATTCCATCGCTCAAGCCGTTCTCTGCCTCTCAGTTACGGTCTTGCCAGTCGTCCACGGCGCCATCGCCATCGGTAACCAGATCAGAGAGGGTGGCACTCACTTCAACGTCGCCTGGATCGAAGGGCTAGACCCTTGTACCGTTGATGTTGCGATAGCTCCAGAAAGCGGGCGTGAGTGCAATCGCAACTTTCGACTCGATGGCACTGATTACTACCTCGTGGGCTGCACCGACCCCAAGACGGGTTATGCCCAGAAACCGCAAAGACTTCGACGTGTCAAGGACAATTCGCTCTATGGGAATTGTGCCCCAGTGAAAAAGAAGGAGATTGACTGCAAGGGTAATACACACAACGTCGTGAAGCGCTACATCTGCGGTTAGACTGCTCAATTCCCGACAAGATAAAGCTCCTGGCAAAGGAGTGAGCTTAAGGGCTCGTTGGGAAGAGGGCTTCAGGGAGTCTGACGGAGGGGCTATGAATAGAAAGTCTCTGACTTGAGACGGTCGATATTGATCAATGCTCTGCCATTATGATGAGAGGAAGTGGCACCCTTGGAGGATGCGTGTATAATGCATATTTAACTGATCCAGGGCTCTGCTCTGGTACATAATACACATCATACAAGGCTCAAATTTGTGTTCAATCATGTTTTCGTACATACAGCATGTTTGTAACCTGTTATATAGAGCGAATCTTGTCCAAGTGTGTCCGAATACATGTACAACTCGGTTCTTGGCAATCTTTGTTGGTAGCGATATGCTTAGAGAACTGTCCTCTGCTCCGTGATAGACAAAGTGGTACATGTAGCCTTCTCACCTAAGAATTTTCTGTGATCATGTGCCTCAATCCTATCCTTTCAATCGTTGTTACTATAACGTAATTGCAGCAACGACACGGGTATACATCCTTTAACTTCCGATTCAATGGAAAGAAAGTATGAGTGATTGCCTTGGCTTAGCCGAGCACACACATGATACTGACGGAGAAATACGCTGGATAGCGCCGTATTGCATGTCTGTATGGAACAGGATTGGCAGAGAGGATGGCCACAAGGTCAATTACTCCGACACTCCGCGATGCGATGCGGGGAGATCTACGCCTTGTTTCGGGGAAATACCCCGGCTTTGCAGGCTAAAGGCAAGGCGAGCATTGCCTCGTATGACTATTGAAGGTTTGCTATAAAGAGCCAGCGAGGTTCTGCCACTCCTTTCTTCTTCACGATCAAGAGAGCACGCGATGCAAAATGGCCATCACCGCAACTGAGACCGCAGTCGAAAGCGCAATTGAGCTTCCCGATTTGACGCAAGGGAGTGGCCGTGATGCTGATTCGTCTGAGACCGGACCAGCGCAAGGGCCAGACCAACGCCTCAACAAGTCGGTGTACTTGAAGATCATCAGCGCTGGCTTCTCTTTCTTCGTAGCCGGCGTCAACGATGGAAGCATCGGAGCCTTGATACCTTATATAATACGCGAATATGACATTAGCACGGCAATTGTATCGAGCGTGTGAGTGTAAAGCGCCGCTTCGAAGCTGGTCCCGAACAAAACAAAAAAAAAATAGTTTCGCTGACACAAGGGGCCTCGATGAATGTAGCTACGGCGCCAACTTTCTCGGCTGGCTGTTTGCAGCCTTTGCCAACACCCATCTCTGCCAATATCTCAACCTCGGCGCCATGCTTGCCCTCGGAGCCGTGTTCCAGATTGCGGCTCACGCTCTCCGATCTTGGGATCCTCCGTTTGGGCTGTTTGTCGTGACATTCTGGCTTGTGAGTGTTGGGCAAGCATTCCAAGATACTCATGCAAACTCGTGGGTCGCCGGCGCTGTTCCCAAAGGTGCTCACCGCTGGCTGGCCTTTATTCACGCCATGTACATGGCGGGCTGCTTGGTTGGCCCGTTTGTTTCCACTGCCATTGCGTCTGCCGGAGATGTCTCGCGGTGGTATCTCTTCTATACGTTCCCGTTAGCTCTTGGCGTTGTCAACCTTGTGCTGACTTGCGTTGCATTCCGAGAGACTCTTGGGCTTCAACAAAAGACTGTCACAAGTGAGACCGGCGGAAGAACCCTCGCTGAAACCGCCGAAACCCCCAACGAAGCTGTATCAAGGAATAAGGAGGCCACGCAACTCATCAAAAAGACTGCAAGCACGCCCAGTGTCTGGCTGCTCAGCCTCTTCTTCTTCTTCTACCTCGGCTCCGTCCTTACTGCTGGCGGTTGGGTCGTGGAATACCTGGTCAACGTTCGTCACGGTGACCTGTCGCAAATGGGTTATGTCCCTGCAGGCTTCAGCGGCGGCGGTCTTCTTGGCCGGTTGCTACTAGCAGAGCCAACGCATAGATTTGGAGAACGCCGAATGGTGTTTTGCTACGTCGTTGCCGCGATTGGCCTCCAGCTGATATTTTGGTTGTAAGATCTCTCGCCCAACCCCGAACTTGTCGTGACAACCAAGCTCACAGTAGAACACTAGGGTGCCTAATATCATTGCTGCCTCAATCGCCGTCAGCTTGATCGGCTTCTTTACAGGGCCATTGTTCCCAACTGTACGTTTTTGCTCAATTCTGCATGTCTCATATTCATTTCAGCACCGTCTAACTCTGAGAAAAAGGGCATCTCGCTTGGGTCAAAGCTTTTCTCGCCAGACATACACTCCACCGCGCTACCGCTGGTGTTTGTTTTTGCTCAGATGGGAGGCTCATTGTTCCCCATCATCACAGGCGTGGTATCTGCCAATGCTGGTGTAAGAGTGCTGCAACCGATTTTGGTTGCCCTTCTTGCTACCACGGCGGTGACGTGGTTGCTGGTGCCATCGCCAAAGTCAACATCCAATACTGCCCTGCATCAAGAGTGATGACGGTGACCTAGTGTAATACAGGGATGCTTTTGTATAGTATGAAGACATTGTTGGTGAACGCGTTCATCGGTGATATGGCTCGTGTAAACGTTGGTGTTGCTGCCCCCGATGAATACACTGATGACGATGACTGCAAGAAATACAATGGGCAGTTTTGCTGGGACAACTCTGTTGATCTCTGCCAGAAGATGGCTGTGAAATAACACCGAATGCCTGCTTGAATCAGTTTACCGCCCTTCTCATGACGCACAAACCAATACACGCATGTAGTGTAGCCGCTCGCCGCATTAGATAAACGTGTATCACATTCGTACACATGCAACTGCTCCCAGCCCCCAGCTATTCGTCGAATGAAATCATCTAAGCGCGCAGTTCATCTACTCTCTGTGCTCCTCTTTCTAGATTGCATCTGTCAAAGATCATCGGAGACCAATCGGAGTGTTGCGTAAAGGGCCTCTGCTCATCGACAGAGTTGAGAGCTCGACTCTCCCTTGCATGCCGCGGCAGCAACATCACATCCCGCTTCATGCACAGTTATATTTGCGCCAAGTCCCTGACCGAGGATTTGCAGTCCCATCGTCTGGGCAAACACTCTTAGCGCATTGTTTGTGACGCAAGGGTTATGCGTGTCTCGTAGCTCTGCGGGGGCGACTTGATCACTTCTCTCACCGCGTCCCGAGATAAGTAGATGTCAATACTTGTACGAACGGTCGTATCGCTATGAGAACATATGTACTCGTACGAATGATTGGATGACCAGACGAACAACTTGAACTGACTCAAGGCCCACTAGGAGCTGCTGTATTCACTGCCGCTCAATGAAACGGGCGCAGCGGAAACCCGGTAGTTGTGCAAGATCAAGGCTGATCATTAAGATCGGTCACCTGTCAAGTCCCGGGATCCAGTAACTAACGTGATGTGAGCGGGACGCGGGTTGAGACTGACAATAACAGCATTGCGGCCCAGTTACATGTACTTTGCATGTGGTGTTAGCAACGACAGAATTGAAAATGTGGTGCTTAGGCCGTCTTGCGATCGCGACGCAATCGGGTTGTATCTGCTCTCACGGCAGCCTTCATCCTAGATCGGGATAAATCTTGACAGGATGATCCCTGCTCTCACTGCTGTTCACAACATATCATAGTCGGCCAATCTCAGGGTTACGGGACGAAGTTGACAAATCCTATCAGATACGTTCACACATTACCCCTTGCATCTGAAGTTCAGCCGTACCCGTGCTCGCAACCTAGGCCAGCCGTGTTTCATTGAGCTTTTCTCTTCCTTTGCTGTGCCGTATAATCCAAGAAACGGGACTTATCCGATAATTGATATTCCAACACTCACCGGGGGCTCAAGAATAAGAGAGCACCTACATCAACACTCCTAATGCGCCCATTCCCGTACTTTGTGCTCCGTAAGTAGACAGCAATTTGTCTTAGGGTAATCCAACTGCCGCTAGTCTCATAACAGTGAAGCACAAGTTCAAAATAGCGCCAAGGGCGATGTGACGAGGCGCGGGAAAGATGGCAGGGTTATGCTGGGAAACCGGACGAATGTGAAGAAGAAACGTCTAAGTTATTGACGCCGTTGAGTGATACACTATCCCTTTCTGTGTATTTATGATAAACGTTAGATGAAGAAACCAAGTGTTGGCGGTCCATCACTCAAATTTAATAATGGCCAGTATAATATCGGTTTGTTCAAGTGTGTATATTCGGAAGCGAGTCTAAATGAGCGGCTGTCATAATATCTTTGAAGCTGAGGCCATGACTTATAGAGTGATCCACTGGATTCAATCGCGAATTTTGCAGAAGGGTGGTATTAAGCGACCAACGAGGACGTCGTCACACGTAAAGAAGATCTTGTTCGTACCAAGACGCCCATGTTTGGCCTCAAGATACGTAACCGTCAATAATCGCAGCTGTCCAAGATTCGCTTCAAACGTGCATACAAGATTATTCACAAGCACACACAACCCGAAGCCACATGCATGCATGCAAACGTGTAACTCACATCATCGGACTCTCGTCATTCTCGTACCCAGGATCCAACGAATAGCACGGACAGTTTAAAAGGTAACGCAAGGGAATCGCTTTTGTCTCACAGCACCTGCAAGGGTTCTCGGACCCGACAATGTCAACTTTTGTCTCGAGGGCTATTTCGGCCCCCATCCCACTCGTGAGAAACACAGAGGCCGGGCCATTCACAGCTTCTCGGGAGCTTGGACGCCCGCTTCTTGTCGCCCACAACGGGAATCATTGGCCAGTGTGACAGAAGCAGGGTTTAAGGGACGTTGGACGAACGAGATCGGCGGCTTGTGGTCAGTTGAGCACTGGCGTTTACCGTGCTTTATTTTCAGCTACTCGGAGACGAATGGTAAGTACCTAATGTGATCATCAGTTCCGTTTTTGACTGCCATGGTTCTCGTTTAGACTTCCACTGTATCCTTGTGTTGGAAACGTTTGGCTTCGCACAAACAAAGACTAGACCAAGATAGGGGCGTTTATCGAAACAACAAACTGCACGAGACGAGACGAGACGAGACGAGGGTTGGGAGGGTGAACGGGTTGCGGCCCAGAATTCTGGCCCAACACCCACCCCCTTTGTGCTCAAAAGTGCATCCAATCTTTTGTTTCCTGTTCAGCTCCATGTCACCAGAAAGGCGGAAGAACACCTCCACATCCCACGGCGGCACCGACCGACATTAAAACTATTCCTCCCGCCTTGTTCTTTCATCTTGCTCTTGATCAGTTGCTGCCCTGGGCTTTTTTCTTTCTTCTTCTCTCGCTTCGTCCACAAATACCCGCGGCCCACAATCGACAAGGCAGAGCATCGTTTGGTGCTCTCTTCTCGTCGCGAGCTCTTCGAGTCCTCCCCAGAGGCTTTTCGCCACCATGGGCTCTGAGCTGGGCCTCACGGCTGACTCCAAGCCCGCGGCCAGGCTCAACGGGATCGGTATCTGGTGGATATGCTGGGCTACAGGCTGGACGTTGCTGCTGCTCTGGGGCATGGGCTTTCTCATCTACAAGCGCCACATGCCGATGCTGAGGATAAGAGGGATCGGTTTGTCGCTCTCTGCCATCTCTCTGCTCCACCTCTTCTGGATATCGGTGCAACTGGGGTATGTCCTGGGGCCGCTATATCCTGGAGACACGCAGTATTGGATCATGGGCACATACTTGCCTCTGGGTATTGGCCTGTTCCACGCTTCAAACACCCGCTTTCTCCACGTTGCACAGCGACAGAAGCAATACATTGACCGTGCCGATACTCTCAACGCTTCGACTGCGGCCAAGCTCAGCAACAATGGTGGTATTCTGACCAGATTCCGCAGACTCAATCACACCACCAAGGTTGTCTTTCTCGTCGGCTCTGGAATGTTCCTCCAGGTCAGTGCCGCCATATTCACCCAATCTCATTCGTCCGGGGAGTTTTAAAGTTTTACATACCACGAGCTAACAATGGCCCACGCAGCTATTCATGGCAGTCTTCATGTTTCTCATCTCCCGCAAATGGCATAGTTCATGGGGCATCCCAGGCACTCAAGTTTCCGGCACTGAAATGGAGCAAAAGGTCGAGATGGGCAGAGGATGGGAATGGTGAGTTCTCCAAGCAACATCGGCTTTAAGGGCTCCCGTGAAGCTTGATAGCGTCGGCCGCTTGCGTTCTGACATAGATATCAACAGGTGGCCGTCTGTCTTGTGGCTGCTCTTCTGGGCCTGGATTGTTGCGCCATTCACGTTGTGGCGTGCACGAGATATTCGTGACACTCAGGGATGGCGCACTCAAACCATTTGGTGTGCGATATCCGGGTTAGTTTGACATCAGATGGAATCCAGCTGCCTCTTACTGATGGATCTGCGTATATATAGACTTCACGCAGCACCCATGTGGCTCATTGCCCTCTATGTTCCCGGGATGGAAGCGATCAATCACCACTGGATTCCTCCTCAGTGGTATGTTCTCGATCCCGGCTCTGCGTCGAACTAAATCGCTCATCACCGTCATAGGATTGCCGTCTCCATATGGTTAATGGAAATATTCACCGTCTTCCTCCCATGCTGGGAAGTCTTGTGCCATCAAACCCTCTGCCAAGAGACGCTGAACACAATTGAGCAGTGGGAGAACAACAAGACAGGCCTCGGCACGGCCATCAGATCGTTCAAGTCTAAATCGACAATCATAGACTCTATCAAGACCGGATGGAGGTCGACCAACAGTTCGATTCAAACGTCTTCCGTCGAGTCGATTCTGACGCTGAGTGCTCTCGAATACGTCCTGCAGAGGAACCCCGAGCCTCTACAGCAATTCTCAGCCCTGCGGGATTTTTCCGGAGAGAACATTGCGTTTTTAACAAGCGTCGGCGAGTGGAAGTCGTCGTTTCCCGCTTCGGTCCGCAGCCGCAGCGGCATCATGTCTGACGACACGAAGCGGGAGCTGGTGCGAGAGCGATTCAACCGCGCGCTTCGGATCTATACTGAGTACATCAGCGCTAGCGACGCCGCATTCCCGATAAATATCTCATCGGTGCAGTTAAAGAAGCTCGAGTCAATCTTCGAGGGGCCCGCGCGATCCATGTATGGCGAAAAGCAAGCCGTCAATCCTGCAACTCCCTTCAACTACCCCGAGTGGAACAAGGCCGACTCTGTCGCTTCATGCTGCGAGGCTCCCAAGTCGGTCTCTGAGAAAGACAGCGTTTCAGGCGACAGCGTTCAGTATTGGGGTGATATTCCGGAAGAGTTCGACCACGGCGTTTTTGACGACGCCGAGAAGAGCATAAAGTACCTCGTTTTAACAAACACTTGGCCCAAGTTTGTTCGCGATCGCCGAGATTCCATGGAATCCTTCGAGAACGCCGGAAGCACCGAAACCGGCGGCTCCATGTGCTTTCCTCGCCCGTGTAAGCAGTAGATGATCGGGTAGACTGAATTATCCTTAATCAGGTTGAGGCGTTTTGCGGCGGAAGGAAAACGGACTTGCGGGGAATATCATCGAAACGCTTTTTTCCATACTATTCCATTTGTACGTCTGGTTCAGCGTCATAGTCTTGCTCTAAACGCCCGAACGCGCAGATAGGAAATACTAAGCATTAGTGAACGCCTCGGCAGCGTTGCATAGAGTTCCAGGGGCCGGTGAAAAAGAAACGCATTATTGTTTAGTGGCGTCAGCTTTTCCCGTGAGTCAGTTTTCGCCATGTCGAAAATGTCAAAAAAATGTCAAGCGTACGCCTTAGCGCGACATGTTTGTTGGAGACATGGAAACCGTAGAATGTCTTGGAGATAGCCGACAAGAAAGACTCATCCCAGGCCTCTTATCTCCAGCCCATTTGAGTCTCTTCTATAAATGAGAATGTCCATCCGCTGGATTGTCTCAATCATCAAACCGAATAAGAAGTCTCATACAAAATAGCAACTTGCTTCCACATTCTGTTGTCTCGTGTGCTCGACATACTCAACCCATCTGTCATACTACTAGTATTAGTTGTCGAGTCTCTCACTCACTCGCTCGCACCTCTCGCACCTCTCACGTACTCACACACTCAACGTACTACCACCCAAAATGGCACCAATCTCACTCTCCATCCGCAAAGCCACTTCGGCAGATCTTGCACCAGTCCTCGCACTCGTGCGTTCCGCATATCGCGGTGAATCCAGCCGCGCAGGGTGGACAACCGAAGCAGAGCTCGTCGATGATCAACGAATCGACGAAGAGGGACTCTTAGCAAAGATCAATGAGCCATCCGGAGCAGTCCTTGTTGCCCAGGACGAAGCCGGCGACATCTTGGCATGCTGCGAGGTTCTGAAGCAGAGCAACACTGTGGGATACTTTGGCCTTTTCGCCGTAAATCCGCTACGCCAAGCCGGAGGAATCGGGCGCACTGTTCTCACGGCGGCAGAAGAATATGCCAAGCAGACGTGGGGTTTGACGGAGATGGAGATGACTGTCATTTGGACGCGCGAGGAGTTGATTCAGTATTATGTTCGCCGAGGATATACGCTGACGGAGAAGACGAAGCCGTTTCCTTATGCTCAGCTGGTTGGCGGCAAGGCGCTGAGAGACGATTTGTATTTTTCCGTCTTGATAAAGGCTCTTTGAGAAGTGCGTGAACTCACCGGCGCTTTGGTATTATATTTGGGATGCTGAGTTAAGCATGGAGTCGGATGATTTGTAGATGGCGCCTGATTTTAAAGCATGAGCATGAATTGATGATATCTGATGAACTGTCTTGAGTAAAGTTGCGTGCAAGTGGCATTGCGATCATGGTGTGGATGTGAGTGCCCGTGCCAGCTCGATATATCACAACAAAAGAGTACTCTCTCATTATATGAACCTGAGTCAACGTTGGTTCGATGATACAGTATGCCGGCTCAGATCTTTAGTATGAACCACCAACATGCGGCGCCTCGCAACGTGGAGGCAACCTCCCATCGTTTGGAAGATAATCGAGATACATGACGGCCCTTGTTTCCACCCACTCCCTCAGATCAACGCCTTTCTGGCCTGCATCAATCGTGTGTCCATTCACACTAAGATATGAGCCTCGGTTAGGAAGACTATCATTGAATTCGACCTTCTTGGGCCTCCAGGCCTTGACAGAGACGCCATCCTCCTCGGACCCAGATTTGGCACCACCTGACGCAACTGCCTCGGGCAGACTGACATCGACAGCTTCCCCTTCGCCGTAAAAGATGAAGCATCTCACCGCACACGTTTTGCAATAGAGGAAGTGGAGCGTCTCATTGTTACACACGTAGTCGCCTAGACTCTTTAGAGGATCCAGGGGCGATAGGAGCAAGAAGTCGTCGAAAGCAGATGCGGGACGGACATGGAGAAACCCCGATTTATGGCAAATGGTGCAATTGCACCTGTAAACGCGCTGGACTCCTCGAGATGGCGGCGGTTCTGAGTTGAGAAGCGTCGCGGGAGGGAGAGTCAGATAGACAATGTAGCGGATTTCTCCGCAATGGCACGAGCCGGTGTAGGGTAGCCGTTGAGAGTCGGCAGAGTCTTGATCCTGCGATTGATGGCTCATGATGACTTTTAGTTGATGTGGATAATGTCCGTGTGCTTCGGATATCGAAAGGAGTTGGATAGATATATCATGAGTTGTTTGGTTGGCTAAAAGCAGAGGATTCTTGAGGCCGTGAGTCAATTCACGAGTTCAGCTGAGCTTCTCTGGTTGCACCGTTAATAAATCCAGCTGCCTAGCCACAACAGGCTCGGGGATCATCAACTGCTCCGGCAACTCGTGGTACCCCACCAAAGACGGGAATTGTGTCCATCTTGATGGCCAGAAACGTCAATCTCATCTCTCGTCAGGTCGAAGCCAGAAACAACAACTACATTCCTCTTGAGAGGCGAGATTTGGACAGTCATCAATGCCTGACGATTTCTCAACAGCGATCGGAAAGTAACAGGGCCGCATCTCCAATTTGTACCCACAGCCTGATTCGTGACCGATCATACTGTATAACGGCCGTTTGTCCAATTGCCCCGTTTAGGCTTAGATCTTCTCCGCAGCTTGGCTCACCTCCAAGGAAACCATCGCCGGCGATTACTAAAAGAAACGGTCACGCCCAAGACCGATTTTTGGCCGAATCTGGATGCTCTCGCCGGATCTCGCTTTGCTTCTCTCCATACTCTTCTCCAGCTCGCGTCCTTCCTCGTCGCATATCGGCATAACGTCAGCTGTTCAAGTCATCTCATCAGGCCACAGCTATACCGGACGATTTCCCGTGTGGCGACCGGCTGGGCTTCTGGAACTTGATGCCTGCGGTCAAGCACCCGTGCGTCCAGTGCAAAGGTCCGCTCTCAACTCACCCCAACATGCCCCTTTATTCGTATTTTGATAGCTGACTCGAGCGTTACCGATAGAGAAGCACGTCAAATGTGAGATTGATCCTTCCGTTCGTTTTTCTGTGGCCTTGGCAATTGGGCCATGACATCTTTGCATGAGATCCGTCTGCGCTTCTTACATGTACGAAGAGGACATGCTGCTTCTCTCGGACCGGAGTAGCAGTGGACATCTCATACATGGAAAGCTAATGAGCCGTACTCCATGAAACTTTCAAAGCGGCATTGCTGACATGATGCTGCCGTTGGCAACCCATTGTAGGTGACGAGGAGCGCCCCAAGTGTCGTCGGTGTCAGTCAAAACTCTTGCCATGCACACGCCCAACTAAGAAGACCGTCTTCCGCCATGGGTCCGCCGCCAGTTTTTCCAAAGAGCAGAAATGGGTCAACAGCGAGGTGAAGCACTGTATGTAGACTAGGATCATAACGGCCTTTCCCCCCTCGAGGCCAAGACTTGGCCATCTCACTGCCTTGCCAAACTGGTATCGAGTGACCCTTGATGATTTGGTCGCTGACTGTAAATGGAACAATAGTTCGCTTCCATTCCCAGGGAGGTGGCCCCGCGATAAGTCAAGAGAGTCCTGATTCGCATAGGGAATCCGAATCGTGGAACGCGGTTACTCCCGGCGCGACCAATCAGCCTCCATATCATGTTACCTCAAGCGGTGGCCCCTCAGTTGACTCGCCTTCAAATCATTCGCCTCACCCGAGCCAGCAATCCGAAGATAAGACCCCTGATGCCGCGCCATTTCGGCCCCTTGATGGGTATGATGACCGGCCGCCTACTCAGTATAGGAGCACATCCCTCGGCCCCCAGGTTCGGCCTCGTGGGCAAGGGGACGTTGATCATTACTCCTCCGCGGGGCACTCTACAGCAACATACCCCGCTGACGATGGTTCTGCCTCGTATGCTTTATTGTATGACCGTCATGTACCGAGCGTGATATCATCACAAGAAGATGAGACCTTTCGAAGACGGTTTCCCCTAGAAGACACACGGGAGGCTTGTCTTTTTCGATATTTTGTCGAAGAAATTGCACACTGGGTAAGTTCTTGGACGTGATATGAAGCATGACGACCTTGTTGTGTTGACCTCCATGGATAGTTTGACTTGTGTGACGAAGACCGCCATTTTCAGCTTGCTGTTCCTCGACTTGCCCACCACCATCCACACCTCCTCAACGCGATATTCGCAGTTGCCGCGCGCCATCTCAGCCGTCTTCCCCAGTACCGGACCCCCGCCGGTATTCTCTATCACGGACAGATTATTCCCAAGCTCAGCGAGCATGATGCAGTGGAGTACATGCTCAAATGCATCCCCGCGCTCCGACATTTTCACGATATTGATGACGATGATTATCGAGATAGCATCATTGCAACAGCTGTCATCCTCCGCCAGTTGGAAGAAATCGACGAAGAGGAAGAGGACGCTTCAGCAAATGACAATAGCAATGGCCAAAGCGACGACCGCCATTTCCAATCCGGAAAGCAGGTCAATTTCCTTCCTATCATCAATGCTGTCTTGAGAAGCTCCGCGTCGCAGGCATTATTTGGCCGAAGAAGTCTTATCCAAGCCGCGTACTGGATGGCTCTTCGACAGGAAATCTATCACTCCTTTACTCGGAAACAACCACCGCAGTTGTTCCCTTCGCCTGATTTATGGCATAGCGCTTCCAAAGCAAACAAGACGGTAATGCATACTGTCCAAGTGGCCAAGTGGCGCTGGGAAGACGGATCTGAACGCGAATGGCGTAAGTTGGATGATCTGTTGGGCTTCGGTGTGTGTCTGCGAGAGAGGACTGACCAAACACCTTTTTAGTGAGGCTCATGGACCAGCAAAACTACCTCGAATACGAGATTCTGGTCAACTTCCGCCCCATCTTCAAGAGGACGGCGGATAAGACCAAGGGGGAGATTTTCCCTACCGTCTGGTACGGATCCAACCTCGAGGTCACCAGTATCCAGCAGAGCATCATGGCAAAGTCGGTGCTGGTCGCCGAGAATCCCTTTCTCAAGTACGTTTCACACATATTTCCCTTCTCTTTACGCGACCGGTACTAATCTCTGCTTCTTTAGGGCGCCGTCAGCATCGCGGGCGAGCTGGAGAAGGGCCGAGAACGACGTTCGTCTGCTGTTGCTGGAGCTCTGCGGTATCGCTCTCTGCCATCCCGCCTCGCCTCCAGCGCTGTTGAATGCTGCCATTGGTATTCAGCTGTATGGAGACTTTTTCACGGACCGATACGAACGTCAAGCGCTGCGGGGAGTAGTTGAAAAGTATCGAGATGCGCGAGCCTGGCCGGTCCAGAAGCTGTTGGAGATGTTCAAGGAGTGATTGATTTCGTTCAACTGGGTGTTTGATCTCGAGCTGGCGAATGGAATCGGCGTCTTCTATAGAGGCGGGGTTTTGGGTTGTATCGGCAGTGGTATTTCTATTCGCGGCCTCGGTGCTGTTGGAGTCTAGCAAGCGTTTTCGACTTTGATATTTCGAGATGTGATGATGAAGAGAAGATGAATTGATGTTGCATTGAAATGGTGCATCTGGTCGTCTTGAGGCTGCAGCGCTACAAGGGCGCTGTAATGGCAAGCTGGAGCCTGTAGGTGCACGCTTTTGCCTACTGGAGGTGCTGGATTCCACGATCACAGCGCGTCTTGGCGGCCCCCTACGCTAACAGGATGCGCTATCAGCCGTCCATCGCCGTGCACCTCTGCTGCATCGACTCTACACTTCCAATGTCCAGAGCGTCACGATAAACTGCCCGTTCATGGAATTCGATAAAAGACCGCAGCGCATCAAACAATCCCATATTTATCGTGGATTCCCTTCTGAATTGCTATATACCATTCCAAATACACTTTGCGACTCTGTGTTCGGCATCATTCAGAGTGCTTCATTAGAGCAATAACCGTGCCGTGCACAGTTGTGCTGATCAGCCGCAGCCATATTCACGGCGATTCGTACAGTATTGGCTCCTCATCAGTATTGGCTCCTCATCCCCAGTTCATATCCATGGATGGATGATGATATTTGCTAACAGATGACTTTATAAGAAAAATCAGCGAAAATGTCAACCCGAAGAACAACTAGAGCTGCCGTAGCCAAAGCTGCCGCCGAAGCTTCATCATCACCAGCCATACCTACGGCTTCATCCAACAACCCCCTCGTTATTAGATCCAAGACCAAGTCCAAGATCACCGAATCATCAGCATCCCCAAACACCATCCCCATCAGATCAAAGCCCAAAATAAGCCTTACTTCATCAGCATCAACATCATCTACCACACAAATTCTCAGTTTCCCATCCGCCTCCCATTTCGACGCCTGGCTCCTCGACGCCGGCACCTCGACACCCTCCGGCATCTGGCTACGATTCAGTAAGAGATCAATCATCGCAAAAGTCCCTTCCATCAGCTACCCCGATGCCGTCGACACCTCTCTCTGTCACGGCTGGATCGACGGTCAGCGCAAACGCCTCGACGAACACTTCTACCTGCAGCGCTTTACGCCTCGCCGGTCCCGAAGCCTATGGTCTCGCCGCAACGTTCAGCGCGTCGAAATGTTGACGGCCGAGGGCCGGATGAGGCCTGCAGGCATCGCTGTTGTAGATGCCGCAAAGGGGGATGGGCGCTGGGATAAGGCTTACTCGGGGCCAGCGACAATGGAGGTTCCCGAGGATTTGGAGGCGGCGCTGGCAGAGAACGAAGAGGTAAAGGTGATTTTCCAGGGGCTGAGCAAGTCGCAAAGGTATTCGTTCCTGTGGCACATTCATGCAGCCAAGAGGAGTGAGACGAGGCAGCGGAGGATTCGAGAATTTGTCGATCTCTTGGCCAGGGGAAAGACGTTTTAGGGCACAATGCAGAATCAAGTATCATGATATACCAATATGCTGATGTGTATTATCGGAGAGATTGATCATTATAATCATCTATAGAGAACGCCCAAATACCGTAAAAGTAATCCAGATAATTCACTGAATACCGCCAAAATTATCCATGCGCCAAAATCATTCGTCATCAGACTCATCCGATTCTTCAGCAATACCGTCGATGAGGTCGTCGTCCGATCTCTCTTCATCGTCATCGTCATCCTCGTCATCATCATCCTCACTGTACTCTTCTGGATTTGAACTCTCGTCGTCCTCTGCTTTTCTTTTGCGTGACGAAGGATGCCTTTGTGGCACGAGATTAAGCCGACTGGCTAGACTCAACTGCCTTACATCTGTAACTTCCTCCTCCTCCTCCTCCTCTTCATCATCATCTTCATCATCTTTTTGGCCTCTAGTATTGCGCTTTATTCCATTTGTAGCCCCCTTTCTGTCTTTCTTGCTGCCGGACACGTCCTCGTCTATTCCCTTGACTTCAACGTCTTTGCCATCATCGTCGTCTTCTTCATCGCTGTCCGCAATCGCCGCACGCCTGCGACTTCTCCCGGTGCTGTTGGGTTTGCTCTCGCCTTCATCCTCCGTGTCTGACGTTACGACTCGCGCCGGGCGGGTCGTGCGAGCTCGTTTCGCCCCTGGTCCTTCAGATGGATCCTCGTCATCCGAATCCGCTACAATTCGTCGCTTTCGCGAGTTCTGCGCATCCGATGGGGAGTCTCTGAGACCATTCGGCTCTGGCTCTGGTTCTGGGCTGGAAAAGACGGGAACGATTTCTCCCACCTCGTTCTCATCTACGGTGGAGTCGTCATCATCGCCATATACTTCATCTCCAGACAAGTCATCATCATCACTATTGTCTTCGCTATCATTGTCAATGATTTCGGAGTCATCGATTCCCTCGCTCTCATATTCGTCAGGTTCAGATTGGGAGTCAGAGTCATAGTCTGTTGATAAATCAGAGAGTTGTCCGATATAAATGCCGCGTTCGTAACTCTCCTGCCACTTTGCCCTTGCTTTATCAAATCTTTTCAAGGCACCTTTATCATCGAACGAGAGCATTGGGAGGACCCAGACATCGCGAGTAGGAAGCAAAGGATGGGGCACATCTCTTAGCATTGGGGTGGGGACGTTTTTACGAACAAAGTCGTCGTAGTCGTCTGCATTTGGCCAACATCGTTTGGTCCAGAGATAGTCGTTGCCCCTGTCCCTGATAGCGGTAGTATATGTATAAACGAAATCCGAGCCACACCAGTTCATCACATAGGGGGCCATCGGGTTGGTAGCCGGGCGGAGAAGGAATAGGCGCTTGAGATTACGGAACGCCTCCATGGCGTGGTTGAAGTATTCATCGGTGGTGTTATCCGTGTCATCTTCGTCAAAGGCGCTCTCGTGAAATGCAAGCTGCAACACATTTTCCGCGAAGCCGTCGAAATGGTATGCGCTGTCTTCCAATCTCTCATCAGGAGCCCGTGGACTGATGTGCCCACGTTCGTATCCGTCGACTTGAACAACATCTCGATCCCGGTTGAAATTGACCATTCCGTAGCCGTTTCTCGCAGGATTCTGAACCTTGAGAGTGTGAGGCAGAATCTTGCGAGCAACCTCTCGAGCCTCTCGGTTGACGGCCACGAGGGCGCGCGTCTGCTTGGTTACGCGGGCCAGATCTTTGCCGGGCCGAACGTGCCAATCCCGAAACAGACGCTGGATTTGGTCGCCGTACTCGTTTTCTGTAAACACGCCGGGCATCTTTCGAGGGATGGCATGAACTTCGAACGGAAGAACGCGAGGCCGCTCTGCCTCTACCAGGCCAAGCTCCCAGATCTTGAGGCGCAGCTCCGGAGGCAGTTCCGCAAACTTGGGGAAAACGCGTCCCGCGTAGGGGTTCTCGTCCCAAGGATCCGTGCCATTGTAGAATTCGTATTCGACGGCCGAGTCGTAGCTATCGTCTTCGGTTTCTTCTGCGTATCGGAGCAGAAGCTCCGAGTCTTCATACATCGTGAAGGCGTAACGGAAGCCAATCGACCTCTTGCGGAAGAGAAGAAGAAGGGAATGGAATTGCCGTTTCTGGGAGAGACGGGTCGTATATGAAGGGAGAATTGGCGCTCGATATTAGTCGGTACCAAGCAGGTGATAGTAATATTAATGTAAACTCGATGGCCCGTCACTTTGGCCTTTTGCACTGGACAACTTTCTTGGGCTGTGACGTGCTGATAAGATAAAAGCGCCGCGCTATCACGTGCTTCCGCTCAGCGCGCCAAAGTGACTGCCAGCTGTAGCGCTACTTGGCCATGAGCGAGGGAGATGTAGGTGCGCACGTGTCCTCACATGTTTTCTGGTGTGAAAGAGAGTAGAAGGACATTCAAATAAAGGGAAGCGTTAAGGGTTTGCGTACTTGTACACGCGGCCGCATCATGGCCCTCCCGCCAGATTCGATGTACTCCGTATCTGGGTACCTACCTAGTAGGTACAAATGAAGCTTTAATCTCATCAAACTATTTCCACATCTGCCCGTCTAAAAGAGGTTGGTTGGTATTCATTATTATTTATTCATCACTTGTTTTCCATAAAGTCCAATCACGATTTTATATATAACAATCACAATTGCTGCTCTGAGCTTCTGGAGGCTCTATACCATGTTCAGCGTGCCATCCACCCGCCATCGACCTGCTTCTTAGTTAGCCAACATTGCTTCGGTCATACAACCATCAGTTTCCATGCCTCAACGCACCACAATCGTTTCTCCAGACACGTAGGAGCTTGCGTCAGAAGCCAGGAATACGGCTGGTCCCTTGAAATCCTCCGGCTTCCCCCAGTGCCCCATGGGGATGCGTGTCACGATGGACTGGTAATATGTCTGATCCGGGTTGCTGCGAGTGTCTGTGTTCATATCCGTGGCAATATATCTGACATTTTTCTCTCATAAGCCGGCCTAATGCATCAGCGAAAGATAAGATCTTCACTCGCAACATACCCTGGTGCAATTGCGTTGACGCGAATCTTGTGCTGTGCCCACTCGTTGCTAAGAGCTTTTGTAAGTTGGCCCACTGCCCCCTTGCTGGAGGAATACGCAGCCATTCTCACGCCGCCCTGGAATGTGGATAGACTGGCAATGTTGATAAGCCGGCCGTCGATCTTGTTATCGATCCAGTATCTGCCCATGTCGCGGCACAGAATAAAGGGGCCGTTGAAGTTGACCTCCATGACCTCGTCCAGCACCTCCTGTGAAGTCTCAGTTGCGGGATATCGTCGCATGATCCCGGCATTGTTGATGAGGATGTCGATATGATGTGCCTCAGTCACAGAGGCAATCAGGCCATGTACATTGCTTCGGTCGCTCAGATCTGCCACCACAATGTGGCATTTGCGTCCCAGAGCTTCGATGCTCTGCTTTGTAACACCCTCCTCTGTACTTCGCTTTTGACGTCCTCACGCTTAGCTAAAGACATGGTTACATTGCGTTTGGAAATGCGTAGATCGACTTACCTGGACAAGAACAATATCTGCACCGGCCTCAGCAAGCCCTGTGGCGATAGCTTGGCCAATACCGCGAGTGCCTCCGGTTACTAGAGCAGTCTTGCCAGCCAGAGAAAACAGCTCCATGATTGGCCAGCAATTATTTCTCCAGTACAATTACAAGCGGTGTAAATGAGTCAATAGGAAACAGGTCAAATTACTTATTCGGGTCTTTGTTTCTGCGCGAAATGTTCAATATTTTCAACAGCAATATTCAGAGTAGAGATTGAGCCCTGAGTTTGTCTGCACTAAATGCTTCACCAGAGCCCGCTATGTTCGGCGTTTCGGCGATGCGACTTCAGACGGCCTTCTCCTCATTCCTGCTTCGGCCCGACGATTACATGTATACATCTTTGGGCATCAAAACACAATGATTTCAATTTTCATTTCATGAGAGCAAAGGTATTTAGTAAAGAAAAAAAACCATTCAGTGCAATTTTATCGCCGTTTCCCATTTCTGATAACATCCACGACCCATAGGAAAAGACCAATAGCAAGTATGGCTCCCGACCAGGAAGATGCTGCTTTCGGCATTCAGCCCCAAATATCCTCTGAGCCGTCCGTTCGAGAACAAAAAACTCAAGTCATCATTATCGGAGGCGGGCTGAGTGGTTTACAGGCTGCTCATGATCTTCAAGCAGCTGGCATCTCCTGTCTCATTCTCGAAGCGCGCGATAGGGTTGGTGGTAAGCTGTGGTCTGTACCTCTGGGCCCTGAGAAAGGATATGTCGAACTTGGAGGTGCCTGGACCAATGATGTGAATCAGCCCATGGTAACTGCATTGGTGAAAAAGTTTGGGCTGGAGATGGTCACCCAGAACATAATTGGCGACTGCATCCTGGAGGATCTTGGAGGGTTTCGCTATGGAAGTGATCCACCGGTAGGTTCAACACCTGCAATTTTCTCTCCAGAAAGGTACAAACAAAGACTGATTATAACATTTGATGAGCTAGCTCTCTGAAGAGGACAGGGCAATATTTGCTGAGATAAGAAGTCGCGTCGAGGCTCTATGTCATACCGTCAAGCCTACAGAACTTGGCCAATCTCTAACCAAGCATGGATACATGAACATGGATGGCTTTGCAGTTTCCATGGGTGCCAGCGATATTGTACGTCGTCTAGTCAATATTTGGACTGCCGCAATGTTGGGCGTCGAGTCGGACCAAGTCAGCGTCGTCTTCTTTATGCACTACTGTCAAGCGGGAGGCGGCCTCATCCAAATGCGATCAGACGATAGAGGCGGTGGTCAGAGTATGCGCTTTCGACACGGAACGCAGTCGCTGTGTTATGGGCTGCGGAATGGGCTCAGGCCGGAGACAGTCATATGCTCAACCCCTGTGCAAACAATCGAGCAGGATATTGGCAGCGGATGCCTGGTCATTGCTCGGGACGGAAGACGTTTTCGCGCCGGGCACATCATTTCCACGGTTCCAAGCGTCTTCTTGAGTCAAATAAATATCTCACCGCCGCTATCAGCAGATAAATATTGGCTTAGCACTCATAGCAAGCTTGGGTTTTACGCAAAGGTGTTCCTCGTCTACTCAGAGCCCTGGTGGCGTAAACTCGATCTCTGCGGCCTGGCACAAGGTCTCAGTGGACCAGTGGCTCTGACACGGGATGCCTCGAGCGATGAAGATGGCCTATTTGCATTGATATGCTTTGTTGTGGGTCAAAGAGGTGCAGAGTGGGCACAGAAGGATGCCTCGGATCGCTTGAATCAAGTGATAACCCATGTCGATCGCATCTATGGAGCAGATATTCCACGGCCTCTGGAGACGCGAGAGCAAATTTGGAACAATGAGGAGTTTTCACAGGGAGCGCCTTGTCCTGTGGTGCCTGCTTCCTGCTTGGGGAGTCTCAGTCAAGATCAATGGCGGCCGGAGGGCTACATTCATTTCGCCGGGACAGAGACGAGCACCGTCTGGAAGGGATATATGGAGGGAGCTCTAGTTTCTGGTCGTAGAGCTGCGGGAGAGGTTATTGATAGGCTGTCTACGAATTAAGCGGCGCAGTAGATGACAATTCTGCAGTTTGTCATGTGTTGTGTCGAATTCGCTACATGCGTTCAAGGTATACTCCTTGGAGGGTCCGGCTGCTGCAGATCAAGACCGCCCAAAGAGTCTCGCCAATAAAGAGACTGCCATTCTGAAGAACTCTCCTCCCATCTGTTAGGCTGGATATGGACATCTCCTGGCTGCTCCTCTTCGAATGACAAAAAATTGATCCACTCTCTTTCCTCTGTTAAAATTTCATGTTCCGCAGCGTTCTGTTTACTCGCGGTTTGGTTTGCGATCAATTGGTGCCCTTCATTTGCTGAGTTCCGCTCCAAGAGATTTCCAATACTCGGCAACACTTCTTGTGTTGTCGTCCTAGTATCATCTGTTCTTGGGCCAAATTGAAACAGACGCCACACTGAGGCTGCCATCAGCCAGTGTTGAGAGAGGCGTTGCAGTATCTGCAAGCCTGAAGCGTACTTATCTTGGGCCTGTAGCGAAATGATGGGATTATCACTTCGTAGTTGAGCCTGAACTTGGACAAGAGCGGTGAATAGTGCACTGGGAGCACAGAACCAACACTTTTGTAGAGCCGAACGCTTATCCAGCTCTTCGAAGATGAAGAGAATTTTAGAAGCTGCCTCTATGCATATCCGATCATTATCTAGCAGATCCATCGAAGGTATATCATCTGTAGAAGGAAGCCGTAGGCGGTGGACTTGGATCAAGGCGGTTTCGTACGTGAGGAATAGCATTGACTTGTACACGCTCGTTGGCTGGCCACGGTCGCGTAGCGCAGAGGGTAGATTAAGGAGCCACTCGGCAAGCTTGGCATCCAAAGCTTGGAGAGAGGCGCTCCAGTTATTGGGTGATTTCTGGGTTTTGAGGGAAAAGTGAGCCCTGAGGAGAAGGGATATGTCTGCGCAGAGCTTTGCGTGATGAATACAAAAGCTTACTTCGTCCTCGCCAGTAGAGGCATCGAAATCTTCTACTCCGAGAGGTGGTGTATCGCAGTCATCTAGATTGCTGAACCAAAACTGTCAGCTTGCCCAGTTAGGGGGAAAGATGAGTGATAGTCCAAACATACATGTTCTGCGGCCGACCGTAACATAGAGACACGAGCACATCAAATTGGACTAGACACCACCAGATCTTCCTCCAAGTTCTCTTGTCTCGTTCCAGCATCTTGCTTGGGCCAACGTCTCGGTGCATCCCCAAGCCAAGAGCAATACGTGTTGCGGCTCCGATCCACCACCAGGCATTTGTGCCAACATCATCGCCACCATCGGAGAACCAGGTCAAGAGCAGGGCTGCTTGCACCATGTGCATCCGGTCTTCCTCGTATCGCCCATCGAACAGCGCTTTTGCCCGACGAAAAAAAGCACTTTTCAGTTCTTGAGTGTTGTCAAGCGTAGACGTAGCATGGCTTCCTGCTAGACATATGACATGAAACAGGAGTAGTGGTGGTGCTGAAGTGGGATTTATATACTGAGTGAGGAACTCTTTTTGATCAATGATTGGGAAGATGCCATGAATATGTTGAAAATAGGCCCCTATCAGGATATCGGAAACACTCCTGGGTGGAAGAACAAACGCATCTTTGGGAATCAGGTTGGGCGCCGGGACGCCTTGCAATCCAGGTATGCGTGGTGCGTAGCTATTCGAAGAAGGATAGTGGTGAACACGCTGGTTTGTCGACTGCTGGCGAACAAGATAACCGAGAGTAGATAGATCGCTCCCAATATAGGTAAGGCGTGTTTGTATCGGCTTCTCTTGGAGGTCCTGACTGAAGAACTCCACTAAATTCTGTCTTGCATACTCTGCATCCGCCGTTCTATGGGAGACTGAGACTTCAGGTTGAGAAGACCCTTCATCATGTTCGTGGGCAATAGGTTCCGTAGGTCCCGGCTCCGATGATACTACTCGTCGTTGAGTCGAAGTTTGAATGGCCAATCTCTCTTCTCCCGTCGTAGAAGACTGGCCGGACACTCGAGCTCGGCGCTTTCGTCTATCTGGAACAACGCAATGAACCTTGGCTAGCCTGCAGTTCCGACAGGGGAATCCGTTAATAGCACCATCACACTTGACCTTGCGCGCATGGCAATCTCCGCAGGCTCTCTCTGCAAAGACTTTTGTAAGCGCAACTCCTGATGACAGCAACTACCAAATGTGGAAGCTCACTTATAGATCTGGTGATACGGAGTGTTGTGCTGACGCCGGGGTCACAGTCGGAGCTGTTCGGCATAACTTGTATGATCGAGATTGATGCACTCGGCCTCTTGAACAGGGCTTATGCTTGTATATGCCCAGCTTTGCTAAGTGACAGAGCTGACCTTGCATGAACTGCCTTTCACGTCCAAGTCCGTGTATGTTGAGGTGTAGCTTCGATCTTCAGGTTGCAAATCTGGCCGAAAAGCCGAAGGGCCGAAACCTGGAACCTGACACTTACGTAAGGATTGTGAAGACACTAATAGTCTCGAGCAATAGCCATAGATGGAAGGATAGTGTAAGATTGCATGCTATAATAAGAATAGAAACTATACAAGAAATACATTATAGAAGTCTATTTGAAAGTCTGGGGTGTGAACAAGCCAAAAATGAAATCCCGGTGATGGGGTGTAAATAGCTTCATGTTCCTAGCGCTCTACTTTGCCCACCAGTAATTCCGTGAACGCCCTGCCGCCCAATCCAATGTTGAAGTTTTGTCAAATCATCCCGTTTCCGACATAGCAATTCAGATTTAGTCAACCCAACATATCCAAATGAAGCCGGCCGTTGCGCTGCCCAGTAACAAGAGTGTCACAATAACAGCCCCAGCCTTGTCCCCCGCACCAATTGGCTTCAGCTCAACCTCTCCATTGTCTGCCCCAGTTCCTGCATTCGGGTTTCCTTTAGAAATACCTCCCGATGAATTGGTTACTGGAGGATTCGCTTCGTTGATTAACAGACTCGACACTGCTGCCAGGACATTCATGGCTTCGCCGGCGCCGCTGGTATGATCGACGGCCGGGTCGATGAATTTCCCAGAACTCCAGTAGAAGCCGCATCGTCGGCCTGAATCGCCTCCGGTGCATTGCTTGACAGCAGCTTCTGTCGATTTTCGTAAAACAGGAAGGATCTTGTTCTTCGTATGCGGGGCGACTTGGGTCACCACAGATAGCCAGCGATGGATGTAGCCTTTGAACGAGAGCATGTCTGTGCTGCATGCACCTTGGCGCGGCTCGCAAGCAGCCTCATATGCAATTCCGTCCGGAAAGAATCTTGCTAACAGAGAGTCGAGGAGTTTATCTACGCGATACTTCCAGACATCTGAGCCATTGGTCTAGAGTACCAGTCAGTTCATCTGAATCAGGGTTGTAGGCAGATCATGGCAATGCTTATACATACATAGTTGTACATAAAGGCAGCTCCATGGGTCAGAACAGCTGCGTTGTAGGAGAATGTGGCGCGATTTATATCGGTGCAGTTCTTTTCGACATGGCCGCCGTCATAGACGAGCCAGTTTTCGTGGTCGATGTATCCCACTCCCCATAGCCAGTTCCAAGTATCCTCGGCGCGCTTGGCGTACGTATCGTTTCGAGTGTATCGAGCAAGTCGGGCCCCGATATTGAAGAAGCATCCGTTGGCAATTGCTGTAAGGATAGTCACCACGTTAGCAATACAGAGCCTTTAATCATAGGATATCTTGCCCTACTGTTCTTGTAATTGTAACCAGCATTTGAGAAAGGGATTTGCCATCTCAATCCACCATTGCAGGTCTCATCATGGCGGCTAGGATCCGCTTGAGTGTTCCAAACCGCTTGGGCCAGAGCAAGCCACTGGGGTTTATCTGCTGGGGGATTCGGGAATTTGTTCTCCGCCGCCAGCATCGCGGACATGCCCCAGAAGCCTTGGTCGTCATTCCCGAGAGATGCCGTATGGTTCAAGGGCATATAGTTTTCGTGGTCGCCTACTTGGTGAAGCATGCCCTCCATGACGACTGAATTGTAGCTTGTATCGCCCGTGAGATGCCAATAATCGACATATGTGCCCATCATAGCACCTCCTTCCCACCAGTAATAATCTCCTTTGTTCTCAGTCGGTGGACCAGGCAAAATACCAGGAATCTGCCCCGTCTTGTTCCCTTCGTACTGTAGCATTAAATCGTACGCAAGCCCACGGGCCGTGTCTCGAATGTTATCTGCCGGGAGAGATTAATCAGGGAAATGAACCATCGTTCAGTTTTCGCCAGTGAATTACCTGCATTGTCAATGCGATAAGCAGCCTCTGTTGTCGCACATAGGATACTCGTCGCAATGATTACAAATGACAAAAACATGGTTGAAACGATTGGCGATAATGGATGCTGAGGGGAAGCAGGCAAACGCGAAGGCCCAAAGGCCTCGGATTGGGGAGGATTGTTTTAATAACGGATACAAAGACAAAGAAATAGCATTAAAGGTTGAACGAATGACGTGGAAGGAAACAAAGGCTAAGCGACGGTATATTCAACGTCCTACCAGCAGACGAAGAAAGCACAACCAACCTGAGATGCACGAGGCGCCCAAGTGAGATGTGAGGTGTTGATGATTTATTGACCTCTCAGAGACAGAACAGACTAGAAAACTACAGCCCAGAAACATGCGTGCGGAATATGCGCCCCATGATCTTATAACAGCCCAATGGAAACGGAAGACTGTGCGACTCTGAGTCTGTGGGTTTGCGCGGTGGCGCTTGGGCATCTTGGCTCACTAGCAATCAGTATAAGCAATGACATCGAGGAAAGTCATGGTAAATCTTGGCTGCGGCTGAGCAACTCTCCTCCTCTTGGCAAAGTTTGAAGATCGGGCGGCCGCTGGATGGCCCGCGACACTTGGCAAACAAACGTGATCCATGGAAGCGACTTCAAGAATTAACCATCGACGACAGAATAGTGAAAGCGGCAGTTATATGACTGCATTTATGATTTCCGTAACAGACAAAGACAAAGCTCCGATAAGAGGAACGGATCTTGTGATGGTGACGTTTGGGCAGAGGCTGGCCCCTGCTTAGGCGGACCAGCCAACGGATAGCGACAGGACAAATCCCGCCCGGCAAATGGAAACAAGTTTTCAGATCCGTAATCTCAAACAGCAAATAAAACAGCGGGACGCGTCATCCAACGGATGCGTTGGCTTTGATTGGCCTTGGAGGCGCAGCATCGACACAACTGAAACCCTCTCGCGGCTTGGCTGTGATGACTAGCGGCAGTCTAGCTTTTAAGGTTCTTTCTGAGCTTAAAGCAGATCCGGTGATCCGGGATTTTGCAGGCGATTCGGCAGCTTGGGGCACGGCAAGGTGGTCAGGTGGGAATTTGAGCTATATAAGTACTCCGTAGATAGATTCCAGTCCATCCAAAAGCGGCGGATGCTACTGGAAGGGGATAAATTGCATGTACGAGTAAGACGGGTTGGATGGACTTGGCGCTGCAATGCCACCGTGTAACATTACTCGTCTGCTTTTGGGCCATGCGGAGCACTGACGATGCGACAAAGATGCTAGTACGGATCATGATTAATATACGAGTAATTAAATGCTTGCAGCTAGTCTCTTAATATTCGAACTGGGCAACTTCAGGAGTCTGGATTCCATTATACACGGACTCTTGATGTCTCACTTTATGGCTGAGGCACTTACATTGTCTCCCTTTACAACCACGCGTTCGAAACTGGGTCTGTGGCGAAGCTGATTCATACTTTCCCATCGTCAGCACTTATCTGCGAGCATCGATTTTGAGTTCAGAAAGAGCTGAGATTGTGAAGAATGCTACAAGTTAGTGTTCAAGCCTCGTCTCCGATAACACGAGGAAGCCACTTACCCTACAAGTTTTTTTTATTCCGTGGGCTTGGTTTTAGACTCTCTTATGGAGTATATCTGTATTTACCTTTGAAGAATTCACCATTGGACGCGAGTCAATACTTTTTATTCAATTGGTTCTGCGTGATTGAAGGAGGCAGCAGGAGAGAAACGAAAAAGAAGCTATCCTGACTCAATGTTATTGCCGGCGGCAGAGTTCACTTCCTTATGTAGTTCATATAACAATAGAGAGGTCATCAAAATGGAACCTTATAGCCCATATTTATGGAAATTGGAGATAATTATGGTCTTCAGCATATCCTTGGCTGCTAGCTATGCTAGAGGGTAAATATATAGCTGTTATACTTGTTCATATTCATTTGCCATTTACAACACTAGACTCAACGGCTTTAATTCTAGTTGTAAAAGCTTTATCACTCTCAAAATGGGTCATCATATCAGGATACAAAATCCCCCCTTTTCTACGATTCGTATGACCAAGGGAAACTCCAGTAGACTCTAATGCTATCCACAGGTACTGTCTCTTAACGGCCACTGAAGAAAATAAAAGTAAAACGCATTGCCGGATTACCTGTTTGGACATTGGTAAATATCCATTGTTGGTCTTATCTTTGTACAAAAGCCGTAAGACATCCGGTTCTGACAACGAGGTGCGAATGGAAAAATTAAATTGTCATCAACAAACCTTTCAACACTGCAACATTACCGATTCTCTTTTCTTTTCGAGACAAGTATAAAACTGGTTTCCACTGCAGTGTCAGAAGCTCACGCGTCAGTCGTGTCGATTGGTAAATGTAGTCATTTGAATTCAAAAGGGGTTGATCATACCTTACACGGCAGTCTACAGTGTTTTGCAATGGAAAGAGAGCGTTGCAATAGATAAGAGATGTCACAAAATGACTCTTCAAGACGGATACTACGGCGTTAGGTGTGATGAATACAAATAGCATCTCTTCATCCGAGTGGAGTTGTAACGGTTATAGTCTAGTACCTAGAATAGGACCGTTTATGTTCATTCTTGGGTTTCAATGTCTGCCTAAAGTGGAAAATTTGGTCCGGCCATTAGCACCATGTGCCCACACATGTGATTGATATCAAAGTTTGGTATTCATTCCAAGATTTCGTCGCTGTCCGAGCTCCCCGAAAGCTCCACCTCGCGATTCAAAGCTGCCACTGTCGCGGCGCTACCTCGTATTGTGAGGGCATGCGTGACATGCATGCCATGACATTTTGATGAAGAAATGGTGTAGAATTCATTCATCCGGGCTAGGCGGGATGCGATTCTCTTGCATTTGTAAGTTTAATACCAGCTATCCTTTGCCTAAAACAAACATGGCCTTGAAACATTAATCAATAATTACACATACTTCATCATTCCTCATGTCTCCATTCGATAGCGTGACTCTTTTGGCTAGATTCTATCCTTAGCTCTGATGATTACCAGCCGTACTAAGGCTATTCAAGTGTGCAAGATGTCTTCGTATGGCCGAGGTTGAGGTAGTGTTACATTGCAGGTGGCACACGCGGGCCACAAAGTACGGAGTACATACACATACGAGGATGGCGCATACTGGGCATGGGGAAACCTGGCGCCTACAGAAGTGACCTCATCAGGCATTTTCTTTACGACGAATGGTATGTGTCGAGAGTAGAATAGCGACAAATTAACGGAACCTCGAAGAAGGTGTACTGTACTTGTATCTTACACCCAACCCTAGCACTACAACCTAGTAATATGCATGGATGGGCTGGATAGCCCACCGAAAGACTAAGCACACCTTGATACATTTTAATTTTGTACTCGTATGCAAATAGCGGCGACCTATACCTAGGGATCGAAAGATGAGGTATAATATAGAACCGTCCCTTTGCGGCGAGGAGTGGACTTGACACCTGTACGAGTATGCCGTCGGGTATTATTGCTTGCGCCATTGTCCTGGAATTCGGACCCCTGGTCTCTGCACTCCAGAAAATACTACCATAAGCTTAATGGACTCCGCATCAAGCCACAAAGACGTGAGCTCTGGCCGCGCCGCAGGCCAAGTCAAAGGGCCATTTGGTCAGCGGCCATCAGCCTTCAAATGCCGAATCCCATTCTGCTCTGCTCTGGTCATCCCGCATAAAGTCGACCAATAGTCCTGCAGGCGGCAAGCAAAATAAGCTTGGTATCGAATCTGATTCGCGGGGAAAATGGCAAAATTCAAAATGCCCGGTCACAATACCCCCTTGCCGCCCCATCAAGTTAATATACCGAGATGTCGCACTAGCTAATAGGTCCGACTCCAACCCCTAGCAGCGCATCAAGGCAGGATTGCTGTCTCTGGGGCAGAAACCCACAGAGGGACAGTCATTAATCAGGTTTCCTAGACGATTTCTCCAAATAACCGTTGAGAGTTGGCATCAAAGCGTACATACGTGAAGCTACGCGCGAGCCCGAAGCAGCAGAGCCCATTCCAAAGATAGGCGACCGATCATCCCCGTTCCGCATGCCATGCCGGGTGTGGGGTGTAAAGGAATAGTCGGCGATAATCCGCGAACACTGCAACCCAGGCCAGTAGGGCGATCATATCTGCCAAAGAGGCAAATGGATACGGGAATGCCGATCATCCCCGGCAATGTGCTTGGCAACTGAGATGAAAGGGCAGTGAGCCATGTGCCATGGCAGCAGGTAGAGTGTGTAAATGTCACTCGTGTCCAAGCCTGCTTTGATGCGTATATACATGGAACAAGCTGATAAAATCGAATGTTCTTTCCGCTCTGTCAGGCGAGGAGAAGGCATCTACGGGAACGGAATCGAGAATGGCCAAGTGCCCCCGACTACCTCGCACCTAGTATCGAATAAACTAAAGCTAAAGTGTACTACTGACAGTTCCTGACATGGATCAAGAGAAGCTTCAATGCCTGCTGGCAGACCATCGATCTAATTGGATGAAAGAAGCGTATACCCTAGCCAAGTACGGGGTATCCTATACGACTCTATTCACACAGCATCCGTATGCGGTTTCATCACCCTTGCGTTGACAACATGTTCAACTGATAAGCCATCCTACTCTGACCCAATCTAAAACCGACTTGTTTCCAATCAGTCCCTGCAACTGTCATTCTGGGACGCAGTGGTAAGCCATTGCCCGTGGGGGGGATGGTTGGTTGACGATGGAGATACGCCTCCCGGGATAAAGCTGTCAAGAAAGGCAAGCCACCTCCGCACACTCCGTCCTTTGTGCGCTTCCCAATGCATACCCCAGACTTTACAGAGACGCCACCCTCTTTGGCACTTTAACCCCCTGGTTCCTCCGCGATCAACGAGCGAGCCGCCTCCACAAAAAGCCCCCTAGCGAGGCAGACGAACGGCCATATCACGAATCAAGTCTACGCCAACCCACGCGGCAATGCTGGAGATCGGTTGCATCGCGGCCATCTTGGCCTGCAGTAACCTCGCGCCTTGACCCCGCTGTCGGTTTTGTTTCTCGGCCTTCTCGCTTTTGTTTCCATCTTTATCTAGTGGGCACTGCAGAGAGCAGCCAATGCCTCTCCTGCCCACACCAGCATTTCGGCCCATTGTTCGGCGGGCCACTCATCAGATGATGGTGCGGTGGGTGAAGAAGCCAAGCATCCTCCTTCATTTCAACTCCAGGGTTGCATTTTAGACTCTCTAGGCTCGGACCGATTCCGGATCTGCGTAGCAAATGTTGAACAGCTTGGCTGTCCCCGATGAAGCTGTCCAGGAACGGGGATAGCTTGACCGATTAGACGACAGGGAAGATTGGTCGCCAGCGGCGAGTAGACTTTCCCTCTTTGGATGTCCAATGAACTTGTTTTGAAACATGTCAGCGTGGGAAGCAAGGATGTCGAGTGTGTGAGCATGACAATTGAATGGATCGGAGATAGTATAGGGAACAAGGGGGCCAGGGTGGGGGAGGGCTTAAAGAATAGTATCGACTGATATATAAACCATCCCAAACCCCCAGCCTTGAAGTTGTTGTTCACCAGGTCATCAAGTCGTCTTCCAGCCCTCGACAGAACTCCTCTTCAAGTCACTCACGAGCAATCTTCCAACCATCACCATGACTCTTAAGCACTCCGCTCTCGTTGCCCTGGCTGCTGCCATGGGCGCCCAGGCTCAGGTCTTCACTGTCAACTGCTCTCCTTTGACTCAGTTCCGAGGTGACCCTATTGTGTCTCCTGGTGTTCTGTCTTCTCACGTCCACGCCGTCGTCGGTGGCACTGCTTTCTCCCTCAGCACCACCCCTGCTCAGGCACGAGCTGCCACAGCCACCACCTGTGACAAGATCCTCGACAACAGCAACTACTGGCAGCCCCAGCTTTACCACCAGCGACACGATGGCCAGTTTGAGCTTGTCACTTTCCAGGGCACTGTAAGTAGTTGAGCAATATTCAATTTCATCTTCTTGAGCTAACACGAGCGGAAGGCTGCCTACTACATCGCTCGTGCTTGCGACTATGTTGCTGGCCGACAGAACTGCAACGGAGCTCCTCTCCCCATTGCTCCTCCCGCTGGCCTCAAGATGCTTGTTGGTGACTTGAACCGACGGTATGTAAACCAAAGACTCGATTCGCCAGGCTTCCTGTTCTAACATCAGATCAGCACCTTCAACTCCTCCAGCTTCGAGGACCGTGCCATCCAGCACGTCTGCCTTGACACTCAGCCTGTGCCCGACACCAACGGCTTCCCTACCCGCCAGTGCCAGCGCATCCGCTCTGAGACCTTCTTCCAGTCCTGCTGGGACGGAGTCAACTTGGACAGTGCCAACCACAAGGACCACGTATGTCTCCTCATCATAGATGACTGCGCGATGCTTCTGCTAACAAGCTATATAGGTTGCCTTCCCTGCTATTGGTGACTACAACACTGGTGTGTGCCCGCAGTCGCACCCCAAGGCCATCCTCTCTGTCTTCTACGAGTTCTTCTACGACACTGGCTCAATCAAGGACTTCAACCGATTCGTCTACGCCACTGGTGATGCCACCGGCTACAGCCTGCACGCCGATTACTTCCAGGGCTGGAAGGACCAGAACGCTCTCAACAACGCCATCGCCACCTGCACTGGCCCCAACGGTGTCCTTGACCGTGGCTGCAGCTTGAACGTCGGACCCAACGGAACTCCTGGCACTTCTGCCCCCCAGAAGCTCCAGACTCCCGCTCCTACTGAGAACATTGGCCTCAACGGTCCTCTTGCCGCTCTCCCCGGCAACAACCCCATCCACTAAATTTCTCAACGAACGGATGACGACTGGAAGAAAACTCTCGGTGTATGAAATGAAATGGCAACGTGCAACGCCGGAACCGAGAACTCAGTCGCGCATTTGATGCAGACAGTGGCTAGAAACTGGGCTATCAACTTGGAGGAAAGACAGACTGAATGAATGATGACAAAATGGGAACTCGTACGAGGCTATGGCAATGGCTCTTTGTAACTACCTACATTGCCATTAGTTCTTTTCCGAGAGGTTGGATTTTTACCATGCACATAGTTAGCGTTTACTACATAGGCAATGACGAATGATGTATATATGCATGAATGTCCTGTGCACTTGAGTCGGATTTCCAATGGCTGAGTTGTGAGATTAGCCATTGCCCTCGTATATAAGATAAAGAAATGGAAGCCAATTTCGCAGACTATGCCTTTGGGTAATAACAGTCTTTTAACACTAACGCGAAGGAGACATGCGCTGTGAAACAGTTACGATAAAGGGGGTCACCTGTGCGAGTAATGCAAAGGGAGAAACGGGCCACAGTATACGAGTAGAAGAAGGGATAACATCGTTCAACGGAAGCACCTCCAAGCGGTGAACGGTGAGTGAATACGAATTGTAAAAAGGGGGTTACATCGCGCCCTTTTCTGTGCTGGTACATGTCCTTCATTTGTCTCCGTGCATATTTGCTCTGTCTTTTGCTTGATACACCACTCAGCCACCGATGAATACGAACTTTGCAAAGAGAGCAAGCAAAAAAGAAAAAGAAATAAGCCGTTCCTTTGCGCTCTGGACGAACGGGGAATCGAACCCCGGACCTTTCCCAATGTGAAGCTGAACCGCCGAATTAATTGGACTGGCCATGCTAAGGGAAAATTATACCACTAAACCATCCGCCCATTTGAGGCGCTCTGATCGGCTTGACCGTCGCCGAGGATATTCTCATGATGAAGAATGGCGAAGGAGATTGATTGTGAAGAGTCAGTGGCAATGAGGCTTGGCTGTGGACCGGAAGGGTTGAAAACCCCAGTAGGATAAGAATTTTGGCAATAAATTGTCATGTGAATCTTGGCCGCTGTAGTTCCTTGTAGGGTAACATCTTCCTTTGATTTCCAGCCTTCATGACGGCTCGAGGAGAATTCAGTGGGTGGTTGGTGAGACATGCAACAATAATCGGCTTCGCTAGTCTTGGAATTTGAACTCTTATTAGACTCCGTACTGTACAAAGATTATTCAGTTGACTTTAGGCTGTTGTGATTGTCACGCTTGTGGCTAATGTTCACCGTCCTTGCCGGATTAAAATCTGCGAGTACACAAGCTCTCTGTGCTCCGTTCTCTCCGTAATATACACTCGTATCCTGTCTGTACTCCTGTTATTCATCATGCCAGCTGACCTCGGGTTTCGTCCTCTTTAGGGCAACACGATCATGCGGGGGAGGCCGGCATTAAGGTGACCGGGGCCGTTTTGGCGTCGGCCGAGCCTACGTATCAATCCCAGCTAACACGGGCTTCTCTGTTAAGCACTTTACAAAACGAGAATAGCCGTATTGAATTCCTGGCACAAGTGTCTGAGCACAGAATACGGTCGGTAATCCGTATTACCGACATGACGAATACGTTTGCCGCACTGCGCCCACCGGCATTTTACTGTAGATTATCAGATAGCTGGGAGTCTGTTCTGCTCGCCTTTGAGCTGCTCATTGTCCGAGGAATGTATGCTGCGAGAAAAGACGCGTGAGTCGGCAGCTTGGCTTCTCGGTTGACGCGTCTCGTGCCGATCGGGCTGTAAGAAAGCATACTTATAACCTTGGTGGCCCGACTTTCCATTTCTTCCGACAGGGGTAGGTATGTCCATAAGGTTGCTTAACGACAACCGCCAACAGCACTGACATGTCTGGTCCATCGTTGGTTCGCGACCGCTAGAATTGCTACTACTACTTACTACTCAAGGGAGTTGTTGAGCAACATGAATCGCCAAGATCCAAGCCTCAACTGAATATGGAGTGGCATTTCGTAATAGCATTGATCTTCTGCGGAAGTAAGGGGTGGCGCTGCCAAATGCGGCAACCGTTTTCTGCTTGTTTGACCCTATTCCTGGAATACGAGCGGCGGCAGATGCATCCCGGCCGGGATCCAACCCCACAAGCTTAACGCACATCATGGGATGGCCAAAGGGCTTGGGCTGTGTAGACCACGGTTGAAGATCTGGCAACGTTGCAGTTCGGCATAGGCAATGCAAATGCCTGATTTGTAGTGTAAGACATTGGAGAGATATTACATCACTGAGTTGTGTAATATGTCTCTTGTCTACGTTATGTTGTGTCATGTACGGAGTACTGAGACCTGGGATCGGCCCATCGCCGCCGGAGATGTGGGATGACCCCCTGCATGCCATGCTCAATGACGATGGCCAACTGTGCTGCATTGCCACCGCAACATTGGCAGACAGCCTTACCGGCAGGCCTCCATTCACGACGATACGAGATGATGCAAGGGTACCAAGTCGTCGTTACAAGCCGTGACCGCTTCTAGTAAGCTGTTCGGGTGATCGCATCCGATGCAGAACTCTCCCGACATCCCTGGAACAGGGCAAAAGCCAGGTTTTCAGGTTCCAGAAGGTATTCAGACTGTACCAACACGAGAATGTCTTCTCCACTCGGGCTGGTTCCCTACCTAATTCTAAAGAATGGGACGATGGATGGCTGAAATAAGTATATAAGAGAGAGACCATACCCATTGTCCATCTTTCTGGTCCATCTTCCATCTCATCCACCTCGTCCATCTCATCCTTTGCTTCCAGCAGCTATCAAGACTTGACTTGAAACCAGTCCTCATACAGACACGTACAATCCGTCACCATGCAGATCACCAAGACTCTGGTCGCTACCCTCTTTGCCGCTTCTACCGCCTTTGCGGCTCCCACGCCCGCGGACAAGTCCATGATGGCCGCCGTTCCCGAGTGGACATTCACCAACTTGAAGCGAGTGTGCAACGCCGGCAACACCTCCTGCACCTGGACCTTTGGCGTTGACACCCATCTCGCCACCGCCACCTCATGCACATACACTGTCAAGGCCACTGCCAACGCTTCTCAGGCCAGCGGCGGCCCTGTTACTTGCGGCCCTTACACCATCACATCCAGCTGGAGCGGACAGTTTGGCCCTAACAACGGCTTTACCACCTTTGCTGTCACCGACTTCTCCAAGAAGCTCATCACCTGGCCTGCTTACACCGATGTCCAAGTTCAGGCCGGCAAGGTTGTTTCGCCCAACCAGAGCTACGCCCCGGCCAACCTGCCATAAATGAAATGAATTTGCTTGGAATTGCTATATGAATGGTCGATTCGCTCCGAATGGGACAACTGGTCATGATTGGAACGACATTGAAACAGGCGAGGGGGAATACGTACCACAAAATTTAATGTAATAGATTAACTATGATAATACACTATATTAATCAATGTGTCTCTGCTTTCGTCATTAAAAAATTTTCGACTATCTTCTGTCTGAAGTATAATATCCGCCCTTCTCTCAAAGTCTCCATTAGGGTCTGTCGTGGAGTCCTTATCAGTACTTGGTACTCTTACAGATGAATATGAGGGAATACAATCAACTACCTAGTATGTATATTAAACCTAATTCTTGCACGCCGTTTTTTGATCAAGTTAACCACGGCTCATCTTATCAGCCCAACTGTGTTCATCGGATGATAAGACTCGGATTTCTATGTAAAAGCCTTAGATTATACGGCGCCACGTGCAAGTATCAAATACAAAGATTTTTCGATAAATATAACACAATAGGTACCATCTACCACAGTAAACTTTAAAACAGCCTCAACAATCTTACACTTTGGAAAGAAGAGTATAATAGAATATCATATAAAACCCCATAGCTATTTGCTTACAGTTCCTACAATCGTAATCTCCCATCTACGAACCCTTCATTCGCTTCTCTTTACAAACGACTCACTTTGTTACGATATTTGGAAATTGGACGTTGACAAAATGAGATCCATTGTATTCTTTCCGATTCGTAGGGTGCCTGATGGTAACCTGGCACTAGATAGGCAGAGCAGTGGCCGCACATTGCGTCGCGATTCCATCGACGACAACGCCGTCCTTCGCCGTCCTGTCCACCACCCCTTGCACATTTTTATGCCTCGCGGCTTACATTCAGGAATGAATGACCAGCAGCATCAAGTCCGTGCTACACAGAATGAGGACGAGAATTCGGGAAAAATGTCCCATATACATCCACATCGACCTATGCTTATGGCAACAGTGGTTATCTCTTTCGTTTCCGCGGGTATAATCTGGGTATGCTCTAAATCTCGCGACTGATAATTTGATACGGACAAGGATGAGGCTAGGCTTGGATACATATTGCTTCATGCATTGATTCTTTTGACATGTATGCTTTAATTATTCAATGAGAAGGAGGATTTGATTACGACTTAATACAACCCACTTCACAATACATGTCCGCGACGTGATTTGACTCAATTTCTTATATCTCTACCGTAACTCCCATCACTGAACATTTAGACTATAGGGGAAAATGTAAATGTGGTGATGTGTTCACGTAGTTTCGAGAATTGGAAGTCTTTTAGGCGATCTCTAATTGGGTTGGTTGATGTCAGTATGGATGAAATCAAATGTCCAAATCTGTACACCGACGTCCACTTTCTAACTTTCTAATGGTGTCGTCGCCTTTTGCCAGTTCACAAAAGCGGATACGCGGCATGCACTTTTCATTTCCCTTTGTTGAACATGGCCGATGTCTTTTTATTCTTGGCCATCGTCATAAATGGCCATTGGACGAACGGCCATCCAATTTCAGGAACGTGAAGCCCATTTTGGCCCCCAATTTGATGCACCTCAACTCGCCCCTTTGCATCCAATTGGCCAAGGCATTTGATGCTGTTTCCTCTACTGTGGATAATGCGCGCTATGCCATGTCGAGAATGCAGTGCGCAGCAACATGGGTGCATAGAATAAGGATGGGGAGATGATGACCCGATCGGCTGAAACTTCCGAACAAGCACGGTTTGGAGTAATATGGCTCAGATACTGTATATACTATCTGCGTAACGAGATGTAAAGTAATTCTTGTAGTAATTCGATGGCATTCTTTGTCAGGACCATGGTTCTGAATTGTCAATGTTTCAGATTAGGCGATGCGGTGTTTCAATGCTTCAAACTATTAGTCAATGTCTCTGATTTCTAGATGCCTTGTGTGATCGATGCTAATGCGGCCGTCAAGTTGGCGCCTTTTCAACCGGTTTTCTCCAGCATATCACCTACCGAACTCGACCAAGGGCCTTGATGCAAGGACCCATTCGTAGCCAGGGATCATGTTCAGCTCTCAGCTACCTGCCGATCATGAGTGGTTGTGCCGCACTCCATGGCGGGGGGCCGATACCGAGAGCTCCAGGAAATACCACGGGCATCAAAGGAACCGTCTCATGCGTCGAATGAGCTGGTTAGGGACGTCGGGAACACATCCTGATTCTCCATCCATGCATACATTACCTTGCGCAATAGACTATGACATCCAGTTCCGCCTATTTATAGGGACATTTAATATGTAGTGATAAGATCCTTTGGCTTGTTGTATGTCGAGATCGTCGCAGGAGGGGTAACATTCGCGTCTCCGGCTCGGAAGCTTCTGAGTATATAAACCCATTCATGTATCCTGAGGTCCACCCGTCTCCTGTACAGCAGTTCTTTCTAGCTTCTATATAACAGTTTTGCATTGAAAAAGAAAGTCCTAAACGCTATTACGATGAAGTCCCTTGCGTCCATTGCCATCGGGGCAGCGGCTCTTGCCTCTGTTGCCAGTGCATCCGTAAAAGGATTCGACATTTCTCATTATCAACCCAATGTCGACTTTGCCAAGGCCTATTCGGATGGTGCACGCTTTGTCATTATCAAGGTTGGTACTGAAACTTTGTCTCCGTTGAAGCTCTAGAAAGCTAATACTTCTCCTCTTAAGGCTACTGAGGGGACCACTTATACCGATCCCAGTTTTAGTGATCATTATACCAAGGCCACCAGTGCCGGCTTCATCCGTGGTGGCTACCACTTTGCGCAACCTGCGTCTTCCTCCGGCGCTGCCCAAGCCAATTATTTCATCGCACATGGAGGAGGTTGGTCATCTGATGGCATCACTCTGCCTGGAATGCTGGATCTCGAGTATGCTCCCAGCGGGGACAGCTGCTACGGGTTGAGCGCCAGTGCCATGGTCAGCTGGATTAATGACTTTATCAACACTTATCACGCCGCTACTTCCCAGTATCCTCTCATCTACACTTCTACAAGCTGGTGGCAACTGTGTACAGGAAACAATGGCTCCTTCGGCAGCAAATCTCCTCTTGTGGTTGCGCGATATGCCAGCTCCGTAGGCACGCTGCCGAATGGCTGGAGCTATTATACTATTTGGCAAAACAATGACGCGGCTCCCTGGGGCGGTGATTCTGATGTTTTCAATGGAGATTTAGCGCAGCTTCAGAAGATTGCCCGTGGAAGCTAGATACATATTCAACATTATATAACAGATACAATGGGCAAGGCAGTGTTAAAAGAGAGAGACAGATAGCTTTGAGTGGCCATTATCTGGGTTTACATAGCCGCAAAGTAAGGCTGTGAAGAGTTGACTATCAATGGTTCTTATGTATCCTGAATGCAAATAGTGGAATGTTATTTTGAATCTAGAAGCCTTGTAGAACGGTGCTTATGCTAAGAATCATGGATTGAAACGGGCTACTTTCTTGTGAGCCCCACGATAACTCAGAGCTATGGTTTTAATGGATGAACAATTTGGATTCATATAGTATTGCGCGTCTCAATTATAAAACAAATTAAAACGAGTGGAAACAAACAAGGGTAGTCGTTTTAGGTAAAGTTTTAGGAAACGGATCTATGGCAACCCCAAATCAACATGACACAGCAAAATGCACGCTGTTACAAATTGATTTCTTTCATGGACAAGTCGTAAAGCCTTGCCGCAGCCTTTTCGTCGTAGCACCACTCGGCATGTCCTGGATCAATCATCTTCCACCCCTTCTTCAGCGGCTCACTGAATCGGTTCCTCTCACAATATTTCCCTCCTTGACCTTCCAGATCTCTGCTCAAGGCCGCCCATACAGACGTTGAAGCGCCCTGTTCAGCATTCATCATGGTGTTGAGCGTTGCCTTGGGACCGGATTTGATGACAACAAGCCAGTCCTTGATGTCAAACGTACTTGGTGCCTGCAACCCCGTTCGAATACCACCGGGGTGAACACTCCACGCATGAAGTCCTTGCGCGCCATATCGCCTCTCGATTTCGCTGGCAGTGTAAACATTGGCCAGTTTGCTTTGGCCGTAAGCAACTGAGGGCTCGTATTTTCGCTTTTCCCAATTCAGATCCGAGAAGTCCATGGGAGCGTTTCTGTGGGCCGTGGATGAAACAATAATGGCACGAGAGCAAAACTCTGGTGTCGATGATGCTAGAAGCATAGGTCTGAGAAGCTCCAAGAGGAGGAAGTGAGACAGGTGGTTTGTTCCCCAGTGCTTTTCGAAGCCATCACGCGTCCGGCCGAACGGCACGTGTCGAATACCGGCATTTTCAATAATGATATTGAGAGAGCTGTTCATCGACTTGAATTCGTTGACATAAGATCGAATGTTGTCAAAAGATTCAAGATCTAGCTTGAGAAGGTGAATCCGATCGCCATTGAGAATATCTCCAAGCGCTGCGTTTGCCTTTTCCAAGTTGCGAGCGGTGACGAAAACAGTTGCTCCAGTGGCCTTCATTGCTCTCGCCGTCTCGACTCCCAATCCTGAAGAGCATCCCGTGATGAAAACCACCTTGTCAGTCATATTTCCCCCTCTCTGCTCGTCCTTGACAATCTGCAGGGCAGTGGGTCGTTCGTCGCCGGAACCATGCTGATTGGCATGGGCTTTTGCGTAACGGCTCGTTGCTACGGTGGTCATTGTGTTTATAAAAGAGAAGTAGAATGTGTGTGGACGAGAAGTGGTCAATACAATATTGTTGATACTGTTGCTGTTGTATGAGTTTGTGCTCCTGATAGACTGGGCAATGTCTTGAGTTGTTGTCTTTGACCTGTTGACCTACTCCTTAGTTGTCGGTTGCGAACCAACGAGGGTTTAAATATTTCGAAGGTGCTCTTCATCATGACAACATTCCCATAAAGCTGACTGAGCTTTACTCACTTAGGCGCGAATGGATGACAATTTGTAGAACAGTTGAAGATAAATCCTCTATGGACCGAAACGTCCTTTTTGGCAATACGGCTGTCGTAATCCCAAACGGGGAGGTTTTGCTGACAATAAAAGACAAATTAACTACAAGCGTTCGCACTAGAATCCTCTGTTCTGGCTTTGCCGCCACTGCTGCGCGGAAATAAAGACTGGAGAAGATTATCTCCCTATTTCAAGGCTTGTTTATGCATTGTCGAACAAAAAATCCCGAAGTCCACTTTTAGGGCGGTTGTTGAACATTGGCTGCCAAAGAGTCCGATGAGGCTACTCACTGTCAGCATCATTGTCAGAGAGACAAGGTAAAATAGCGGGACTCGAATGAAAGTAATGAAAATATTCGTCCGTATCTAAGTGCAGAGAGAGTGGAGGCAAAGGGAATGCAAAGGAAAATTGAAAAAAAAAAAAAGTGAGAAAAAGAGAGCGCACAATTATCATTGATAGCTGAGAATAGGACAAAAATGAAAAAAAAATTGCGCATCAAGAGCTTTTGCTCCCGGCAGGGCTTGAACCTGCGACCTTCGCATTACCAAGTCTAGAGCGAATCCAGTATTAGTACGAAGCTCTAACCAACTGAGCTACGGAAGCGCATTGGAACTGAACTGTAAGATCCAGATCGGTGGCGTGAGCCGGTGATGAATGACGGCTCGTAATGATAACTTAAGAGGAGTGATGAGTATGATGATCATCTGCTAAGCTGCAGTGGTGTTTAAATGAAAGAAATCAATTTGCAGTTACTGATGGCCATTCAACCATGTCTACGCTTCTCATTGAAGAAATTGGAAAATTTCTGCCGGGTTTCTGTTTTCCGTTTCAGAGTGATGGCATATTAGGTGGACCACAAAGTACCCGTAAGCATTGTCTTCAACAAACGGGTCAATGGGTATGCTTCCCATTTGGTACAAACCTCGCTCCTTGATCAGCATTTTTCTCAGTTGGCGAAGACTTTTAAGGTATCTCACAAAGGCATTAATTCTTCGTTATATGATAGATACAATTTTAGGTATGATTAGCAAATACTGTAGTGATGCCCTCGGGCTGTAACTTAATAATTGTAAGATGGATATCTATAATGAACAAGCTGAGACGTTGTACCCCATCTATTGCCCATCAGGTATATATAATTGCGCCAAGAATTAATACAATCATCACCTCCTATTCCATAACGCCAGTTCCTTTCTTCTTCGACACATGTTACCTCTTCATGACACTAGTCAGACTGATGTGTCTTCTATCTAAGCCGAGCCTGTGACTGTAGCAATCTGCCTATACCGTCGCTGCTTCTTCTCCCGGCCTCGGATGACAAAGAAGATGGCAAGACACATAATCTCGATGGCTGCTGCAATAATGAGAGCAGCGAAGCTATAGTTCTGGGAGGGTGATTAACGGAATGAACTGCGAGTCAGGGGAGCAACGTGTTTCTTAACATACCAATTCGACACACAGCGGCTCGAAGCTCACTTTGGAGGCGTTCCAAGTCTCGTGGCTGCATGACCATGACCAGATGTCCCAGTGCTTCTTCCCTCTGGCATTGTCAACCTTGTAATAGACAACGGCGGCGATCCATGCCACGATTGAGAATATGGACGTCAGTGCAACAGCCCAGGGGTAGAGTTTGTTCTGCCGTAAGGTACGAAGCTGCAATTAAAACATTAGAACCGAACAAGACAGAGAGCACAGAATCCAACTCACGCCACCACAGAGCGTTAATAAGGACGAGATGTGAATGACACTTGCGATTACACCCGCGCCAATGTTTACCCAAGTCGGCCACAGGTCCATCTGAGCAGCCCAAGCGCGCATGCGAAATCCTGTCTGGGAATTTTGAACCGTCTCATTCTTCGACTGGTCCCAAACCCGAGCAACATGAGCTTGCACGCCAATGACTGAAACAGCGAAAGCCAAGGCTAAAAGGCGCAGAACAACTCGAACAGATCCCAAAATCCGCTTGCTGCGGCCCTCCTTCTGCTTGGCGTTACGCGTGGAAATGCGCTGTTGATTGAGCTTTTCAGCATGAACAGCGTCGTGGTCTGAGCTGAGCGGCCGACTGTACGGCTCGTACGCCGTGGATGGATTTAATGGATTGGAAGGCATTGTTAGTGAGAAGAGGGTTTGCACTCTCTGGATTGTGGTGCTAAGAGATGGAACAAAAGAACATGAAGTTGAGCTGTGTGTCACTTGGAAATAGACCAGAAGAGTTGCCAGATGCTTTGATCAAATACTCCCAAATCCATTTAGTGGCTATGCAAAACACTTGTGAACTCTCACAAGTCTAAGCTTAACACGGAGCCTGTTTTGCTGCATTTTAATGGGTCATGTTGTATGGATTATATTTAGCATCTATAGTAAGCGCGTATTCATGACCAAGCGTGCTTTAATTATTCTCATGATTCGACATCAGTATACTGTACGGAGTACCATTAGGGTAGTTTCCACGAAGCTAGCATTAACTACTCTGCTTATATCGTCAACTTCATAAGCAGTTATTATTTTTAGCGGCTGACGTATCCTTTTAGTGTCAACTGGGTGTAACAGGCGTTATTGGTGGGAAGACCGCCATCAAGTCAATTAAACTCTTTACAACGGTTTCAGGCTTTCACAAAAGCATGCTGTTTTGCTCAAGACTATAAATAATCCAAGCTTATAATTAAGTATTACCGGTGACTACGTATCCGTGAACATTCTCGGGGCGGGCGTTACACTCCCGGAGGCTGTGCGTTGTGGCGCATGATTCCACATCTCAGGTTGGTGGAGTTGCATCCAAAAGACATTATCGTGTATCACTAGGATTGTGCTTACACTTTTAGTTAAGATTGGCTAAATTAGCTTGAACCATTCGATATGGCTTGAAATACTTTTACATTCGTCAGCATTGTTTAGTGAACCTGTTAGCAACTTTGCAGGAACCAACTTGGGCAACCAACTCCCTTATACCCATATTAGTTACTACTTAATCGCCTCCTTCCAAGACCCTTATCCTCTCAATCTTCTCAATCTTTTGGGATTAACTTACTTGGAAGCATAAAAGCACCTAACTTTATTATACTCTGCTGCAACGATGCTGCTTAGAGCCTCATGTTTTCTCGCCGCCGCCACGGGTGTGGCCGCTGAACTATGTATCATTGGCCCAACACCAGTGACGGCCTGCGGGGCCGGAGATATCAACAAGGCGAATTGGGACCAGTTTGGCATCGACAATTTCGTGTTTGCCATGATCCGAACTTTCGGAACCTCAGACAACTTCCCAAAGTTCATCCTCTCGCAGTTAGCGCCCACGGGTCAAGAGAGTGTAAACGCCAACTTTGACTGCTCAAATATTGAGGACCCGAGCAATTGCAAAATTAACGGCTTACAAAACCCAGATGGTGGAAACTGCATCTTCAACGGCTTGGGAGGCACATTATGCTTGGACTTTACCTCGCCCGAGGCTGGCTTCCTTGCAGCCAACTGGATCAACCAGTACGATGGCCTGCGTGCGCACTTCCTTGCGGTCCGAGAGGCCGCCGACAATCTGAAGAATGAAAACTTCATCAGCAACATGGTCGACAAGCTGGCGCCGCAAAAGCAACCCATTGGGCCAGCTGTCTTTGGACTCATTGCCGACTTGATCGTCGATATTCTTCCCGTTGGCGGTGAGATTAAGGCCGCCAGCACGTTTATAAAGAAATTCAAGATCATACGGAAAGCCACGAAGAAGGACATCAAAGATGATGGCAAAGACATCATCAGCGTCTTGGAGTCAAATGCCGACATTGACAAGCAGGCCGCAGCAACCAAGGACACCCTGACAGCGCAATTGGAGGCCATTGTCACTGGCACACAACAGCGTATGAGGGATCTTGTCGAGCAGGTGTTCGGACCAAACCAGGACCCTACCACTGTCGACGACGACCAGATTGTCAACACTGTTGCCTTCATAAATACCTACCACGGCGGGTTTCTGGACGACGTCCCTGCACAATCTGATCTTGTTCCTCAGATGGAGAAGCAGATGAAGACATGGATAGCTTCTCAAATCATCAGCATCCTTGGATATGCCTTGTTCATTGATAGCACTCCGCTAGCAGATCCCCCTGGCCAGCCTGGCGTTGTTTGCAATGCAGAAGGTGGTATCCCACTTAGTGGAGGCTGCGGTCTGTTCCGTATCGGCGCCGTCGTAGGTTCCGGAAACGTCATCGATGGCGCGCAAAAAGCCAACGATATATTTGCTCTGAATGACCTCGGAATTAACATGAACGACGTCGTCAACAACGCGAGAGGTTGCCCTCAAGGCAACACTGTCGACTTTGAGGGCTTCTTGGAGATGGATGATTCGAACCCGTTGCCTAACTGCATGTTCAACTTCCCGGTTCAAGACGTTAAACTGTAATATAAGGAACGGAGTCGGGTCTTTGTTGGAGAATGATGAGGAAGGACGTTTTCTTTGTTTCTTTTCCATATTTTTGGTAGAATACCCGGAGTCAGGCCTGGGCAGGCTTTTGTTAATTTAGACCTTCATTGTAATTTTAGTTTGGGAAATATATATCAAGACAAAATACTGAGTGAGAATATTCCTGCGCTATGAACGTATTCTTTGTTGGAGGGAATATTAGATACAACATCTACTCATTTATAGGGGATGCACTTGTAGCCCACTACCAGTACAGTCTCTCCCGACGTCTGTTACCGAAATTGTTAATGCGACGCGTTTTAATTAACTACGTGGTTGGTTGGCCTGAAAGTACTCATAATCTCAATGTAGTGCGATGGAATCCGTAAATCCGTCCACCCACTTGAAGGGACGCTTGTCAGAGTGAGTAGCATCGTTGTCAGCAGAGCTAGCCTGAAGAAACTGGCCGAGACGCAATCATAACACTACAAACGCGCGAAGCAAAGTCGGGAAAACGAAGAAGAAAATTCGCCAACAGCCCTTGAGGAGTTTTGAAAGTGATGACTACACAGTTGTTGGCATGGCTCTAAATCTTTCGGGTTCGTTGTCGAATCTACTCCTTTTCTATTGCTAATATTTACCAGAACTGACCTTTGGCTAATGGCTTTGTGAGTTGTCGACTGTTACAGTTCTCCGCAGTGCCCGATTTTGCTCGTAATGGGAAAATGTCTCAAGCCAACGAATCGAGCCTATCCGTAAAAGTGCTAAGCTGGTCTTTTAAAAGGGAGCGACTCCTAATCTAGATGTTCAGCTGCTATCTGACAGATGCAGCACTTGTAATTGTCCAATCAAGATCATAGATGATCACGTCTGCACATCATTCTGCCACGTAACAAACGAGGGGTAGCTTTGCATAGGTAGGTGGAGATGACCAGATGCGCTGTGAGACACCATAGCCCGGCATTCATACATATGTTGAACCTTGAGTTCAATGATGTATAAAGATGGTATTGGCCTCGCTGTATTTTCTCGTATCTGCTTACCACTAGACTTGCATCTACGCAGTAGTAAAACAACACTACAAGAAGCATCCAAATATTTCGATTCAAAATGTGTACGTCCATTCTTAACCCGCTGACCAGCGTAATCTGGTGGTTTGAAATCACTATTCAAAGCTGATACGAACTGCTTCATTGTACACAGCGATATTCCTACACAACGCCACTGGTGGTACACTTTACATGTACCCAGCTCCAAACGATCTGATCGATCCGCCATCACAAATTAATTCAGGAGACACCGCTGAGATCCGTTACCACCCTGGGAAAAAAGCCTCTTGTAGTTATGGAGACAAAGAGGGAAGCGAGATTTTTGTCGGAGTGGGCTCAGAAGATGGTAATACAGTGCATAACATAGATGGATATGGGGTTGAAGAGGAGCCTAACAGATACGATCAAGAGACTTACAAAATCACAAGACTATAAAAACAGCCACATCTATAACCACAGAAAGAATTATGCAATAGCAGTATCAAGAAATATGTTATCATCTGTCAAATATAACATGTCTATGACCAGTGTATTAATCTTAAAAGGCCAAAATTTGGACATGGTTGACGAATCACCTGTAAGCCGAAGTGAAAATGGAATATACAATAGGAGAGGAGAGTTGAGAAGGCGACTATAGGCTCTGGTAAATGCCAGCAGTTATGGTTCAGGATGGATCAAAGTTAGTTTAGTATTTCAGAGATTGAACTCAGAGGCTGCACACTTCCAAGAACCGGTATTAGTTGAATGTTCAAGCCTTTCAGGAGATCTGCCGAAACCTCATTGATGCTTTGGAAGTTATTTTGTGAAACACGTGAATCCATCATCAATGTGAAAATATACGGTTGGATTATATCTCAATTGCTTCCGATGGACCATCAAATGTATAAGTGACTACCTAGGTAATTTATGTAATACGAGAGTAGCAAATCTAGAGAATCCTATATCCTTACTTCTTTCTTGGAACCGTCTTATGTTAGATAAATCTGGGATACACAACCGCCACGCAATACCGGGGAATTTCCATTTCATTGTCTTTGCGTTAGCTAGTCGCATGCCATAGACTATTTATTATAATACTACCTTCACTGCTCCTAACCTTTCATTTACTTCCCAAATCCTTTATGCTATTAGTCACCTGCAGTGAAGATAGCGGTTTTCTGAATGTGGGCAATCGTTCGTCAACGTCATACCAAACGGTCACCTCAAGCTTTAGTAGCCCCTGCAAGTGTTTTACACCTATTCGCCATACCTTTGATGCATGCAGGTTAGTAATGGAGATCAATGTTCGATAAGCTCGGGAGACCAGCACGGCCTCATCTTCACAGCCTCCCCAAAAAGGATCTGTGTAGCCTAGGCTGCAACGCCACAACAAAATCCTGTGGTGATACAAGGCGGTTTGCAGTCCTTTGGTAGGCTATATAAAGCGGGATACCCCTCTTTGTCTCATGTATTCTTTTCTCATCAACTGTGTTTAGTTAATCTCCGAATCTAAACTGAGTCATGTTCTGAGAAACAAAAAGAGCATATAATGCGATCACAAGCCAGAGCCGCCGACTTGGACGATAGAAGCACAAGCCAGCCTTTGATGTCGGACACGCCAGATGTTGCCGAAGCAACGCCAATTCCCCAAGGCACGAGACCCGGTAACGAAGCCAGTGCAGCAAATGAAGTCTGCAATGATGAGTCCAGTGCCGAATCCGCCACCGATGTGAAGGAGACGATTCATCTCAGGCTAGTTTCCACCTGGTGGATCGAAATTATTACTATGAGCATCAGCTTCGGCTGCATAGCTGCGCTTGTCTGCATCCTCGTGCGATTTCAGAACAGGCTATTGGCAGAGTGGTCCTTTTTTATCAGCATCAATGCCACCGTTGCCATTGCAATAACAGCCGCAAGAGTAACACTTCTCGCTGCCATTTCGGTCTGTCTCAGTCAAGAGAAATGGACACATTTTACCAAGAGGACCCATCGCCTCAAGGATTTTGCTATTATTGACACAGCAAGCCGCGGGCCTCTTGGCTCCTTACAAATGCTATATAAAGTTTCATGGGGATTTGCTAGCATTAGTGCGATGGTTGTTATTTTATCCCTCCTCACAGATACATTTGTGCAACAAGTAGTCCAACTCGAACCTGGAACGATATCTACCTACCAGGAGGGCTCGGCAACTTTCGGGTATGCGCATGGTTACAAAAGCTACAAAAGCTATAAATATGAATCACTTGGAAGTAAGTTTCGAACTGATAATGTACCACGTGTACATTAGTCTACGCTATATCTAATGCGATTTCCCATAGTGGACATCAATAATGATATAAACAGCGCGGTCCTCGGCGGCTTACAGCCGAATAGCAGGAGCTTCGCGTTTAATTGCAATTCCAACTGTACCTGGGACAGCTACTATATAACCCTGGGCTTTAGTAGTACCTGTACGGATGCCACCAAGGAGACCTTGAAGACTCTCAAATGTAGTGAAGGTCCACAAACTCATTCAATTACAGGAGAGCAGGGTCTACCTTGTACAATGAGTACACCCAACGATGTCCAATTCACATTAGCGGCAAGGGCAATATCCAAGTCGTATATGAATATTAACTCTAGCGAATTGGCCATAATCGATGATCTTAATGGTTCACAAGCTTTTCATGCTGCTGTCTGGACCTGGGAACCTGGAGATGATTATTCTGTGGATATAGAGATACCTGATCTCAAAACCCTCTTGCAGAACAGTTCGGTGATCATTGAGTGCGCACTCGGAGTCTCCTTGTACAACTACTCAGATATCTCGTCAATCTCAAATAACTTCACCATTGGCACCACCAAACTGATCCCCCTCGGCGTAACCACTGGGCTTACTACTTCCGATATGCTAGGTGATACGCACCATCCTCATCAGGAGACGTCTTTGTGGTGGAACCATACCGAGGGAGATATGCCAAATAACTATATTTCTGCGATTGATCTTCGCTACGCCTCCAGCTTCTTCCAGTCGTCTGCCTTCTCCGGCACTATTGGCGATGGTACCCCTGCTGATCGTACTTTTTCTCCAGGAGCCACGACCTTTTTTGGCAATGGAACTCTGGAAGTCGTATCAGGCATATTCGACAGTATCTCGCAAAGTCTCACTGACATGATACGGCAAGGCAGCGCAATGCAAATTGCACAGGGTACAACGAGCCAAGCTGTCGTATATATCCGCGTGCGTTGGGTATGGCTCATTTTGCCCTTCGTCGTCCAGTTGATGGGTGGAATTGCGCTCTTCGTGACCGTTGTTGGGACGAAGCGAACAAGTGACGCGCTCCTATGGAAGGGTTCAACCTTGGCAGTGCTTTATCATTCGGTTGATAAAGATGGGGTTATAGGATCTCATCTTCGGAATGTAGAGGATTTGGAGAAGGTCGAGGAGACGCAAGTCATGTTGGAGAAGAAAGATGGCGTGTCTGATTCGTAAGGTGATGTAGATGGCCATATTATGAACTCGTGAGTCAAGTCTCAGTAAAGTGGGGGAATAACATCAAATCTTTACCGTTTAGATTATAAGGCAGTAAGGGATTTACTGCCACGAGTTCGAGTTAAGCGATGGAAGAGATTACAGACGTACGTCTTGAAACGTCAATAAACGTATGTCATATTGAGAGTGAAGTTTACATATATCTAGATTACTTGACCTATCACTTGCTGGATATTCTTAATGTTATTATTCCTCCAAAAAGCAACTCCAACAAATCCAATAGCCCAGACCGCCGTGCCAGACACCAGCATCATTAATTGCGCGTCCCCGTACGCGCGCTGGATAGCAATCCTGGTCGGCGTACCGACCGGATAGCTCAACTGTACTTCCAGCATGCTATATATACTTATGAGATTGGATTGCTCGTCAGGTGGGAGGTATTCGGCCAGTTTGATGGGGAAAACAGCTTGCCAAACGGCACCTGCAATTGTAAGACCAATAGCGCCGCCAATAGAAGAGAACATGGACAAGATAGCCATGACAACTGCAATGTATTGGTGTGATGCGGCAGTCATCGCGGCCATCTGCGATGTAATAATCATTACTCCCGCCGCTACGGAGATGAATATTTGGCACATAATGATATAACCAACATGCATGTCTGGCTTTCGGAAATAAATCATAAGGCCCATGAAGAGAGTGTATACAGGTATGGCGCCGTATAGAGTAATTGCTTTAAATCGACCGGTATATCGAATAGCCACACCTGCGGCAATTGCAAATAGGCTGCTGCCCAAGCCATAGATTTGGACGACATAGCTCGCTTCGGTTACAGTCAGGTCGTTGACAACTTGAAGAAAAGAGCTGAAGAAACTGTTCCAGCAAAAGAAACTGATAAAGAGAACCATGCCGAGCATACACGCGCCAATCATGTTCCGGTCAAGGAGCAGCGAGTAAGGGATAAAAGTAACAGGCGCGAAGAATCTCTCCCAAAACGCGAATGCGACGGTGAGAAGAAACCCAAAAACCAGCAAACAGATAACAAGCGGTGATCGCCACCCCAAGGGCTGCAGCGCATATAAATTGAACGGTAAAAGGAAGAGGGCCAGGCCAGCTGTTAATAAAAGGAGGCCAATAGCGTCAAACTCGCGGCAGTAATAGAGGAACTGTTGCAGAGTTGACTTTGCTTCCGTCCTTGTACTGGTGATGATGCCCTGTTTTTTTGCCTTGAAGTAGTTGAACATCAACATGCAAAATAAAGGAAGACACAAAACTGGCACAATAATAGAGAATGCGCCAAAGCACCAGCGCCAACCAGGACCATCGAGGAAAGCCGTTGAGATCGGACCGCCTAGCCAGGTAGTGATAATATTTGGTGACGAGGTCAAGGCTGTCATAAGACCACGGTTGTGCAACCTTGTCGTATCAGCAACAAAGATGTTCACTGTGTAGAGTAGCGCATTGTTGCCAACAGTCCAGAATACCTGAGCTGCAGCGTACATCTCCACATTCGTCGTCGCTGCCATCATAATGAGTCCGATGGTCGTAATGACAAGGGACATAGCATAGCCTTGCGGCCGCCCGAAGATGTCGAGTATCTTTGCCACAGTTAGGTTGCACACCCCTCCGATAACGCTGGCCAAGATACCGACTGTAGGGGTAAGAGAATGCTGTTGAAAAGCTGAGGTAACGAAGGGATTGAGGGCTGCTTCGGTGCCTTGTTGCATCAATACAACAAAATAAACGATCCATATCAATATGTAGATGATGATAAGAGAAGTTTTCGACCAAACTATGGCAATAGCCTCGACCCCCCGAACGCCAGCCTGAGCATCTTGGTGCACAGCCACCTCTGCATCGTGCGGGGATTTGGTCTCAACATCTTGAATTATTGCAGGTTGCTTTTCGTTGGCGCCTCCTTTAGTATCGGAACACGAGGTTGGGTGTTGCATTTCACTCATATCTTGCATAAGGAATGGACAAGAATGAGCAGTGAAAATAGAAAAAGAGAGAAGGAAGAGGGAAGAACAATAAGCATTGAGTTATCAGATCGTTTTCTAACCCTTGTTATAGGAGAAGGTATACAAGACGGAAAAAGTCATAAACCAATGACTATAATATTAGTTTCTATGTGTTAATATTCAACCAATTAATAGGCACTTCTATCATTTTCTATCTGGAGTTAGTAATTACGCTCTGTGTAACTCCGTATCTCTACATTTAACTTCTCCATTCGTATTACGTGCTTCCTTATTATCTTTTGCATACTGTAATCCAATCCCTGTATACAGCTTCACCAATGATAATTAGCTCAATCTACCTCGCGTGCTCCCTATCTCTACTAATTGTCGTCAAATGATACATCGTATGCAATTTGTATTCTCTCCTCACGTGTTTTCCAACCCTTGTATTATGGTTCGCCAGTAAAACTAGCTCAATTTAACTCGCTCATTGCGCTTGGTATGCAGGACAATCAAGGCATCAAATTTTAGCGTTCTTCGTCCTCCTCGTTTCATTAAAAATCTGCTGTAGGCGAATGATACCAAACATAGTGGAGGTGTAATGACAACGAAACCGTCTTGATAAACGATCACTTTGTATAGATGTGTATTGGCCGCAGAGCTTCAAAGTAGAACTTTTCATTTGCATAATGAAAATTGAAAGAGTTAATGAAAATTGACAGAGTTAGTGAGTTTTGATAACTACCGGGCATGTTGGCATAACTACCTAAGCATAAGCATAAGTGCTAGCCAGTTTCGAATTATGATGATTATAGTGCTTTTTTGCCATCTAGAGAGTCTGCTCTAGCAGAGCAAGATTCGTTCCATCCAAGTTCTTTTCGCAGAGACTGCAGCGTGAATAAGTGGCACATTGGGGTTATCTATTCCGTCAAACAAATGGAAAGCCCCTGGCCAGATGTGCAATTCACAAGTTGAACCACAGCGCCACATATTGGTGGCAAAGGACACGGCAGGATCGCGAAATACTTCGCACTCTGCGGCGTCGATGTAAGTGCATGGGAGGTTTGACAAGTCTTCTGCTCGAGACGGCGACTGATACTGCGATACTTTGTTGCTACCCCTGTCTTCCCCAATAACATAGTCCCATGCCATGCGATTTGTGATACCGCACCAAGGACTACCATATTCAAATTGTTGGTCCGAGATACTGTCACAACGATCATCCAGCATGGGAGATAGAAGCATCTGGCCTTTCATGGGAATCGCGGGAAGCTTTCTATCCCTAGCCATCAGGCATATGGCGGCTGCTAGGGCTGCTCCGCCGGAAACACCCCAGGTAACAATCTTAGCCGGGTCAATACCAATGGCGATCGCGTTCTCAGATGTCCAGATGAGCCCAGCGTAACAATCTTCTGCTGCTCCTGGAGCTTGGGTCTCCGGAGCAAGGCGATACTCGACAGATATGATGACACACTCGATACCTTTGATGATGTCCAGCAGCTCGGCAACTCCAGAAAAGCGATCACCTGCAACCATCCCTCCTCCGTGTATATGGTATAAGGCTGGCAGAACATTCGAAGTTGGATTCTTCGGCGTAAAGATAGAAAGTGTCACATTATTGCCATTAGAACCAAGAGTGTGATACTCGGTATGCTTCATATGCACTGCGTTTGTTATAATAGTATCTGCAGGATTATTGCACTCTTCCCCAACGGTAGTGATACCACGCATTAGTTGGAGATCTATCTCCTCGGGGAGAAGAAACGAATCGGCGACGGGCGCTAGTGTGGGATCGATAGCTGGTCGTGGAATTTTAATCCTAGAATCCAGCTGTGCCGCCTGAGAGTATGGAAACGGATAGCTTAGGGGGTTTTGCGCCATTTCAGGAAGCCTTGATAGTAAATGATGAAAGTCTGGGGGTATCCTCTTTGAGAAATGAAGTCTTTTCTGCTGCTCTGGTTTTGGGCATGTAAGAGGTAGGTACAAAAAGAAGATGCTGTGCCTTTTGTACAACTTAGTACCTACTTATAGTACGATTTTCAGCGCTTAAACCGTCCCCGCCAACATAATTGTGAAAACTCCGCTGCTTCCTGTATATGAGATTCCGTTGACTCACGCGCTGAAACTGACCAGTGCTTTTGTGATCTGGCTTATCAGGCGCAATGAACGGCCTACAGCTACTTCAATTTTGATGGATTCTCATGGAATGCCATGATTTCGAGAATAAATATCTGCAACATCTTAATACTTTGAGGCAGTGACATCCATTACGGTAAAGCAATAATGATAAGGTCGAAACCGAAACCGAGCATAGGCGTTGTTCACCATTCAAACTCTGTTATTGCTGAAGGAGAGGCCGGTTCTCCCACACCTCTTTTAACAATTGTCTTCAAAAAATTCCTTGACCTCTTGGATGACTTTTCCTACAAGACCATCCTCAACAACGCCTTCTTGCCAGCTAAACCCCACTGTCATTGATCCATCTCCTCCAGTAGCGATATTAATAGTGATTGCAGCACCTGACACTAAAGAACTTCGACTGAGCAGAACTTTTCCCACTTGCCAACAAGGATCGGCCTTCCTCTCAGACGTAGCCGTGGAAGAGAAAAGCCCAACGTTTGTTACTTCAAACGCTGCGTCGCGAGATTTTCCAACAATCGAGGTGAAGATGGCCGATATATCTGGAACAGTCTCCAATACTGAAACAGCCGTATAAGGCTCTCCAGAAGGCGAGACGTTGTCGAGGTAAAGTCTAATTCTTTTTGATGCTTGCCGAGCACCAGACCATATATCGTTTCCCAAGCCATAATCCCCAGAGTGTTTGCCAGGCCGTGTGAATTGTACTCTGGTGGCATCAATGTAACTGCCCATAGCAGCTTTAGTGCTCTCACCAGATAGTTGGAGCCAGGGCCGTAAGTTGACGGGAATGATACACGTAAGACTTTCAACGTCAGGCGGAAGTATACGAAATAGGGCCGTGGCAATGGTAGATGATACAGCAGATGCTACAGAGAGTCCATTGTCTTTGCATTTGCAAAAGAAAGATTTGGAGATGCGTGATGAGATGTGAAGAGATGTCCAGAGAGACTTACAAGGGCAGCGGATGGGGTTGCCAGTCCACTCGTTCAGATTTGTCGCAGAATGGGATGAGGGGTTTGGGTCAATCGGCAGAGGGTGTAGTTCGCCGAGAGCTGGTAGAATTTGAACATCTTCCGCTGGTGTAATTATCTCCTTACTCTGGAGACCAGATGAAAGATGAGACGAAAATATCTCTAATGCATCGAGGAATGTATTGTGGAACACCAGGCCAGAGATGCCATCGCCAATGGCGTGGTGGTAGATGAATGATGCCGTAAAATTCATATCTCCTCCAGCGTCTTGGAGGATAATTAAACGCCAGAATGGCGCTATTCCATAATTTTCTTTAAAGTTAGTATTGTGCTGGTATTCGAGGATGGCATCAAGTTCTTCGTCTTGTCCTTCGATGAGGGTATCCAAAGGCTGGGAACGTGTGAGGAATTCGATACTCTTATTGAGATCAATTGAGGGAAGAGAGGCAAAATAGGCATTGGGGCTGTCTTCGTCGACAGGTATGGCGAATAATACAGGATGCTTGCTAATCACATCTCCAGCCGCAGCGTAGACAAGTCCACGTAAGTCGGATGCAGCCAGAGAAAAGGACCTCGGGACTTGGTAGTGGGCCGAGAGACCGACATTGTTGAAGAATCCTAGGTGGTGGCAAGATGCAGATACTTGCTCGAGTTTGCCTAAAGTAAAGGGTTAGAGATATGCAACATCTCATCGTGTTTGTTCTGGATCTCGGTTGAACTACCTAGTGGCCGTAACTTCTTTAGTTGCTGAATACCAGACATATTGCTCATAATTCACAGAAAAGGAAATTCAGAATGCTTAGAAATAAAAGTCATTATTTGAGCCATGCTGAAGCATTCTTGTACATAACCTTCTCACTCTGATTCACCTGGACAGACTTGTCGTCTAGCTTGCTTGTACGTGCAGATGCGGATGCGGATTTCTGCCTCAAATATGCTCTAATCCTAGACAGACGGCAAGAGCTGAATAAACACTAGTGCTGACCCGCCCGATTATGCCCACCAGCCCCGTCGTTTCCATCGTCACGATATCAGTGGAGCGATACGACTGAAGAGTCTTGCTTCAGGCCTTCGTTGCGTATTCACCCGAGACTCCATGGGAGGCTTCCTTGTAAAATGTGCTCAGAAGGTGATGCCAAGGAAAGGAGTATTTAGTAGTACGCGATGATGAGCTCTTTGCAACACCCCCGATACATATTGTCATCAGTTGCTTCAACTCCCGGCACAGAACTAGCCGTACGTCTTTATGCTCAACGACTGTAGTTGATCATCATCTCTTGAACAACTCATACAACATATTTTTTCCCGACATCTACCTAATCTAGGTATCATGGAGGCAAAGCCCATAAGTGACGATGCTGCACGCAACGTCCACAACTCCTTGATCAACGCTTCCAAAACAGGGAACAGAGTCCAGAAGATATCTCGCCGCATTTTAGACATTATTTTCGAGTATGCTCTTAACAAGTTCGATGATTCAAAAGAACGCCTAGAGAGAGGCGTAGACAATTTCATGTCAATTATAGAGAAATTCGTCGAAACGGAGACTCGAATACAGACATGTCTGCCGGCATTCCCATTCAAATCCGCAAATAAGGTTTACAAAGTCCTAGGCAGCTTGCCTGATAAGGCTGAAGAGCTAGCACTGGAAAGACTGAATACAATGTGTGTGCGTATACAGGAGGTATACGCACCTGGTGCTGAAGTTACCATTATATCAGATGGCATTACATACAACGGTACGCTGTTATCCACAAAATGTTCCGATAGGGCTTATCATACTTGGAGTTACTGCTAACCAGCTTGTGAATTATGACACTAACAGACCTGCTCTGTATATCTGATCAAGATACGTGGGCTTATGGAGAGGCTCTACGCCATATGGCTACCGAAAAGAAGTTCAACTACGTCAACTTTGCTCGAATGAAAGACCTGCTCGACTTTCCCGTGCCTGAAAAGATGACTGAGATCATCTACGTTGCGAACTGTACCACTTTCCGCCGCTTGCTTCTTAATCAGCATGGCCGGCCCGACCTAGATATCGACCACGAGATTGCCACAAATCCCGACACAAAATTGACATACCTCGGATACAAAAGATTCTTGGAGTCAGATTTAAAGCATATATTTCCTCGAGGAGTAAATCGAACTGCCAACGAATATAAGAGAGATTGCAAATTTCTTGCTAAACAGATGTTACTTCGAGGAGATGTAAGCGGAACAACCACCCTTCTCTACTAAGTGATGTTCAGTCTGTTAATCATTACTAGGCATTTACGCGCGCAATAAAAAACGCCTTTCCCAATCACTTGCGACTCTCAATCCACGAATCAGTGGGTGTAGACAAGCTTTGGATATGTTTGCTCAACACCAAAACAGGTTACACGACCCCCTGGCATTGCAGCGTCGCCAAACTAGCCGATGGAGAGTGGATTAGCGCTCCGATGGCCGAATTCAGCAAAGATGACAGACTGGAGCTCATTTATGAAGCCGGTAGGCCTAGTTATTTCAAGGAGAAGCCGTTGCAGCGTGGTGGACTCAATATTGGCGAGACATCAGCAAGCTACCTCCAAGAAGCTAGACCACGAAACGCCATCGAATACTTTAGCGAAGCGTCAACACCTACTCTGGTTTCTCCCAGTGCCGCCTCATGCAGTAACTCTCCGGTGTTTTCGCCTCGTGCCAATATGCTCAGCAGCGTAGGTTTTGCTTCAGAAACTTCCTCGCCCCTAAGCTTCACATCAAGCTTCCAGGAAGTTGCTATAGAGGATGGGTCTAACATTGTCCTGTTACCGGGAGATCTCGAACCTGCTCAAATACCATATGGGAGAAGACTTCTACCTCAAATTATAGACAAGGTAGCAGTTGTTGAGCCAGAACGTATTGTTTTCTCCTTGGCAACGCTCTCCGGCGATACACTCAATTTTGACCGCATATCTGCTCGCATTTTCAGCAAGGCCGTCGATAAAACTGCTTGGTGGCTTAACAGCCTTGTTGGCAAGCCTGATTCGGTTCAACCAGTTGGATATATCGGCCCTCGTGAGTAAAACTTTACATGATCGAGAACGTTTATTATGAACTGGTAATACTAACTATACAACTTGCCAAGATGATTTGCGATACGTTTTGTTGGCATACGCCTGTGTCAAGGTTGGATATGCTGTAGGTATTTTCACACATGTCACTATTTTAATACGTTAGTAGTATTGTACTAATAAGGACGAAATTTCTCTGGCAGGCGTTGTTCCTATCGCCAAAAAATAACCTCGAGGGGGCGCTTGCCGTCCTTGAATCAGTTAACTGCAATATTTGGGTTAATGCTGCAGATGTGCCGCCGGTTTCTTTAGTCAATGAAATCCTTGAGAAACGCCGCTTGAACCTTCTGCAGTTGCCCGAGATCAAAGAGTTGCTGAGCATTGACACTGTCAAGCCTTTTCCGTACACCAAAACATTTGAGGAAGCCATGAACGACCCCTTCTGCTATCTTCATACTTCTGGGTCAACGGGAGTGCCGAAGCCTATCCCTTGGTCTCACAGCTTGATTGGTACCATGGACGCAGTGCGATTGCTACCCCCTGCCAAAGGCTACGACGATTTGCTTCCGTGGACATCGGACTGGAAGCCACGCGATACGATATATTCATCATTTCCAATGAGTCATGTACGTCATTTGCTTTGCCTTATCTTTAGTTAGATAGAGAGGAGCCAAATTTGCTAACTACAGTGACCACAGGGAGCCGGTATTATCATGGATATCCTGATGCCCGCTCTTTTCGATTTGCACTGTATCTTAGGACCTAGGGGTGTTCTTCCCAACATCAACCTTGTGGAAACACTCGCAGAGAATGCCAAGATTGACATTTGGAGCATGGTACCGTCTCTTGTGGACGAGCTGGGAGAAACACCTGAAGTCCTTTCCAAGTTGAGCGGGTCCAAATTTATATGTGCCTCTGGCGGCCCCATCAGCCCCATCAGCGCTGGAAAAGTAAATGATACCATCAGAGTGTTGAACCTAACGGGCACCACGGAGGGTCTATTTATTGGCAACCTCATCACATCGAGAGAAGACTGGTTCTGGTTCTGCTTCCACCCGTATTCTGGTTTCGAATTCAAAGAAATCGAAGAGAACACATACGAGCATTGGGTGCATCGAAACGAACATTGGCCTCTATTCCAGGGCATATTTCACACTTTCCCAAAGAAGGAGTCGATCAACTTTAAGGATTTATATGTGAGACACCCAACGAAACCATATCTGTGGTCTTTTACAGGGCGAAGCGATGATCTTGTCGTCTTGTCCAATGGGTATAAGATAACGCCCTTGGAAACAGAAGCTTTAATCGCCACACATCCTGCCATTGAGAGTTGTCTTATTTTCGGAACTGGGAAACCTCAAGCAGGTCTACTAATCGAGTTAAAAGACCCGTCGAATAAACCTGACGACCTCATCGATAGCATCTGGGAAGTCGTGAAGAAGGCCAACTCCGTCTCCCGACACAAAGACCAACTTCTTAGGGATTTTGTCACCTTTTCAGAACCCAACAAGCCTTTCATTCGTACAGATAAGGGTACTGTAAAGAGATCTGCTACACTCGCACTCTACGCCGACTTTGTTGAGCGTTTTTACAGCTCTCGCAATGACGATATTTGCTATGGTTACCCCTTCGATATGGATTCGGCTGAGTCAGTTCAGAGCGGCATTCGTGAAATCCTCGCTTCTTCGCTCCCTATGATCCGAACAGCATCACCAGATACGAATTTATTTGATCTTGGACTGGACTCTCTCGGCGTTTTTGCAGCAATCAGAGCAATCAGAGCAGCTACGGGGTTGGGTGAACAGATTGCTCCTCGTCACGTCTATGCCAATTCAAGTATTGGCAGTCTTGCCTCAGCTATTTTACGTCTGGTAGCTCAAGAGAAGATGGAGATCGAAGCAAGCAGGCTAGAAAAGCCTATGGAAAGTGATATAGCTCAGCTAAAGGCTACAATTGCCAAACACAAGGCGCGACAATCATTTCGACTGAATGCCTTTGACTATGTCAATCCTAACCACGGCATGGGTTTGGTCTTCTATTTCTCTCTACATCAAGGTGTTGGTTACGACCAAGTCTTCGCCAACCTACAAGAAGGCCTCAATCGTACATTCGACTTGATTCCAGCCCTGAGTGGCAAAATTATGAACTCTTCTGAGCAAGACATTGGTTATACTAGAGGAAACCTCTGTGTTACTATCCCGCCCGATTCTATGGCAGCCTCTGTACGAAATCGTCTAGTCTACAAGGATCTCTCCAATACTCTCCCGCCGTTTGACGAGCTCCGAGATGCGGGCTTCCCACCGTCTGCTTTTAAAGACGGCCTTGTCTTACGAGACGATCCATTCCCGAAGATGCCCGCCGATATTTTTGTCGGCCAGGCTAACTTTGTCTCTGGCGGTTGCATTCTAGCAGTTGACTTGAATCATTGTTGCCTTGATGGCGTTGGAGCCATGATTGCTATTAAGGCTTGGGCCGAAAATTGTAGATATTTGCAAGGCAACGACGCAGCAACATGTCAATGGTATGACCCCGAAAGCTTCAACCACAGCTTACCGGAGATCATTCACGAACAAGAGGGATGGGATCGACCACTTCGTGAAATTGATCCACGTACATGGGGGTATCTACCATTCTTCCCTCCAGACGATGATGAAACCCAGACTGGTGGTATCTTGGCTACAAACGAGGCGGCGAAAACGGTCAAAGAGGAGAACTTACTTTCCACGCAAGGTTCAAAAGAAAGAGCTCACTTGCCTCAGCTCAACTTCACTCTCCATCCTATTTGGCCATTACCACGCGCTGAGAGAAGCTTGAACACGACTTTATTTTTAATTTCGCCGGAAAAATTGGAAGAGTTGAAGCAAGACAGCGCCCCTGATGCCAAGGCTAAGGGGGTGACATGCTCTATCAGCGACATTGTGCAAGCGTTCTTCTGGCGCAGTGCCATCAAGGCGCGGTATCGCGTGGCTAAAGAAATCCGCAAAGAGACCTTTGGGGCTGACGACATATCCATTCTTGAGTTACCTACTGATGGTCGCCCGTATTTTTCCTCTTTGTTGCCTTCAACATACACGGGCAGCTTGCTCATCTTGAATCGGTCCAGTATGTCAGTCGAGACACTCTGTTCTCCGGAGACCAGCATAGGGGATGTTGCGTACTTGCTTCGTCAATCTGCTAGGAGCATTACACCCTCGATCGTTCATGATGCATTTTCAATTTTGCAATCACTCCCAGACCACACCAGGTTCTCAACAGCCAATATGGGACTTGAACATATGCATGCTATGATTTCCAACATGATGCTATTCCAAACCAGTGAGATATGCTTTGGAGACCAATTCTTCGCCAACGGAGGTTCCCCGGAGTCTATGCGGCCACAGCTTGAGCGTGGAAATGGACGGTTTAGATTCTTGGTCATCTTTCCGATGACAAAGGATGGAGGCGTGGAGTTGGTCATGGGTACTCACCCTGAAGAGCTGGAAATGCTGATGGACGATGAGGAGTTTACAAAGTATGCAACCCCTGTCGGCACCGGCCATTAAATGTACGTGGTGTTCATGTACGTAGCTTATTAAAGTAAATTCTTATCTTGAAACTGGACTTTACGTGTTGATTGTAGCTCTTTAATGCCAGCCCTCGGGCGTATGCGTATGCAAACTGGCACTATACTGCCACTTAATACAATGCATAACTATGATAACATCGCATATTTTTCAGTCTTTCAATAAATCATATATACACCTTTGTTTGCTTTGTTTAAGTGTACATCAAGTATCAATCTCCTACTCTTCATCACGAGAGATGACTTCCCATTTCTGGATTTGTACGTAGATAATCCTCTTCATGCCCTTGCAAGTTGAGCAAGTTATTATAGGTCACCGGGGCTGAGCTACATAATAACGACTGTCAAATGAGCAAGTTTAATGGCAAACTTGCTCTGCAAGGATCATTAACACTAGTTCGGTATGTCTATACGAGTACTACCATTATGCGCCAATTTTCCCATAATGGCTCATTGTTTCGGGAAGAAGAATTAATGGCTGAATTGCAAAATTGGCCGAATAAAACGTAACCAAAGCATCGAATATCAGTCATTGTATATTTTCACACTTTCTTTGTAATTTCACTGTCTCTCAATCTGTACAAGTCCACCCAAATTCCCTTTCTATTGGCAAGTCATGGGGTCACAGCCTCCCCCTCCCGTCGGTCATCTAACTCAAACTGTTTTTCCCGACGATGAGAATGCCAATCTCCTCAATAATACTTGTGATAACGTCAATCACGACGGTTTCGTTGTTCATAGTGATGACGAATATTCCGCGCCTTCTGATATTGACACGGATTTTGAGGACTTCGAGGCCGTGGTTGTGCCATGGAAGACGAGTGCTCTGGTACTCGCCTACATAGCGATTTGGCTCACCTATTTCGTCGAAGGAATTTTATCAGCTACCACCGGAATTCTGACACCCTATGTCACTTCCACCTTTGCCCAGCATTCTTTTACGCCCACTGTTGGCATTCTAAGTAGTGTGATTGGTGGTGTCACCAACCTCACTCTTGCCAAAGTCCTTGACATCTTTGGCCGGGCTTACGGACTATTTTTCTGCATCATTCTCGCTACGAGTGGTCTCATTATGACGAGTACTTGCAACAGTGTTCAAGGCTATGCCACTGCTCAAGTCTTCCAAACCATTGGAAACAGTGGTATTCTATATTCCCTGACCGTACTTGTCGCCGACACTTCTTCGATGCGCAACAGGGGTCTGGTACAAGCCATAGTTAGCTCGCCAAATCTTATTACACCTTGGCTTTCCGGCCCCATATCCTCAAGATTTATGAACGGCCCAGGCTGGCGTTGGGCATTTGGATCGTTTTCGGTTCTCGTGCCGTCTATCACTCTCCCACTTTTCTTCCTGTTATTGAGTCACCTCAAAACCAGGAAAATGAGCATGCCCCATAGGTGTGAAAGTGAGAGTGACAATGGTCGGAGTCCTCTACGAACACTTGTCCACTATTTTCGGCAGTTCGATGCTGTAGGCCTTGTTCTCTTATCAACAGGTGTTGCACTGCTTCTTGTGTCGCTTAACCTGTACGCGCTACAAGGCTGGAATTCGATATATGCTGTTGCATTCTCAGTTACTGGAAGTCTTCTTATCATCTTGTTTGCGGTGTGGGAGAGATATTATGCGACCATCACCTTCGTGTCTTATTCAATTTTTCTTGATCGTACCGTGTTGGGTGCTTGCATTCTATCCTCCACTTTATTTATTAGCTTCTGGTGCTGGAACAGCTTCTTTAGCTCGTATCTTCAAGTTGTGAACAACCTCAGCATCGAAAACGCAAGCTATGTGGTGCAGTTGTATACTGTCTTTTCAGTGGTGAGCGCCATCGCTGTCGGCGCCCTAATTCACCTGACTGGGCGTTTCAAGCCAGTGTGCATCTATGTAGGAATTCCATTGAGTCTGTTGGGTTTATTCTCAATGTCATATTACGAAAATAGCGAAAGTGGAGTTGGATACATAATTGTGTCTCAGATTTTCATTTCCGTCGCTGCTGGTATCATCATGGTTTGTGATGAAGTTGCAATTCTGGCTGCTGCCCCTAATCATGACGCTGCTGTTTGTCTGGCTGTGTTAGGGCTATTTGGTAATATTGGAGGAGCAATTGGTTTAACCATTGCATCAACAATTTGGCAGAACATTTTCCGCAGGAAGCTAATGGAGTTTGTTCCTATAGAAGACCTTCCAAATGTGGCCAAAATTTATGCGGATCTATCTACCCAGCTCTCATATCCAGTTGGTTCTGAGACACGCCTCGCCATTCAGCATGCTTATGAAGATACCCAAGGGAAGCTGTTGGCTATAGCAATGGTAGTGTGGGCTGGTGGTTTCATGGCGGTTGCTATGTGGCGAAACATTAATGTGATTGACATAAATCAGAGTAAATTACATACTTAATAATAAGCTCTTCTTGATGGAACTATCAATACTTGCATGTTAGACTATTCTTGTGGTTCAGATCCATTTTTAAGCCGGCCGTAGAAAAGATGACTTGAGAATATAATACAGTTAGTCATGTTAGTTGTTGTATTAGTTTGAGTAAGGCGAGTCTCTCCATCTCATTCATGGCCCCAGATCTAACACTCCTTCGACGGTTTCAATCGTTGTATTCAACAAGGAGAAGCACCGTCATGACCTGTTATGGCGAACAACATGCCGTCTTTATCTCGCAAATCTCTATTGGACTGCAGGGATGGAATAACCTACTTAGGGTAGGTACACAATGCGGTGAGGTAGTCAACTGCGTATTTAAAGGCCGAGATTTATATAAAGAAGCACTGGCAAAATATAGTCTAAGCCCTTTCCACCAACACTAAGTTATCAGATGATCCCATTAGCCGTTTAGAGTGTCTTGCCTTTTGCTGTGTGTTAAGCGGCTTAAAGATAGTCACGAGGCTCAATAGCTCGACATATACATCGTCTTCAAATACAACGAGTTTCAGCTAGTTGCGGTAATCTGCCGTTGAGGTGTGACTTGCTTGTCAGCAGGAAGTCGAACGTAATTATATGAACATACCCTCACTTGACATATTCACTAATCAATGATAAGATAGTGCTCTCTATTTTGAAATAAGAGCGAACTTGTCATACGGGTTATCCATGAGATAAGAGTAAGCAATCCCTCTTATCTCAGAGTCATTTTTCTTCAAATATTCCTCAACTGCAAGCAAATATTATTAACTGCTTACATTGTCGCCTCTGTAATTGACAAAGACCACCGAACTTCTTCGAAAGATTTCTATGCACGGTTGAAGAGAGATTTGCTGTTTCAGCAACTGTTACTGTTTCCCATTTGCCGGCACTGTTTGGACAAATTAGAGGTATCTTCCCCACACTACCCTTGCTCCAGCACGGAACCGTACGGAGAATAATAAACTCAGGGAACTCAACCAACAGCAAATCTAGCTCATAGATCCACCCTCCCCCCCATGTTGATGCATTAGTGTTATCTGTTTGCAGGTACCGTAGAGTTATCGATTTCCCTGAAGGCTGGGTGGCTGCTTTATCGATAGCTAGGAGATATAACCGAGTAGGTCATGGTGTGTGTGCAAACCACCGGAACGAGTTGCTAGTGGACACGCGTCAGCTTTTGGCTATCGCGGACAGGACTTTATGCACTCGCTAGTATACAGAGCAATGTCAACGACGAAGGTAGTTCAAAACGGGTGTAACTGCTGAAATATGTTGCTGCCTTGCTAAACTCTTGCTACTTCAACTTCATGTCTTCAATCTGATACTAGTGAGTGATTGGGTTACCTTATAAAATACGAATTAGATGTTAGATCAGAAAGCGATCAATATCGTAGTTTACGCGGGCCCATCTTCAGAAGTGACAGGAAAAATGTCTAATTTGTAGAAATTCTTGATACTGTGTATTACGCATAAACCAGGCTCTATAATCAAGTCAACCTGTTGATGGAGACGAGACCCGGGATTAAAGGCACAGTGAACGAACGATTGGTGTTTTCAAAACCATAAAAAGAGCTTTCATAGCTAATGGCACTTATTAGTAGTACCCGCCTGAATCTATCGAAGTCAGATGCTTGGGGGTTTGTCGAGAAACACGGAGAAAACGGCGAATTAGAAGAAGCCTTGTCAAAGAATGTACAGCCAACTTTGTGTACCACCAAAGCCTTGCCTTTATGCAACTTATGAAGCCGGTAGTACCAGTGTAAATACTCTCTTGTAATGGCGTCGCATAGTCCTCTTACTCTTTAGTCTGCAGTGAATATATGGGAGCAAGATGTAAATGCCTCTTTGCCGACGATTTTCGCACCCTTCCATAAAGGAGCCCAGGCTCCCATGACGGCAGTAATACCGGTGCAGAGAATCATGGGACCGTACTTGGTGGCGTAACCCAATGGTTCCTCTGCAATAGCCCCCTTTATAGACAAAAGCGAGCCACTGATCGGCCCACCAAGGATATATCCGAGTCCTCGACCTCCCAATAGAAGACCAAAGATAAGAGAGGATTCTGCAGCTCCATCATCTCGTTTGATCTCGTGCAGCATACTTGACCAGGTGGAACTAAACCCTCCAGCAAAGAAGCCATAAAGAACGACGAAAACAACCATGGTACTAATTTGATGGCCAAGTCCCCAGAGAAGAAAAACAGGGAGGGCACTTCCAAAGGATGAAAGGAGGATTACTTTAGTCGCTGAAAGCTTATCTCCCAACCAGCCATGAACCAATGATCCAGGCACCGATGCCGTAGAGAATAATGCAAGCAAAATCGGACCCGTTACGGAAGAAAGACCAATGGCAGAGGCGTAGCTGGCCAGATACGTGCTTGGCATGAGATAGCCGAGAGATTGGACGATGATTCCAATTTGCATCATCCAAAACGAAGCATGGCGGAGAAACGCAAACGAAAGGGGCCGGGAACGAGATGTAGATGATAGTGGAATACGGGGCTTGAGAAAAAAGAGCGTCGGCAATATCAGAATTGCAGAAGCTATCGTCCACGAAAGGATGGTTGCGCGAAGACCAAAGCGGCGTAGCAAGCTGCTGAAGACGAAAGGCATGGCTACGCCAACTGACGATTTGCCCGACCACATGATCCCGTAGGCGAGTCCCTTTCGTTGAATGAACCACTCGTCCATATAGAGAGAGATGGGGCTGAAGAGAAGTCCACAGCCAATTGAATAGAGTGCGCCTTGGGTGGCGATTAAGCCCACGATGCTGCTGACGAAAGCAGAGGCAGACAAGCTTGTCATTGTGATCAAAAGTCCAGCAGGACCACACCAACGCCGGAGATGTGGATATTTGTTCAGTATCACGAATATGACAGGCATCAGGAGATACATGATGCCCATTTGCATGGACCCCACAGTGGCGATGGCTCCAGCAGAAGCATCTATGCCGTGCATGGGATCGCTATAGTATTCTTGAAAGATGCCGAAGGAGACAGAGTATCCTGTCATACCCTATTAGTATTCAACACGGTGACAAGACAAAGGTTGTAATACCCCAAATTGGAGCTTGTGCAATGGTGCAGCATGCAAGAGCGAGATAGGCGGCGCGGCCATGGTCAGCTGGAGGCAGTGTTTGTGGTCTTTGTATTGGATCTTCAGAGTCTTCTTCTCGGCCATGTTGCGCATTTTCAAGGACGCGACTCAATTCATGTTCTTCTTGAATAGTAGGGTAAGCCATTTTGTCATGCTACGGTGGGCAGTGAGTGTGACAGTTAACAATCGACGACGGGAATCATGGCACGCGGAAGACAAGTCTGTCATTTCATATATATGTTAAGCTCAACATGCTTTATGATAAATGCCTAGTTGATCTACAGAGCCACATCCGTCACCGGTCCGACATCGCAGATTGGCTCTTGAATGCGGAGCGGCGCGCACGCTATTAATGAAGCAATTAGTGATATGACCTGCTCATCACTTTGCTCGCAGTGTTATTCAGAGCTGCAGTGGTAATGATATTTGAATTTATTGTTCATAACACCTCTGAATTTGGTGGTTTAACGAACAAAGTGCTTCCCAAGGCACACGACGACTTGCCCGTTGTGGGTGTACTGTGCTCAAAATTTCAGTGATGGAATTCTCCAAATGTAGTGACTCCGCGCGACTGGAATCGGTCTTGTATTTCTTGTTACGCCCGGGGAAACTCCGTCTGTTAAGCGTAGGCTCGGAGGATTAAATCCCTGCCTCAAACACCACCGTATTGTCGTTGTTGTTGATTTGACGTTACATGTGCTTTCGTAATAGAGTCGCTGCAAGTGGGTGTGGCCAGACTCACTAACAATGGCGTTTTATGCATGTGTACCCAATGTTCTATAAATACAGAGCTAATCCCACCGTGTTTGCATGGTTCCATGTAGCATCTGCTGCATCTGCGATGCGCCGCTCGCAACTACTTACCGACAAGGTGGCTCCGCGTCCTGTCGTCTGAACCGCTTTTGTCGAATGGCTGTAATGTACTGTTTCAGCGTCAGCCCTCGCTTCAAAACCAATCATACGGTACGTGACCCTATATGGAAATTATTGTATGCTCATGACAGGCTACTAAAGAGCAGCACCAGCAACTTGGGTCTCTCCTCTCTCCAACGCCCGGTAACCCCCCTTAATTACAACGCCGTCTCCCCCGTGGGAAGCCCCTGGACTGTAATTCTGGCATACATAATAAGATTTCATACCGGCAGACGATGATGTCAGGCAGCTTATTAGAGTAGTACCGAAGCCGTGGTGTTTCTTACTCCGTACTCCGTGAATAGGCACTTAATCCCCACAACAGACAGCCAGCATTTCGGGAGCTAACGCGTGTGTCAGTCGTTGGCCGAGCTACTGTTGCTTACTTGCGCATGTCAAGGTTCTAGATCTAGCGGTGACTGGTCCAAATCCCCAGGGCTAATTTAGATCTGCCTGCACCAGGGCTCGCTTGCTGGGGCTGCGTAAGTTTTTCCCAAAATGTATCTTCATGCGATCTGGCACAGAGATGTCGCTAGCTCATGATGCCATTGTTACCACATGAGCTCCGTACAGTTATCAGAGTCTTGCTACGCACTCACCGCGTTATCCCCGCCATTGTCGCATGCGCATGCGGGAATGCCGTCCCCTAATTCGACATTCAACGACAGCACATACCAGCTGACGGCGTTACTGAGAGCCTCGAAGCGGCGGCTTTGAGCCCGAGCGAATATAATGCCATATAGAGTAGGTATGGGAGGGCTACGTCTAGGGGCAAGAGGGTCTGTGCAATGTTTCAACCTCCTTTTACATGACCGACGGTTCTGCACTACGACTATAAGTGTGGAGTGAAGAGTGAAGAGAGTAACATCAGTGTCACCCGAGGATGATGAAGCTTTGATATAGGTATCCGTGATGATTGAACAAATTCGCCGTTAATCTTGTTTTAACGAAGTATATACCAAGACCGCTTACACAATTTTGAGCAGTTATTAGCGCAAGCAATCTTCAAGGTCGTTTACGCACGATAAAATAAATGCAATTAGCCAACATTGAATATCCCCGGCTTTAAGCAGCTAGCAGCTGGTGTTGGTTAGTGGGATAGTCGGCCGCTGTAAGCTTATTGCAAAGTGGTTGAAATTGGGGTAATTTTCAACTAGAGTCGGCATCTCCAGAAAACTAAGTAGCCGGTCGTGTCAATCAATCTCAACCGAATATCAATTTGTAAACACCTCAGGCGTGAAATAGTAAAAAAGCTCAACACTTGCAGCGAAATCAACAGATGCCGGTCACCCTGAGAGAGCTATTGTTTTTGATAGCTGTATCTTACAATCGAAGAGCCAACTTGCCGCATCATCCGAATATCTACAAAGCACAGACGCTATGAGAGGACTACAGAACCGGGTGAGACCTGCAAAACAGCTGTTTTCTCGGACAATCCGTCATGTATCAACAACCCCAGCTCCGCATATCAAAACAGCTGCCGAAGCAGCGTCTCATTTGATAGAGTACTTTGCGCATAAAGTCACCAAGCGCAGCCAATACATCGACCCGAATCAAGTACAAAAGCTTGCAATAATGCTCGGCCGACCAGTCCTCAACGGCCACGACACGCGGCGGGTGAATGTCCCTGCTGGCACACCAGTCCCCCCTGCTTACCACCTTGTTTACTTCACGCCTGACGATCTCGAAGCTGAACTTGGTGCTGACGGGAGTGACCGGACGTTCAACGCCCCCGCCCCTTTTACAAGGAGGATGTGGGCAGGTGGTCATATGAAGTTTGAAAAAAACAACCCCCTGAGAGTCGGAGAGGAAGCGGAGGAGCATACCAAGCTGATTAGTGCGGTGGCGAAGGCGAGCAGGTCCGCCGGTGAGATGGTACTTGTCGAAGTAGAGAAGAAGATGTATGGATCACAAGGATTGGCATTGGTCGATACACGGTCATGGGTATTTCGCCCAGTGCTACATTCTGGTGCTCGAGAGGGCGTAGCGCTGAGGAGCGTCGACGGCAACATCCTGGCCGTGTCTTCTCTTTCCGATGTAGTAAATGATAGCAACGGTGAGTATGGCGTGTATTTGTCAAAGCTGGGTTTATACGACGCTTGGTTCGGCTAACCCCTTGCTTACAGCTTTTCCTATACGGAAACTGTCGTGGTCACCCGTTGGCCTTTTCCGATTCTCTGCACTGACGTTCAATGGTCACAAGATTCATTACAATGAAGATTGGACTCGTAGTGCCGAGGGTCACCCTGGCGTCGTGGTCCACGGGCCTCTGAATGTAATCAACTTGCTAGACTACTGGAGAGATTTCCACGGAGAGGGCACAGGCCCCGATGAAATCATATATAGGGCCATGTCACCAGTTTACGGAGGCGAGGAGTATCAGATACAAACACTAGACATAACGGAAACTACTAACAGCAAAGTATTCGAAGTGGCAGCGGAAAAGAATGGAGTTACCATCATGAAAGCCTCGATTATCAAAAAGACATAGAGAGAAATAACAGTTTGCTTTACTTGACAAGTTTATTCAAATCTGAATTGATGGTGGGTCAAATAATAAGCTGAATAGAATGAATCATTTTGATGAATCATGGCACCTGAAAGTTATATGAATTCTTGTATTTTCAGTATATTGAAATCTATTCCGTTGTACTCCGTTTGCCGTGTTTTCAGTCCATACATGCTTCATACCGCTAAGCCGTAATGTCACGTCGACAGTGGGCCATGTTCCAAGCGGGAATCCGCTGTACCCAATTTCTCTAAGCCTCAGAGCTTAGCTAACAAATAGCTTGTGGGGACCTCCGTGGCAGAGCCCATACTTTGTGAGGCCGGGACATTCGGTAGAATGTACCCCGTGCCCGGTAAGGTGGCATCTGATCAGGCGGAAGTCGGCTACTTGCTTATTGGAGACGCACACCTTGATCTATTCTGCAGGAGAAGACGCCAACTGTTCCAGTTTGTTTTCAAAAGATTGCATTCACTTCAACTATTTCGGATGAACGTAACCTTTACTCTATTGAATAAAGGGGCGACTGAGCTTTTATCAACAATAAGCGAATCTCATCAGGAGCTCCAATGAGCTTCTGTCAGGCCACGATGATCCGGGCGGGGGTCCTGACTCGACTGTCAAAGGTCTGGTACTATCACAACTCAACTAGCTTCTCTCCTTTTTGCGCAGAATTTGATTGTGGGCTTAGTGACTAAGATTACGCTGGGGATAGACTAGACATTCTCGATCTTCGCCTATGAAGCAGCTGAGGTGCCTCACCTTACATGGCTATCAGACTCAAGACATACTCAGAGCTGTGCGTTGGCTGGTATGCCCAAGTGATTACTAAAGGCTTACAAGAACAAACTGTTAGCACGAAATTCCAGTTCCTCGCGGGATATTAGTGCGGACACCTCTTGAAGCTCAGAATGCAGTAAAGAGTTTAGGTGCAAGCTGCATTTTTCGAGCTCAGGTTCTATGTGGGCACCCGGACAAACTCCTTTTTGAGGATGGGCTGAGAGGAGGGGTTCAGACAGTTGAGAATCCAGAACAAGGACTGACTCTGGCTACGAGGATGCTCAGCCGCCAAGCCGTCTCAGACACTATCCGCTACCGTTCCTTGACTGTAAACCAAGTCCTGGTCTCCGAAAGCCTGGTCCACCAAGAGCAGTGGCACTTGGCTATGACAATTGACAGAGAGAATTACTGTCCAGTAGTTATCATTTCCAAACACGACGACAACTCTGGCCAAGATGCAACGGTACTTCGAAGTCTCCGCAAGAGGGGGTCTTCATTCACCTTTGGCTTCTCCGAAGGCATCACTGAGGATCTGATATCGCGAATTTCCCGATTTCTCGGAGCTGGAAGCGCGGAAGAGACAAACATCGGCCATATTCTGACCAATTTGTACAAAATATTCCGAGAAAAGGACGTCACATTGCTGGAAATAAGCTCCCTCGCAAGACTAAACACGGGACTCTTCACCTGCCTCGATGCCACGCTTGTGGTGGACGATGATGCTGCAAAGCGGCAGCCAGACATGTTTGGCCTGCGCGATACGACTCAAGAGGTGCACGATGAGATCAGGGCAGAACAACACGGCCTGGTGTATATTAAAATGGAAGGCAACATTGGAAACATTGTCAACGGAGCAGGTCTCGCGATGGCAACAAACGATGCAATTGGGCTTCACGGCGGGGCAAGTGCTAATTTCTTAGATGCCGGGGGTCAGGCGACCAAGGAGACGATGATACAAGCTCTCGGAATCGTCATGGGAGACGAGCGGGTAAAAGCGATATTGATCAATATCTACGGAGGTGTGCTTGGAGACGCCCCATGTTATCAGAAGCGCAACTGACACTGTGAAGGAATCACTAGGTGCGACATGATTGCCGAATCCATCATTGGAGCCGCGCAGGAGATGACCCTGGCCGTCCCACTTGTCGTGCGGCTTCAGGGAACCAACTCGACGGAAGGATTGAAGCTGGTGAGTACAAGAACCAGCAGATTGGTCCCGGCGGATATGCTTTCCCCCCTTGTTTCACCGCACTTTTATGACAAATGACTAACTCGTAGCGCGTTGTGACAGCTCGCGGATGCCAGGCTTGGGCTCCATGTCGAATCGGACTTTGGGCGCGCGGCACAGCGAGCTGTTGAGCTGGCTCAGCCGTAGGCCGGCCGGAGAAGGGCTGACGGACGACTGGCAAGGGGAGGACAAGCTACACGGACCGTGGTCGTACTGCGGCTCAGCCCTGGCACAAGCAGCAGCCTTTCAGCAATGAAGCACTGATGCTACGAGCACAAGCACAAGCACATGTATGCTGCCAAGTGCCTGTAGCGCGATTTACAAGGGACGCTCATAGTGGACGGGAACCCCGTGCTTCGTATAACAAGTGAAATTCATCTCAAAACGGTCTCTGCGGATCCCCACAGTAACAGTTGGTGGGGAGTAGCCGGATCGGCCGAAAGCTGAGATGGTATTCCCGTTACACTGGCTTCCATGTTCATGTAGTACTAAGGATTCGTAGCCTCCTTCTGCTAGCGGTTGTTCTTCGGACACTGTCAACATCCAGTTTAATGATCCATTTTCACTATAGCATCCTAGAGATTAACGGGTATGAGAGGGGGTGGGAAGGGGGAAAGGGTGTTGCTGACTGGCTCCAAATACCCCCGCCGCTGAGCTCGGGCAAACGACATGGACTATGAACACGTTTGTCCTCGCCGGCATAAGAGAGATTTGGTATATTACTGCGGAGGACTCTTGTCGAACTAGACTTCTCCCCTCTTCTCCCTTAGACCTTTCTCATAGCCCGGCCAACTGGCGGTGATTTTTAACTTTGCAATTAAAATCGTTCTTCGTTGTCATGGCTAGCACGGAAAAAGACCCGGCTGCGATTGAGCACGCAAAGACTCTCACCCACATCCCGTGGTGTGAGGATTACGAAAAGATGATATCAGGGATGCTGTAAATAATCCCATCCCCTCTCCTTCTTTGCCACCGCCGAGTGAACACCCGGATTTTAATTTCTGCTTTACAGTTACAACTCTCAAGCTCCAGAGCTCATCGAGGGAAGATTTCGGGCTCGGAGGCTCATGCACAAGTACAACACCTATTTCCCCGACGACGCCACGAATGACACCCTAGTGGCCGAGAGGGAGAGGCTCCTGAACGAGATGCTGGGCAAGATCGGCACGAACCCCTTCGTCGAGACGCCCTTCAACATCGACTATGGCTGTAACACATCGATTGGAGACAACTTTTATGCCAATTTCAAGTACGCAAAACCAATAGTAACGCTTCGCTGCTGAAAACTGACTCTAGCCTGTGTTTGTGTGGCTTCAGTCTGGTGATTCTTGACTGCGGAATGGTCACAATCGGCAACCGCGTTCTATTCGGCCCCAATGTGTCAATATTTGGTGCAACACACGAGACCGGAGTCCAATCGCGCCGCAGCGGAATCGAGTACGGCGGCAGCGTCACCATTGGGGATGATTGTTGGATCGGAGGCAACACCACCATCATGCCGGGCTTGACGATTGGAAAGGGATGCACAATAGGGGCAGGCAGTGTCGTCACCAGATCGATCCCCGACTTTTCCGTTGCGATTGGTTCGCCAGCCAGGGTTGTCAAGAAAGTTGATCCAGTCCCAGATTTATGAGACTCGAAGTCGAAAAAAAGGAGAACTTGCATATACGATAGAGACGACATCTTAACGAGGCAATGAATATTTACAATAACAATAGACAAATCGCGTTTCCAAACCTACCGAAGCATTGTTCCTCCTCAACGCCTACTTTATTAGTGCCTCATGTATATCCTACGACAAATACTGCAAATAATAAGGCGCAATAAGGAGCGGACTCGTCCCGGCCGATACCGACCGACCTCCGGCTGTAGTAGCTTCCAGACCGTTCTGAGCCGCTCGGCTATAACCCATCGACTTCTCCAAACAGCCAGTGCATAGATGAGCAAGTAGAGCTTCTCTGGCAATGGCAGATCAGGGAAGTCTGGCATATATGATGAAGAGACGGGGTAGCAACGGAGATACAGGAAATCACACGTGGATTGATCATATCATGTGTTGCATCTTTGATGCCTCGCATGGCGACAACCACGGAACTACAACTTGATAAATCTTGCTGAACCGGTCCTGCACAAGAGGTAAAGTCATTTGGGATGTCACTGGCAGAGAGAATAAAACGCTGATCCAGTGGTATTATGCTACTGTCGATATGATAATAAATCAATATGCTGAGCCGGACCCTCTTAAGTCGAAGATATATCCACGAATGACGGCGAACGAATCACGATAATGCTATCAACATTGGCATACTACGGCATTATTCGTTGAGAGAGAGCATCACGAGAGACTGTTCTTTGCTGATGACCCACTGGTAGCCCCTGACTGTAAGATTGCGGTAGGATATGGTAAACATGCCAAACTTCGTGATATGCCCGTCGGACGAAGTGAGAAGACATAGATGGAACGTCTGTGTTTCCAAAGAAATGCGTTGTGAGAACAGATTCTGGCAATCTTCATGTCTCCTTATCACGGGGCGCCGAGACCGCCCTCTCCGAGAGGGGGGAAAGGAGGGAGAATGGCACCAGGTAGCTCATGACGTCGAGGCATAGTCTCAAACGTCTTGGCGACCCAAAAGGCCCCCTTATTTCGCTCGTTTTTAATCGTCTTGGTGAGATTGAACTGTATTCTCTAGGAGATCGCCGACGCAATTCCAAAGTCTATTACGTGACGATCGGCCGTATCTCGTAGCCCGAGTTGGTGCTCGTTCCGTACAGCCAATGAATCCCACACTCAAAGATAGCTAGCAGTCACTTGTCACGGCGTATTAGTACCGTGTCGGAAGTGCAGGGAAGGGAAATAATGATGACGGCTGCAGCAGTCTTCAGAATAAAGGGGCTGGGGGCATATGCGTGGGATTCTGGAAGTAGCTAGTAGGACTTAAAACATATCGAGTTGGTGTAGAACCGGAAACCACGAATACAATTCACCAAATCACGCAATACAGTACTTGGGAAGCTTTTACTAGGAGAGCAATGACAGAAATAAACAAATCATCTCTAAAGGTGGCAGCATTGGCTGCCTCCGGCTTGAGAGGAAATAGCATCGACATTTCACTTTGAAGTTGAGAATTTCACAATTTAGTTCATCTACACAAGATAAAACATTGCTTTTTAGCAATCATTTATCCCATACTCTTGGGAAAAGCGATTCCGCAATCATAGTTGTTTGCTTACCAATTCAGGCTTCAAGTCTTGATACATAGGTAATCTGCCTTCAACCCCGGCGTATGTTGGTCATGCGGATACAGGTATATAAATCCGCTTTCGGACTATAATCCACAGATAAGACGCCGAATATTGCATCGGATTTTTTGTTGCCAACAAACTGAGCATCTTTTGGAGTGCTTTATCCGCTGCCGCTATATTTCCTACGGGGTAGAACGCGTGCTTACACGGTATGCCCCTAGTATAATGCTTTTACCCATGTTCAGCGAGGCAATGAAGGCATTTTTCTAATAAGAAATAGGGCAGTTCTACATGCAGTATATTGCTTTATAGAATAAAATACCGTGGGAAACACGTGGAATCACATCTTGTTTAAAATGAAAAGAGTGCTCCAGAGCAACGTCAAATTCCGTCTACATTCTCTGCAGTAGAATACTAGAAAAAGCGTAGCAGCATCATGGGGTAAGCTACTAAACGCCAACGGAAGTTGCGGATACACCGACAATAACCATGGGCTGAAATGGTCCTCTGGAAACAATTCATTATGGAGAGCTAACTGTTATCTCAGTTCCTTTTATAACTTAAACTCCGTTATTCACGCCGTTGCTCATGGTCTGCTTCCCTGGCGCCTCATAAATGCCTAGTTCGCTCGCTTTAATTTGCAATGCCAGCATCTTCGAATATGTCCGACATAGGGCGAGGCTGCCGCCCATGAACCAAAAGTTGGGATGTCCGCTGTATCGCCAAATCTACGGGGGAGCAAGTTTGTCAGCTCAAGCGCATCTTTATCGTGGCATAGCAGAAATCTTACCGAATTTATTTCGCCCTCTTCGTTCAAGTCCCAATCTTTTCCTAGTCGTGAAGCGACTTTGTCTCCAAAGAGCTTTTGCGCTGTGCTGTGCATTGTTTGGTAGCCTGTTGCCATGATGATTATGTCTGCCTTGAGGTCGGATCCATCTGCAAGAAGCAGCCCCTCTGGTGTAAACGATTTGATTCCTCCAGGATTAGATTTTACTTTGACCTTTCCGTCAATAATGAGCTGGCTGCATCCAACGTCGATGTAATAACCACCTCCACGAGTGACGTATTTACGGTATATGCCGCTTCCGTCTACCCCATAGTCGAGCTTGAATCCGACACTGGTCAATCCGTCTATGATATTCTTGTCGACTGTCTTAATAGCGTTTGTTGTGAAGACATTAAGTGCAAATTGAACAGGCAGTGGTTTGCTTTGGCTGTTGACATCCAAGTCTTCAGTTGGCGGTCCGCCCTCCTCATACGTTCCCGAATGAAGCATTGGGAGGCCTTTCCTTGCCGTCAAGACATGAGTGCTGCCACGTTGGAGCATAGTTACCGATGCGGCACCGCATTCGTGGAAATTCTGGCAAAGGTCGTGCGCTGAAGTCCCAGAACCTATTATCACCACATGTTTGCTAGAGAGGTCGGAATGCTCCGATGCATCCTTGTGCTGACTTCCGTGGTAAACAGCCCCCTGGAAGCTTTCGATACCCTCAAAATGAGGAATGATGGCATCTCCCGCATTTCCCGTCGCTAGAACAATATGCCTTGGTTTAATAAGTCGCATTGAACCGTCCGATCGCTTTACTTCCACAGTCCATATTTTTGCAGTCTCATCGAAGGCGGCGCTCAAGAGTTCGGTGCTGCACCAAACGTTGAGCTCCATTAGGCTAGCATATGCCTCAAGCCAATCTGCAAGTTTATCTTTCGGCATAAACAATGGCCAGTGGGAAGGAAAGGGGATGTATGGGAGGTGGCAGTATTGGATTGGGTCATGGGTCATCAGCGTCTATATGTTCTGCGATTAGCTGTGTAGGATAATCTCAAATGTAGAGTCGTTGGGTCAAACCTTGTAACGTTTGCGCCAACTATCGCCAACACGGCTATTTTTCTCAACGACTAATGCTGGCACTCCGAGTTGCTGGAGCCGGGCGGCCGTAGAAAGACCAGATTGACCGGCACCTACTATAAGCACAGCCGGGCCTTCATCGAGAAACTCCTTTTGCCTCTCACGTCGCTGTTGCCAGTTGCCACCTGTCGTGTCAACGTAACCTTCTGGGCGCGTAAATCCTGTCTTCTCCTCATGGTCTTTGATCTCTTGGAGGGTAAAATGGAGTAAATAGCACTTCCACTGGTCTCCATCTTCATCATCCAATACTAGTCGAATCATCCCCTTTCCACGGCCGCGACGTGACTCGAATTCGAACATACTCTCGACCCATTGCATGTCCGGACATGGGTTCTTGAAGCTCGGCTGAAATGTGCCATAATCACGCAGCCGAATGCTACTGATACCGGCATCGTAGTTGTTTTGAAGATAGTTGAGGACGTTGTCACGACCTTGAAGGGTTCGGAAGTCCCAAGTAAAAGAGAGTAAGTCGCGAATCCAGGCTTCTTTGACAAAAGCTTTTTCGAGTCCTTCTCTGTCGTTTCTTTGCAAAGCGTGCTCAAAATCTTTTACCCAGCGCTCCGAAACATTTCTTGCGTACGATTGCGAGACGTTACCCTGTTGTTTGAACGTGGGTAATGTGATGATGTGGGCCATTTTGTTGGCGCAGTGAAGTCAGCTTAACAGCCAACTATTACCAATGGGTGTTATGAAAGTGTTTCGAACAATGACTTTTGTCATGATTGTGGACTATATATAGATTTACTGAGCGGGCAGCTTTTGGAATCCCACAGCCGAAAGATAACCAAACGGATACGTATGCCATGATGCATTACAACGTCCACGTGCTCATACAATGGCCCATTGACGTCCGATATCGTCTACAAGTCCAAAGCCACCTCGAATCTAGACCGCTAACAGCGAGACTATATCTCCAGTTCAAGACTATTGTGCAGCGATGAACAACCAGTTACTTCGGTCTATATCGCCCGAGAGCAGTTTATGGCCCATTTAATTACTATTGGAGCTGCATGTACACATGGCTGGCAGTTATTCGCCCTTGAAGCAGCGTATGTAAGTAAGCCTAAGGCACGGGTGTAATCTGATCATTAAGCACAGCTCCTTTATGAATACACTCGAAGTGGTCGTGATCGATAGCGCAGCAGCGGTTGGCGTTGCCATAGAGCATCATCTGCTGAATAGTACTTTGAGTCTTCTTGTTCAAGTATATCTAAGTGCGCATTACTGAATATGGATTCTCTTCAACTATTGCAAGCTGCTGCTTCATCATAAGACTGGCTGCGGAGATCCATCTCCGCTCACGCGCTCTCTAGATCTGACCAAAAACAGCACCTCCGCACCAACTCCTCTCCCTCAAATCTCAATTATGGATCGTCTCCACGATTAGAATTGTCCGGGCTCAACTCCCCCGCACCCGAAGTCGGCCATACATTGCCCGAACACGGCCTGACTCTTGAAGACATTCCTTCTTTGTACACCAGTTTCAGCATCTTGTTTAAGTAACCGCCTGCTCTATCAATAAGTCTTCCATACAATTTTTGCTCTTTTCCTCTTCTTTTTTAAATAAACATAAACATGTCGCCGGGTACTCCCTTCAGAGGTACGCACAATAGCAGGACAGCACTCTTGCTTCAGTCGCGGTAGTAGAGGTCAGACAGAACGCATCCCATATTATTTGGCGACACGCAGGGCGGTAATTATTCTATAAGCTGGTCATTTCACTCACTGTTTTCGATGAAAATCTACAAAAATGTTGCAACTTTCAATGTTTCATTACTGCAGGCATACATAGGTTCAATAGTATTGTCACGTGTAAGCTACGGGCATAGCGTTCAATTTCTGGCTTCACTATAAAGTCGAAGTGCATTAACTCGATTCCTCCAAATACCGCTTTATCCCAAGTTTTAGTCACAATCTCCCTCTCTTTTCGATAATCTCCAACTTACAAGCCTCTCAATCCGAGATGGATCCTGATTTCCAGTCTGTCGTTCCAATTTTACGAATCTTCGATGTCAAAAAAGCCGACGAATTCTACCTAGATTTCTTGGGATTCACAGTGGATTGGGACCACCATTTCGACGATAACGCGCCACTGTATCGTCAAATTTCCAAAGGTAGTCTCATTCTACACCTTAGTGAGCATCACGGAGATGGTAGCCCTGGCACAAAGATTCGCGTCATGATGAAACAGGGCATTGTCGGGTATCATCAGGAGCTCATCACAAAAAAGTATCGATACATGAGGCCAGGGATAGAAAAGGGCTATGGAGGGCCGAACTCTCAAGAAGTTACCGTGATTGATCCCTTTGGCAACACAATCACATTTTGTCAGGCTGAAAAGGATGAATAACAAGTTGACATGGCTATTTTAAAGGATAGGCAAGCTCTGCAACATCCATCAGATAAGATCTCATCAAGCACATGCATCATAATAATACTCGACGTCTCAACAAACACATGAAAAACAATTTGATATCATCTCCTCCACCCTCTTTATCTCCCAAATAAAAAATATCGCACATATTCCGATTCATGAGGCACCATGAGAAGCGTAAAATGAAAGTGAGTTTCAACTTCGAGACGGGCGCGTCTTACGTCCGCGGAACACAATTACTCCTTCTTCCCCTTCTTGATCGTCTGGTTCTCCAAAAGTGCTTCGTTTGTCCTCTTCTTCGATGGTATTGGGAATTGACACACTTGCTATTGACAAGCTTCCCATTCTCGAAGTAAGGTCACTGGGGTCAGTCTTCTGATCCCTTCGCCACGGTTGTGCGGAGAACGAGTTGGAGTCGTGTTTTCTACCTTGCAACACTTGAGTTTCGAGCGATCGTGCCGCATCTGCTCGGATTTTCTTGTTCATTGCGTTTAGCAACCTTTCTGTCTCATCCATCGCCTTGTTGTTATAAACATCAGGCACTCGCCAATGAGGATAGAGGTTGCCGTGTGACTCGCGAACTTGCACTTTCTCTGGATGTTCTTCGAAATAGTAATTGCAAAGGCGACAGGTCGGCTTGCTACTCCCAACATATCTCCAGCTGTGCCAGAATCCGACATCGACATTGTCACGCAGGTGATTCAGTACGTAGTCCAGGACAAGAACTTCAGCATGAACCATGTGCGTATGGGAAGCAGAATTGCACTCCTTCAAAATATTTGCGTCCAAGTCGAGATCTTGCAGCTGTTCGGCCATGGACCGGTGCCTCTCTATTATTTCTGCGGAAGAACTCATTCTTCCCACTATCTCGGATGCGTTTGATCGCTTTTTGTTTAATGGATGCGGGATCATCGGAGCCGATGGAATTACTGTCACTTTAATATCGTGGAATAGTCGGTCCCAGAGCCGGCTCGCGCGAATTATTGTTTCGACAGCGAGGTAATATGAGTGTAGGCGACCAACGAAGTGGCGAAGCTCCAACCACTGCTTGGAGCTGTCCATCTGGCCTTCTCTTGCTTGCTCTGAAATCGAGTCTCCGAATTTCCGACGTTGAGCCTCGTGAAGGAATAAGAAGAGTTTTTCACAAGCAGGAAAGTCTATATGTGACTTTGTCAGCAATTGGGTTATACTCCAGCAGCATCGGGAAAATTGACGTACATTGCGTATCCTCGAGCCGTTTATCGTCTCCGAACTTGACCAATTTTGTCAGTTCAGAAAGCTGAGCTCTAAACCTTGAGGCATCCGATGCTATCGTTTAGAAGGAAACATAAGCCAAGTCTTTCACTCATGATCGCGAAAGGGGTGACTCACACAACGAGCTTTTGCCATGTCGTCTATCATAGTCCAGAATGCATTCTTCCAAATACGCAATAGTATTGGTAAGATAAAATCTGACGCGATTTCCGTCGAATTTGAGGATATGCCACAGCGCTTCTCTGTGTACCTGAGATCCGTTACTCGCAGGTTGCCCTGTAGATTTTGCTACAATTCCGAGTAGCTGCTCCACAAACAGTTTGACATCGGGCAACTTTGATGCTTTTCGGTTATTGAACCCTATAATATAGTGAACACCCTCGGGTTCTTCCAGCACCGCAATGCCGGAAACTGTAGATCCGTTCTCGCCACGTTTGTTGTCGCAAACTTGAGCAAGCCGGTTGACAAAGCACTTAAAAGTCTGTTCCGCGCTGTCGACGCTATCTCTCATGGTATTTGGCTCGTGCTGCGTGGCGGAAAAGTCCTGCTGCGGTCGGATCTTCTTCAGAGCTACCTCGAGGAGGATGGGCTCGTAGAAGCGCCGGGCGAGCTTTGCGCGCAATGGGATGGGCTTGGTCATATCAGCGCTGGTACCTTCAAGGCATAAATAGTTAGCATCGAGCATGTATGATGTTGGGTTGACATACGAGTAGCTGATGGCATGTTTGCGACACTTTGTCTCACGGCCGATGACCTTGATGCAGTAGCGAAGTTGGTTTTTACAAGAAGAAAAAATAACTCTAAATTCGCATATTGGTTTAAGCAGTTGGTTTTTGTTGTCGATTATTCCCCGCTTCAAGTTGATCCGAACATCTCTATTTAAATCAGCTGGAAGCCGCTCCCAAATTCCCAGAGACGTACAATTTTCTTGTGTGGCATCATCATACATGTCCTCGCGTATTCCAAGGCGAAGCGCCGTACAAAATGCGATTTGGGCTGACATGGGGATTCTCATCGTATCATTGGATGCCACGCTACACACAATTCACCTCTCAGTCAGCCTGTAGGCCTCCCTATGTGACCGTAATCCGTTCGCGTCTCAGACATCTGGGCGGCCTACAAAGGACAAACGGGGCCTCTGGGCCAGCCAGGCTGTGATGGGGTCTACAGAATCCCATCGAATTAATCGAGTCCGCCTTATTGGGCGACTGGGCTGTGGGAGGTCTACGGCTGTGGGTGGCCTACAGAATTAAGCCTGCAAGCCTTGCGGGTTTCTTATGCAAGCGCCTGGTTTCATCCAGCGGCAGCTTGCAGGGGTAACATGTGTTGGCCCATGTTTGGCTGGGCGCGCAAATGAGGCATTGCAGCTTTTGTTCGTTGAATGGAGAACATAGATGTAGTAGTTTTGTATCTGGGGGGCATGTTGGGCAGATATGCACCGACACGAGATGCAATGCAAGGCATTTTGATCGGTTATGAGGGGGAATGAAACCAAGTAAACACTGGGTAGACGTAGATTCTCACGTTGCTGGGCGAATTCAACGCCAACAAGCCACATCAACCTATCAGCATCCATCTTTCTCCCTCATGTTGAAGGACAAGTCTCCACTGCTATCAAATAGGACTCCGCTCTCGACAAGGATTTATTTACTTATGCTCGTGGGCCACCCACGTCAAAGAAGCTAGGATTCCCATCTCCCATCCCAACCGGCCTTGGAGAACGACTAAGGTCATCTGTGTCGAATACGGAGCACACACTTTGGCATGACGAAGAACCAAACGCAAACTATATTGGTGTGCTCTGATATACACTTGAGGGCATAAACGCACTTAAGAAGAGTCTGCTTCTTCGATTCCGCTTTCGATATAGCTCCCATTCCCAGTATAAGGGATTCATATATACGGTATTTGTCTTGCTAATTTCCTAGCTTGGTCCATGCTGACTTTTGCATCCGTTGTTTTTTCAGTCCATCATCCAACATCTCCCTTAATTGCAGCGTCCAAGATACTTTCATACAGATCCTGGTGAGCATACACTGTGCGTGCTGTCTTCTTCAGCTGAATACTTATTGTCAATTCGCTCTTTGTAAGACTGCTGCGTGCATGTAGAGGGTGTGCCACTCGATCAGTTGGATTACTACAGTCTTCTAAAGAGCGGCCACGCCACTGGTATCGGCACTATAGCCAGTAGCACCGGAAGGGTGGACCGAATTTACCCACTCAATCTCTGTCGAAACATCTCAACAGCAACAGAGGTGGATCAGAATATCGCTGTGATTGGCAATATCGAGCGATATATTCTTATATACCGATGACAGGAACCCGAGGATCCATGTTAGAGTGGCGGACATAAACACCACTACTCAGAATGGACCGGGACGGCAACGGTCCCTTTAGGCTCGGCGCCGCCAATCCCCTCCTGGGGGATGAGACATACGGCGAAGAGGGTCAAGGCTTCCCGGAGGCTATAGCGGATGCATTTACGAATCAATCTACCGGACATGATGCATATGGCGCACAGGAATGGGGAGATGGGGGCACACTTAACCCAAGCATGTTACAAGGCTCGGATCTTACGCCCCCTGGGGTTGCCTTAGGTATACCGACAGGCCCCTCCGGCGACGCTTATGTAGACTCCGTTCCGTCTGGAATCGAAGGCTCCCATGACGAGACTTAGACTCTGAATGGCTTACCAACAGGTTCGCTATTTGGACTCCAAGAGCGAACGAGCAACGATTTTCATGGAGCAGAGGATCACACGCCTGCCGTTGACAATTTGTCTCCCATTTCTTTTTCTTTTTCTGATTTCTCTTCTGATTGGAGTTTTGAGAATGACCCCGATGCCATGAATTTCGACACATCTGGACCTTTGACTGCAGGTACTTTGGGGGAATACTTTCCTTCTTCCGGGGCTGGGGCCGACTCGCCATCTCCAACCGGGTCTCCAACGGGGTCTCCAACTGTGGCTTTGCCTTTTGTGTGCGATAGAGCTGGATGCTCAAAGTCTTTTGAGAAAAATCATCAGCTCAAGTAAGTTGACCTTTACTTTATACCACGATGATACCTTCATGGTACTTCATTCATCTTACACTGTTTGACTTCATGAAAGATGAAAGAGAACTTGACTAACCTCAGGTACTCTTGCAGTCGCCACCTGGGATGGCACGACAAAAAGTTACAATGCCCTCTTCACCCGGATTGTGATAAGCGTTACCAGTACAAAAAGGATCTTGAGAAACACATCTGGAGTCACCACCAAAAATGGGCGGAGGATACCGGCCGTCCGCCAATTCGAACCAAGTGCAAGATCTGTGGGGTTATTTTGGAGCGGCCAGACAATGCTAAACGCCATATGGACGAAGTCCACAAGAAGATCAAGAGAAGACGAGGTCCAGGGGGTTAAAGATTCTGGCATATTTCTGTTGTATTGCGCGTGTCTGTTTGTGCATTTCTCATAGTTTCAGCTAGCCATGTTCTGATGTTTGTATTGCAATCACTTAGCTATTTCCTTATTCTATTCTACTTCAAGCAGCCGCTTCATCGTATTTCCCATGACCCCTGGATGCGGGACTACCACCGCACCAGCATCCTCGAGTGCCTTTGCTTTGATATCCGCAGGTACATCCCAGGGGGTGAGCACAGCACCCGCATGACCCATGATCCTTCCCAGTGGAGCCGTCTTCCCGGCTACCATTGCTACAATTGGCTTGGGGCGAGGAGTTGATTGTCGATATTCACGGATCAGCTCTGCGGCTCTAAGTTCCGCTTCTCCACCAATTTCACCTATCACGATGATTCCTTTCGTCTCTTCATCGTCGAAAAAGAGTCGAAGGCCATCTGCCAAGGTAGTACCTATATGTACACTGTGTTAGCCACAATGCCCAAGTTTAGGCATCAATAGTTGCATGTATTCTCACCTGGAAGTAAGTCCCCTCCCATACCTAACACTATGCTCTGTCCCAGTCCAACTGCGGTCGTTGCACCCACAGCCTCGTAGCTCAAAGTCCCCGACTTGGATACAATGCCTATACAGCCTTTCTGATACTGCTTATACGGCATGATGCCAACTCGACACTGTTCTGGAGCTATTATTCCCGGACAGTTTGGTCCTACGAGCCGAGTCTTGCTCTGTGTACGAAGTATCTCATGTACCCGTAGCATGTCATGCACTGGAATATGCTCCGCCACAGATACAACCAGTGGAACTTCAGCCTCTATGGACTCTATGATGGCTTTGGCTGCGAACTGAGCCGGTACAAAAACAGCGCTCACATGAGGTCGGACCGTTTTCATGGCCTGCGAATGGCATGAGAACACGACTCCCCGGGGGTGCGACACAGAGTTGGGGGGTGCTCACCTCCTCGACGGTATTGAAGACTGGTAAATTAAGGTGCGTCGAGCCTCCCTTGCCAGGTGATATGCCTCCCACGATGCGGGTGCCATATGCAATAGTATCCTTAGCATTTACCGTCGCCTTGATGAATCATCCCGTCATTAGTATGACAGTTCACGACAGTGAGGGGTCTCGTATTTACTGCTTTCCCTGTAAACCCTACACGCTATATAAGTAAAGTACACAGATCCATGGAATCATGCTTATTACCTTGATATACTACAGCCGTGTTTTTATCCAGCCTCAGGTTGGAGATTGTGCTATCATAGGCATTTATGCATCGGGCAGCCGAGGTTGAGAACCTTCGTCGCCAAACTGAGGGGCGGCTTCGAGTTGCTCTGAAAATTGGCACCACCATCGTATATAAGCAATGCTGTGATCAGCTGAAAAGTCTCATGAAATATAGAATTTGACCAGTAATTGAGTGTCTGTATATTGTTCATGCATATGCGGTATATGTTGGGTACGTGGCTACGAAAGACATGTTGTTCAGGTAAGTAATGAGAATATGAGACTATGGATGCCGAATAGAGCCCCGTTTTAATCAGCAAATGGCTATATGCACTGCTATGGATCCAGATAAGACGGCTATTCAGGGCGTTCCAAAAGCAAACAAGCGCAATGAGTAAAGTTGTATATGAATTACAAGATAGACGATGATGGACTATTATGTCTGAAACCAAACTTCCATGGCGCTGGCCATTTCGCAGTATAAAGGTACACATGCTCGCAGCGATATTGCCGAGTTCTAGGGTAGCAATATGAGGAGGGCATATAGATCTCCAGTGCTCTAAATAGCTGTCCAGATGGTGACCGGTTACTGAGGTATCTGTACCCAGTAACAGTGCCGGTGTAAATGTAAATTCAAAGAAATATAGATGGGAGAGAGAGAACTCTGAGCGATAGGCTGAACTATATAAGCAACTCCATGTCCTGTGCATGAGATTCATCCCAATCAGATGACGCAGTTTTGCGCTACCAGACGCAGGGAATGGAGGCGGGAGGAAGCCCCACGTCATCGTTCACACATGCATTGACATCTCTCAGAGCTACAAAGGTGTTCATCTCCTCTTTGCTGATACGTAGGTACAGTTGGGAATTATACTCGTCGTACCTTAGCCTAGCACAACCTATGAAGTCAAAACGGAGGTGAAATCGCGATCATATATATACTTTTTCCACATGCTGTCCGCAAATCATCCGCGGTACGCGAACCAAGTGTGGCTGTGTCGCTGTGATCATCTAGGAATAACGTTGAAAGTCGTAGAACAGACCGCTGAAACCTGCTTGTCTCGGACACGACCGATTTCGGAGGAATTCGGAAACTGTAGCACCGATGTGCCCTGACTTGGTGAGAGTGCCTGCAAGGACAGCGACAGAGCAGAATCTGCTGCTTGCCTGCACGGATCTTTGATGAGCGCATCTTGCATGACGCCCATTCCTACGAAGCAGCCTCTTACTGTGATGGGTATGAAGCACTCGCATCGCACAAAACATTTGTTGAATTCGCAAAGAAATCAAAGCCTCGGCATCTGGTAGTTCAAGTATTCCCAATTGTCCAATCGACCCCCCCAAAGAGGTTACACACCATATGCGCTCTTCGGTCGGCCAAAGCCGAAGTTTGTGTATTTACTTTGTAAGCCCTGGCCAACCTCGTCGACAGCTTCACGTTGGTTGTTTGTCTTGGGGAGAATTTGGAAACAGAAAAACCCAGGGAACGAGGCTTCTGCTTTGAAATGTCACCATAAACCCTTCCAACCAACGCTCCTGCGACAGAGAGGCGCCTACTCGACACTATTTTCAACCCGGACCAAGCTTGCTGCATTCATTGCCCCATAGCAAGTTTGCAAAGCCACCCTGTGCTGTGGCTGGTTGGCTGCTCCCACACTAGACATCGTCTCACCCACCTTCGAAGCCTGGCCTCGTGCGCATAGCGTCATGCCGAATGCGTCCTCGTGCTCTTGAAGGCAGCAGGCTGCAGTGGCTATGGGACTGAGTGACTGCAGCAACAGCATCAGGATGAGCTGAAGGGCCGAGTCAAGGGCTCGCCGGCCTTCCTTTTCTCCCCCTCCCTCCTCTGTCAACCTCTATCCATACACATGCATGTGTCGACAAAACGAGACGCGCAATAATACCTTCCAGAAACAAGATCCTAGACCGCCGTGAAATGCCATTACCGAACCGATGCCTCGCAGCAAGCTGCCCTTTCGATCGAGCTCTGTCAAGGCCATGGGCTCCAGCCTCTTCTCCCGAGGCCGTCGCGAAGATGCACACAAGGATATGATGAAGCAATCGGGCGAGCCACGGCGTCGTCGGGCGTCTATTTCGGCGGGCGAGCGGCCGACTCCGGAATTCCAGCGGCAATCTGTGGCGAAAGATTCCAGGTCGCACCAGGAGGTTCAGAGGCCGACGATGCCGCCCCCATCGGCTTCATCCAGCAGGGCTCGAAGCCCGCCACGACGGGAGTCCTTGTCTCGAGGGTCTGTATCGCCTCATTCTCGCCAGAGAGCATCCGGCAGTGGAGATGCTCGCCGCAGCCACCAGTCCCGATCGCCTCCTCGACGACGATATTCCTCTTCGGAAATTCCTCGACCACGAGAGATGGCGCACCAACCTCAGTCGCCGGCACCTTCACGATCGCAACGGAGTGGCAGCCATGAACGGCGTGACCGACATGGATATGGCGGTGCAGTGGCTACAGGCGTACCTCCGTCCTCTCCACATCTTGCTCCCAAATCTGAATTATACAACTCCTCAAGTTCAAGGGAGGCTCGGCAGGAGGCCCGACGATACCCGCCTTCAGCATCGGCGAATAATAGACCGCAGCCTGCGAAGCGAGGCAGCTCTCCCTATCAGAGACCGTCTACAACATCTGATAACAAACATCGCTCCGCTTCCGCAGATGGCTACGATAGGAACTCTCATTCTCAGCAAAGCTCTTCCCAACACCCAACCTCGCCGCCTCGCCGTCCGAAGCACGAGCGCAGAGGCTCAGACAGCTTCTTCAGCAAATTCCCAACTTCATTTGCGACATATGCGGGAATCCGAGCGCTGTCGGAGCATGCCGACAAGGCTAAAGAATGGGTTGAGTGGTTCAACGACGTAAACGACGCCCCGGACGAGATCCGCGCTCTCTCTACTCGGATATCCACCACGCGTGACACTATCCAGCAAATGAAAGAGTGCCTAGAGGCCAGGCCAGACCTTATTGAGGACGAATCAGGACAGGTCCTCAAGTCTCATATTGAAGACGCCATCGAGAGCACCAGTGAGACATTGAAAAAAATGACGAAATTACTGGCGAGTTTTTCTGGAGCTGCCAAGCAAGACAGCACAGCTCTTGGACGCTTGGAAGGCTTTTGGCATTCATACAATTATAAGAATGAGGGTGAGGAGCAGATCAAAGCCGCCGATGCTGAGTTGCAGCAACAGTTGTTGCAACTTGGTACTCTCATGTCCAATATCTACGCGTTCGTACATCACTCTTCCCTCATTTACTTGGCAATACTAACAAGCAGCAGTCGAGCTTTGAAAAGACCATCACCAGGCATCGCCACACCGAATGCATCTACACCCCCTCAAACGGCGGCAAGGATGAATCCAACGCTAAACACATCAATACCGATGCAGCAGCCGGCAACTTCAATACCCAACCGACCTCCTCCATCACCGCAATTGTCCCCCAAATCCAAAGGGCAATTTGAGGCAACTGGGAATCTTCCAAAAGTCGTCCCAAATCCGCCGACTCCTCCGCGCTCAGAACCATCAGTTGATCAGCCTCAGTCCCATGGCTCTGCCAATACAAGCACAACGGGACTTGATCCGCGTAACACAACTTCACTTCCGAATCCAAAAGATATCTTGCTGGATGCTGCTTGGGAAGGTGACGTCAAAACTGTGGCCAACTGCATGCGTCAGGCCCCCCCCGACTCATGCGATCCTCATGGACTGACACCACTGCATCTCGCTGTCGAGCGTGACCACATGGCCGTCGCCATGTATCTTCTTGATCATGGCGCAAATGTTCACGCTCGTGCTGACGGTGGCTGCATGCCTCTTCACTTGGCAGCGCGTTATTCGACTGCTGCCACAGTAGAGATGCTTATCGAGCGCGGCAAGGCTGATCCCAACTGCCAGACCACTGATGGAAGGACGCCACTTCATTATGCTGCTCGATCTGCCGAGGATGGAGATGCGGAGCGACGAGAAGTGATTCGCGCATTACGCGATTTAGGAGCCAATCCTACGATCCGGAATAGGAGAGGCGAATTGGCTAGAGATGTGGCTAAGAAGAGAGAGTACTGGGATGCGGCTGCAACACTGAGCAGAGCTGAACAGAGGTGGGAGCAACGGCAGCAGCAGGAGTTACACAAGCAGCAACAGCAACAACAACGAGAACAACAGCAGAGGGAACTACAGCAGAGAGAACAACAGCAGAGGGAACAACAGCAGAGAGAACAACAGCAGAGGGAACAGCAGCTGCAAGAACAACAGCAGAGAGAACAGCAACAGCGAGAACAACAGCAGAGAGAACAACACCAACTCAGAGAAGAAGCCATGAGAAGCACAAGAGAGAGCAATCCACCGAAAAAGGAGGGCGGTTGGCTGCAAAGGTACAGGCGAAAGAAATAACGACTTACGACGACTTTGATGATATATATTCTCTCTACATATATGCACTTCTAATGTGGGATGCATACATACATATGGCGCAGTCTTTTGTTGAGGATACTCGCTTTACTATATATTTGTTTTATGATTGACGAACTCATCATCTACATCAATTAGACTAATGCTATTTCTTTCCCGCTTTCAAAGCATAATAATTTCTCAAAAGAATCTCCACAAAGAGTCTGCGTGCCTTGTGCTCTTGAAACGGCTATAATAAAAACAGGCTGGCCACATAATGAGAAGCAAAAGACACCAGAAAGTGAAATAAACAAAGAGATTGGTGATGCCTTTGGTGTTTCCTGGATGCATAGGATCCGAGTGACCGGCGTCAGTGCCAAAAAGGTTTTTGAGCAGCGTGCCCAGAGGAGACATGACAAGGTTTAGATGGACAACATAGAAGAACAGGGACGAAGTGCCAAAGCTCAGAAGCATACCGAAGCGCTTCGCAACGTGCACAGGGATGGAGCTAAAAGCCCCGAGCATAAACAGATTGCCAGCCATGGTGAAGGCCCAAAAGGCAACATCAGGAGGGTATTTGATGATGTAGAAGAAGGATGCTGCCGAGGCAAGGTAGGGGTTTTCGTTGGCAGTCTGAGCATCCTGAGCGGGAGTATGCAAACAAGCCTCCGAAAGGTTGCCCACACGCAGGAGCCTGGTGAGAACAAAAATGGCGGAAAAGATGATGCCCGCAGATGCGTGGCCGATGGCAATAGCAGAGACTGTCCATTTACGGGCAGAAATGATGCGGCCGTAGAGAAGTCCGAGAATGGCAAAGGAGAGCCATGCCATAGGGGGGAAATTCGACATGACGTGCTCAGTAGAGACGTACCAGAACCATATGGCGAGTAAAGGATGCTTCGATGTAGGGACGAATTGAGTTGAAGCGGAACCGTCAGATCCCTCCGTGTCAATGCTGCAATGGCCATGATCCTCAGATAGCCAGATATTCCACCAAATGGTAATGACGCTCAGAACAACGAGGAAAATGTTGTGGATATGCCATGATAGCGATGAAGCCGTTGCCGCTCTCTCGCTTTCTCTGGCCGCGTGCCTTCGTCCGAGTAGCAAGGGCTGGCTAACTCCTCCCTCTTCATCTTCGTCATCATCAATCCCGGCGACGTACACGGCTCCAGATCGCTTGTCCATTATCAAAAGGCCTCTCTCCAGCACCCCGCCGAGCCAGTTCTCAGTTCGATCCATCAGCAGCCACAGCATCCCTGCTAAGACATAGTCGACTCCAAGGGAGAATAAAACCACGTTCATGAACCATAATTGGCCTCCTGACGCCACAAGTCCGATTATCCAAGTCACTGCAGTCAACACAAGACCTCTCACGGCATAGTATTGCATTAGCCTGCCTGCCGACCATCCGAGGCGAGTACGTGACTGAGACAAGAGAACGACCCCCATTCCCAGAAGAAACGTAAATCCCGGAGCACAGAAATGGGTCAACGTGCGAACGATATAGGCAGTGGTGAAGTTCCAGCGGCGCACTATAAGACCATCCATCTCCCCGTCAATGTTTGTCCCATGTTGCCAAGTATTTAGACCGAGAGCGAGATGATCCAGGGCCATCAGGGCCATGAGAAGGCCGCGCTGGAGGTCGGGAGCAAGGAGTCGGACCGTCGGCTTTGCTATAGGAGGGGGAGAAGATGACAACGAGGGCGATTCGGTTCGTGAAGATGCATTCGGATCGGACATTGAACCATATCGGTAGCCATTTTCGCTGCGGGAAGAAGCCTCTGAAGAAGAAGCCATCGTGGCGTTGGTTGTTGACGGGCTGTCGCCAACCCGAAGCCACGCTGTATGAAAAGCAACTTGAGGACAAAAGACAAGCTCAGCTACTCGGAAGGGCAATTACGGCAGAAGATGTATTAAAAAGTTAAAAGAAAGAAATCCTACGCTGCCCAAACTCCGCGAAAGACTCCGCCCTCCTCAACAGCTCCGACACAAGATAGCACTCGCACTACCTCCATCGCGTTTTCCGACTTCCGACGTCAAAACAGTTTAATGACGAACCCCTGGGACTTTTTCCAGTGGGATCCTTTGCAAAAATCCGACCGGGGGGGGGGGCAACAGATTCCATTGACCCGCCCCGACGAGTCCGAGGCTAGACTGAATGGCTCTAGAGTCATTAGGCCGACTAAGCGCGCGGGCAGAGTCATAATGCGGACTTGTTTACTGCTGGCCTTTCTTGATGTCAGCATTGTAAATGGGCGGTCCCGAGATAAACTTCTTATCAATCAGGAGAATGACCAAGAGGAGGCGTAAGGAACACGCGAAGAGTAAGCACTTGGTCCAGGAGAGTTACGCCTTGAGGCGGTTTACTCCAACGTGTGCCTTTCTTACGTGTTCGTGTCCGTCCTCTGGAAACTCTCTCCACATTTCTAGTTGAAGCACAGTAATCGTATTCAACAATATACGGAACAGCTACCCGCATCAGTTCGTAGTCCGCAAGCGCGGTGCCGAGTACTAATCAACCAAATCAAAGCGGCTCAGCTACCCGAGTCTCTTATCCGTACCGAACTAAAACATGCCATAACAGCTTCAACTCCTGCAATCCTTGGTCTAAATCTCCTCTATCCCCCAGCAAATCAGCACAAGCAACCCAATCTTTCACTGCCTCTCCAATAATCTGTACATCCACGATGCCATTAAGCGCAATTTGAGCCGCCAAGGGTGGCATCGTTGGCCCTCGGAAGTCACTAGGAATACTCCCCGAAGACAGCTGGAATCCGTGATGTGCAAAGACTGGGAATTTATATGTTTCGCCTAGAGCCAGGAGAAGGAGCCCAGTGCCGCCTCGCGTGAAAAACGACGGATCGACAATCAGGGCTTCGACATCTCGTGAAAGAAGAACATCGCCGTGGATCTGCGCCTCGATCAAGTGATCCAGGTTACGGCTTGGTGGTCTTTGGTAAATATCTTTTACGAGAGGCGATTTGCTCAATGCGTCGATATACTCCACCATCCTTTTCGGTCGTACTTTTTCTACACCCAGAGCTGTATCTCGCGTGAAGGATTCTTCCAAGAGAGCGGCTAATATCCCATCGAATTCATCCGCTGTGCCTCTTTCTTTTGGGATTGCTTGAGAACCACCAAAGGTAAACGTAGACCGAGACGACACTACTGGTCGAAGTAAGAAATAGCAAGACCCGAATCGCGGAGCTGGCCCGTCAGAATTACGCATCAAGTCCAAAGCACCGTATTTTGGTCTTAGTGTCGGATCGAAGGCATTCGCCGCAGTATCTGGGTTGCCAGTGTCATGATATGCACCGCTGAAAAGGCTTCGCTCCCACTCGTCTCGCGCACCGCCCAGCTGAGTCGCAACAAGGCCGTTGGAGATGCCAGTTTCGAATTGATTCCGGCATGTGTCGTCCTTTAAGAGGGACTCAACGACGGTACGCCCACTACGAGACGGACGATCGGGGTGAAAATGCAACGCAACCCGGGCATGCTGAACTACAGTCTTTCGGATACCATCTAGCCTCGCTATTGGGATGTTGGACATGCGCAAAATGTGTGAGATGGTTTGGAGAGCGTCTGGTTTAAGCGCTGCTGCCTGGGCTTTGATATTGGCAATGGCAGCTGCCTGAGAAGGATGCAACGCCGGCATAGTTTTTTGTGATGATGCCATTTCCAACAATCATGCCATATCCATATGCATGAAGGTGTTGATGAGTGAGTGTACGCACAATGGTGATTTATCAGAGAGGAGTCCAACGAATACGTGAGTTGACCGCAATGACTCACAGCGACATCCATGTCTGTAGGATTCATGAGATGGAACTAATTCTGTAACTTTGGCCATTCAGTATTTAGGTTAATCTAATGAACTGCACTACTGTTGTCGCCTCCAATCAAAACGATTCATCCATCCCTGGTGTGCATGCAACGTATCGTTTCTTTATATTCCGTATACCTCGTATACACTAGTGGGTTGCAGGAGATCCTGCCTCTCTGCTCGGGTCCTGTAGCCTCGCCAACTCCAACAGCAGTCGATACATGTACACCGCCATGTCCTTTTCTCTCATTGCCTTGAAGAACCAATCTCGACCCTGCTCTGCAATTTCTCTGGCCCTATTTTGTCCGGCCTCGGTTGATGTCAAATAGAACACCAACTCCGGAAGCTCTTCCAAACTCTGGCTGACTGGGATGTAATGAACCCAGGGAACGAGGCGATCATCGTGCCATTCTCTGAGGAGCGTTTGCTTCATTGGTGCCGACTTTGATGCGAGCAGCTTGTAATAGCGACCACTAATACCATTTCCATCGAGATCAAAGACTAGACGTGACTTGAGTGCTTTGTCCTTATCTGCCCACCCACCGACCTTGAAGAATCTCTTCTGATCTCTGCAGTATTTCCTGTCGCATTGGAATATCCTGGTAAAGGCGACGTCAAAGAGCCGACCGTTAAGAAACGTTGACGCAACGCGCTGGATTACACCGCCAATCTGTCGCAAATAGTAAAACTCTTGTCGCTCTATGTTTTGTGCCAGCTTCACAAATCTTTGCCTCTGGTAGTTTCTCCAGTTTGCATCTGTGGCAAACCCGCCGGTCGTGGATCCAGCCCAGTAGAGGTTGTTACGCTTTTTATCCCAGCCAACCTCTTTTGAGTCGTCGTATATAAATTCTCCTTCAATGTATGCAGGACTCGGGAGTAAGATGTCGCCCATTGTCGAAGGCGAGCCGGTCGAGAGAGCTGGGATAAACCCCTCGACAAGCGAAAAGGACACGGGGCTCATGAAGAGGCCGTGCATATTGCGATACTCTGGGTGTTCACAGAGATCCATGGCGGAGGATTGATCCGTGACAAATGGTAGATCAAACGCTTGCGATGAAGATTGCGTCTTTGCTTTCTTGCTTTCATCCTTGGACGCACAGAATTTTGTCACCTCATCCCAAATAGGTTGATGGGACATGCTGGTGATGTTAAACTGCGGATGGTTACGGGCCTCATCCGCTCCCCACGTCGGGATTAATATCCGCGGCTCATCAAAATGATTCACCAGAAACTTGACGTCGGGAAGAGCGCCATCTAGTCCTTGGAATAGCGTATCAAGTAGAACCTTGAGATGTCTATCGAAAACTCGATAAGCATGCGCACAGTCCGAGGTAGCAGATTCGCCGTGGAAACTGCAGAACCACATTTCACTGTTTTGCGCAAAGTGAATCTGGCTCATAGTCTCAGCCACCCGTCTCCCGCTGAGTTTCCAAAATGGTGACACGGCATGATAAATTGCGTCAAAATCGTCGATTACAGGAGATTTATGGTGAACTGCAAACTCATACCAAGCTTGGAAGCCTGGCGGCGGCTCAGCGTGGTATCGGAGCTGGTATTGTTCGACAGCCTCTTTGTAAGACGTAGATTGGGTCTTGAGAAGACTCTTAAAGTTGGCCTTGCCACCGCGTACAAGGCTCTCGACGGGGTGCTCTCGCTCAGGGCCGAATGTTTTCGCCGCTTGTTGCGCATCGCGAATCATCCAGAGGTTGGATAAAAGGGGCATTAATGATGCGAGGCCAAACAGCCATAGCACAAGCCTGAATTTTGCTTGTTTCGGTAACAGAGCGCCGAGTTGGCCGAGAGTGATGACGGAAACTAAAGTGTAGGCCACAGCCTGAAAATCTGATGATTCATTTGTTGGATTAGTAGTGAAGGAAATACTAAATGTGGTAATCAGAGGAGCAACAATCCAAGAAGCATCCCGAGCCTGAGCAACAGTTAACGATCCAAAAGTTTGATCCATTGCATGTCCACGGGGAAACCTACCACCTGTATAACGAAATACCAAGATAATGCCTTGATAAAAGCTAGGAAAAAAGTTCGGACTATGGCAGTTGCATTTAATCCAAAAAATACAACGTCGACGCCTGATATAAATAACAGAAGAATAGCAATGCGGACAGAAAGAGGCCGAATGGTATTCTCAAGGTTGATGGACGGGAATATTGTAGATGTCCTATTTCTTGGCAACAAAGCAGTGTATACAATGAAGAGAAAAGCGCTTGGAATGATTGAGAATAAGAATCCCCCAATGCTCCAATTCGAGAATGTGAGAACACCAAAAGAAGCAGCCAGAACGGCACCCCAGTTCGTGCTCACCAAAGGGGAAAATAAGCCAACAGGCTTTGAAGCGCATCCAAGGTAATTTTGAACCGCCAAAAGCAGAGGCGTCAATGCAGGCTGTCGTCATTTAGCACGAGCTCAGTCATTCTTTGTGTAATTGTGCTCTTCTTACCAGAAATTGGACTAACCCAGTCTCCGACCTTAGAAGTGAATAGACAGCAGCGCTCACTGCTACAATCCACAATGAGTATGGAGATGTCGATGCCCCCCTGGCCTTGCCAGAGACTACTGGTCTCAGCAGCGATTTAGGCTGTGGCTGGCTCAGGGACTTGATCAAGACAGGCAGAAAAGCCCAGCATAAGATCTCCGTATCGAGCTCAGAGTCTTGGGAGGACAGCCATTGTGCCAGCGCAGCAAACAGTAGAGCTGCTCCGGCGTATCCAGCACTGGGTCCAGCATCGTCGGCCCTGGGAAGCCACATGATGATGCTTGCCGTTGTGAGCTGTTGATACCGACTCCCACGAGCGACCGCGAGGAAAATGGAGAACGTGGCATGGTGCCTGTACAGGGATCTAAGCCTCCCTTGAAAAGCTCCGGTTCGTATTTAGCACCGTGTTAACGGAGTAATGTGGCTGAAATCGTCGCGTCACGCTTACTTGGTGGATCCCTGGGATTTACGAGCAGCCGATAGAATGAAGGCGATTCAAACTTTTACGCTGGGGCTACGTTTGAGGCTATCTTGAAAAAATTAATATGGCAGTAGAGTTACCACGCAAGCTTGATCTGCGTAAACTTTTAACTAAGATGGAGAATTTGCAAAGTCAAAAGAGCAAGTTAAAGGTTTATTTCGCAATTGTCCTCGCAGCCTATTATTTAATACAATCCCTACTCTACTGTGTATATTCTCATTAATACAGCCATGATACAAGTACGACGAGCGTAGAGCGAATGAAGTAATGGGAAACTCCCACTAACTGCCGCCTGAGTATCATCATTAGCATCAGGTATTCTAATAAGTGACCATAGAAACTTACCACAGCCGGCTCCTCCTCCACAACCTCCTCCACCACCGCCGCCAGCACCCCCAGCACCGTTACCGCCGCATCCAGCACCGCTCGATCCGCATATCTAAGAGATGGTCAGAATTTGCAAAAATGTATTCATCCAGTTGGTACATACCCCTCCGTTGCCGTTATTACATCCTCCAGCACCGCCACAGGCGCCAGCCGCTATGCCTCCATTTCCGCAAGCCGCGGCAGCACAGTTCCCCCATGCTCCTTGGCCGTTGTGAATCGTAGACGGATCCCATCCATAGTACATCCCGGGAGCAAACCACGGCGGGAAAGGATATGGCCCATATACTGATACATGGGTCAGTTTTCATGCAATAATTGAACACCTGTAGCTTCGAGATAAGACTCACTAGTGTATTGAGCACCCCAAAGAGTAAAGTAGTCTTCTTTGGCAGGGAATTTCTGACCCTTCCTCTCCGCTCTCTTTGCCGCCTTTTGATACTCTTGGTCTAGCCATTGGCGCTGTCGAGCACGCGCTCGTGCGGTGACTCTCCTCCGATCTGCCGTTTCGACCGTCTTTACGGCATTATGGTAAGATATATGGGCGGATTTCTCTGGTGGACACGTTTCCGCTGTCTCGGATTTGTGAAAGGACGCTGATAATCTCGCAGTGGATGAGATGCCAAAAAGTCTACCCACAGCCGATATTTGCGAGGAACGAATTGCTACCGTAGAGACCAGAGTATTAGCTTGACACGTCTTTCCTCTTGGAGTGAATGGATGGGCCGACTCACTTTCACAATACCAGCAGGTGCACTCGCTGTACACAGCATCAAACATATCTTGGTAAGTCTTTGTTGTCCATTCAAAGCATCTGCTGAGTTTGTCCTCGTCAATTTTGTCATCGTGATCGATGAATTTTCCAGTCGTCGAAACTGTATAGTAGTAATAGTGTGAGGGGATGAGCTGATGCGTATGCCAAGCCAGATCAACGTCCAGCGTCGGCACCACAACCTTGCCGGGATGCTTCTTCATAATCTGCAAGAAGCGGTCGTATTTGACAATGAGCCGCGTCATGGTATCCCGTGCAGTCGGGCTATGAAGCCAGTCTATCTTGACCATCTTGTCGACAAAGACGCCCTGACGCATAACAGCAGCGCAAAGATCAAGGCCAAATGGAGAAAAGTTCTGCCAGTATCGGCTCATCATCTTGCGGATGCATATACCAGCCCAAGTGTGTATTTGATAGCGAGCAAACAAACCTTTTTCTGAATCTATGTTTCGAATCTTTTTGGTGTTCGTCAGAGTGTCTTGAATCAGATTCCTCACGGCTTTCATATTTAGTCGCTCATGAGCCTTGTTTTCTTCTTCTTCTTTGTTCTTATCCTTCTTCTTTATCTTGTCTTTCTTCGCTTTGCTCTTGGCCTTTTTGGTGATGGGTGTCTGAGACGGCGGTTTGATCAACTCGGGAATTTTGCTCCGTAACTCTCGTTTAATCATGCGGTTGGGGAATGTCCTATAATACTTTTCGCCCTTGGTTCCATCGGGCACAACCTCAGGACGACCGCTGCCCGGATCAAGGATGGTGCCTGGCATCGGCACTGATTGAACTAGAAGAGCGGAAGCATCGGAAACGAATTTTGTCACTGATAGAAGCTCTTTATAGTTTTCATTTTGGCAATTAGGACACTTGTGGTTAAAGTTGCCATCGCCATAGCCATGGCCGATCAGTCCCGTAAACCTGAGAATGTTAATGCATGTGTCAATCGGCGGCATGGCATAGGCGGAGGTTGCCTTACTCGATATCTTTCACATCTTCCTTCATTCCGCATGTCGTCCACGGAATTTCATTCTTGCTAGGGCAGAAGGGACACTTGAGTATCTTCTCCATGTCGTCATCCTGATTCCGCCAGCGATGGCCAGTTTTGGCAACCCAGTTTATCTTCGCTTGGTGGGATACATTATAATTGAAGTCTGTGTCGATGGCTTTGTGTATTAGTTCCCACGGCATGCCAGCTGCCCAAAACGAGCCCATCCCATGTCGTATTGAATCTTCAAGGAAAGCTCGAGGGTTGAGCATATGCGTATGAAGGACCATCAACACATCTGCCATAAAGACATCAGAAGAGATTAGCTCAACCCATTGTAAACCTCATCGTGTTTCCATGTTTCTCACCTAAAGGCGGTAGCATATTTTCCTTCCACCCCAATCCACCGCGGTTTGTAAAACTTCTGTACTTGGGGTCATCAGGTGTTGCCATGTCCTTTTCAGTCAGCATGTCGGTTTCCGTAAGGGAATACCACCAATCCTCATATCGCTCAACTGCACGAGCAACAAACAACGCCCATCTCTTCTCGCGAATCCTCGCTTGGCCGGCCAGTGTCACAGTTGCGGAATTGGTCTTTTCGAGCAGGCGAATCATGGGCCAATCAGCATCAACTCGGTAATCATCCAATGCCCATTTACCACGGCTGTTCCAGAGATTCCATAGTCCGTCGGTGTAGCCAATGTCATCCTTCATAGCCTGGATAGCATGGAGAAGCTTGAGATGAGCGAGGCAAGCATCCTCCGAAATGCCAGATCTGACATTCTTATGGTCGAATGTGATCTTCTCGAATGTCAGATTTGTAAAAGCGGCATTGACGTCTTCCGACGCCTCGCCGGCATCGTCGCCATTCGTAGCCTTGGGTATCTCGCCATTCGCAATGTTAGGGATCTCGCCATTCGCCATGTTAGGGGTCTCGCCATTCGCGCCCTTGGAGGTTTCAGGAGTAATCGAAGTACTCGCAAGATAAACCGGAGGTAAATCGGAATACATGTAGTCGCCATCAGAAGCCTGAGGCTCTGGCTGCAGCGGGGCCATCTTCATCTTTGCTCAATGCTCCAATTCTCTCCTTAGAGTTGCGCGCGATGAATCGACATGAGAAGGATCATGCCACACGCGAGGCTGCGAAAGGGACGGTAATTTATTCACCCCCGGTTTTCCAACGCGAATATGATGATAAATGCAAGGCGAAAGACGGCTAAACTTGAAAAGGCACCTATACCCGCTTGTCATCATCTACTGGGCCTGCGAGTGCATGTGCGGATTCTGCATGCATGGCTCAGCTGAACACTCTGATGAGAAATCAGGAAGTTTCCGAGATGCCGGATTGAGTTATTCAAGTATTGTTTACACAGCCCATCTAGTCTCAACTCAACAACTGATGTTGTTTACATGTTCTGGCGCAAGATGGGTCGACTTTCATGCATGCGATACCGCTCTCTGCAATCGTAATCGGGATTGGCGCCGGGATCGGTACCCGGGTGAGAGAATCCTGGCGTTTGCCATTTGTTTGGCTTATTAAAGATGGATTTAAACTTAATTATTCCTCTCTATGGAGGAATTGAGTGCTGATTTAGATCGGACATCTCCGTCTAGCTTACAAGTAGCGTTACACGGAGACGAGCCCGGAAAATCATTCTAGAATGACGATAAGTCTCAACCTGGATGACAGGTCATGAGACCGTTCCAAATCAGGCCTCTCTAAGGAAACATGGCCTGTTTAGAGATACCAAGTGCTAATGAGAACTGATCAAACGAGACATCCTCTCTCTTGATCGGGAAATGTCCCCCCGCTCTTCGGACATGTCAATGCACATGTGGAGGCAAGACATCGGTGCTCTCGCCTCTCTTTTGAAAAGCAGGACTATGGTAATCGTTATCATTATCACACCAATGACATTCAAATCCGTTTCGTTTATGCTGGAAAGTTAACAAGTACGCGTCATTAGGAATGCCTGATACGAGGCTGATTTAACGGGATAACGGCACGCAACAAGAAAAAAAAAACGCCTAGTCAATAATGAGGCGAAGCACCGGTGTAACGGTGGGAGAAGTTGAATGTGGTTTGTTACCTCGGTGTTTCTTCCGCTTCATGTTCCGCACTTGACAAACTATTAATAGCACCAGTTCTTAAATAACGGAATTGATATAGATTGATGAAATTTAGAGATTAAGCTACATGAACATGGATGATAGATAGAGCATTAATAATAAGCAATATCGGCCCCCATGTTGGTAAACCAATCCCGCTCCAGGTGAAACATTTTGGCATCTTCGAAATCATAAAGAATATCCTCGTCATCGAGACTATCATAAAAGTCCTCATAGACCCCAATCCGTTCGAGCACTGGGGCTGCTTGTTTAGCGCTTTGGCGAGTCGGCTCTTTGGTCTTCTTCTTCTCATTCTTGCTGCCTTCTTTGGGCTTCCACATGTCTTGTCTCGCCTTCTTCGCCCACTTCTTCAAGTCTCCCGGCTTCATCAAACACTGTATCACAACCTCTCTTGCAGCCAAAACATCCTCCATATTGTCGTGTATCCCGTCCCCGCTTCGAATTTTGATTCCGAGAAATGTTTCACACAGTTCCTGAAGTCCCCACCGCCGGCGGCCACTCCTGTTCTTCTTCCCTGTCTTGTTAAAGACGGCCTCTGTTGCGAGTATTGCCGAGTCCACGACACGCATGTGAATTAAGCGGAGAGCCTCAAAGTCAAATAGTATGGATTGTCCGACAAGGATTGTACTCTCGTCGACATGCTTCCACAGCTCTTGGCGGGCAGCGGCCCAACCATGCAAAGCATTTTGGTGTGCTACTGCCTCGTTTATGGTCGTAGCATCTATACCGTGAATCTTCACTCTCCAGTCGGTGATTGGCCGAGAAGGGATCACTAATGAATCGATGAGGGTCTCGCCAGTCAAGAAGTCCATCACGTAGAGGCTGATCAGCTCATCGGATCCGTCAAATGTCCCTGCCATCTCGCAATCAATTACAACAGCGCGCCGCTTGATGGTGGCAGACCGAATCTGTGGTGTCTGTTGAAAGTCTGCTAGGCTTGGTCGTGGCTTTTCCTTCTTCTTCATCGGCCCTTTCTCAACATCAAGTATATAGCCTTCCTTCTCAAGCATCTCTGTGGAATGGCATTTAGCAGAGAGCTGATTGAAGACCTCATCTTGCTGTTGATGTGTAAGGCATGTGTAGACGACATCCCCAAATTGCAGTTGTACGGGAGATGGCGCATTTGTTAAAGTCGCATTGTTATCGGTGACAAATGCGCTCGCAGGAAGGGATTGCTTTGCTTCCTCTTCGAGGTGGGCTGCTGATTTTGCATGGTCCGCTGAAGCACTGGCGCTCTTAAACCATCGCAAGCACAGTCGGCAACATTGATTCGCATTATGACCAGTCTCGAGTGCATGGCTGATTATGCGAGGTCTAGTTTTAAATTGCTTGGTGCAAACACCGCAGGGAAATGGTGCCATCGTATGCTATCGAGAAAAAGATCTTCTTGCTTCAAACAGTATCAAGAGAAGAGGAGATGTCGATTGTGCTGGAGGATTTTGCACGATCTATCGTGTACTATGAGTTGTGACTGAAGGAAGAGGTGAGGGGAAATGCATGCAGGTCAGTTGGGATCACGGTTATATAGGACTGAGGCACACATACATTGTCGCCAGCAATAATGAGCTTTTACTCGCAAGAGACTGTCCAGTATTCATCAGCCACGTAATTACAATTAATTACTGACTCTTTGAGCGCCGTGATTGGCATTTGTTGTGAGATTGTCGCAGCTGGACCTATGAGAGACTGTGTTTGGGGAGGCCTACAAGACCGCTTATGCGACCCCAGCTTGATGCCTAAAGGCTGTGAGCAAGGCACTTTTTATTGAGGGTACACTGTGCTACCAATCATCTTGGAATAACAAAAGCAATCTGGTCATAGATGCACTGTGAGATGGAACAGAATTGTTGAGAAGAGTTCATTGAGGGAAGCATTCATCACAGCTCTTAAAGTAGTGAACCATGATTAATCCACCTTGACAAACTGCCATAGAGTCGTTACATGCTGTCGCAACACTATATTGTCCGAGCCCGGCAACACGCACACTTTCTTTAGTGTGTGCCACCAGTGTGGCATCAGCAACTCGTAGCCTCCCTCCGGATGCTTCCTCACCGTCATATACTCCCAGGCTTCGTGCTGAAATGTTGCCGAGTGCATTTGTTCCTGGTTGTTGTGACCCATGAATCTGCCGGAATGGATGTTCACAAAGCCAAAATATCCATTCTTTTCCACACAGAGCCATGTTTGTTGCTTGTTCACGTCGTGCTCGATATCGTAGACGTAGAGATGGCCCTCATCATTTGAGCAAATCACTCGGTTGGTGTCATTCATAAAGATGTTGTACTTGTTGCCTGGCCAAGGTACTGCGTATCGTCGGCCGTCCCAGATTTCACCCAAGACAGTGTGTTCCGACGTTTCGGGCGTGAATTGGGTAAATGCACTAGACGAGGCATCCGTCAATTCTTCCATGCCGGTATTTTGGTGTGTCTTTTGCATGGATTTGCTGATTCGGTGCGTGTAAAGTTTCGAGGGCCTGTTTAAAAGCGAGTATACATCAGCTGCTATTCGTATATTTGAAAATAAAGAAAAATACTACTTGCCTGGATGCAGTGTTGGATGAGAAAAGACTGTCAGCTAACCTATCTTCAGAATGTGGAGAGAAGAGATCCAAGACTGGAACTGGGAGCAAACGGAAAGATGTTGGTAATTCACTGGGCGGCCTGAGACATGTGTTTCCATGGGTCTGGGTACTGTACTACGTACATGCTGCAAGTCTAACGTTATTCGAGCGTTACGGCTTCCTGCATAATAGTTATTTGTTGGACAATTGGCTCCTCAGCTGTAGGCCTTTCACAGTTTTGAGTACGCAGCCTTTAAAATTCGCTATGCCGAGGATTCAATCAAGCTATGTACCTATACAATTAATTTACAGCTAATTATAGCACTACGGCCATGGGTTAGTATGTACATGTAGGGATTGTGCGTCTGATACGCCTCACGATGGTGCAACTTGGCAAGCGGAGGTTAGGAAAAGAGAGACCGCAAAGAGAATAAGTGCATACATGCAGCAAGATAACACCCAATCAGCCCATCAAGTGGTGCTTTTGTAAAGGAACGCCATTCAGCCAGAACCTGAGTTTTCCTATCTATTCATCTTAATAGCAGTTGCTAGAAATATATAAATACAGTTACTAAAGAAATATAAACAGAGTAGTAGTGACTAGAGAAGTATATACATAATAGCAGTTACTAGAGAAATATAAATATAATATAGTCAGGGGACAAAGGTCTGCGAACGCGAAAAAAAAAATACACCAAGTTTAAGAGGGGATAATCTATGCCAGCCGCAATCCGCAACAGTTACTACAAAATATAATATTATAAGCAAATACTAATAAAAAATAGAATATTTATGAACTATTATTAGACTTAGATTTTAATTGGCTATATAAATATTTTCTAGATCTAACCATAAATTTTTGAAAACCGTACCTTTTGGTGGTGTTGAGTATAGCGTTCGCAGGCTTTTGGCCTATAACCGTAGTACCTGGTAGTTACTAGAGAAATATATATAGTACTAGGTAGTTACTTGAAGAATGGTTGTACAATTTACTTGTTTAGTGTGGTTGTTCAATATATTCTCAGTCTTGGGGTTTCTGTCCCCCGTTTGCCTAGCAAGGATAAATTAACAAGCATCCCCTCACACGCGGCATTTGCCCAGAAATTCCCGCCATTCTACAACAAGATGAATCAACAATCACGAGGCGTTGTCCTGAATCAAGTCAACATAACTGACGCACACGATGGCGAGCCAGAGCCAGACGTCGATATCATTGCCATTCACGGCCTGGACACCAAGTCGCCCGACACGTGGACCTGGCGATCTCAGGACGGCAGCAGGCCTAATGTACATGTAAATTGGCTAGCCGATCCTGATATGCTCCCAAGCAAGATGAAGCGAGCTCGAATATTCACTTGCGACTGGCCTGCCGACTTATTCCCGGAATCGGATTCGATTCCATGGACAGTCAGAGAGTTTGCTCGACGCTTGCTCGCTGGTATCTACAAAATGAGAGTTCAATCGGGCAGAAATCGTCCAATTGTCTTCATAGCCTCGTGTCTCGGAGGTATCATCCTGATGGAGGCTCTCACAATAGCTGATAACCCGCAAAGCGATTATATCTCCATCAGGAAAGCCACACGCGGAATTGTCTTCCTTGCAACACCGTTCCGCGGAACTGCATTTCAAGATATAGCCTCTTGGGCTGAGCCAGTACTGAAGACATGGGCGTTGCTCGGAAAACGCTCGGTGACACAGCTGCTTGACAGTGTGAAAAAATCGACCTTCTACCTTGAGGAGCTTGTGCGTACCTTTACTCGGTTGTGTCAAGATAAAGATTCTCCTTGCAAAGTGCACACTTTCTACGAAACGCGTGAAACGGTTCTTCCAAAAAAGTATTTGCCGTCTTTGTTGTTACCATTTTTCGACAAATCGAAACCTGTATGTATGTACACTGAGTGTATAACCATGTTCCCTTGGTAATACACTCATTAAGCTGGAGTATGCTAACTCTTGGCAGCTGGTCAATAGTAGCTCAGCGACTCTGGACATTGATTCCGACCCGTTGCCACTTGAGCGAAGTCATGTAATGATGAATAAATTTGCTGGACCTGATGATGGCGATTACATTGCCGTTACAGGGAGGCTTGATGCACTCCTTCAGTTGATTCGAGATGGACTGCAGCCGGTCGATGCTTGGATGCGTGAAAAAATCTACACCCCAGATAGACTCCAGATCGAACGGCTTTCTGGCCAGAGGTTGCCAATGGATCAGTGCTACATCAATCTCGTCATAGTTGAGCGGCTTGAGGGGCAGTTGGATCAGTCGACTAAAGCTCAATCGTTGCAATATTCGTCGGGTGCTCGACAGTTCGCTCGACGGACGGCCGAGATGAGTGAAACCGAGCTTTCAACGATTTTCAACGATCGCCAAGGTCACGACGGTTGTTTAATACACCCAAGAAGAATCCTTATACGGGGACGCGCGGGAGTTGGTAAAACTACCTTGTGCAAAAAGATCGTCTATGAGTTTTGCCGAAGAACATGGGAAGAGTGGAACAAGAACTTCCACCGTATCCTTTGGATACCTCTGAGAAATCTAAAGTTGCAAGAAAGAATGAGACCGGGATACAACTATGAATGTCTATTCAGTGACGATTACTTCTCTCTTCCAGAGAACAGACCGGACTTGGCGAAAACCCTGTCTAAAGCAATCGCAGCAAAGAACAACACGACTCTCTTTCTTCTAGATGGCCTAGATGAAGTGTCTGAGTATTTGGATGGTGAAGGCACCATGTCTCGCTTCCTTCAAGACCTCTTGAAACAGCCAAACGTCATCATCACGTCTCGACCATCTGCCAAACCTCCGCCTGGAATAGACTTGGAGTTGGAAACGGTTGGATTTGACGATGCGCAAGTAAACGCATATCTTGACTCTGACCTCACGATTAAGCCAAACGTCAACAAGATCAAGTCGTTCCTTCAGGATCATTGGCTGCTCCAAGACCTCATGCGGATCCCAGTTCAGCTGGATGCGCTTTGTTACACATGGGATGACTTTGACTCTGGAATATCACCGGACTCCATGACCAGTATATACCAGGCCATAGAGCAAAAACTGTGGAAAAAGGACGCAGTAAGATTAGAACGGATCCTCAAAAGCCGGGCTCAATCAGCTCTTCCCGCGGAGGTGGGAAACAGAGTCAAGGCCGAGACTCAAATTCTCGAGATTCTTGCTTTTCACGGAATGTACCACGATATAATAAACTTTACGTCCGCGCATCTAGACAAGGTTGTCCAAATCTTCCCGCTGCTCGAATTGACGCTCGACGACACGCTTGGACGACTTTCTTTCCTGCGGACGTCTGACTCGTCATCAAACTTCAAAGTCAGAAGCTATCACTTTATACATTTGACCTTTCAGGAGTACTTTGCTGCTCGATATTTTGTCCAGCACCTGGCATCTGGAGAGCAATTATCTGTTTTGGAACTTAGCGGCCGACAGAAGAGAGCAAGTCTTCAAAAGCTCAGTCCCGATCAGTTTATAAGGGATAAGAAATACAGTACTCGTTATGACATCTTCTGGCGCTTTGTCACTGGCTTGCTCTACGCCGAATATGATGAGAAACAACTACACCGCTTCTTTCTCACTGTAGAGGATCAGCCGCGAGACCTTTTGGGCCCTGTACACCAGCGATTGGTTATGCATTGCTTGCATGAAGTTGGTCCGGCGGATGAGATGGAATCTTTCGCTCATCTTCGAGTAAGGCTGGAAGAACATTTATCTCAGTGGCTAGAATTCGAATGCAAGCTCCACGGTGTATCATATTTACTCTTGGGGATTGAGTTCCCAGAGCGGTCATTGAACAGCGCCTTACAACGAGCAACTGAGGATATAAAGATGGATATTCTAAACTCGTTAAAAGATCGATCAAAGCTACCGCAGAGTGTAATGGAGCTGATTACGGCCTGGCTAGAGGAGAGTCTTTCGCAGCATTTGACATGGACCGTCCTGTCCACACTTCGCTCAATCGAAGACCTACCACTCCCGACACTCAAAGCGATAAGAAAACGGCTAAATGGTGAGGATTTGGCCATCAGACAAGCGGCGGGGTTGCTGATTTACAACCGACGGAGCTTACCCGAAGATATTCGCGCGGCTCTAGGGGTATGGCTGGAGCAACATGATGTTTTCAATCTCTTGACAACGGCAGTTGTGCTTGACTTTGAGCTACCCAAAGACGCGATGAAAATTCTGGCTGCACAACTAGAGAATTCCGATCCAAGTGTGCGACAGAAAGCACTATCTGCGCTGAGCGATCCATTCCCCCTGCCTTACGATGTGCAGAGGGCCATAGTGGCACAGCTGAAGGATAAAAATCCAGATATTCGACGTCGAGCATTGTTTGCGCTTGACAAGCAACGCTACTTGGCTAAAGATATTCTTGAATACATGGTGGAAATCCTTCGAGATCAAGAGAAAGATATCCGACATGGAGCTTGGAAAATACTTCAATGTCGAACGGGCCTATCAGAAGAAATCTTGAAGCCTATCGCGGCCCGTCTGGTATCTCAAGATAGAGATACTGACATGATGATGCTCTCAGATGACACGGAGCTGGAAACCAAACTTCCTGAGCACCTTGTTCCATGGCTGAAGGATGATAACACATGCATTGCATGGAAATTAACGATACTACAGCTGCTCCAAAATAAAGAGCTCTCCATGCACATAATAAGGGCTATAGCGGCGCAGCTGGAAGACCAAAGCAAAGACATCAGAAGAGAGGCACTAAAAGCACTAAGACCGGCCCGCGAGGAAGAAGAGGAAATATTTCCTATTAACATTCTTCAAGCTATAGCAGCACAGTTAACACGCCAAGATAAGGACGTTAAGGAGGCCGCCTTCGAAGCCCTCTCAAAGCAACCAACGCTACCAGATGAGATCCTAAACGTCATATGCAGACAGCTGAATGATCAAGATTCGGATATTAGATGCTTTGCTCTCTCAGCACTTTATCACCGACCGCAATTATCTAGAGACATCGTTGAAATCATGGCGGCGCAACTCAAACATCGAGATCAAAATATTAGAAAGCATGCAGCTTCCGCCCTTAGACATCAATCGGTATTATCCAATGAGATACTTGAGGCTCTTGCGACACAACCCAAGGATGAGAGTCCCATGGATAAATTAGAAGCCGCACGAGCGCTCTCCGGTCGGGAACTATCTGAAGAGATCGTAGAAACCATAGCAGAACTACTTAGAGATCACAGCCGCGATATTCGACTGGCAGCAGTAAGGGCGCTACAGGGGGAGCCGGCCTTACCTGAACGAGCCCTCCAAGCCATTATGCTAAGTGCTGGTTATGACGGTGATATCGGCGTTAGGATAGCGGCGGTAAAAGTACTTGGAATTCAATCAACTCAATCCCCGCTGTCTGAAGGAATACTTGAAGCCATAGTGGCCCGGCTTCGGGACAAAGCCACTGCTGTCCAGAAGGCAGCGATGGACATCCTCCAGAGCAACCAAGCAAAGTTGCCCGAAAGGGTACTTCGAGTTGTAGCGCAAAATGTTTACGATATGGATGGAGCATCCCGGAGGGCGGCGGTGGAAATTCTCCGGGGTAATCTGGCTTTTCCCAATGTTATTTTGAACGATGCGGCCTCGTATCGTGCGTTGCTTGGGGCGAGCTTCAGGCGACGTGCTGTTTGCTATGCTTCGGGTAGCGTCTTCTACGTTGATGTGCCTGGGAGTTTTGGAAATGTTTGTGTTAACCGACATCCAGACGAGTTCATGGATACAATACGAGAATGGCAGAGAGAGGCGGGAGTCCCACCGCAGCTTGATCACCGGAGGACAGAGAGTTACGCGGGTTCGATATGAAGGGTGACACTCCAAATAGAGTAATAGTTAGCTGGAGATCTAATTCTATACGTAGCTTGATTGAATCATCAGCATTGTGAATTTGACTTCAAGGCTGCGTAGTCAAAACTGTGAGAAGCCATCCAACAACAGTCATTTGAGGGAGAGAACTACAAGACTTTCAAGAGATTCAAGAATCCGATAGAGACGACAAATTACTACATTTAACAGCACTGATGTAATTCAATTTAATGTAAATTATACGCAGACCTCACAAGTTGCGTTCTAATACAATCATGCTCTCCCATTCTCTCTTAATCTCATCAAGAAGCCCCTCTGTCCACAAAACATCCAATGCAACTCCAGCTAGCCCTTTTGCCACCCTCAGCGCCCTCGCATAAGCATCTCGCGTCCCAGCAGCCTCAGCGAATTCCGGGTTATGCGGGCCTTGACCTTTCGGCCCGGGCTGTAAGCGGAACGCCGGGCTCAGACTCGGCATCGCGTGGCTGATATCGCCCTGATCTGTGCTTGCCTGTGTCTTGCCTCGCGTTTCATCAATATCCTGATCCTCTGCAATCTCGCCCGGAGGATCGAGCGCATTAAAGTATCGCGTATAAGACTGTGCCATTGTACGGTTGGGCACGTGGTTCTTGTATCCCCATTTTTCGGTAATGGTCACCTTGGCCCCTGTTGCTAGAGCTCCGGCCCTGAAGCAGTCGTACACTTTCTCTTTGAGCTCATCAAGACGCTTCTGCGTATCGGATCTGACGACAAACAGGCCCGCAGCGTAAGCATGGATGATGTTGGGAGCAATTCCCCCATCGGTGATGTACCCTTGGACTCTGTCTTCAGGCATGATCTGCTGTCGAAGTGCTGAGACGTTGTTGTATCCTGCAATCAGCGCGTCCAGAGCATTGATCCCAAGCCATGGATTCGCCGCAGCATGAGCCTCTCGGCCAAAGCACTCAACCTTGAACTGCAGGTACGACGTTGTCCGCATCAAAGCCGCGTTTGGGGTGATTCCAGGATGCGAAATGAGGCTCACATCGACCTTGTGGTCAGAATAGGCTCCAGCATCGAGAAGCCTGATTTTCCCTCCGCCGCCTTCTTCTGCTGGGGTGCCGAACAAGACAACCTTACCTGGCGCTCGGTGTAGCTCCATGACCCGAGCAGTCGCAACAGCGCCAAGGACCGAGGCCGTGGCTATGAGATTATGGCCGCATGCATGGCCGATGCCTGGGAGACAATCTGCGGCAGAAGATAAAGGTCAATACCGACATCTGCTCTTGCTCAAAGAACCTCGTGGCGCGCAAGCATTGAAGACTTACCCATCTCTGCATTGAAGGATACGACGGGACCGCGTCTTCCCGTGTCAAAGACTGCAACCCAGGCTGTGTCCATGCCGTAGGCAGACGGCGTAACGACCCAGCCACTCTGGGATTTCATGAAGCCAGTCAAGGCATCGTGGGCGATGAATTCCTTGAATCCTCGCTCTGGGTTGTCGTGGATCTTTTTGTTTATTGGCCAGAAGACCTCATCGAGACTGTCCACCGCCTCACTGATATCACCGAGGTAGCGAAGTTCCGACAACACCTTGCTGTGACCCGCATCGATTAGACGGCCATCTTTGGTAGCGTCATGGCCATGTGATACAAGAACGAAGCCATCAACTTCCTCGTCAAATGGCGCCATCACACTCGACGTTGGTTCACACAACGATGGCAAGCTCCCTCGCCTATGCGGACAACAATGCAAAAGGAACGATTACAGATTGAACGGGTCGCCTGGACGCGTCTTGGCCTGCTTCATCCCGTCCCCCGTCTCCCATTTCCAGGGTAGCACGAGAATAGCCGGCAGGATGCGCTCCCCCTGGGTTTAATCCACCTATCACATCTTGTCCTGCTCAACGAGGGGGGTCCACGCTCTATTCTTGGAGAATGCAAGGCGTCGGGCTTCATCACGTGAAGCAGATCCCATTGGGTCGCGGTTGTCGTTTGGTGCAAGCTGGACATTAATAGAAAGCGGCTCTCGCAGCTTGAGCATCGGAACGTGGACAGAGTCATATCCCGTAAGCAAGAGATTCCCAGGGCTTTCAGGAGCGCGATTTGCAGCGCGCAAAACGCTTTGAGATTGCTGTTTGTTCCAGAGAGACTGCAGCCCGGCCGTGTCCATTGCCGGGGGCTCTTTAGCTGTTGGCATTGAGCGAGGCGATCGGGTCATTGAGCCGATTGCGACAACGGCGTGATGCGTCCTTTGCGCTCGCCGCCAAGCAAACGATCGATTCAGCCTCTTGGATCGCGATAACACCAAGAGTTGCTGGTTTACCTCTTCCTTTTCCCTTTCCCCTCGTCATTTTCTTTCCTTGGCTCAACGAATACTACGGCATCTACTATGCCTCAGCCACAGCACAGCAGAAGCCCAAATCCGTCTGATGATTCATCGGTAGACTTACATGAATCGCCGTCAGAGCAAGGCTCGTCAGATGCCGTGGTCCGCAAATCCAGCAAGCCACTTAGTCGACGGGGCCACTTCAAATCACGTCTCGGATGCTTCAATTGCAAGCGGAGAAGAGTCAAGTGCAACGAATTGCGGCCGTCTTGTTCGCCGTGCTGTCGTCTCGGCTTGAATTGCAGCTATCCGACACCGGCTCCGTCGTCGCCCACATCCTCCTCGTCTTCACTTGCTCCGCGTGCCGCTTTATCAGGTCTCGCGCTGGAAGATTTGCGCTTCTACCACCAGTTTCTGCTGTCGGCTTTTCCAACACTGCCTTTAAAAGGCAAAGATGTCTGGATGGATGCTGCCGCCATGTCACACCAGGTGAGATTCCCTCCGTTGAGACTCGCCTTCAGCCCTATGGCGTCTTACATGCATGACTAACAAGACGGCTTAGTATGACTATCTTGCACATGCTGTTCTAGGCCTCGGAGCTTCGCATCTGTCACAACACGGCAACGTTGACTATACGTCGCAAGCCTTGCAGCATCGCGTCACTGCCATGAAGCTTGTTAATGAACAGCTTGATCATCCGCCAACAAAGCCTGCCGATCAGGATGCGCTGCTCGCGGCGGTGATATGCCTCGTTACCCAATCGTCACTTATGCCGGATAGCATGATTGACTATATTACAACAACAAGAGGCGGCAACTTGGTCGCATCCACCATCATTACAGACTATGAAAAGTCCATCTTCAAGTATTTTACGCCCATGGAACATGATCGATCCCTAGAGAGGCTCATTAGCGAGCAGCCAAGGAATTTTGAAGCCATCGAGGGCTTTCTAGCATCCGCACGGCGATTAATGCCGTTGTGCCAGAAGCCTACCGAGATCTCATATTGTGAATGCATGATAAGATGCATCGATAATTTACGCACCTCTTGTCTAGACGGTATGACACATTTCTCATGCCATCATATTAAATACACTCTCATTTCTGGGTATGCGCTGACAAGGCTTCATATAGCTTGGAGAGAGTTTGTCATCTTATTCATCTTGCCGACTACTTTCAACAATCAAGACTTTATGGAGTTTGTTGATTACGAAAACCACACAGGTCATCTCCTGATCATCCACATGTTCCTTTTGGACTATGTGCTTGGCAATGCCTGCCTCTCCAAATCTGACGAGCCCGAATATCCCGGGAGGAAATTCGTCATCATCAACTGGATGAGGGATTTGGCCCGCAGATTACCGTCCCTTTATGAAGAGTACACCGAATGGCCACTGGAGTACTGCAGTGTTTTGGCTGAGAGAGATGCGCGGTATCTCCTCAGCCCGTGATCCATAAGATTGAGTAGCAGTCATCATGCGGTACTCACAAAGTATATGTTTTTACCCATATTGCGATGATGACATTTTCAGCTTCCAATCGCTCCTCCGTTTGATCCAGAGATCGATTTTTGCGAGCTCGTGGCTTGCTTCATTAGTATCGTCAAGGATATACATATACCACAAACACATAGCACATGCTCTTGGCAAATATGTCACCGGTATGATCTCTTTCTCTTTCTTTTCCAACTGAAAATTGGTAATGTTAATATCATTTTAGGCTACTGAGATCTAACCATCTCAGATGTCAATACAATCCTTCTTGCAACGAGGGAATCCAGTGTCATTTATTCCGTACTCCCGAGATGAAGCATCTACATGTAGCAATACCCACAACCTGCTGAATATAGAAGTGTCACTAATAGCTAATACCCAATTTTTTTTTACATCTTTACACAAATCTCAATTCTAAACGTTTGATTGGATGGATATATAAGCGTCAGCGATTCGTTTCAACATGAAGCTTTCCTTATCTCTCTCAGCACAACGATCATAGGTCTGTTTCACGACGCCTCCTTTCAGTTCATCACGTGATAGGTCTGGTGGTCTAGTGGTATGATTCTCGCTTAGGGAAAACCCTACAGCTTATATGCGAGAGGTCCCGGGTTCAATCCCCGGCCAGACCCTTCTTTTTTCCTTCCATTTACTAAAGCTCTTTTTTCTGCTCACCGAGATGGTGATATCTTGATGAGCCCATTACCATCGCCGAGGCAAATATCACAACTACTTCTCGGTCTGGTGGTCTAGTGGTATGATTCTCGCTTAGGGACAACCCTACAGCTTGTTTGCGAGAGGTCCCGGGTTCAATCCCCGGCCAGACCCTGTGTGATTCTGAATCTCATTGAGAGGCTCTCATTTTCTTTTTGTCTTCAATTTCTTCTTGTACCATTATTTTGTAAACGTTGTTCTCTTCACATCTACCTACCTCATTTTCAGGGTTGTGAATTTGCAGTGTAGCTACCATTAACTCGTTCACCTACACAATTGATAGACCTTTTTGTCTCTCATGCCTCATACTATTCGCCCATTGACTCACCCATTCCACATATACATACTACTTCTCAACTAGTATTCTGTTTCAGACTTGCAATCCCCATAATCGACACCCCAACGCTGTATAATAATACAAATAAAAGAAACAACACTTCTGTCAGTTGCTGATGCCTCACTTCTTCTTACCCTTAGTCTTTAGACCAGCAAAGTAGTCATCCACGATATCCTGTGCCGTTTTGGGGATATCCTTTTGAAGCATCCAGGTAGCCTCTGAGCGCTCATACCCAACCCATTCAATGAGCAATCTGGTGCGGTTCTTGTTGTGCTTGAGAACAGCAAAGATCTCATACAACCCTGGGTCTGTTGGGTTCTCGGGCCGTCCCCCTTGTGAGCGCCAGTACTCAAACAGGAACTCGGGAGCATCTTCGTGAAGCTGTCTTTCGGGCTCCCAAGTCATCTTGCCACGTTCCCATTCTTCAGCGTCTTCCCATTCCTCGCTGTCATCGTGTCCTTCATCCCTCACCCATTTCACTTGAAGCTCGATGGAGTCGCCGGCCCAGCGATATCCAGCGAAGCCGTCGAATTCGTATTCCGTTTCTTCTTCTTCTGGTTTCCTTGGCTTCACCGACCTCACCGATCTCTCTGGCTCTGGTGGCTCCTCTGCTCCAATATCTGCCCGATCTAGAATCTCCGAAATGCGCCCACTGCGTCGGGCTGGTCTCGTTGTATCTGCTGCCTTTTTGCTACTCAGAGAGCGTGGAGTCGCACGGGGAGTGGATGCTGATGCCACCTCGTCCTGCTCAAGTTGCACCGAATCACTGATGTTGTGAATCTCGCTGTCATCCATAGTCCCCTTCTGTAAAGCTGCCGCCTCTTCGGCCTGTCTTTTCGGATACGACTGTCGCCTCTTTGATCCTGGCGTGCTCTTTTTGACCCGCGATGTGCCGCTACTAACTGGAGTTGTGCCTAGCGAAGTCCGTGGTGAGGATCGAGCTGGCTTAGAGGGCGTAAAGAGAGGAATGGCAGCCATGATGGACTGCATTTTGACGCGCTCTTCTTGTGCTGCAACCGAGCTGGAATTAGACTTGAGATTGAAACCGAAATTACAATTGGATGGGAAAACGAGGCTTGTGTGTGTTGTGGCCGTCAAACCCGTGTTTTTGTTTACTTGTAATGTTTATATGAATTTGCCGAAATCTTGCTGTGTCAGCAGTGTTTGGTTGGTGGTCCGACCGCCTGCCTTAGTAGTTCATCTTCAGTGACGTACCGATTCGATTTAGAAAAGGGGGCCCTTCACGTGATGCTTCTTTTTCCGGCCGATTCCAGCACAATCCAAAATGAAGCCTCGCCAAGATCCCAGTTCCGGATGCGGCTGGCAGATTCCGCGATGCGAAGCTTTTCGCTTTTCGCGCATTATCGTGCCGGTTCGTCACATGCAGCGGGCCGAAGAGGGGCTGTAAGACAGACAGAGACAGAGAGAGAGAGAGCGGGGTCTGGAGTGAGTGTGAGAGCTCGTGTTAGTGCTTGGATCGAGCACGGGATGGTTTGATGCATACGGTTAAGAATGCGTGGAGAGACGCCGCTGCACAGGCTCGGCTCCAGCTTGTACCGATTGCCGTCTGGGAGAATCGTCCAGACTCTTTATACTCCCTTGTTGTCGTGTTGCTTCTTCTTCTCAACTCCTCCCTCCATAGACTACATGACCTGATACCAACTGTATACATACTTGCCTGTACAGCTCCTACTCGTACGGGATGGCCTCGTCAGCTGTGCCACCGTCCAGGCCGATCCGCATCGCCAACTGCTCAGGTGCTCTCAGTATGATGAATTCCACGCTCATGAAACTATTATACATCGAGGCTCACATTATACCACAGCTGATCCGGGCATCTTAATGTACAACCAGGCCAAGTACGGCCCCGTGGACGTCATTACGGGCGACTACCTCGCGGGTATGTTTTGAGCATTTGCTGTCGATTCAAGTGTTGAAAAAGATAAAACAATCATTTGTATCTAGTTGCTAACATCATACTGCAGAAGTGAGCATGGCTGGCAGTGCGATGCAGCATGCGTCAAATGGCACTGGCTGGATTCGATCCGCATTAGACGGCATCCAGCTATCCCTAGATCTCATCAACGAAAAGCGAATCAAGGTAGTCCTCAACGGCGGTGCCATGAATCCAAAGGGTTTGGCAGAAAAGATTCACGAACTTGTAAACCTATTGTACAGTCACCTCACTTCCATGCCTCACTGCTGACAGACCGGGCAAGGTCCATAGCAGAGGCTATAAGCTTCGTGTAGGCTACGTCGAAGGCGACGATCTGATGCACAAAGTCCACCATTTACTTTCAAAGCCTCTCCCCCATCTCGATAGCGCAAATCCCGATGTTCGGTATGACAAAGACACCACCTCGTTTCTCGATTCACCAGAGGAGATGCCAGTCGTCGCCGCCAGCGCATACCTCGGCTATCGTGCCATAAAAAAGGGCTTGGATGAAGGTGCGGATATTCTCATCTGTGGCCGTGTTTCTGATGCCTCGCCAGTCATTGGAGCAGCGGCAGCGTGGTATAACTGGTCTGAATCAGACTTTGATCGACTCGCCGGGTCCCTGATCGCAGGTCATTTAATCGAATGCTCGACTTATGTCACAGGTGGCAACTTTCCCGGTGCATATAAACATCCTCCCAGTGATTTCTTGCGTCTGGGTCCGGGCATTGCGGAGATTCTCCCCAACGGCGAGTGCATCATCACTAAACACGATTCTCTGAACGGCTTTGTTACTCCCGACACAGTCAAATGTCAATTTGTCTACGAGCTGCAGGGAAACATTTATCTCAACAGTGATGTAAAAGCGGATGTTTCCAACATTAACATCGTCAAGGAATCCAAGGATCGAGTCCATGTGTCAGGCGTCAAAGGCTACCCTCCCCCGCCTACAACCAAGCTTGCCATCTTCTACAAGGGAGGATATCAGTGCGAGCATTTGCTCAATGCAAGTGGATATGCCACAGATCACAAATGGGACATGCAGGAATTGCAGTTGAAAGATACGCTGAAAGAATGGGGTATACTCGACAAGTTTGACGTCTTGGAATTCCAACGAATCGGCACCGACATGAAGGATCCTGATTCACAATACGCTTCTACCACATATATGCGAATATTTGCGCAGTCTAAAGATAAAGATGTGCTCAGCAAAATGCACAAGGCGTGGCACTATCAATTCATGGCTCACTTTCCAGGTATTCTCACCGCATAACTTGAGTTAAGTAAAAGGGACTGACAATACGTTATTTAGGAATGCATTACTCGATGGATACACGCTTACTAGCACCAAAGCCGTTTCTTGGCTACTATCCAGCCATCATACCTCAAACCGAGATTGAAGAGGCTGTCACCATACTCGGCAACAGCTTAGCTGAGCAGAGTATTCGCTATGCTGTCCACCCACCCAAGCAGACAGAGCCGCTAGCACGACGAGAGAATTACGAGGCGATAAGTCCCGTGCCTCTGGAAAACTTTGGCACAACTATCAATGTACCACTGGGGGATCTCGTACTCGCCCGCTCTGGCGACAAAGCAGGCAACATAAACATTGGCTTGTTTGTGCAGACACCCGAGCAGTGGGAATGGTTCCGCTCGTTCATGACCAAGGATAGGCTACGCTCTTTGATGAGAAAGGATTGGAAGGACTGGTACTTCCTTGAGAGGGTGGAATTTGCTAACATCTATGCTGTGCATTTTGTCATCTATGGGTCGCTGGGTAGGGGCGTTACAAGCTCAAGTCGGCTGGACAATCTGGGCAAAGGGTTTGCAGAGTTTATTCGGGCAGTTCACATTGATATCCCCCAAAAATTTCTCGAAGATAGTGCTCGCTCGACAAAGCTTGAGCACTTGTAGGTATTTTATGCAACTATTTAATTCCAACAGCCTAATGAACGAATCTAAAGTCTAAACGCTTCATTCCTTCATCTGTAGTGTTGAGCGAATAGTCCTCTTGCTCTTCCTTCGTCATGGCGTTCCATTGCCTGTCTCTTACTTTGTTCCGCCAAATGTAAAATAACTTGACAAGATAGAAGAGAAGAATGTTGAAGCAGTTGATGGCGAGCAGAATCTTATTTCCCCGTCTGTATAGAGGCTGATCGTCGTCTCGGTAGATGTTGGAGGAGATGATGTTGCCACTCTGCACAAACATGTTATACAGAGCAGCACTGACGGCTCTTGTACGGACTGCGTTACTATTCTTGGCATTCCAGCTGACCACAATAGCATGACAGTATGGGTAGCTTAGCAAACCCGTTAGAAGAGCATATCGTATCCAGGGCGATGCATCAGCTTTGAGCGTCACCAGAGCGATGAGCCATGGAAAAATCCAAATGTTGGAAATTGACGAAATGATCGCGCGTTCCTTGAACCGTTCAGATACCCAAGAGATGATGATGAGATTGACTGCAAATAAAAATTGAGACGGAATAGTGAGCAAGTTGGCTTTGAACACCGAAAAGCCAATGTTTCGCAGGATAAAGGACAAGTATGTACTCGGGGGGGCTGGTGGGATGTAGACGACGAGACCAAGAAGGTAGAGCGGCCACTGTTCCCAGTCGTGAAGCACCTTTAGCAAGAGGCTTGGGCCTACACCCTGTCTGTATTATTGTTAGCTTTTATAAAGGACAAAGTGGAGTGGTTCGTATAGTCATACCGATTGTTCATGTCTCCTTTGCTTGGGTCATCACGCAAAAGTCTGTTGACCATTATGAACTCCTCTCGTTCAGTGAACCAGCCGTCTTTGCCGCGGAACCAATTTCGAGTCTGGCACGGTCCAGGAGGCATAAGAACCCAAGAGAATGTACCAACGATGAGTGTCAAAATGCCCTCGATAAGAAACCTGGAGACAGTGTCAGTCGCGGCTGTTACTACAGAGGTCCAAACAGGATGCGCATAAGATCTCTTACAGCCATCGCCAGCCTCCCCAGCCTGCAATTCCTCTCATTTGGAGAACACCAGAGGCAATCAATGAGCCGACAATGTTTACGGTACTCAGAGCAGTCCAAAACCAGGCCAACCTGACAGGAAGCTCATTCGACTTGTAGAAATATGTGAGCCAAAGAACAATATCACTATATCACGTTAGCTATTAAGCTTTCTGTATCGATTGCTGACTCATACGGAATAAAACCACCCATAAGTAGGCCAAGTAGAGCTTTGATGGCGAAAAAGGCTGCTCTGCTATGGATGAATGCTTGGCTGCCAGCAGTAATGGACCAGCCCATCATGATGAACGGAATCCATCTATCCGCGCCGATGCGTTTACTTATCAGACCGCTAGGAAGTTCAGCAGCAAGAAAAGTGACTAGAAATATCTATCAAAAGAAGTCGAGTCAGTTGGAGGCGTCAGAGACGGTGTATGGTGTTGTCACAAACAACGTACCGTTTGTCCGTAATTGAAGTCATTTGTGTTCATGCCCACTTCTGGAAGCTGAAAACTATTAGTCAAGACTTTACAACTATGGAATACCACATTTCTCTTACCATGTTATCTGAAATTGCACGGTTGATGTTTCGGCGATGCAAATCGAGAGCACAAAACATGACCCACGCCCACACCATTATTCTGAGATCAATCTATCAATAGCTTAGTAATTTGATAAGACGTAGTAGTAGTACGAGTATACATGTACGTATATAGGTATTCAATGGCGTACCTTTCTGACCAGTCTCTTCTCTTCTTCTGCCGTCCACTTGAAATCGGGATCGAAGCGATGGCGATTTTCATAGTCTGCCTTTTCATAAACCTCACGCCAATGTGCGGCCATGGCCGGGTCGGCGAAAGGATGGTCATCCGTTGAGCCAAACGGTTCATTTTGACGCACTGGAGCTTCTTCCGTCACTGACGACCCTTGGGATGACAAGACAGCAATATCAAGGACATCTGCCTGCTTGCCATCTTTTGGCGTCTCTACCGTGCTGTGAGACATTGTGGCAGGGACAGCTTGTAGTTGTTGTTCACGTCGTACCACAAAGCCTGGCCCAGAGCTGATACTCCAGAAACCGGGTTGCTCACATCTTTATATTGGCGACGAGCCGGCAACCACTACCGCGTGGTCGGAGCATCTATTACACCATAAAAGGGTTCTAGAGAGGCCGAGGTCGCGGGCAAGCGGACATTTTCCCTAGTGCTACCCAGTTGTGCAGCAGAATTTGATGCTCCAGGTGTCGCGATGCTCGAGAGCAATCACATCATCGCCAGGATCTACACGTTTGTAATGGACAACCATGAGTTATCATTGGCTCTTCGGCTGATTGGCAATAGCATGACGACGAGACCTCTACCAAAATTAGTTCTTCCACAGGCCGCATGCAGGGGATATCATAATTCAGAGCCGGTTTATCAATCCCAACCACAAGCAGACGCCGTAAATCTAATACGCGATAGGAAACAGTTCATCACCATGCCCATTAATTTGTCCGGGACGAGGAAAGCTTCCTCTGATTTTCCCACTTTACGGGGGGACTAGATGATAACGTTGCGTGGAGCTAACCGGGGCTGCGCGATGGCGTTAGATCTTTGCATTGTGAGGAATCGCCCAAGTCGGCATGCGATTGGATCGCGGCAATAGTCTGGAGGCATCAGGTGCCACATTACAGGTTAGACGTGTTCGGTAATTGGATTTAAAAGTACGGCAAGGTTAATTTAACATTATAAAGACGGTTGAATAAGCCAAATGCTTGTTGCAGCTTTATATTCTGCCACTATTTCTTCACGAGAATGTGAGTGTACACGTACTATGTATGGCGCAAATGCTTGGAACTGTGGTGTTGCGATAAGTCGCTCACAAACGGCCGCGCCAAGAGAGAGGCGCACTCACAAGCATATCATTCTTTTTTAATTGGCAAATTTAACATTGCAAGGAAAAGGCGCATCGAATATGAATCGGCAATGCGGCTGTAATGTTGTCTTACAGCCTACCCAGAACGTATGTAAAGTTCTCAGCGCGACGTGGTTATCAACACAGGCACCGACCCTTCTAACCAAGACTTACACATGTACAACGACACAATATTGAGTATCAAGGTCGCAAATAATTGCCGACATAGGTCACTAATAGTCTTGCTCGGATTGATTGGACAACTGGGCATATAAACTCTATCCAGAAGGGTACAGGCAAGCAGTCCGCAAAATAGACATATCACTTACCAGATCATCGCAATCGGAAAGGCAAGGTTATCAATAGGCAATGTTAAACGCCTGATACTGTCTTCTTCTACATCTTGCAACAAAGCTATCGGGCTCATACCATCGGATATTCCCAATTGAAGCAACAAAGACATGCTATCCTAACACATCTAGTATCGAAATAATAAAATGTACCGTGGCTCAGCTATCAACCATCTAGCTACCTAATCCATCGTTGTTCTATTATAGAGCATGCCGCTATCTCGCCTTATGGATACCCAGAAGAAGAGCCTACTCGTTGACATCATTCCAACAGAATTCGCCGACTTACAAAATGATGAACTATATTATGTCTCCTGCTTGGGTAGTCTTGCATACAATCGTAGCCAAAGCTGTCTGTTCGCAATATAGCTGAAGCAACATCTAGTATTCCCCAGATCTTGTTGCCAGTTCAATTTTTCATTTCCAAACTTTTCTCGGGACATTAATTTGAGATTTTATGGCATACTCATCTCCGATATGATATATAAGATAACACGGGTAACTCACCCATGCAAGTTAGATAGCCACCAGTGCGTAATTGTCAACGACTATAGCTCATAAGGTTTAGACTGCATTGAATCTGAGACAAAGCTTCAGTAGATACTATATTACAGCCACTTCAAGAATATTGCTATTGACTACTTGTTACGATCCATCATACCATATCGCCAACAGGACGCAATATTATGCCAATAATCGCAACTGTAGCAATTTCTGAGACGGAACAAGTTATACCCAAGAGATATGGTGGTTATAATGGAACAGGCCGTGACACCAAGTCATACGATACTACCATATACGAATATGCTGTTAAGTCACTCGCAAGTAAAATGAAGTTCTTCTTGATTTCCATCAAGTTTGCTTCTTATAATCACCTTCACTAGCTTGTGGTAAATCTCAATAGTTCTAGTATAACCCTTCACGTTGTCCCAGTGTGTATAAGTGATGTCATGCTTGGGGTTCACAAGGTATCTCATATTGCACTAATTGGGCTTTGACTAATCACTATGCGTCTATTCTTCTTGCTACTGACTATTATCAGTCTCCCATGTTCTTGTGTCATAACTATTTTCCGATACTGAAAGAGCTCGATTGGGAAGATTCATCAATTCTAAGCTCGTAACATCCACAACATAATGCTTGCAAGGCAATGTGACAAGTCTATCAGCAGTATGAAATTATGAATATACATACGCACAGCTCGTCTTCTTACTACAGCAACATTGCTCTTGGATCTCCAACCTCAACCTTCAACCCCTCGATTCACCACTCATTCATCCAAGATAACATTCAACGACACTCACAACCATCCCTAAGCACACTACCCTGAACCATCCCAAGCAAGCCCCCACACAGCAAAGAAGAACAAAAACCCAGCTAGCCACTCGCAGTGGATCCCGTAATCTTGCCAACCCCGGCACACACGTGGTCTCACTCAAGCTTCTCATTTGAGGCCCCCAGCACACCTCGATCGGATCGCCCATGACTTGCACATCCCGCAAACGTGCGCCAGGGACTAATATGGCCCAATGTCACAACTCACTTTGATGCCAATTCGATTCTAGACGCTTTCCATTAGAGTTATCGATCAGAATCGTGGGGCGGGTTGGAGATGGGGCGCGCAAAGAGGCTTGAGATTCAAGGTGGATCTTGTATTATCACTCCCGCGCGGAGAGAAAAGTGACGTGATTGGGAAAACCAAGTGAAGGGCAGACTGTCTCAATGTGTGATGAGAGACTGATACCTGGTACGAGACGTTTTGCTATTCGCAGTTGACGCGCAGGCAGAGGCATGGCTTGGTAAACAGGAAATGTACAGTGATATAGATTTAGTAGTAGGTTATTAAGTGAATAAAGAGCCAATATGGAACCCGTGGTATCTGAATTATTGTTTTCGGTCATACCCCATTCTTCGGTCGTCCAACCATAGCGATAGTACAATGTAATCAAGCATAACTTCATTAAAAAAAAACAAATATTTTCACACATGTCGTCCGAAGATGCCATTCATTTGGGTAAAAGGAAAAAAAAAACGCCGCTTTGCTAAATCATGTGGAGTTGTAGTCGGTCTCCGGTAGATTCACGCACTTCAAATATGCCAACATGGCCATCCAAGTCGCCAACATTCAAGAACTTTCCGTCGGCGGAGAAAGAAAGCTCCGAGACTCGAGAAAGGTCATCGAATTGCTCAAAGCCTGGTCGAGGAGTGTAGTCGATAGCTAAGGCCTCGGGGTCTGGCCAGCTCCATACCTCCTTGCCTGTCATGACATCCAGAATGACAATGCTGCCTCGGGCTCCAATGTCAGTTCCGGTCGCGTGGCAATAAGCTACAAAGCGGCAATCGGGTGATAGGCAAGACGTCGTGTTAGGAATGCCAAAGGTTCGGGTGGAGTTGGCTGCAAGATCCCACAGCAACACATAACGGTATGGAACGGTGACGGGACTAAGGTTGAAGCCGGAACCACCATTTGTAGCAGGTACGGCACGGAAAGTGGCAGGGATCCAAATAGAGACACAAACGCTCCCGTAGGTGACCATGTCACATGGGATTGCCGTGTCCAACTCCTTGTGCTGCCACGGCCGGGCCACTCGGTAAGGTTTGTCTGAAGCGCCTTCGGAAGTGTCCCACGCCACCAAAAGGGTCTCCTTTTCAGGAGGAGGGTGGCCTTGGCGCGGAGGACGTGGGCCGGCACCAATGACAAGCAAAGGGCTTGTTCTGGATAGCGCAAGCTCTGGGTACTGGGGAACAAAAGGCAAGTCAACTCTATTTAGATCAATGGTGCGCGTCTTGACAAAGGGCTTCTTGTCTGGCGTCGCCTTGTAGAGATCAATAATCCCCTTCTCGCCGCCGTAGATGGCGAGAGAGCTAAGCGCACCATCGTAGGACTCGATTTGGGCCGAGGTCCACCGATCAGCATTGTCAATTGACTGCAGATTCTTCTTCTTGGCCCAGTTCCAGATTTCAATGTATCTGCCGAAACGAGTGGCAATGGCAATGAGATTCGTCGGTTCTGAGAGAATGGCATGGCTGCGAATGAGGTATTCGCGAGAGCGAGACTGGGCCGCAGTGTAGGAGGAAATCTTGATGGCTTGCTGAACAGTGCCTCCCGCCGTGGACCAAACCTTGATGATGTTATTTCCATGCTTGGTCGCCAGAGTGGCAAGGCTAGAAGACATGTCGAGGTAGTGGATGGGGCCATTCTTCTTGTCGTCAGATTGAAGGCGCTTCCAAAACACAACCTCGGCAGGACGAGACGACTTTCGTGGTGGGGGAAGAAGCTCAGAAGGATCCGGAGGTTTGTAGAAATTAGTTGGAACCCTGCTACGACGAGGGGTTCCCGGTGAGAAGCTGACGGAGGTAGCATCTGGCGTTGATGCGGTCGCTGAGACTTGGGAAGAGCGATGTGTGCTGATGGATGATCTATCTGAAGAGTCTCGGGAAGGTACACGGTGAGCGGGGGCGGCGGTGGTTTTGGGAGTGGGAATTGGTGGCAGTGGCTTTGATGGAGCAGGGTAGAGGCTGTATCCTGCCTGGTAGTAGTTGGATGATGCGTTGGATGACTTGCGTTGTGAGTTCACCGACTCGCGCCGAACGGATTGGGGCTGGTCCCTCGATGGCGGTCGCCGAGGGAGGGATCCTCTCGAATCTCTCTGTAGGGGCATGTGATATTCATCGACAACATCATCGCTCTCCTCAAGCCATTGGGCGACGGCCTGGCCCTTGGTTGGGGGAGGCATTGGGAAGTCGCGAGAGGAAGCGACGTGGAAGCGAGGTTCTGAGTTCATGATGTCTGAGTTCCTTTCGACAGGTGAATTGGGGTCAAAGGAAGGGGCATTCTGTCGGGAAGAGTGTGATGAAGCACCAGTGTCGATGCGACGCAGGGTGTCTCTGGATTTATAAAGAAAAAGGGCCACTGTTAGCCTCAAGGGTCCGTGCGATTCAAATAGGTACTGTAGGCTATGATCTTTGTCTACGGTCTTTGACTGCCCAGAACGGTCGAGCCCCGGGTCAAGTCAAAGACTAGAGGAAGGGGGGGTTGAGGCAGACTCACGCTATCCGATCCAGATCTGTAGCAAATGGCGGAGACTCCATGTTGGCCGGCTGGGGGATTGCTCGGGCAGTGGGACCTGATGGCGGATAAAGAGACCCGAGATGGTGTAGAAGAAGAGAATGTGGTGTCTGGTTTTCCCCGCGGGGTCAACAAAAAACAGGAGATGTACGCGGACGTAGGTCGAAGGATGCGAGAAGTGATTTGTTCAGTCGACAGGGAACCGGAAGAAGTGCTTTCTCGCTCGTCGACTCGGGGCTGGGGGAGGAGCTGAGAGGAGGAGAAGCGACGGTGTTGATGGTCGACAAGGGTGGCGGCCCTAGGTGTGCTGGACGGGACAAGCTCCTGAGTCAAAGGACCTTTGAGGTTCTCGAATGCAAGCCAGTTGCTTCCAATGAGGTTTTGAAATGAAAATAAAATACAAAGAGAGCGTTCATGTATGCCTAGGCCAGCTGCGGACTGGGACAGAACGATAGCTTGGGGAAAAAAACCGGACCGAGAGCGTATCCTCCGCTACAAAGCGTTGGTAGCGTCCGTGTGCGAGCACTTGGTACAAAAGGATGTCCTCGTACTTGGATATAAATGGAGAGGCTTCGATGGGGACGCTACGGGACCCATGTCCAATATGTACTTGCACTCGTGGCGGCAGCAGTACGAGGACTCGTTTGAAAGAAGCTTGTTGGTGAGTTGCGTTCCCCAAGTGCCCCAAGTGGTGGTGCCAGCTATGGGGAAGAGATTTTGGCCTCGTAGACCCTCCGGACCCTCCAGACCCTCCAGTCGGGGCCCCAATTTCGCTGGCCAGACGCCACGACGCCACTGGTCCGCCCAGGACCCAATTGGCCGGAGGAAGGGTTGCGTAGTTTTTTGATAGGTGCGAGCTGATGTTGTGCGGGACTATCTCGGACCCCCCTGGACAACCTTTGGCCATGGCGCCTCTTCATCCGGGTCTGTCTGCATATCGTGTGAGACTTTTTACCCGATGAGGGATGCAAGTCCTTGCCGTATGCCTTATTTGTGCGTGCCAGCCATACGAATACCCGTACTCGTACGAATAGCCAGCGTCTCCATGTACGTGTACTCGGTGCAAAGTGCAGAGTGCAGAGTCGGGGTGCAGGTAAACTTGCACGCTTACAGCGTCCGGGTTCTCGACATGCAAGTCCATGCAGAGTCCAGCATGCAATGTTGCAACGAGCGGCTGCATGTCTGCCATGAACTGCTGCGGTTTCAGTTACTTGCTAGCAGTAGGTAGTAGTTGCCGATACGGACCCGGAACAACGGGAGCGAATCCGACGCAAATTCGTGCACTGACTTGACACAGCGTATACTATCCTCAAAGCAATTGAGGTTTCCATGCGAAAAAAAAAAGACGACGGCGGGCGAGCAGGCGGCAGAGGAGACGCAGGTACCGGGGTGGGAGCACTGGCAGAACGTGTCTCTCCGCACCAACCCAACGAGCCATGCGGCTGCGGGGTGCGATTCCGAGAAGAAGAGACGGGGCCAGCGTTAACGATTCAGCCAGCTAACCAGGATGGCGAATCAGCTGTTTTCCGGGGGTGTCTGTGGCTTCCCCCCAGCCACCTGGACCAACGAGAGCAGCGGCTGGCAGGGCGTCGAGTGGCGATGCGATTCTGCGAGGCTATCAAAGGCCAGTAACAGCTTCTTGTCATCGTGTCAGCAAGCGAATGCGCGACAAGCCCCCGGTGACGGAGATGAAGCAGAGGATGAATGAGAGCTGCCGTTGCATCCCTCGATGTGACAGCACCGCGGATCTGCCCTCGTTGGGCTTCCTTCGCGCCGCTTCAGCCATCCGTCACAAGAAGGGTGAAACGATGGCTCACTAGCTCACCTCTAGAGTCGCCAAAGAGACGACAGCCGAAGCCCAGGTTGGCCGGCGTCATGGGTGAATGGAATCCCTGGAGAGAATCCCTGCCTGCTGTGCTGTGATCCTGCTGTTGTGTGCTTGTGCTTTTCCGAACATAGCCGGACAGTCAGTCAGTCAGCCCTGCGGTGAGGGATTGCAGAATTTTGATAACGTGATGCCAAATGATTGTTAGCAGCCGGCTCGAGTCAGGCCACCTGGTAAGTACCTGCTCTAAGCAGCTGGGGGAGCACCAGTATGGGGGAGCAGGTACTGTGTACAAGCGCCGGATGCTGAGTCCTACCTACCTACCTGGCGCTGGACGCTTTATGGAATTAAGCGATTCATTCCGCTAGCAGTGTTAGTGCACCAAAATATTGGAGCTACAGCGCAAGTACCTTAAGCGGTCCCTCGGCTTGCTTCGCTACTGTACGAGTAGTACTCTCGTAATTGTGCCTCGCATTTCTAACAACCGCATGCTGAAATTTTCTTTTAATCTCCAAATCCCCCTTTATTTCTCCACGAGCCGCACTATTACGTATCTGCCGCGGTGTGGCTGTCGGCAGCAGAACGTGGCGTCTTAGCGGTGCTTTCACATGCTTCAGGCGCATGACTGTGCTGTAGCGTAGCAACGGGGAGCCAGCATCCGATTAAGCCCAATATGCACAAACCGGGGCGCGTCCCCAAAGCTCAGGTCAGGCCATGCCATGATCCATGATGGCTCTTCGTCTCCATTCCCTGCGTCTCTCGCAGCTCCCCCCGCCAGTCCGTCCTTGGCAGCTCACTGCTACAGACTTTTAGACCGGATTACTGGCACTAGCACGGCCGGAGCGAATGTCTTAGCCCGTGCCGTTGCGAGGCTAGAGCGGGAGCAGTTTAGCAGTGTCCATGGTGATGGGATCGGTCAAGCTGACTGTCAGATGCGATGCTGCAGAGAGAGAGGCAGAGGCGCCGCTGCTAATTCAGTTTTACAGCATTACAGTCCAGTATCCCGGCAAGCTGATCGACTCACCGCGCATTCAAACACCATCGTCGTCAATCATGGCCCGGCATTTACCGTCTCAAAACATGCTGAATTCGTACATGCATGCCGTTCGTCTTTCTCAATGTCGTATAACGCTACAGCCAACGGCAGTCCATGCCTGAGCACTGCATCTCATACACATCACGGCAAGGAAATTGGACAATATCTCGTGGGTGACGACGCCCCGCAGCCACCACCAATGCCAGGCCGGCGTCAATTTGCATTGAAATTCGTTTCTTGCCGAGCTCACCAATGGTAGCCTTGAGCCTCCCCCCTTGGCCGAGGTCGACTTTGGTCTTGATCAGAGTTTTTAACCCTCTGCTCCGTACGGCTCTCTGGCAGCTAAAATACTGTGCTCCGTCTATCCACTTGGGAATCCTACAAGTACTGTACGAGTTTATGTACAAGTGCAGCTAGCGGCTCGGACCCAAAACTCAAGACGAAAGAAAAACAAGACAAGACAGCCTCCGCTCAGAGAGTGGAGTGGGCCAACTCTGGCAGCATCCCGCTTCATTAACCCCAGGCACCCAGAATGCGATTCAGTGTCCACTCACACAGCCTGCGGGAGATGACATGAACTGCGGAGAGCCAACAGATTCCGGGCGAGAGGGAGCAGCACCTCGTTTTTGCTGGTTGGATGGCCGCTTGCTCACCGCACGACACTGGGCGTGATAGTGGCAGCTCAACGACTGGAAAGGAAAGTCGAATTGGACGTCATGCCATCAGCCTAGGCAGCATCTTCACAGCATCGCGGAGTAATACGGAGCAGGCCATTCTATTTCCCCCCCCTCCCTCCCTTGCTGAGCCTGCCTGCTGTATTAAGCCATCATCTGGGGGCTGAATTCTCCAGGTGTGCAACCCAAGGCGAATGCAAGTTGGCGCTAAGATGCCAAGCAGAAAGTAGGACACCATCACAGCAACAGTGCTGTCAACCATGTCAACCATGATAATTCTCAAACCGCCAGCCTTTCATCTATCGTGCGGCATCGGTCTGTCACTGCTGTCACCCTTGAGGCAGAAGCAAAAAAAGGCGCCGACTGAGCTGCCACTTAATCATCTAGCCAACACAACCACCCTCAGAGTCAACCCTGCCCTATACGAGTACTAATATCCATTCACTGGAAAAGTTTCTCCGTGCTTTTGGATGAATCATCCGTCATGTCGCCCACGAGGGATACCACGTTTCATTGTTCCATTTCATCCTTCTAGACGTCTGTACCGTAAGATGGTCCAACCTGAGTTGGAATGGAGAACGGGGAGAGAATGCAGCAATTTGCGCTAGAATGCCTGCATCGTCAGCACCGGCCGCGGCGACGCCACGGGCTCTCGACTCGGCCCGCGCTACAGAACACTAGACCCAGGAAATTGGGATTGGAGATGGTAAGGGAGGCTTCTCTGTCAGAGCTGGTAAATGAGCATCTCGCTGGATTCCAGTGAAAATTTTCTCTCATGTCAGCTTATTGCTCACCATGCCTCTCACTTATACACAGGCACTTGGACCACGACGACTGTCAACGGCCGTTTAGCTGTGTCTTGTCTGTGGCTGCTGACGGGACGGACCGATCGGGAATTTTTTCGCCGTGAAGATTACAATTTACTCTACCCTTTGACTCGACTCTAGCGTATTTGTTCCATTGATGGGGAGAGTGTAAGAGGGATTCCTTTGACAAGAAGCAACAAGCAAGACAGACAAAAGAACAATAAAACTCGGGTGTCCGGAGTCGGAGCTGGTGTCATTTACTGCGAGTTGCTCGAATTATTACGACACCCACTCATATGTGTTGTACTACGGAGTACAGTAGATGTCAGATCTACCAATATCTTGAGAGGTGCTTACATCACTGCCATCATGAAAGTCTCAATGGCATCACCAACCTGTAGCGTTGAGCTTTCAGGTTGACAGCTGTTTCACCAAACCTTTTCCACAGTTTGCAAGCAGATCAAGATACACGGATCATGGCACCTCACGTGCCCTAAACGCCGTGGTGTAACTGAGGAGCTTCCCCTCACTTACACGCCCTGCTCAATACAGATCCCATCGAATTAGGTACCTTTATCCGTGCTATTCTCCAAAAATTAGCTGCGACACATGTTCTCAATTCAAGCACCGGCTGCGCTTTCACTCGGCATGCCTCGGAAACCCCTCGTGATTGAAGCAATTAAAGTCTCTTCCCCGCAGAGTTTCAGCTTCATCTCTTCACCCAAGAACAAGAACCTGCCCGTGTCGTGGCGATAAGGAACAACCATGGGCAGTGAATTAGATTACAAGACCTTCAAGCTAGGAGACTTCAAGCTCGTCTCCGGCGAGACGCTTCCAAATGCCTTCATCGCCTACAAGACTTGGGGCGATGCCTCCTCTCCCGCCATCATATACCCCTCGTGGTTCAGCGGCGCCATCTCAGACAACGAATGGCTTATCGGCGAAGACAAAGCCCTCAATCCCCGTCGATACTTCATTATTGTCCCGGCTTTGTTCGGCAATGGACAATCCAGTAGTCCATCCAACACCCACCGAGAACCGCTCAGACCGTTTCCCAACATCACCGTAAAGGATAATGTTACGGCACAGTATCGTCTTGTAACCGAGGAACTTGGCGTCAAACACGCTCGAATGGTATTGGGGTGGAGCATGGGCGCCGGGCAGACATATCAGTGGCTGACGCAGTATCCCGAGTTCATGGATCTGGGCGTGCCGTTTTGCGGGAGTGCGCGCACTTCGCTGCATAACCAGGTCTTTCTCGAAGGCGTCAAGAGTGCACTACTCGCCGCCAAGGGGGCATCTTCCGCTGGTAGCGCGGCCGGTGAGTTAGCGCAGACGTATCGGGCGTGGACTCACGAAGAAAGGGCCACTGGATTGAAGGCCTTTGGTCGTGTATATGCTGGTTGGGGGTTCAGCCAGGCGTTCTACCGGGAAAAGCTGTATGAGACGGAGCTGGGGTACAAGAACCTCGAGGATTTCATGGTCAACTTTTGGGAGTCATGGGCCCTGTCCAAAGGTTTGTTTAGCAGCTTGTTGAGAATCGTACATGCCCTTGCTGACGCCCCCCATCTAGACCCTGAGAATCTTCTCACCATGCTTCACACGTGGCAGGCTGCAGACAGCTCAGACCAGGAACCTTACAATAAGAACTTTGAGCTAGCCATGAAAAGCATCAAAGCTAAAACGTTAGTTCTCCCAGGCAAGACGGACCTCTATTTCCCATCGGAAGATTCGGAGTATGAGGTGCAGCATATGGCAAAGGGTGTTGGAAAGTGTATTCCATTTCCATCCCTCTGGGGCCACTGGTATGTTCGATAAGATCCAACAGTATGTGGAAACGTTCTGTACACAACACTGACAAATGGTACAGGGCCGGTGGTCCAGGTGAGAGCAAAGAGGATGTGAAGTGGCTGGATGGTCATTTGAAGACCCTTCTGGAAGATGAAAAGTGGCAACTCGATACTAGCCAGTTGGAATAACGTTCGACCATGCCATATCGAGTTACATAAGGAGCTTTTCAGGAGCTTCCAAATATTCTGCCCATGCAGAGGAGTGTAACACGCCTCTAATCCAATACATGCACACTCTTATAAACCATGTCAGTTGAGGTCCGGCAAGACTCGCATTTTATGATCTATCGATCTACCGAATGCCTGAAATGCCGTTGGCTAGTCATAAATACTCCGGCAAAATGCAGAATACTTCTTTAGCCGAGCTTTGCTTACACTGTTGTTTTCACTTCTGCAGCTTATTCTTCATCTGGAAAACACCAGTGTGGAACTTCGTGCTACTGCTATTAGTTTACGAGCAGCGACAGTAGTGCGGATCGTCGAGTTACAGCTGGCTCCATCATACGACTTGTTCCACCTAATGCACCTAGCCCAACAGAGCGTCCTAAATCAGCCACTTCCAATCCCCGTTGCCCCGGAATAGCTGTCCCCGCAACCCGTATGCTCAACAGGCAGCAATATAAGATCCAATCCTTTGTTGTCTCGTCAGGGTCATGCAGTTGAGACAATAGGCGGCACTCGGCAAACTAAAACAACACCAACCCCCAACTTGGCTGCGAAGTTCAGGCGTCCGTTTTCACTAGCCAAGTACAGCTTCTTGTTAGCTTCAGTGATTCTTCACCCTCCCCCCTCCCCCCCCACGAAACTCACTAGGGAACCACCGGGAGCGTTCCCGTTGGATCATGGGTTAGACCAGCCACGTTTTCTTCCATGCAGCACTACCCCCCCCTGGTGCTTCGGGTTGGATAGGGATAGTGAGGCGATTACTTTGTAATTATTTTAAAACACTAAGAGAAAGCCAAAAGCACGGATGTGTTTGGGAGGCATAGCGAAATACGCTTAGTTAGCTTCGACTGCAGACTGATTCATGAGCGCGAGTCATACACCTTGCTGTCTCCAAAATGGGAGCTTATGTACGTAAAAAGGTAGTCATAGGCGAAGTAAATTTAGGAGGAGCTGAGTTGGTTTTAATTTTTAGTCTTGATAGTTGCCGTTGGCCGATCAATAGGGGTGGTGAGAATATAGGGGTGTTGAAGAAGCTGTAGACATTTGTATCTTCAAGAATACTGTATGGGTGTGCAGCCGATTTCTGGTCTTGGGTACCTGGTAGATGAAGGAAATGAGAATTAGGCTTCCTTTATTGTGTCTTGGCAATGTTTGAAAAGACGAATCATTATTGTGGCTTATGGGAGATATCCAAGAGTTCATGTCGCCTCCTCGGAAGCCATTGGCAAATTCGGCCGAGATCATACGCGATATTCGATTTTAGACTCTAGCTTTAACATAACTTTAAGAATATGCTCAAGCGGCAAGACGACAAATTTGATTTCATACAAGACAGTGATGACGCTTCTTTCTACTTATTCTAGCGCAAAGTGCCTTATATTTATGTCATGCTGTATAGTTTGATATGATCAATACCAATGTACCGCCATTCTAGGATACAATGGATTTGTAACTCCTGATTATACATCTTCAGAGTTGAAATACTGGGTTGTACTTTTGGGATACGGGCTTTACTGGAAGCAATATATAAACTGTCAAATATAAATGAGAATGGAAGCTCAGTAGGTGGGAAAAGTAGTCATTCTCCCACCTATTGTTAGAGTTTGCTTCATTATTGTTATATCATGAGGTAGCTGAGTGTCCAAAAGGAAACATTTATGAAAAGCCGTTTGTGTGAACGGCTCATATTGAAGTGAGCTCTGGTTGACACGAGTGAGCTCCAGTTCAATCCCATCGCTAAACTATGTTAAAAATCTTATTTGAAAAGAACGTTGCGATCTTCCGGATCTCTAAAGATTTTACACATCTACTGGAGCTTTGTAATTACTCCATCACCACTATCTGCATTGGAAATGATTAAGTAAGGGGAGCAAATTGGGGCACATTCTGAAATTGTGAGCTCCCGAAATCTTAATTTAGCTTGATAGATTTATGATGCGTACAATTTCTTAGTCAATTTCAAGAACCTCTAGTAGGGTCATGTTGTATCTAGAGTTGAAGAATCGTGGTTCTCAAGCTATGAGTGACCTCTTCCGTGATGGTGCCATCGTTCGCCTGGTAGTACACTCTGACACTGTTTCCAGTATCCCAGTTGATCGCCGAAATGTGTGTACCAACTGGCATAAGATTTAAAGATCCGGTAGACTCCCATCCTCTAGACCATCTATACCCTCTCAGAAGCCCATGGTTGTCTTGCCAGAACAGACGAAGCTGTACGCCAGTTCCAGTGGCAATCCAAGAAGTGGCAGCAATAGCAGAACTCTTAATTGCAACTCCAGGGTTAAAGTGGCCTGCAATGATATCATATTTAGCTTCCGATACAGCTTGAAATAATATAGTATGATGACTTCTTACCCTCATTCCAGTTGCCATCATTGCAGTGCTCCCTTAGACTGAGATCTGGAGCTTGGTAATAAACTCTCAAATGGACTTTGCCCCCGTCCTTAAATGACAAGGCCGCAAGGTTGGATCCCGAGTCGGCTATTGGGAGGGTAGCACCTCTATGCTAGGGGTTGCCGACGCAGTATTCTTGAATAGCATTCGAGTTTTCCTCTGTCGAAAGCACCAAATTAGTTCATGGTACAATGGTCCGTTATGCTATAGCATTACCTTGGCAATAGACCCGAATGGCCGGTCCATCCCAGTTTGTAGCAGCGATAGAAGAGTTTGGTGCTACGCGAACTTTCAAGTTTGTGAGGTAACCTGGATTCCAGTGCCCATTGATACCGCACCACTCTTGAAGTAAGCCCTCAGAAGAAGCGCAGTAGATCCGGACCTACACCCTTTGTCAATATTTCCCCTGAATACAGTACTCAAAGGGATCACCTGTCTTCCCTCATCCCAGCTGACAACAGCAAGTGGAGTGGAGCGCTTAGCAGAGAATAACACATCGTTGGATACGTTCCAATTTTCGTTGTCGTAAACCACTTCACGGATGCCGTTCTGAGTATCTTGGAAGTATACGCGAGAGGTGGATGTAGATGTCGCCGTAGCGGCCACCGCGGTCCTAGCATTGATGGTGAACGGGGCAGCCATAGTTGCTTGTTTAAATTCTTGATTGTTAGAAAGATATTGTATTTTCGATGAGAAATGATTGTATAGGCAGTAGAGAGTATTAGGAGCGGCTTAGACAGCCTATTTATATACTGTGAGTTTTAGGCATCACTCTATATATACCTCAAAGGCCCTAACCTAATGGATGAGATTTGTCTCATGTTGCAGACATTCATTATTCGCATGTATGATGTGGAATACTCAACACCTATAGAATATATTAAGTCAGAGTCCCAATTGAGATTGCGGGGAGCTGGGGGCGCTGTGTGGATGCAACTATACGAATGGAGCAGCCGATGGCCCATCTCGGTTGCCCTCGGGAGAGCTTCAGAATCCCGTTGCAAATTTCATCTGTACCATTGGCTGGACGAAGAAACTGTAGCTACGTCATATTATTCTCATAAAATAGATTGCTGAATGCGTGACAGATCGTGTAGTGATTCTAGATATCGTCCTGTTTGACTTCCATTGTTCATTTATCGCTTTTTCGAGATAATGTCATTCTTATACTTCTCCTTGCTACTTTAAAAGCAATTACTCCGTTAAAGTTCCATATCCAAGGTCGCATTGATCGCCATCTTCACTTCAGAAACACCGGCCCTGGGTTTGATGCTGGGTGCGGGGGATTCATGTCACCCGTAGCTGCGGCTGTGCCCTCATGTAAACCAATCAACAATTCCGGACAGAGGTTGCAATGCATATGCGAGTGCTGTGGCTAAGGATTTCGGTTCTTCTATTGGTATAAGCAATATGTCGTGGCTGGCTGACAATCTAGCTCCAGCATTCACATCATCTGCCGTCGGTTAGATGGTTCATTGCAGCCTAAACACGTTCAAGGATCGGTTTTCGACGCACTTTGCGGACACATCACTAGCACGGCCTCCAATTCTATACCGTTTTATATTACCCGCGTCTTGTGTATCCCATATCTTCAATTGACTCGGCGTTATAAATATGTTTTTGAAAGCCGTGATTATATGTTTATTTCGTTACTCGCTTTGATGAATCGGAAGTACTTCATTCAACTTGATTAACATGAAAATTATCAACCCAAATAGATGTTATATAACTGGGTGCTAGTGTCATGTCGCGCCTGAATCTTAGCGCTTAATGGCATCCACGAACACTCATCAGCATCGGGTTGCTCTGGTCGGGCTGTTGGAATGACGATATTAGCATTTTTTAAGATCGCTGCAGTTAAGAAATCTGAAATAGCTGGATAAAATTAACACAAGATTATTTTTAATTGGACATAGTGTATTTGTACTCTGTGATCTCAAGTCTCATCCTACTAAGCTAGCTTGTTCGATACCTGATCATCATGCGATCGAATTACATCTTTCGACACTTTCGCGTCTGTTGTAATCGTCGTCGTAGACTCGACATATTTTCGGTTCACTGGAGGACTTTGTTAGGCAGAGTAGACTCGATAGACTTTAGGATGGCCACATACTGGGAGCACGGTGATACTGATCAACCCAGGTAACTTCAGTGCCTGTCGCGAGTGCGACTCGCTGGACAAAGTTGGGATCGCGCAGGAACTCTCGTGCGACATGCACCACGTCGGCTTTCCCATTGCTCAGGATCTATAGCGTATAATTTGTCAGTCATCAAACTCATAAGACGAGAAACCAGGGAGCGTTATACATCATGCACAGTGTCGGCATCTCGAATCCAGCCAACAGCAGCCACGAATACGTTTGGCAGCTTGAGATCCTTGACAGCCTTGGCGAATGGGACCTGATATTGTTGGCCAAGCTGAACCTGCTGTCTCCGGTCGGTACCTCCGCTTGAGACATCAAAAAGATCCACGCCTTCTGCGGCGAGTATAGGGATGTATCGCAAAGTATCCTCCAGCTCCCATCCTTCTCCTTTTGGTAGCCAGTCTACGGCTGAGATCTTCCAAAAGACGGGCATGTTCTCTGGAATATTGCGTCGTATAGCACGAATGATCTCTACACCGATTCGGGTGCGGTTCTCAAAGCTTCCGCCCCATTTGTCTCTCCGTTTATTCGTCTGCTCAGTGGCATAAGTATTACTTCTAGCGAGAGGTTTAATGACACATGGTAAATCTTACCGCAGGTGATGCGAATGAATGCAACAAATATCCGTGGGCCCCATGAACAGCAATCACATCAACACCAGCCTCAACAGCCCTGCGCGCAGCTTGACCGTAGGCTTCGATGGTCTCAAGAATCTCGTCTTCCGACATCTCTCCAGGCGTTGCATAATTCTCGTTCCAGGGCTCGGCAGTAGGACCCTGAACCTGGTTGGCGTACCCATCGAATTCGTCAGGAACAAGGCGGAGACCCAGCCATGGCGGAGTGACGCTGCCTTTGCGGCCGGCGTGCTGAAGCTGAATCGCGACCTTTTGAGATTGCGAGTGGATGAGGTCGACAATTCTCTTTAGAGGAGCAATATGATCGTCAGACCAAATACCGGCATCCTGTGGCGTATTGCGGCCCTGTTTTCATTAGTTACCACATCTTCATAATATCATAACTTTAGTTAATAGGTAAAAATCCTACTCTGGCTGTCACTGCAGTCGCTTCCAAATGGATCAAAGCAGAGCCTCTCATTGCCCACTGTCCGTAGTGGGCTACGTGAAAGTCACTAAACATGCCATCTTGGCAGCTATACATGCACATCGGGGCAACCCAGATGCGATTCTGGAACGTGAGGCCACGGATGGAGATCGGCCGAAATGCAGGAGTAATGGACTTCTCGGTGACACCGTTCTTAGGATCGAGAATCGCCGTGCCGACTGGCACTCTCTGTTTTGGCGTGTAAAATTGGAGGCCAGCCACCACTTCACTGCGGAAATCTGAATATTGAGATTCTGACATAGAGCCCATGGTGAATGCTTCTTGATGAAGATAAGCAGGGCTGAAACGGTATTGGATTAGACGGGGACAGAAGCTCAACGAGGATTCGTAGAGGCTGGTTTTAATGCTTCTCCAAAGTGCACCAGCGACGGTGTCAGCAACGACTTCATACTCGATGCAAAAACAAATTCGTCTACGATTCGATTTCTAATTACTAACATCTACCACATTACGAACTGAATCATAGTTTGGCTTGGGAATCAAGTCGTCTCACTCTCCTCGTTATCATTTTCTCCCCTACTCCATTTCCATTTCTGGTAATTTCCCTTTTTGTATTTCTCCCCCAACTTCTTTCTACCCCAACTTCGACCCACCTGGCCACCACCACCCGATCAACAGGATCATCGGCCAAGAAATGCATGTCGGGACAGAAAAGAGGGGTGATGTAATTGGTAATTTGAGACGAATTGTGGCCACAGATGGCAGTATTCATGAGGGTCCGTATCGAACCCTAAAAGTCGTAACGCCTGCATCGTCGGCATCCTTGTTCCCAAGTATTTCCAGGAGTTTTTTGGCGTCATCTCACTTCGAAACCATGGCGCCAGGTCTCGCTCGCAAGTATGAAATCAATGCCGATATGGGCGAAGGCTTTGGGCGATGGAAGATGGTAAGTTCACACCCTCTTGGGTCGAATCATGTAGCTCTCACTAACATGGACTTCAGGGTCCCGATGAAGAGTTGATGCCATTTATTGATGCTGCAAATATTGCTTGCGGCTTTCATGCCGGCGATCCTTCTATTATGCTCAAGACTATTCGTCTTTGTAAAAAGCACGGCGTTAGAGCTGGTGCTCACCCTGGATTGCAAGATTTGTTCGGCTTTGGTCGAAGAAAGATGGAAATCGACGTCGATGACATGTACGCCATGGTTCTCTATCAAGTTGGTTCTCTCAAAGCCATGCTAGATGCTGAGGGCGTGGAGCTTTCTCACATCAAGCCTCATGGGGAACTCTTTTTCTACATGCAAAGGGATCTGGCCATCATGAGAGCTGTATTGGAGGCATGCGCGACTTTTAAAGTACCCGTTTATGCCTCTCAGAATCCCGAACAAGAAGCAATGTGTAAGGAGATGGGTATTCTATTTCAAGGGGAGGTTTATGTCGACATAGATTATTCACCAGAAGGAAAGTTGGTGCCTGTTGCTCAATCTCAACAGGTTACGCCAGAACTCTGTTATGAACGAGCAATTGGGGCGACAATGACTGATACTGGGAAGGACATTAACGGGAACAAGTTCGGCTTTGGCTTTGACGGTAGGCCCTTTAGCATCTGCCTTCACTCCGACGCACCCACAGTCCTTCAGAATGCAAAGGTAGTACGACAAGCTGTTGATGAAGCCAACCGGTCCAAGTTTGCATCGGAAATCAACGGAGTCAATCATAGAGCGTAGAATTAAAGAGAAAAGCAATAATTGCAATAAACATTGAAAACATAAGTTGCCTTTTAGTCGCCTGAATATTTATTCTCCAACTCATAGTAACCAGTGATTACAATCCAATCCCATAAGATATTCCGCACTAATCACATTCGATGCTGGTCTGCGCATATATCAGGCGCCGCATGAAAAGCGAGCTTTTTGTAACGACTTCCCCCTTCATCAAAGCACGTGTAAGTCATGGCCTCACTCATAGATTCCCACACCTTATCCGACACCCCGGAAAGACATTGGAGGTTGGCCGGGGGCCGAGACTCAACATTGCCGGGGCCGGCCCCTACAAGCTATCTTGTGGGGTCAAGCGCCTCACGCTACGAAGTGTCTTATCTTTTAGGAACCGAGAGACGCGTTATCGAGAGCTCGGGGTAGAAAGTTATGGCTATCGTTGAACTGGCTAACTTCCGAGGATGCTGGTAGGGGATACAAAAGGCTGATGAAGCTTCCTTGACCGACACTAATATATTACAGCCCATTGACCTGGCAATACTACACTGTTCATCATCCTGGGCTTTCATTAGTCCAAGGTGAAGAATAAATGAACTCCTTCGTCTTTTTACAATAATTGTCTTCAACTCTTGTTATCTGTTGAGTTAACCTTTTAATTTCTACAACTACCAATTATACCTTTCTTTATTAGTTCTCGCTATCCATCTGCATCAAAACTAGTTCCAATGGCATCTGAAATCCCCATTCCTGGGACCGTCCAGCTTGTTGATGTTCAAGGCATCTTCAATGTCAAGCATGGCCATCAGTCTCGGGATATCGTCCTGGTCCCTCAGCCAACTAATGACCCTGATGACCCTCTGCGTTGGAATCCCGCACGCAAGTCTATGGCGATTGTTTGTGCTATGGTGTGGTGCTTCTTTGTTGCTGGTATGATCTCAGGATTGTCTCCGGCATACATCTTGATTGAGCAGGATACTGGCATTTCGATTGCCGACTTGAGCACTGGCAATGGCATTCTCTTCCTCTTCTTGGGTTGGGGGACTATGATCACCCAATGCCTTGCTCTCAGCAATGGCCGACGTCTTACACTTCTTATATCCATCATCTTGACCACTGCAGTGACTCTCTGGACTGCCTACGTCAAGTCAAGAGGGGAGTTCTTTGCCAACCGCATTCTGCTTGGTATTGTCGCCTCGCCGCAAGAAACACTCATCGAAGTCATCATTGGAGACCTTTTCTTCACCCACGATCGAGGCTTTTTTATGGGTGCCTACAGCTGGACTTTGTGGTGTGGTGCCTTTCTGACGCCGGTGGCCTCTGGTTATGTTGCACAAGACCTCGGGTGGCGATGGATTCAGTATATCCTGACTTTCATCGGTGCCGGTGTTGCAGTTGTCACATTCTTCTTCTTTGAGGAAACCATGTTTTATCGTGATCACCATACCGGCAACGTGCGTGATACACCGGGCGTCGATCCAGCAAATATTACCACCACTAATGGAGATCTCGAGAGCAGTACCCCAGCCACATCGGACAAGAAGATCAATGAGAAGTCCATCGACCGAGAAGATAAATCCACCTCCCAGTCCATCTCGCCTTCTGAGCCATCTGCATTTGATGAGCAAGAGAGCACAAAGACATACCTGGCGAAGCTGAAGTTCTGGGGATTCCGCGACCCGCGGCAGCCCAGCACGTTCAAACTTTTCTTCTTGCCAATACGATTACTCTTCATGTTTCCTGGCATGTCCTTTGGTGGTCTGCTTGTAGGCGGAATTCTTGCTTGGTATAACGTTGTTGGTGGTTCCTTGGCTTTGATCCTCGGTAATGCGCCGTACAACTTTTCTGCCAACAATATTGGCCTGACGTACCTTTCCTGTGTTGTTGGTGTCACCATCGGGTGCTTCCTTTCGGGATGGATGGCCGACACTCTCGCTCTCCGTCTTGCACGTCGGAATGGTGGCGTTATGGAACCCGAGCAGCGACTCTGGACATGCGTTATTGCACTCGTCATGCACCCTGCCGGCTGTCTTCTCTACGGAGTGGGTGCATCCTACCACATTCATTGGTTTGGAGTTGTTTTTGGCCTATGTTTGATCTCCATTACTCTTCCGATGGGCGCCAATCTTGCATTCACCTACATTCTCGATAGCTATAAGGAAGTTGCAGGAGAAGGCCTAGTCTCAGCTATCCTGATCCGTAACATGATGGGTATGTCATTTCCCTCACACTTGATACTTCGTTTATCGATAATTGGCTAACATGCTTAGGCTTTGCTTTTGGATATGCTGTGGTCCCCATGATTGATCATCTATCTCTTCGTTATGCCTTTGTGCTCATCGCTATCTTGGGTTTAGCAGTGTGGTGCACAGCTATTGTGATGATTTTTGTGGGTAAGACTCTGCGACGTTCCACTGCACAATCGTATTGGAACCTGGTTGAGCGATATGGAGCGAGAGCTCATTAATCACATCGTTTATGAGGCAAAGCTTGGGTAGTTGGTCTGCATGTTCTGCACCTAGATGATAGCCAGTTTGTAGGTCGATGCATGTGAAACAAAAAGTGTGTGAAGTTCGTTGAGAATACATAGTTTCAATATTCTAATTGTTTCCACGATGCCCATATATTTCTATTTCTAATTCTATTATCATTCGTTTCGTCTTTAGAAGATGCGTAACGAGTTGAAATATTGTCATATCCGGCTTTGCAAATCTGAACACAACGTTATAGGTCAAGAGATGGAACGAGCTCCAAAGTCTACTCGCCTCTTCCTGAAACCAGCCTCGTCATCTGCTCAGACGAAGATTACGCAAACTAGAAGATATATTGGCTATTTTAGCATCCACCCTCGTCTTCTGACCTCAGGAATAGTCTCGAAGAAAAACGAAGCTTTAAACGTATTAGGAATTTGAACCAAAATATGTTACGTCGTCAAATTATACTAGTTTCATATTGTATTGGCTGAACTTGGCAGATGGACGTTCTCCAATTCCGGCATACACACGCACGCCGTCCAACATACATGATGACCAAGATCTGGGGTCATACGGCATGTAGCGAAGATAACGAACCGGGTGGCGTTTCTCTCATCCGTCCCGAGTACTAAGAAACCAAGCTTGCCAGATACACTCTCTCAGCAAAGGTGAGACACAACGATAAGGTATTTCCTCTTCTGTATACCCCGCGTTGGGGTAGAAATTCTAACCATGATAGGGATAATTCACTACGGGCACAAGCGTACATGTACTCCACACCCTTTATCGCTTCTTAAGCAATCTCTCGAACTGGGAACCCCTGGACGATATATCTATAACTCATTTTCGTTTCATTGAGGCCTGTCTTATCATTTGTGATGTTATCTTATTTGCATTCTGCTACCTGTGTCCTCCTTTATTGTTGGCAACATGGGTTCCGTTGACTTAACATCGCTGCGCAACATTCGCAGGGTCCTGGTCGCCAACAGAGGCGAGATTGCCGTTCGTTGCATCAAAGCCTGCCGCGAGTTGGGAGTTCGCAGTGTTGCTATCATAACAAATGCTGATGCAACTTCATTACATGCGACGTTGGCAGACGAGGTAGTCTTGCTACCAGGCGAAGACAGCACCGCCTACACCAATGGGTGAGCATTCCAAAAAGAGTGTCCATGTACAAAAGTGCTTTGCTAACTGTTTGTCTTAAAAGTGAGGCGATTCTCAAGATTTGCAAAGAGTCAAATGCAGACGCCATCATCCCTGGCTACGGCTTCTTAAGTGAAAATGTGGAATTCGCAACCGCCGTTTCCTCTGCCGGCATTACTTTTGTCGGCCCTTCTTCTGCGTCCATCAATGCGATGGGACTCAAGCACGAAGCCAGGGCTATCGCCCAAGCCGCAAATGTCCCTGTAATTGCAGGCACACAACTCTTGGAATCCGCCGGAGCAGCCGTAGAGGCCGCAAAGCGTCTGGGTTGTCCCATCATTCTAAAGGCCACCGGGGGCGGCGGAGGAATGGGATTACAGATCTGCCATAGCGAACAAGAGGTTGAGAAAGCATTCGCCATGGTTGAGAGCCGGGCCGGCGCCCTCTTCAAGAACAGCGGAGTTTTCTTGGAGAAGTATTATCCAAGTTCACGCCATGTCGAGGTTCAAGTCGCCGGCAATGGAGAAATTGTGGTTGCGTTTGGAGAGCGTGAGTGCTCACTGCAACGGCGGCATCAGAAAGTAGTCGAGGAGTGTCCCAGTCCCTTTGTGGAGCGTCATCCCGGCCTACGCGAAAAGATGCTTCAAGCCGCTGTCAATTACGCGTCACAGCTAAAGTACAAGAGCGTGGGCACGGTCGAATTTCTCGTGGATGATGAGACAGCCGACTTCTTTTTCCTCGAGATGAACACGCGATTGCAGGTCGAGCATGGAATTACCGAGCTGTGCTATGGAGTTGATCTGGTCCATCTCATGCTGCGACAAGCCGACTACGAACGCGGTGGCTCTATCGGGATCCCATCTGATGTCCTGAAAAGCCTTGGACGACCTCAACCACTCGGATCAGCGATCGAGGTACGGTTGTATGCTGAAGTGCCGCTGCGAGACTTTGCCCCTAGCCCTGGTGTCTTACAACACGTTCACTGGCCAGAGGGTGAGGGTGTGCGAATTGACACATGGGTCCGGAACGGACAGAGAATCACACCCTTTTATGATCCATTGATTGGAAAGGTCATGACATATAGTCCTGATGGCCGTATCTCCGCCCAAAAGAAGATGCTTGCGGTACTTGCTGATACAGCTCTTCAAGGGACACAATCCAATTTGGAGTACCTGTCAAAGATTCTTGAATCAGAGATGTTTACGAGCGGCAACACGTTGACCAATTCGTTATCAACGTTCAAGTTTGATAGTTGTTCCTTGCAAGTAATTGATCCGGGTGTTTTCACAACAATACAGGACTACCCGGGCCGTATTGAAGTTGGCCACGGAATACCTCCATCGGGCCCAATTGACGATCTAAGTGCTCGAGTGGCAAATATTCTGGTCGGTAACGACTCTGGTGTCGAATTATTGGAACTCACTCTGTCTGGCCCAAAGTTGTTGTTCCATGAAGCAGCCGTCGTGGCAGTCTGTGGTGCAGAGCTTTCAGTTGCCGTAGACGACGTATCTCAACCTATGTGGTCGAGGATTGTCATTAAGAAAGGCCAGACACTCGGGCTCGGAAAAGTGACGGGCAACGGCCTCCGAACATATCTTGCCGTGAAAGGCGGTTTCCCCCAGATCCCCAAGTTTCTTGGCTCCAAGTCCACAGCCCCGGAGCTTGGCTTTGGTGGTGTGCAAGGGCGAAAGCTCCAGCTTCACGACATTCTTACTCTGTCTCCAGAATCAAGATCATGGGCTGCAGAAGCTACACCTTTGTCTTTGCCGTCAAATTTTATCCCCGACTTCACTACCAGTGTGACCGTTTGTTGCATTGACGGTCCGTACGGATCTGATGATATTCTTACACCCGAAGGACGTACGACGCTGTACGAGACTGATTGGACAGTCAGTCATAACAGTAGCCGAAGTGGAATTCGTTTAGAAGGCCCGCGGTTGAAATGGGCTCGAGCCTCGGGTGGTGGCGGCGGATCACACCCATCCAATGTGCTCGACTATGGCTATCCCAACGGCGGCGTCAATTTCACAGGAGAATTCCCAGTCATCTTTGGGCCTGATCGTCCAGATTTGGGTGGTTTCGTATGCCCAACAACTGTCTGCTCCGGCGAGATGTGGAAGATTGGCCAGCTGAAGCCTGGTAACACTGTACGATTCCGTTCGGTTGCTTATGACACTGGCCTTGAGATTTCGAGAAGAAAGGAAAGCTTTCTCAAAACTCTTGCCGCATTCTCACAGGGAAACACAAGCCCAATAAATCCTCTCTCTGTCGAGTTCACCGACGAACCCCCGTCTTCCATTTTGCATCAGAAGCAGTCCCAGGGGAGCCATCCAATGGTAACATACCGCCAAGGAGGCGACACGAGCATCATCGTCGAATATGGCAATCAGGTGTCGGATTTGCGCAACACTACCTGCGTACAGGTTCTCGCCAAGCAAATATCAGCTCTTAATCTGCCGAGCGTGCGCGGCGATCCCAACTTCTCCTCTCTCACTGTTCGCTTCGACCCGTTCCAGGTGGACCGATCCAAACTCCTTCAGCAGCTCATTCAATTCGATGATGAAATAGGGCAGACTACCGGCGTCAAGATACCTGCTCGCCAAGTACGGCTTCCAGTTTGTCTCGACCACTCTTCATTGGAAGAGTCTGCGCAACGGTACATGGATAACATCAGACCTACGGCTGCTTACATGCCGGACAATGTCGAATATCTTCGCAAGAACAATGCACTCGAGACTCGCCAGCAAGTCTTTGATGCGCTTCTCAAGACACCATGGCTGGCTGTTGCCGTCGGTTTCTACGTTGGAACTCCCATCTTGTTCCCGCTTGATCCCTGGCATGTTTTAACTGGTCAAAAGTACAATCCGAGCCGAGTTTATACACCAAGTGGCTCAGTTGGCCTGGGTGGTTCATTAGTAGCCATCTATCCTGTCGCGGCACCCGGAGGATACCAGCTGATGGGCCGCACGTTGGGTGGATGGGACGGAACCGGAACTCGCACCGGGTTCTCTGCCGAGCGGCCTTGGCTATTTAATCATCTTGATTTAATAACATTCTACGAGGTCTCTGAGGAAGAGTACAACAAGATCGAGCGAGATTTCGAGACGGGTCGATATGTATTTGACATTACACAAACGATGCTGGATATGGATGAGCACATTGCCAAATTCGACGCCGCTGCCAAGGATCCTGCGTATCAGGCCTGGAGGAAGCGTCAAGTTAACGCTGCTCGAGAGGTAGGAGAGCATGAGCAGCGTCTGTTTGACGAGTGGACGGCAGAAAAGAATGCACGAAATAATGCTTCAAGTACTGAAGATGACGATGCTGGTTCTGGAAATGTCATCTCTATCGAATCGCCTATCAATGCCAATGTCTGGAAAGTGTTGGTCAAGCCGGGCGATGTACTGGAGAAGGGCCAAACAGTGGCGGTACTCGAGGCCATGAAGATGGAGATTAATATAATTGTCGATGACGGCCAGGCTGGCGCTGTAGTAACAAAGATTAGCCAGCCACCGGGAAGTGTAGTCAGTCCTGGGATGGTAGTTGTGGAGGGTCGGAGGGAAGACTGAAAGACTGAGATGAATAGCAAATGAGAAGACTACTAATTCAGCCATGTCAAGTTGTGTATTTCTTTGTATTTAGAGCAGTCCGAATTACTTCTCAATAAACATCAATTCTACACAGTGTATATAGATCAATCCAGCGGTTATTATGCTCCTCCCCTCCCCTGTAGTGTGACCTTGACATGTCGTGCCTCTTCAACTCGATACTGTACAGTACAGTCTCAGCCTAAGGCACATAGTGGGCTGATGAGGAACAGCTAATTCCCATCACGTGCTGTCTCTTCGACCGGACCGGGTCTATCGATTCTCTGTCTATTCTTATCTCCAACAGACGCGTTGAATCTGCCAATTGATTGGTTCTTTATCAAACAACCTATGACGACCTCTTCCTTTGAACCTCAACCACCCTCATCACCTTCATCTTACACCATCATCCTTATTAATCTTCGTAACAGTGTAGCTGCATCTGGCATCGTATCCACCCCGAGATCCTGCTCGGCTTGCCCCACAGTTGCATCATGAGAGGTCGCCCTCGATTCCGTGTGGCTCCCTGCAAGTACTGTAACAAGGAGTTTAAGCGACAGGAGCATCTAGAGCGTCACATCCGCACGCGCAAGTATCAATGGGCACGCTGTTACCTTGGTGTTGATGCTAAGACTTGTCTAGACACCCGGGAGAGACCGTTTGGCTGTGCCTGTGGCCGTACATTCTCAAGACCGTAGGTCATTGCCTCCCCATTGTACAACTAACTCGGCATGCACAGACATTTAAAGTACTTACCATGTATCATTAGGGATCTCCTAAACCGCCATCGTCGACTGTCTCAATGTTCAAACCCAGCTGCGAGCATACCTCAAGGCACAGCGAGCACAGGCCAAGAAGCCGTCTCTTCCTCTAAGATTATCTATCAGACATCTCCAGCAGAGGATGTTGTAATCTCTCCCTCAGACAGCAGCCATGGAAGAACACCCCTTAATCCAGACTTCATAACCCAGGCATCTGCGACCCGAGATGTGTTTATTGGTCCAACCACCGCGATGAACAACGCCGCGCCGGTAGAGTATTCTCAAAAGCAGCTCATGGGGAAATTCTCAATACGCGACCTGGATACGAGTAGCCAGGAGCAGCAGCCGGACTATCCTTCTCGTGATGGTGGTGTTGTGGCTCGCAGCGACATTAACATGGACAACACCATTGAGACGGGATCAGACTTTACACAGCTTCAGCTGTTCGATATGGATTTCCTTGCAAATGAAACAGACATGATAAGCGGATATCTCATGGACATCTTCCCATCAATGGACTACCAGCAGCCATTGATTGAGGATATATCCGACGCTTATAGCGGCTCTCAATCACTTCCCACAGGCCTTGGTGCCAATAGCCTTGAGATATCGACTCTTATGCAAAATGAGATGCCACCATTGCAGGGGAGGGCTTCCGCGATCCAATCAGTACCAAGTCAGACAAGCCAGGCGCAGGATTCACTCGGCCGTTCACTCGACGCAATTGACGACGTCGTAGCAACGAATCCATGGACTGTGTCGGCAGCGGCGTACGAAAAACTCACTGCCGAAGTTGAAAAGCACATCAGCGTGTTACCAGAGCCGTTCGCACTTCCTAGCCGGCAAACACTATCGAGATATGTTGCGAGCTGGATGCGAAGTTTTCATCCTCATCTACCTTTCATTCATATACCAACAACTTGCCTAGAAGATAAGACGCCGATGCTTGTGCTGACTCTTGCGGCCACCGGGTCATTCTATGGGTTTGAACACACGCACGGTTACGCCATGTACTTTATTGCAAAGTCTATCATTACTCATGAGCTCGAAAAGCGTCGCCGAGCCTCTACCTTACACTTGCTTCGAACTTTTCCAAGTTATGCCGGGCTTCCGACCGGTTCTCCAGATGCAACCGCACAGACATGGGCATCGCCACCACCCGCAACATCCGGCTCTGTCGACATTGAACTGCTACAGTCCCTATTAGTTCTTGTGCTCACAATGGCTTGGCTTGATGGGCCGCTTGCACAAGATGCACTCGCCATGAGCAGCCAACTTACAGAGCTGACCCGCGAAGCACTCAAATATCCCGTTCCAGAAATTGAAGCAGATAACTGGAGTGTTTGGGCTCATGAAGAAGAGAGGCGACGTACTTTGTTCTCCGCCTACTTTGTGATCAATATACTCACTATTTGCTTCAATGTACCACCTCAAATCACCAGCTCAGAGGTTAACATACCACTTCCATCCTCTGAAGCAGAGTTCAAGGCTACCACTTCCAATGCATGGCTTAGCTTACGGCAAAAGAGCAACTCTCATCAGCCGGATTTTCAAGTCTGTCTGCGGCAGTTGCTATCCGGAAAGCCGCTTGCGAAAGAAAATTCTGCTACAGAATTTGGAAATTACATGCTTGTTCAAAGCCTGCTGATCCAGGTGTACTTCGAACGCCAAGTATCCTCCGCTGTGTTAAGTTCATCAACAAGCCTGTCACTGGACACTATTTCACTCTATGAGAACGCCTATAATGCCTGGCAATCCTGTTGGGATTCGGCCATTGAGTCTGCTTTGGATCCCAACTCCCCTCATGGCCCCTTGGCCTTCAACTCGACTGCCATGCTTCGCTTGGCTCACGTCCATCTCGCAGTTGGCCTCCAGAGCCACTGCGCTCTCCGCTCACGCGATCCAAGGATTGTTGCTCAGGTGTTTGAACCTCATCAAAACCCCATTCCCCTCCGCTCTCCTCATCTAGATCAGGCGGTTTTCCATGCCATCTGCGCGTTGAGGATACCGGTAAGGGTTGGGATAGCGTTTGTTGCGCGAGGCCGGACAGGGCATTGGAGTGTTCAGCACGCCATCAGCAACTTTGCATGTGCGCTCCTGCTCACTCATTGGCTCGAAAATCTCTTTCACCTGGTATCTTCCGATGGGATGGAAGTCCTTCGATATGAGGAGAAGCGATTGCTTTCTATTGTCGAACGGCTAATTGAGGAGACTCATCTAGAGGGCTCTCTAGGCTCAAAAAATGACTACCCTCGCCGAATTCGGCGTCTAGCTATTGCTGCAGTGAGACTTTGGGCAGAGACATGCAGAGGAATACAAGTATTTGAGATTGTTCATGTTGTGGGGGAGACATTATCTCTTGTTGCGGAGTCGTTGGAGGATCGCTTTTAGCATTAATGGCCTGAATAGTTTAACACGTTAAGCTTGTTGCATATCCATCAGTCTTGGTAGATTACTTCACTTGTACTGCTGTGTCTATCCTTCGTTCTATTACTAGAGCAATTCCTCGATAGGCACCTTGAGAATATCTAAAGCATCTAAGTAAGGGGAGAAGAGTGATCTGTAGACACTGTTGCCTATGATAGAACCCACGTTTATGGCTGTTGGTGCATTGATTGTGAATGCCACCTCATTTCTTACTCAGTTCAGATCGAACCCCCACGTCAAGTTCGATCGCTATTGTATTTCAAGATCTGTTGAGCCTATCTGCAGATCGGTTGCAGGCACAATCCCTGCATTGTGTGGATCCTGTACGTTTTAATAGATTGGGCGTCAGGGTTTGCCTGTGGAAGTCTTTATGAGGTGGCTGAGCATATCAGGGCAAGTCAGCCATCCCTAATGTGAAACCCCCGGCAAATCCAATGCAACTCAGCACCAATAAGTAATTGCGTACATATACTCAATGACAGGGAAGCTACAGCGGGCCGAATAAGATCTGTAGCCACCTGAAAGAAGCGATCTTTCCGTGTGCCGTGACGCCCTTCATTTCATAATACAAAAGCTCCCAGCCATGATCCCTAGTCAGGATTGTTCCGTTAAGGCTATCACGCACAACTCGGCATTATATGGAGCGCTTCATTGAATGACCATTCTTAAACTCCATACTTGTTTTTTATTTATACCAATTTGGGTAGTACCACGATGTAGTAGTATCGGAGTGCGGAATGAGTATGATCGAGATTGCAGGGTGGTAAACAAAATCAAGGTTGTAGACCCACGCATGAAGACATCACGCCATGTTCAATTATCCTAGGTACTCCTCACCATGGACTTTTAAATAGCTCCTCAACAGTTAAATAATTATTTTCCTGATACAGAGTTCAGGTTCCATTTTTAGACAAACCGCCTTTCGGATTATTGACTTATTCAAGAAGGTGAGCATCTGAGTTAAGAGTTTCAGGGATTTCAGAGTCTAGATTTCGAAGTTAAGAGGGATTATGTTGCTTGTGCTTGGATTTTCTAGTACATAGATATCTTGGTTTTCTGCCTACCACAAATTATCCCGTGTCACCCCGTTCACCACTCAAGCAGCTTATCGGCTCCCGATACACGCTTATATACCATCTTTTGCTTAATTGTTACTATCAAAATCGCATTATTTTATTATCACCGTCATGGCTAAAAGTACCGCTGTTTCCAGTGAGCAGCAATTTCCATTGGCTACGTATCTAGAGACTCTCGTCCGCCTACTAGACACCGTTCGGTACAACGACGAGAATTTCACAGATGATGAACGCGCCTCGTACTTGAAGTACTCCTATTCCACAGCTGCTGAGCATTTTGCTCAGCCTCATGTACAAGAATCTCTTAAAGCGCCGCCTGAACGCCTGAGTGCCGCCCTCAAGACCATCGTCGCGATGGTTGTTTACTCTTGGTCCCATGTATCCGAGGAGCTAATGGCCGATTTAACCATCTTCTATACATATGCTCTACTTCTCGACGATAGCATAGAGCAGCCTGCTGGCTTCATGGTAAACTGGTATGGGGACCTCCTGAACGCCAAACCACAGTCTCACGGTTGGTGGAGACTTGTCAATGAGTTTCTTCCCAACCTTCTTCGCCATTATGGCGGGTATTGTCAAATCAATATAGTTCGAAGTACGATTGACTGTAAGTTGTAAACCTTGGCTTCTGTACGACCCAGGAAGGCTAATACCACCAAATACAGTATTCCAAGGTTGCTGGATTGAGCAACACAATTTCAAGGGCTTTCGCGGCTCTAGTGACTATCCCAGATTCCTTCGTCGTATGAACGGCCTGGGCCAATCTGTTGGCTCTACCCTATACCCTCTTGAAATGATTGATGAAGAAAAATACTTTTTAGAGATCACCACGGCCATTGCCCAAATGGAAAACTGGATAGTCTGGACGAACGATCTGTTTTCTTATTATAAGGAATACTTCACAGAGCGAGATCAGACCTCTTTAGTTAACAATTATGTGGCATGCGATGGCATAACTCTTGATCAAGCTCTTAACAAGCTCTGCAAAGATGTTATCCGCAGCTCCGAAGAGATGATCCAGGTATTTCAGGATAAGCATCCCATGATATATGAGAGCTTGACCAAATTCATGCAAGGCTACATCACTTGGCATTTGTGTGATGACCGGTATCGCCTTATCGAGATTTACGATTCCTCTAGCGACAGTGCCATTGCTCAGAGATTCCAGAAGTACATAGAGTCTGCTCGCCGTGTCGGTATCATAGACAGTGCTCGGTATTGCGTACCGTCAGTTACCGAGTTGTGCAAGCGTGAGATTGAGGGACATTTGAGCAGTCTGCAGCTAAGCGATCTATAAGGCGCTGGTCCTTTATAAGTTGGTTGGCAATATTCTTTATGTTGCGCCAGGAGCCACAAGTATACAGAGGCCGTCATTGAGGAGAAGGATGCAATTTGATGTAGCTGCTAAGCGCAGGAATGAAGCACGGATTACAACAACACAAGTTACGCATTTGTTATTTTCACAATATTCAGTACACTTGAATAAACGTAATATTTCTCCTCGCCATCTTGACTGCAATAATGATAACCTTTTGCTTCAATCAGCAAATATTCTCAAGACTGCTCATAAAGGGGAACAATTTGCTTCCCCTCATACCCAACTGTTTCCATCCATTCCTTCAGACTCTTTGGTCGTGTAGGGTAAACTTCATCCGCCCAAGCCATATCTTCAATCTTCCTTTCTTTCTGCGCTTTCCAGATATTCCACCAGGCGCCAAAAGATTTGCGAAACGTAAACGAGGTGGGATCCGTGGGATCCGCTCCTCTAGGCAATGGTCTGTCCGGATCAACATGGCTAGAAATTCCCCCCATCCATGCGGATGTCGTAATGCTCTTAAATTGAGTCTTTTTGCCTGTGACTTGCTGAAGTGCTGTAGCGATCTCTGGAAAGGTAACAAAAAACGGCCCCGCGGACAATATTTTCCCAATACTTTCCTCTGGATGTGCCAAGGCCCACTGGAGGCGATAGCCATACATTTCGAGAGGTAGAAGTGGCATAACGCTATCTTCATCCATGGGATTTTGAAAGATGAATTCATCATCTTTCTCAGTCGGTCTTAAAAGAATCCCAAGCATTTCGGCATACACACCACCTGTCAGGATAGTCCAAGGCAGTCGATCAAGAGGCTGATTCATTAACCAGCCAGTTAACCTGCTAGACACGATATTGTGACTGTTTCTGTATTTTTCATCCATGCCCAAGTTACCGAATTTATCTCCAGCACCAGCGAAAATGAACCATTTCAGCTTGCTTTGGACGGCTATCTCGTAGGCACGAAACGTCCAGAAGTACTCAAATGGCTCACCAACGTTGAAACTGTCTATGCTGAAATAAACGACGTCTTGATTGGCAAAAGCGTTGCGTAGGCCCTCCTCTGTTGTGTACGAGCCTTCAACGAATTCGACGTCCGGAAAGGAGGATGCCAGGGCTGCGGCTTGGCTTGAGTTCTTGTTTCTGGTGAGAACAGACACACGATATTGCTTGGTCCGTGCCAATGCTAATAAAATCAGCATACATTTTATTCAATGGATGACTGGCTTATACCTTGGATGATCGATCGCCCTTGAGCTCCGGTCCCACCAAACACCAAAACTCTTGCATTCTCAAATGATATGTGGTCAGCCATGGTAGAAATTTTGTTTTAATGATTGTAACGAACTTTCTGCTTTGAACTATTTTAGTAGAATCTCATAGAAGATTCTGATAATTTTATATCAAATATGCCAGTTTATGGATTAGTGATCAAGTAGTACATATCATCGAAATGACTGTAGAACAAGGGCCAAAAAGTATACCTCCTGTGGAAAGATTATTAATCACAAAGGAGTCAAATGGATCCTTTGTTAGATGTTCAATGGCAAGCCTGTAACAACCAATCAATATTTTCAACAAAGGGGTCATATCTGGCAAGTATGGGAGCATGGTCAGGGATGGTGGCATCAGCTTGACTATGATGCTATCGAATTATGGCGTTTGATGTTGTATAATCAAGTTTCTCGCCCAGTTGCCTCGGCTGTCGCAATAATATTACGTTTGTATCTTTGTCTCTGTGTAAGTGAATAATGTCACCGTTACGCTGCCAGCTGAAAGTCTAGACAATGAAAGCATGTTGCCTCCTGACACTGAAGCTACCCACACAGTACATCACATTAAGCCTCTTTCGTGCAGCTTTGGAGACACTGGGCATTACAAATCCAAAGCATTGTATTATGAAAGTGCTCTATAATCAATCTATTCATATATCTACATAAGTAATTGCGCTTGTATGCCCTGATGCTGGTAAGAGGCTCTCCGCTTTCGCTCGACAATTTTGATAGAATAGCTCTTTTTCTATTCGTTTACATATGGAAGCTGGACTGGGATACTAGCAAAGAACTAATATAAGGGTAAAAGAGACATCAGGATAGCTCTTCTGGCTCGTGCTTATTACTTTGAAACTTATTATCAAAGATTTTTAAGGGGCAATTGATCTCGTGATTGATTGCCCTGGCTTTGCCCTGGTTATCAAGATATCAGGTCGCTCATTATCCGAGTTTAGAAAGCCACGATGACGCAAAGAGAACGGAGAGAGATGAGTTCAAATTTTAAATCCCAAAAGTTGGTGACGCGACCACAGATTCAAGAGTGGATGAGCATATATGGGCCTGGAGCTCTGTGACAAGCCTTAGACCGGCGGCTGCTATGCTGATTCATATTGAGAGTTTAGCTATAAGCTATTTCATGATGTTATTTGATCTATCGAGCTCTTTCCACTATGTTTCCCACTACTAGGATGAACTCGTCAAAAGAAGATGGCTCTCTTAGTCTTTCAATACGAGCTTCAAGGAACACGATGAGCGACATGAACATCAAAACTGGGCTGGACGATCCTCAAGGGCTAGGAGCGATAGAAAATTAGGGGCCATCATCCCATGGGAATCTTATTGCGGAGAAGACAAAAATTATGAAAGCCAGTTTGAAATGCCAGGGGTTCTCTAAAGGTTTCTATTTTGCCTCCCTTTTTCAGATGGCAATTAGAGGGCAGATGATAGGTAGAAGTCACTGCCTACCTGCAAGAAATGAACCTCCTTGCCGGTCTGTTGCCTCAATGTGGCCAGCGCCCGGATGAAAAGCGTTTGTCTCTCGACGCTCACTACGTCAATGAGCCAAACTACTACTGAGATTTGGCGGTCTAGAACGAAGCTCTCAATGGCGGCTTCATCCCCTGGATCAAACGACGCGGGCTCAGCACCGTAGCTCCGGACGGCCTGGGCTTGAGCTTCGCTACGAACGAGTGCATAGATCTTATCATGGGCTGGCGGTTCTGTACTGCCACTGCTGGGGTTGCGTAGCTGGGCCAGAATGCTGCCGCCAAGGTAGCCTGAGGCAACAGTGAGGAGGATGTTGTGCATGATAACTTGTCTAAAGTGTACCGTAAGAGACTTGGTGATTCTTTAAACGATTGGCTAAATTCAGCTTGATACATGCATAGGCAGAGTTCACTTACAATCGAGAATGGGTAATGACTAATGCCGAATTGTGGTCCCAATATCCATTCAGCTTCACTCCTATGAAGGCTTCAAGCTATTGCTTCAGGGCGGGAGTTGATTCAACATTTCTACTCTTTTTATCCGCAGTAGCAAACGGGGAGAATTATGTCTCTAGCCAATTACAAGTATGATTCTGTCTATGATGACGAGCTTTTACCCTTCTTGGAAATTGAAAGCAGAAGTTTACAAATCGAGTCCGTTAACCAATCAAAAGTAGGTGTCTACAAATTAATTGCGCCAGACGTACAAAAGATAATGACGCATATTTCTGATATCAAGAGGCGGCTGCAGGTATCTCATAAATGATAGACTCTCATGTAGTTCTTTTTACGTCTCTCTGACTCGTAATTGGATTAATAATATTAGATACTGATATAATATGACAAAAGGAAATTAACAATCATTCGCCCAGTGCCTGGTATTAATTACAGATACAGCCGTGTGGTTCTTTCTGCAAGGATGTTGTGTTGAAGACTGGGAGGGAATACCTTTACCTTGTAAACAGATGAAGACCATCTCTCCTTCAAAGTGTCAGCAAGATATTGTAGTGACATTCTTTCCACTGGGATAACCGTAATGAGAAATGCGGAGACACCTCAGACAACTCGGAAGGCCAGAGGTGTGCAAGTTAACCATCACAACCGTGATAAGAAACGAACAACCGTGATAACAAACGAACAACTTGTAGATTTCGAGGCCGTTAGCGGATACCGTGTCGTGGCATACGGCGTGGGGAAACTAAATAACATTAAGACCAACAAGGGGGGTCAAAGAGACTGGAATACATGTAAGTTAAGGGAAGAATGAGCACTAACAAAAAGCAAATGAAACAACAGAGCACCATACGTATTTTTAACTGCAGCTATGAGAGGATCGGTGTTTATGCTAAAAGAGACTCCAAGGATACCCAAATGACAACAACTCTGGATCCATGCCGAGGCCCACCACAATACTCTCCAGGGTGTTATTTTCAAGTCAGAGCCAGCTGAGGCTATCTGCGGCCAGGCGGTCATCCTTCATTATTTGATGACGATCCCTGAGAACATGAGGGCCTTCAAAAAACTGGTGTCAGGAACTCCCTTCGAGCAAGTATGGACTACTCCCGAGCAGAGAACACACTATCAGTTTTCTATCGATCGTATGATCGAGGGAATTGAGAAAGGAAAGGCTTTAGAGCCTCCAACAATAGTATTTTTAATTATCCCACAGGACATCAGCCCCGGCGCGTCTCTCTCAGGATTGAGACAGAATCCAACACAGCCGGAAGGACTAGAGAACAAGTGTCTGTCACAAGTTTTGCCGAACTCGAAGATACTCTCACGCTGGCCTCTTGATCACACATGCTCGGGGTTTACCTTCTTCATCCCTCCCATCGAGGCCCTCGAGTTCCCACCGGAACTCATCCGAATTCTCAATGATGTTCTGGAAAAATACCCGGACGATCTTATGACGTTACGGACTTGTCTGATTGCCTGCTATATTTTCAAGCAAGTCATTGAGCATTCCGATATGCTCATGGAGCGATTCATGCAGATGAGAAGAGCCGAAGGAGGCTCTTACCACACGTTCCCGGAGATCTGCCTGGCTGCTGCCCTTATCTACATTCCACACTGGCTGAGATGCCACGAGTACATGGGGCTCACCGAATACCTTCATCCCTTCAGATTCACCTATCGGACACTAGACACGGACTAGGCCTAGCTCGGAGAGTCTATTGGAATAATAACTTAATATACCTCTATATTACTATCTGCTACTGTCTGCTACTATCTGCTACTATCTCCCATTATTTATAAATATCTATTATTTCCCACTATTTCCCGCTATTTCTTACTACCTGCTCTCTGATACTACCGCTACATACCTAATATACTCTTTTCATATACGACTTGGTGATACGTACATGTAGGTAATACACATTGGTACAAAATTATTTATCCTCCATTGAAGTTTACCGTAACACGGGAGATACTAGATACTGGGCACTAGATATATACTGTATTATACATAACATGTAAATGGAGCTCATTTGAGGTTCTGGTCATCACACTCCCTCCACGTCTCTTCACAAAAGATGAACAGACTATGAGAATACTATCAGCGGATATGAATGCACACCCAACTGGCCGGTATGTTTCAGCTTCCTTCGACTCGCAACTGTATTGTCTTCATGAAGCAATTTTGTAATCTCGTCACATTGTAGTGCTTTGGTAGAGGTGTCTCGTTTCCTGATACAACATCAAATGTATAACCTTCTTGGTCTGCATTTCAGTATTACTCGACACTCTTTATGACTCGAGAGTGACTATGGCAACTCTTATCTGTCAAGCCATGTCCTTTGCAAAAAAAAAAAAATCATAGTCTTATTTTTTTTTCCTTATCTTTGTTTATATCCGAAGCTAAATAGGTGCTCTGAATCGAACCAATCCTCCTATCTTCTGTTGCGCCGTGACTCTGTCTGTCAAGAATCGTGGGTGCTGTTTCCAATGCGTGCCCATTAGCGAGCTTCAGTGGCCTTGTCCGCTAAACCCACTAAACCCCACCACTAACCTCGCTGAACCCCGGCTTTTGGCCAGCTCAACCTCAACTCCATCCATCCAAACCTCTGCCACGTATGATGTTTCCATGTTCATTCAAGCTCCCCAAATCACCACCCTCGTTCACCTCCCATGAGCCCATAATGTCGCCCCCAAAAGACGCCAATCCGCAGCCCTCCAAATCCATCTCCAGCACATCAAATCCATCTCCACCGCCTCAAAGCTCCAACTCCAGCAATCCTTCCGTCATCAAAGGCGCCTCCCTGCTCATCATCCTCCAAGTCGCCTCTCGCCTCATCACCTTCATCGCCAACCAGCTTCTCCTGCGCTTCCTCACCGCTCCTCTACTAGCTCTCTCCACACAGCTCGAAGTCTACTACCTCTCCATTCTCTTCTTCGCCCGCGAGAGCCTGCGAGTGGCCATCCAGCGGCAGGGCATCGCAGGAGCTGCAAACACCGAGGATGGCGCCCAAACAGACGATGCTGCTGTTGCACGGAGGGAAGGACAGGCGGTGGTGAATCTGGGGTATCTCGCCGTTGGACTGGGCAGCGTCGTCAGCGTGACCTTGGGATGGATGTATCTCGCGTCTGCTTCCGCGACGACTCTCCAGACGCCTTGGTTGGTCGAGTCGCTTTGGCTCTACGGCATCGCCGCCATGGTCGAGCTCCTGTCCGAGCCGTGCTTCGTCTTGATGCAAACGCGTCTACAATTCGGCACTCGCGCTACAGCTGAATCCGTCGCCACTTTTCTTCGTTGCATCGTCGTTTTTGGTTCCGCCGTTTGGGCCTCTCAGAAGGGCTTGGATATCGGGGTGCTCCCTTTTGCCCTTGGCCAGCTGTCATATGGCGTCTCCCTTCTCTTGGTCTATTTCGCCTCAGGATACCGCCTTGCGACTAGCACTGGATTCTCGCTTTTACCCAAGCGACTCAATTCTAGCAACACCGTTGTCTTTGTGTTATCCTACTTTTACAAGCCGACGGTCAGCCTTGCGGGAAGTATGATGGCCCAAAGCTTGGTGAAGCATCTCCTTACCCAGGGCGACACCTTTCTTATTTCACTCTTCTCGACTCCCAAGGTGCAGGGTGTGTATGCCTTGGCGAATAACTACGGCAGCCTTCTCGCCCGCTTGCTCTTTCAGCCCGTCGAGGAGAGCAGCCGCAGTTACTTTTCCCGTCTCTTATCTTCGCCGTCTTCATCCAACAGCGGACAGGTCTCGTCGCAGCCATCCTCATCAGTCAAGGAGGCAAAACGCAATCTACACACCATCTTGCGTCTATATATCCTCTTATCTTCCATCATTGTCAGCATTGGACCCTTTGCGGCCCCCGCGCTTCTCTCCATTGTGGTAGGTAGCCGTTGGGCTGGTTCAGGAGCTGGCCAAGTTTTGGGAACCTATTGCTTCTACATTCCTTTCATGGGGCTCAACGGAATCACCGAGGCTTTTGTTGCTTCTGTCGCCACCGAGGCGCAAGTGCATCGCCAGTCGTTTTGGATGGGCATCTTCTCAGCCGTCTTTGCAGCATCTGCGTTCCTTTTTATGAGCGTCTTTCCGCTCGGCGCTCAAGGTCTAGTCTATGCCAATAGCATCAACATGCTGTGTCGAATCATCTGGAGTGGCGCCTTCATTGTCAGCTTCTTCAAATCTCATGGCCTCGACTTTGCACCCTCATCGCTATTCCCGACAACTACAATCATCGCTTCTCTATCAACCTTGATACTTTTACGATTCCTCGACGTTCAAGAAGATGGCGAGAAACAACCACTCGCGACGTTGATCAAGATTGCTGGCTCTGCCATCCCATTACTACTCCTAATGTACGTGAATGCATATCTACATGCTTTGCCCTCTCTTCTCGTCAAGATACACAGTCGTCTAACATGTTGCTGTAGTGTATTTCTAGAGCGCAAGTTTCTTCTCGAATGCTTCCAGTCTATCCGAGGCCGCAAAGCAAGCAAACGCGAGTAAGTAGTAACAAAGTGAGACAAAAAAAAGAAACAAGAGAGTAAAAGAAACCCATTTTCCATGCAAACATATATACCCATGCTTTTTCTATCAATCGAAAGTAATCTTTGTTGCCTTTTGGTTCGGATCGACGTCCTTGAAGAAGCCGCCGTACATGTCGTGTGTCTTCTTCTTGACGACGGTGCCAAATTTCATCAGATCATCCGGAACAGGCTGGTTAGCGCCCTTGAGGATGTTGATGAGACTGTTTCCACACATTAGTTTTCTTCTTTTATGTAATTGTGAGGGCGATTTGAAACTACTTACGATCCAGAGTGCGCCTTGTCTTGAACAGTAAACATGGTGATGGCCTCACCAGTCTTGCCAGCTCTGCCTGTACGTCCAATACGGTGAACATAATCCTCGATCGTCAGGGGGAACTAAGAGAGAAAACAAGTCAGATAGAGCCTCAACAGGTCCATAGTCCAAAATCAACTTACAGTAACGTTGATGACCAGCTTGACCTCGGGGATATCCAATCCTCGAGCAGCCACATCGGTAGCGACCAAGACTGGTGTCTTGCCAGTCTTGAAGGCCTCCAAACTCCTCGTTCGCTGCTCCTGCTTCAAGTCTCCGTGAATGCCACCAACGCGAACGCCCTTGCGGCTGAGGAAGCCCTCGACACGAGTGGCCTCCTTCTTGTACAGGCAGAAGACCAGGATTCGGTCATCCTTTTGCTTGCCCTGCTGGTGCTGCTTGATGATTTGCAGGAGTCGGAATTCCTTGTCCTTGCCATCCATGACCTCGACTTTCTGGGTGATTCGGGTGTTGGCCTGGAGCTCAACGGAGCCATTCTCGGTCTCCTTGCCGCGCGATCCAATAGTGATCTTGACGGGGTCAACCATAAAGGTAGACGCCAGGCTCTGAACGGAAATGGGCCATGTGGCAGTGAACATGAGCGTCTGTCGCTCCTCCCGGGGAGGGCAGGCACCAAGAATCATCTTGATATCCTCTTCGAAACCCTTGTCCAGCATACGATCGGCCTCGTCCAGGACGGCAAATCGGCAGCCGCTCAGGTCAACGGTCTCATCGGACATGAAGTCCTTCAACCGACCAGGAGTGGCGACGATGATGTCGGCACCCTTGTTGAGCAGCGCACGCTGGTCATCCTTGGAAGCACCGCCGTAGAGGCAGACGCACTTGAGTCTGAGAAGGGCAGCCAGACGAGCCAATTGCTCGTGAGTCTGCATGGCCAACTCTCTGGTGGGCGAAACAACAACGGCCTTGACGCCCTTCTTGTTGATGACGGAAATGGCCTCAATACAGGGGAGAGCGAAAGCCATAGTCTTGCCGGAGCCCGTCTCAGCGACACCGACAACATCGCGTCCTGAGAGGGTAGATGGCCATGAGGCAGCCTGAATGGGCGTAGGGGCCTTGTAGCTGGCAAACGGCGACGGCTTCTTCTCCAGCAAGTTGGTAGAGGGCAGGTGGTGGAACTCGGTGACGGGTCGGAGCTTGCCAGTGGTGTTTCGGGAGTCGGCAATGACAATCTCGTTCTTGGACAAGTATTCGTCGATCTCCGATTGCGGGACGTTGGACAGGCTCATGGTCTGGACGTAGTCGCGACCGTTGGAGGCTTCTTCGGAGGCATTGCCGTTGGTGTCCTCGGCTTTGCGCTCCTTCTTGGACTTTTTCTTCTCTTCGGCGGGCTTTTCGTCTTGGTCGACGTCCATGCTCTCGGGCTGTTCCTCGGTGGCTTGTTGAGCGCTGTCGTCTTCGTCCTGAGACTTCTTGGACTTTTTCTCCTTCTTATCTTTCTTGTCCTTCTTAGACTTCTTCTTCTCCTTCTTGCTCTCCCCGTCGGCGCTCTCCTCTACGGGGGCCCCAGCTGTGTCCTCGTCATCAGCAGACTTTCTCTTCTTTTCTTTCTTCTCCTTCTTCTTCTCCTTCTTCTCCTTCTTCAGCCGCGCCTTTTCGGCATCGTCACCAGCGTCGGTAACCTTGGACTTCTTGACCGGGCGGTTCTCGGCCACGCTGTCGTCGGCCTCTGCGCGGAGGTGCTTGGTAGCGGCCATTTTGAAGAATTGATTGGGGTGAAAGATTCGAATAGATCTGGCCTCAATTGATAAAACCAGGATCAATCGTCTCGCTGGATTGTTGCGACGAGATGGACCGAATCGACGCTGCGCAAAAGCTGGTGGGTCTTGGGCGACGATAAAAGAAAAAAATTGGGAAAAAGTCGTTATCGATAGCGATCGGATGCCCCACCTCGAACAGGCATATTGGCTGACTAATCTTTTTTTTACGTCTTAGGTACTAAGGTACCTTCATGTTGCCTTTCTGTCAGCCAAGACTCAAGACTCAGATTACTTTAGAGATCATATAACACAACCGTTGCAAAAGAACAAGGCTGTCAATTGATATGAATGACACAAGCCATATTCCAGAAACTTTTAAATCAAAGCTTCCCAATAAATTATTGTAATTGTCTACAGATCTCAGGAAAATCCAGCTCATCAGTCTTGGCCTTCTGTACAGCCTAGCTCAACCAGCAGCTTCACCATATTTTCCTGCCCACCACGACCAGCAGTCCATGAGAGTATTATGCTGCCCTATTCATTCTTGAATTTGGTATCAGCGCCCATCTCCACCAGCAACTTGACAATGCCTTCATGCCCTCTCCAAACAGCCCACCAGAGAGGTGACATACCATGGTACTCATCTTTGGACTCAATGTCAGCACGTAATTTAATGAGCAACTTCACCATTCCTTCTTTGTTATCATAAGCAGCCATTGAGAGCGGCGTTTGCCCATAAGAGCCAGATTTGGCCTCGATATCAGCGCCTAATTCAACTAGCAGCTTGACCGCAGTTCCATCCGCCATTTTCACAGCCCGCGAGAGTGGTGTCAACTGGAATGTGTCCTTAGCATCAATGTTGGCGCCTAGTTTGATGAGTAGCTTCACCATAGACTTTGACCCCTGTTCAGCAGCCAGCCAAAGCAATGGAACGTCAGTAGTGCTCTCTTTGATGTCATTGTCAGCGCCCAACTCAATAAGCAGTTTCACCATAGATCCTGCTCGACACGAAACCGCCTTATGGAGCGCTGTCCAGCCACGTGGCCCAGGAGAAGCGTGGATATTAGCACCTAGTGTAAAGAGAAACTTCACCATTTCCGCGTCTCCCAGTTCAATTGCAATCCAAAGCGGCGGCCCTTTCTCCCTGTCCAGAATATCGATATTGGCACCTTTATCAAGTAGCAATGTGATAATTTCCATGTGCCTTTTCCGAACTGCCCAGTGTAGAGGTGCCTCGCCGTACTGATCTCGGATATTGACGTTGGCGCCATTTTCGAGTAACATGATAGCTATATCTCTTTGCCCATTTATAGCGGCCTCGATTAACCATAAATCTCGCAATATAGGCGCAATGCAAAGCTTAATGGCCAGGTCCAATAGATCGTTGGGCGGACTTGAGGAAATTGCGGCTGTGTGATTTCTCCATTCATAAAAAGAATAACGCAGGAACAAATAGTGAGAGAAATCCTGGAACGATAGGAGATCCCTAGCCAAATATCCAAGATTGTTTTTGCGATACACTGCCTGGCTCCCTTTGCTAAGTTCTTCGGCGGTTAGATACGCCAGACAAATCTTGAAAAGAAGGAGATTTGACTCAGTTAGATTTGTATGATACCATTTTCTGGCTCGATCTTGAGCTACCTCTTTGAATTGAAGATTTGGTGCGGCTGGAATTCGCTCATCATTTGCTGAGATGTTGATCAAAAATTCTCTTGCCGTCTGATGTATCAAAAAGATTCTCTTTGACTTGTCGATAAACACAAAAAGTCCACACAAGTGACGAATTTTCTCAGCAAAACCCTCCACTTTCAGTCCAGATGTGGCTGCGGATCGCAAATCGGCCGAGTTGGTTACTTCCAAGCCAACCCCTAATGCCACCGCCATTTCCTCAATCTCTAGCGGACGCCGCGCACCGACAATAATCTGTAGGATCATTTTAACCTCTAGTTGTCTGGCCGGCGGCGCGCGGCTTAGGATTTTCTCATATGCGGCGTCAACAGAGCTGGGAATTAGTCGAATCATTTCCTCCTCCGGACGAAGACTATCTCGCAACATGATGCGAATATCATCCATAGCCAATTGTAACCAGAGGTACGTTCGATGCTCCATTTGGAGAAGTTGTTTCTCTATTCGTTGAATCGTTTGTATCCCAAGCCCTTCGATCTGGCCGAGTTCCCTTACGCGTAACTTGATGATGAGATTGATTTCATCATGAATCTGTTCATTCTCTTCCTCTCCGCGGATATGGATTCGGGGAAATAACTTCGTGGCTGAATGGAAGCCTTCCTGTATTTCTAGGTATGGACGGCTAGTAACAAGAAACTTGATCCAGTTTCGTCGGTTCAGTGATTGGCTCTGAGTGTAGAAGTTTGCCAGCAGGTTGAGTAGCTTTGCCTGGTCACTCGGCCGGCATTCATCCAGGGCGTCGATAACGCAGATTGTGCTGGAGAATGCGCCGTCCGAGAATGCGGCCTCGAAAATGCGCCAGAGAGCATCGGCCTCTCGCTGGATGTTTTTGCCGTTTTTTCTCCAGTCTGGTAGGGCATGTCGCAATAAGTCTGGCTGCGTACCAAATAACTGGTGGAGTATAGCGCATAGCGCAGTTGTAAAACTGTTTTGATCATCGTTGTCTTTGAAGAAAAAGTAACAAATTGAGACTGAATCGGATGTATCCAAATCGCCATCAACAAGGCATTTGGCCAGAACCGATTTTCCACATCCCGGGTCAGCGGATATCCATAACAGATCATTATGGCTGCTTTGACGCCAACGACGGTAATGAGGATTCTCAAGGACCCAACGGCATGTTCCTTCTACCCGATTTGGGTTGATATTTTTATATTGCTCATAAGTGGTGGTTTTGAACGCTTGGTGGCATTCCTGTTGTTCCTGAGTGAGAGCTCTTACAACGTTCTCACGATGATGACTTTCTCCTTGTTGGACCACTCTCTGGAGTTCCTCGGTGGCATTAGATATCTGATCTATGCAGAGTGTCAATGGATTATTGTTCCTCTCGAAATGATCAACATATATTTTTTACTTACGATACATTTCTATGACTAGCTTCTCTCGAGATACATGCCCAGCAGGAACGTAGCTCAGCAATTCTTTCGCATAGGCTGCCGCAGCTAATGCTGCGTACCCTTGCCACTCATTGTTTTTATGTGAGTCGGCATAATCGCAGATTCCGCGGATAACAATGCATGGAAAATCCATCATTAAGCCAGCTGCTTCCATCTCAAAGCAGAGAGCTTCAGTTTCCTGGCGCAGCCGTTCTCTCGTTTCTCCGTGTTTTATGACCATATTTCCAGATGCAATAATGCCATAGTGTATCTGTGGATCGGTCTCTCCACGTGGAGTCCTGTCTTCTTCCCAATCTTTTAAACATCCTTCACAAGTTCGTGCAGTCTCAGGATGCTCATGATGTACCTTGAACAGTCGATCGGTAGACACATCAGGCCGACCAAAGTTTTTCCGCGTCCGTGTATTTCTTGAAATTGCTTTCTCAATGTATATTAGATACTTCGGGTCATCAGTTAACGCAGTTGCTTGTAAGTTTGTGAGTGCTGTAAGCAGTGAGCGCGGTGGGCTCTTCAGCGAGCCGGTCTGCATGAGTTTCCCTTTCACCATTTTCCCCATATCGTACTGAATTACGCCGCCGCAAGTGCCATCTGGATAGCTGACAATGATATCACCAAGTCTAATATCATGTCTCGGAGACGGAATGCCTGCTGCAATGCCGACCATCAATCCAATACGGAGTGATTGAGAAAATGTTCGCGTCATATTGATTGCCACCGTTGTTGCTGAAGTTGTTCCATATTGACCAAGGCCGGCTATTGCAACGTAGTGTTTTCCAATTCGCCCCAAGGTATATGAGTTTGTATCATTGCTGTCTTGTTCATCCAATATCCCGAAATTCTCGTCCAGCATCTCTTTAGCTGCAGCAACCTCAATTGGCAAGGCACAAATCCATCCGATTTGGAATTCTTGACATGCCGGAGGAGGCATGGCGACAAATACAAGTAATATGAATGCTAGATGATAGCTGATGAGTAGGTATGCTGGATCGCAGGATTCCAGTCAGTAAGTGCTCTACCGTCAAGTATTTTCATACGATATCGACCTGTGCGGGGTCACAAGATTCGCGAAACTACATGTATGAGAAAATAAAAGCTATAGGGTGCCTCTGGCAGGACCGTTAGGCTTAATCAGGCTGCAAGGCTGGTGTCGGCCGCGGATTCGGCCACAGATGGATTCCCCATTCTGCTCAGCGAATAGTCATCAAGAGATTGACAATAGTCGGTATCATATTCACGCGTCCAAGTACTTTCCAGATACAAAAGCTTTCGGCCGACATTTAATTCCAGACCTAATAGAACAACACCATATTACTTACTCCAAGACGTAAATGAGCTTGAGACCATGAAACAAGATTTTGGGCGGCTTAAGTACTAAATCGCCATTACGCCAAACCTACATTATGCCTTGACTCAATCACATATACGTTACATACGGAATGAATCGATAGTGTAGTAGGTTTAACTGAATGTTCCAAAAGGGTGCGAGTATGGATCATTTAGCCACTGTTATCTTCGTCGTCGTACATGAGCTACATATAAAGGATAAAACGTGGGCTATCTTGGATTTCAGTGATGCGATGGATGTGTTTTATCTCCATCCACAAATTGCACTCCCAATTGGTTCAACATCTCATTTCAACGTGGCCAAGTCACTTATTCTACTTCCTATTCACCAATCCGCCTTGTATTGTGGCGCTTCCGTATTGGTTGGAATTCTCTTGTGAGACACTCAGCCGCTCAAGTTGGACCAACCGATTGGAAGTACATGTACACACATCCCCGCCCTCAAAGCCCAAGGCAAATATCAGGCATGGGTTTGAACCTGGCTCCCCTATAGAACTGCCTCATCATTATACACATCGTCCAACTTATGAGGATTTTGTCACATATATAAGATCCCATGGAGGTCGACCGCTTCACCAAATATCTCGCCGCCACAGGCTTTTCAGATCGCGAAGAAGAGATCAGAACATATGTTGCACAAGGTGCCGAAGATGTACGCGCCATCATGACTTCTCCCTTCTCTTCGGATGAAGTACGAGAAATTGCAACTCGTAAGGTTCCCCCAGCCGCTCGTGGACGCCAAGTCACCGGCATCATCTGGTACCTCACTTCACTAGCGGTTGAACGCAACCAGGCTTTTCGATCTGGTGCTTTCCTCTGCCTAGATCCAGATGGCCGACTCTCTGCTTTCTTCTTGGCTATAGGCACTCCGCGAACCAGCAGTCATCTCAGGCGTCACAGCGCGCCGGGCTGTACCGGCGGTGTTGACCTTGTTGTCGATGGCGCTTTACCACCACTCGCCAATGACCACCGACACGTGCTGTTCACGGCTATTTTTAATGATAAGCACCGTGGGAGCTGTTTGTTCCTGAAACCCGAGCCGTATGGGGTCTCTGGAATTAAAGACTTTGGCCACCACGCTGATCGCTATGTCCGCTCCCTCGGACGCCGGTTCCGGTTCGGCGGCAATGAGCGTGACGGCATGCGAAAGGAGCGCATTCCGGATCGCTTGGTCAAAGCTTTTGCCGAAGCAGTGGCCCATCTTCCGGATGCCGCGAGTGCCATTGCGGATGTTGGCAAGAAAGGAGCAGGCCAAGGCATTGCCGGGATGCATTCTTATCTTACCACTAAGACGCACGACTCAAGTCTCTCCAATATTGCTATGGTGGAACTGCTGCATCAACTGGAAGCGGAGTACGACTTTGTTAGTTTCCGGTTTGGCAACGAGGTTTGCCTCGATCTCGGGCTTGAGGTGTCCAAGCCACTGCCTAAAGCTCCAGGAGTTCTCGGCCCGTCGCCGTCCCTTTCGTGGTTACAAATTGGAAACCCCAAGATTGAGATGCCTGTGATAACTACAGAAATGCTTGAGTCGGTTACTGGTCTCTGAGTCTCGTCTCTGGTCTTGCACGGGGCCTGGTCAATCTATACCATAGTTGATGCTACCACAAACTACAGGACCATTGTAACGCTATCGTCCTTGTCGATGCCGGGGTTTCTTTAGAGTCTAGAGTCTAGCAAGAAGAAACGGCAACGGCGGGTATACAAGGTCGGAGTAACTAGACTCTTATTCACAAATTCATGTCATCTCGCCCGCATCGATGTATTTCTCGTCATCTTGAGCACGGTTCGGCATCCGGCTGGTAGCATTGTGGGTCACGGATCGGACCTTAAAAGACTGGAGCTAAAGTGACTGGAATCCATAAGCTTAAAGGCAAGCTTTTAGAGGGCCTTGTTAGCTTACCTGTATGTCAATAGAACGAATCTTGAGCACGGTAGATGCTGTCTGTCGCAGAATACGTGTACCTAAACAGGTAGATTCGAGCTTCATGAATCGCTTACACATGTCCTAACATTAATTCATGCTGCAGTACACGTCATGCATTGTCGGCGTATTTATGTTCCTTTTCCTGGCGAATCCAATGGCGAGGCTGCGTTTCCTCTTAACCCTGGTCCGCTACTCTATTGTGCTTTCGTCTTCCATGCATCGTACGATGCCCATCATGGCGCCCGTCGTTTTGGCTCCTGAAATAATCCATAACATCATCTACTTCCTCACTCACGATTATCTTGTTCCTATCGATGACGAGTCGTGGGGTGTCATCCGGGGCTGTGGCCGATATGCCGCCGTCAGCCGCACCTGGCAAGACGAAATTGAACGCGAGACTTTTGCCTCATTGCGTCTTGATTTAGACGGACTCTTGCAGGCCAACTTTATCGTTACCCCTCGACGACGCCGCTTCGTTCGGACTATTAAACTTGACGTCGCACTGCCCATGTCTGGACCTGTGGGAAGCCCCGAAACGGACGAAGAGAAGCTACGAAACAACTGCAGCCTACAAGTCACCTTTGAAGCATTTTTGCGACTCATGGGTTCATGGGAAGCGACCGATGTGCACCAGGCGGGTGTTAAGCTCTATGTTGATACATCTATGCCAGACGATGCTTTCAACCGGCGACCTGTCACTCCCCAATCACGAAAAAGACAAGCGAAACTAGAGCGAAGGCGTGCCTCATCGTTGGTAGAGCTGACGGATCCCGATCGCATTGCACAATACCCACCAGTTATCGCAATTACGGAGTATAAGGGGAATAGCTCAGACCTGAATATTCACATCTCTGCAGCGGCCACCTGCGTTCTACTGGCAAAGTTACCTGCAGTGAAGGGGGCATTTATTGACTGGTGGAGGTGTAACCACTTTTCAAGGATACGGTCAGGTATATTTTATTAATGCCATCCGGGCAAATAGAGCAGCGAATGGTTCTTACTGACATGTCGAAACTAGATCTTTCCTCTGCCATATCTCGAATTAATCATCCTATAGATCATTTGAGTATATCGGACAGTAGTCTTACGTACGGTGATTGGTTTCCGTTTAACCCACCGCCTGCTTCATCAACACAAGAGGTTGATGAACTTTCCATATCTATACGAAACATGTCTCAGCGCCTCAAGAAGCTCGATATATATGATATTTCAATTAGCGATGAGTTATTCTTTCCAAGAACTCCATCTCTGGACATGATGCCAATATGGGATCGATTGGCCATGCTCAGCTTACACTATCTACCGGTCACTCATTCAGGTGAATGGCTTTTCCTACCGGACCCAGACGCATCTAGCTCTTCTGAAGAAGAACCAGACAGCGACGATTCATCATCTCGGGACGGTTGGCCGAGCGAAGAGCCGCAGCCTAAGCCAAGCATTGCAGCACCGGCCATGCAGCAGTTCTATCTCGCTGCAGCACACGCGGCTCTACAGATGCCGGCACTGAAGCAGATGAAGCTTATAGCACTGCTTGAGAGTGGCATATGCTGGCATAAATTCTGGTATCACAGTGAAGAAATGATGGCGAGAGCTCTCTGGACGAGCAGCTCAGGATTCGTCCCTGACGAGGAGGTGTTGGACCGTTGGCGAATGGTGCCGAGGAAGCATATAGAGATAGACCTTGAGGTGGAGATTTCAGAAGATGAGAACGCCTTGGAAAGTTTAGATGACGAGAATGTCGTATAGAAAAGTGATGAGATGCTTGTTGTTGATGCAGCGCTACATTTATAGCTTGATTAATAGAATAACGATGATGAGATACTCCGTAGCCCATCGTAAAAATAGAGGATTGATTAGACCACCTTCCTCACATTTGTCGTTATGTACGACACCAGACACTTTAGCAATGATATCTAAAGGTCCGTCGTTTGTGCGCTTCATGTAGCTCATGCGAGGTGCGCGACGCTCGCCCTTTACATCTGCACATCAGGATGCTGGTGAGGATCAAGCTGATTTGAGTTGCTTGCAGTACTCATATCAAGATGAATGTTTGTCCAAGCGATAGATGCTTGTGAAAAAAGGCAACGAGATGCCATGAAATGCTAACTATTCTGCCCACTACCTTTCATTGCGGACTATGCTTTAAAGTTCAATTATGCATGACAGCAACCTTTTGTCATTCTAAAGTCGCCAACGCAATCTATTTGACGTAGACTTTCTTCTTCAAAGTTAACATGGGCAAGGTGTGGGCCATTTCAAGAGTGAAGCAATGCAACGTCACAATAACGATTGACGCATAACATATACACTGCTGTCAGCTGCTGGCTGAATTCTTCAAAATGGATGATGTCAATAAGAGTATGGGTCACGAGCTCCCGTCCATGGACGCGCCCGATCTTACATATTCCCAATGGTTTGAATCACGGTGACGTCGATGCTCAACAAGAATAAATATACGTGGCGCCAAAGTCCTAGTCCTTTTGTTCTGCTTCAGTATCAGATGCATTCAAGTGGATGTGCAATATACTCATCTTTGATCAAGCAATTTTTCTCATATCCAGAATGTCTCGAAATATCTGCATCACGGCCGTGGAAGGCCAGACGGGCTTCCTCATAGCCGAACTGCTTCTGAAAGAGGGTAAATTCGCCCGCCAAATAAGCAGCCTTACCGGACTAGCATTGGATCCATCCTCTCCTCGAGCTCAGGAACTCACCGAACTTGGCGGGAAAGTTGTGCACCATCAACCAGGCCGAGAACGCGTTATGGTCAAAGCCCTCAAGGAAATTGCGTGCGATACTATCTGTTTAGTTCCACCCGCTCATCGCGACAAATTAGATATAACACTGGAACTCGCAAATGCTGCCAAGAAAGCAGGCGTTTCCAACGTTCTTCTGATTAGCTCTGCTGGCTGTGATTATGCCGACAGCAAGAAACAGCCTCGTTTGAGAGAGTTCATTGACATTGAAAGCGCGGTTCTTGCAACCAAGGGTGATGCGGAGACTCCTCTCGGTCATTCGCCCTGTGTCATTCGGTTTGTTTTCTCGATTCTTGTGGATGTTCCAGGTCAAACAGATGCTGACTATGCAAAGTGCCGGATTCTACGCAGAAAACTTGCTTCTCTATTCAGAACAGGCCAAAGCTGACGGTGTGCTTCCACTGCCCATTGGTGAAAGTCATAAATTCGCTCCTGTCGCTTTAGGCGTGAGTCTCTCAATATTCCTCTAGATTGCCGGGCACATGATTTTGATCGGTCTTTTAGGACATTGCTCATGTGGCTGCACATGTTCTTGCCGGCAAAGGCAAGCATGGGTTCGATGATAAGCACCGAGGCCAGATGATGATCGTCACAGGTAAAACAGACTCTTGGTTGTGTTTTTCAAATCGCAGTTCGCTGAAACTTATACCTAGGGCCTCAACTGTGTGCTGGGGAAGAGTTGGCCCAAGCAGCTAGTCAAGCGTTGGGGGCTCAAGTTGAGTTTGAGAACATATCCGAGTGAGTCATTTATTTTCAAGTTCAAAAGCGCTCAGTTTCCATTGACATCGGGCAAAGAAACGAAGCCAAGAGGGTGCTGGCCTCTCAAAGCGAGAGCGACGAATCGGAGAAGGAATTCATCTTGGAGTATTATAGTCTGGTTCGTGAGGGCAAGACCAACTACATTGCCACAACTGCCTTCCATGATGTTACAGGAGTACATCCCACAGAGCCTAATGAATTCTTCAAGTCTTATTCTGCTGATTTTCGACCGCGGAAAAAGGCAAAACACTAAGCTCACAATCCTTATCGCCTTGGCCTAATACGATCAATTGGTTCAATTATATCTACTCTTTTGTTTAGTGAGAAATTGACTCGGCCTATAATTCCATACCTCACAAATAATTCGAGAAACATGCTGGTGAAATCAGTTTTATCATGGCGTGGCTAGTTTTACTATTGAGAGACTGTAGTGACCTTCAGTACATCTCTCTTACTGAATTTAGAGAATACTTTTCTAATTGATGCTACTCGTAGCCAGACTAGATACAGACGCAAGAGAGCGTCGGTGAAAACGTCGCCGCTTCTCATATCTAAACAGTGCAGACGCGAGTCGCCACTCATTTGGTCTCAGTTTCTATCGTTTACCTCAAACCAACGTCACCACAAATACTACAAATCATGTAAAGCTATTTTTGCTGCCGGCAAGCTTTGAACACATCATCATTACACACTTGTACGTTTAGCCCGTGTGGTTTGCCATGTAGTGATACTGCCGTATCAAGGTCAATTGTTTTATCACCATAAGCTTCGGAATATTAAGCGCTGGCTTCTATGAACGGATGTGTCTATTGCGTAGTGCTAAAGCGCTAAATCTAAGATGTCCCCATCCTCTGCCCATCCCATCAGCCTGTGACAACTCAACTTTTCGGGAAGGTTCTCACGGCTCATCATTACGTTACGTGGCTTGGACTAGAAAGGTGAAAAAGATTGGAAGAGGGAGTTTTAGTACTAGCAAGCCGCCTCCTAATTGCCCAACTGCCGCCTTCATATGTCAAATTTTCCAAATGCCAATCTTTAGATCCCGAGCTTTATGCATTGTGAGCCCGATTGCTCGTCATATCCAACTTGGGCCATGGGAGTTTTTTTCCCCCTTGGCTACACCGCTCGTCATGTCTCGTATCAGCAATGTCAATATCAAGGGCCACTGCGAGCTGGAAGACCACTGCAGTCATCGGGTAAGAGTTATCTTATTTCTGACAAGGTTTCCGCACATGGAAAATAGGACATGCGCTTCTTGACATCAGTCCCCTAAAGTACTGCGAGTTTTTGAATATCATAGTTTAACATGTAGTTATCCGTAGCTACGCTACTCTTGCTAGATCTAGTATTTTCAAAGTAATAGTACTCTGTTGCAAGTAAGTGCTCGACTTTGCTTGTTTTCACATAAAGTCAAGTTGCAGCCATTACTTATTCATAGATTGTGAAAAGCGCTCTCCATCAACAGCAGCTTCCACCAGGCATCAAACGACTGTATCATTGGCATCCTGTGAAGAGGCGGAGATATCGCGTATTTCTGCCGCACTATATCCATCAAAGAGACTTTAGGCTATAGACTTTCGCAGATTTTAAAACCCTTACACCAAATTCAACTGAAATCCTTTACATTGTTTCTGCCCAGTAAACCGATATGCATGCTTAGTTAACATTCTCTACGGTAATCTGCCTCATCAAGTCATGATTCTTTGAGTAGTCAATAGTCACATCGACAATGCAGACTCCATCATAGCTCAATGCTTCTTTAACCACAGCATCGAGTTCTTTAGAGTTGTTGGCACGAAGTCCCTTGGCTCCAAAGGACTCAGCAAACTTGACAAAGTCCACGCCGCCGAGGTCGACACCAGCACTTCGCCCGTATTTGTCCACCTCCTGGAATTCAACCATGTTGTATTTGCCGTCGTTCCATATAAAGTGTGTAATATTACAACCGAGCTGCATGGCCGTGGACAGCTCTTGTGAGCTGAACATGAATCCGCCATCGCCGCTAATGCTTACTACCTTTTTGGAGCACGGCGTCGGCTTCTGGCACAATGACGCGCCGATGGCCCAAGGAAGGCCAACTCCTAGAGTCTGCTGGACATTTGATGTCAAAAACGTTTTTGGCTTGTAAGAGTAGAAATAGCGTGAGAAGTAGACATATATACTGCCAACATCGCAGGTTACAACGGTGTCTTGATCGAGCAAGCTTTGCAACAGGCGAATAAAGTACAGAGGTTGGACTGGGCCATCAGTTTTCGCAAGAGCAGCTTCGGAAGACTGCCAATCCTGCTGCTCTGCGACAATTCTCTTGCCGGCGGCTGTGTCCTGCAGTCGAGCCACCTCGGTGACTCGATCAGCAATGGCATCAATGTTTGCAGTCAGGGATCCAATGACCTCTAATTTCGGCGAGTAGCATTGCACATAGTCAGCTTGAACGAAATCCAAGTGCAGTATATCCAGGTGGCAGTCTGCATTCCACTGGTCGGCATCGTATTCCGCCTGGTCATAGCCAATGGTGATAACCAAGTCTGCCTGACTGAGGAGCTTGTCCCCTGGTTGATTGTGAAACAATCCCACGCGGCCGTAAAAGAGGTGCTTGAGGTCTTTAGAGATGGCACCTGCTGCTTGAAACGTTTCAATGACAGGAACCGGATGTTTTTGAAGAAACTTGTGAATGGTTGCCACGATGTCTGCGTCAATTGCGCGTTGACCCAAGAACAAGATTGGAGCTTTGGCAGAACTAATTAGAGCTGCAGCTGTATCAAGAACCTCATTCGTAGCGGTGCCATAGCTCGGGGGAAGGTAAGCCGAAGAAGGGAACGCCGGTACAGTCGTTTTGCTCACCGAAGCCAGCATAATGTCGGCGGGAAGCGTCACAGACGTTGCTCCCCGTGGGAACGAGCTGGCAGTTCGGAAAGCGTCGAGTATAATCTCAGCAACTTGATTCTCGACGACTGCTGCGGCAGATTTCTTGGTGACGGGTGTGAGAAGCTCAACACCTCGAAGACTTTGGTGCGTGCGTTTCAATGCCTGCGCTCGCTTGACACTCCCAACGATGGCGACAACTGGGTAGCCTTCGTCATTGGCTGTCACTAATCCCGTCACCAGGTTGCTCGTGCCTGGTCCTGAAGTGGCGATGCAAACACCAGGTCGACCAGTGAGCCTTCCTATAGCTGCTGCCATGAACGCAGCATTTTGCTCGTGACGGCAGACAACCAGCTTGATCTTTGGGTGGTCGAGCAGCTCATTGAAGAGGGAATCGATCTTGGCTCCGGGAACACCAAAGACGTACTCCACCCCGGCAGCGATGAGAGAGTCGACCACAACTCGAACGGTTTCCGTCATGTTTGAAGTAGAGTGAAGTTAATTTAGCAAGTGTGATTATTCGCGTCTCCAGATGAGTTCTATTCGGAGCCTGCTGCAGAAGCTTATACGCGAGAATTGACGAAGACTATCCCGACACTAGAACGGCGAGAGAGTCAATATATGTATGTACTCTTATGGCATCGCATAACTCGTTGATGCTCACCTCCAACAATTCTTTCAGAGGTGTAAAAACCTGTGATGTGCCGTCGATAGCCTAATATCGGATATTGCGAGTCAAGAGAAGCTGGAAGATGATACCTATTTTCGGAACCCTTGCCGAGCGTGCCGAGCCGGTTGTGATAACTTCAATGTTTACGACGCCACTCGCTGTACATTTATCTTTGCGGCTTGACGTCACGACTTAGCTGCTGTTTATTCCCGTTGTATTAGCGATGAAATCTCACCAATAGGCAGATCGGTTATCTCACTCGGGTCCGAAGCCGCCGCTCCGAGCATCGGGAGATAAGGCCTTTAACATAGAGATAATAGTTGACTGTAGTTTAAATATCTCGGCCAGGATGCCATGCAGTTGAGGACCCGGCAAAGAGAGCCTATTCAATTCACCCATGACGGCATCATAGCCAGGATTTCAGGACGCCGAGATGCCAAGCTTGTTTTTTACGTGGAGACGCATTTTGCCATAGTAAAACTCTGCTCCACCGGAAACAATATCCTGCTTCGCTCCGATCTATCGGCTCCACGAATATATAGCTGTTGATCAAGACAGAAGCCGACTTGAATCGAGCATTGTCCATTCACGGTACAGTGCCGATATATGGGATGAGGAACGACGGTTTCCATCATCCAACAGACAACATTGACAACTTAGCTCTCGTCGCTAGTGATATGATTGGACACAATAGCTGGAGACGCCACCGCTATTGACATTCACCTCGCTCGTGTTTACCACGTGGTAACTCGCCGAATATACTTATTTCGCATCGCATCAGCCGCATCAAAAAGATGGCACCAAACGAATTGTTCCAGTATTCCATCGTCACGGCGTTGATGGACGGCGTGGCGGATAGTGGCCTTCCTCTATCAGACCTCCTCCCCCGCGGAGATTTCGGCCTCGGCACGTTTCGACACATGGTTGGCGAAATGATTGTTCTTGATGGCATCATTTATCAGATGAAGGCCGATGGCTCGGTGACCTCGTTCAGCCGTGACCAGCTAAACAAGGCCGTGACGCCTTTCGCCATGGTTACGCATTTCCGCCCCACGTTGGTGACAAAGGTGACGGTGAAGAGCAAGGAGGACTTTGGGAAGATGCTTACCGACCTTATGCCACAAGCCAAAAACATTTACTCGTCTATAAGGCTGGAAGGCAAATTCAAGGCTGTCGTGGTCCGAACAGTGGGTGGCCAGCAGCACCCCGGCGAGAAACTTTCCAAGTTGGCAGAATCTCAAGTGGCACATACATTTAAGGACGTCCAAGGGTCGATTGTAGGATTTCGTTCTCCTTCATATATGCAGGGCATCAGCGTTGCCGGAGACCATCTACACTTTATTTCTGCCGATAGACGCCAAGGTGGACATCTTCTCGAACTGCAGACGGATGGCGAAGCAGAACTTGCAATTGCTGCTATTCGGATCATACACACAGAGTTGCCCGCTGGTGACGACTTTATCCAGGCTACATTGCAGACGGATAGTGAAGGCATAACAAAAGCGGAGAGTTAATGTGGCATCATTGATCATTCAATACACACATCCATCATATTGAGCAGTTACAACACAGTCAGACTTTGCACAGAAATCAGCATGTAACGAATAGCAATTGTCTTGTCGTATCAAGAGAGGGAAGACAATACGATCTACAAGGAGAGCACACAAGAATGAGATCTAAAGTGTGGGGCTTATTCCAGCGATGTTTTCTATATAAGCCGGCAATACAGGGGCTTTCTAAGATGTTGGCGTCTTTTTGAAGAAGAGGAAACTCTATCAAGTTAGAGGAGATGACGAAAATCCAAGAGATAATTTGTCCTTTGAATGTCTCAAAACACGTTTGGCCACTAACCTATACCTATTCTTAACGATATACCCTAGATTAGGGTCCTTTTTCATAACCGTATCGTACATGCCCCTTGGAGACCATCAAGTGGATGACGCGCTTTAGCTGACTTGGACCTACAAATAACCCGCTATACTGGAAACTGCATGTAAGACCCGGCATTTTCTGTCAATTCCCTCGGCAAAGTCAGAGGATAAGCTTAATCAAAGCCACTAACGCGTAATGCGAAAGTCCGAAGGACTTTGGAATCAACATCCCACCGGATGGCCACGATGATCCACTCATCAGCACAGAATGCCTTGCCAACTGCTGTCCACTTTTACTAGAGTAAAGGTCATTACGGAAGTTTGTGGGAGAACAGTATATAAAAAACTTCATTTAATCTACAAACGCGCGCGTAACATGCAGCTGGAATCATATCCCACCGGATGGCCAGTTTGCATGATCGGCGTCAGCATTAAACCAGTCCTATGGATCTAATTCAACATTACGGTGAGGATAACCTTGCCAATGCCTTGCTTCTTCCTTCCTTTCTTTATTTTTCAGCACGAGAAAAGCATCCACAGTTGGATAAGGGGTGGTTTCTTTTCCAGCTATAAGAATGACCTATATCTCCTTCTCTACGACTTCGAATTCCCTTCTATTTTACCCTATCAAGTGGCTTCATAGTCTTTACGACTCAGAAACCAAGCATATTTCCTTCAGTTGTCCTCAAGATTTGATTTTCTCAACAGAGAGATAATCCTAATGGCGAAGAGCTTGGTTGTTGCCACGCTGATGTGGCTCACTTTGGCCCATCCACATGAATCCCGAGGCCCTGCCAAACTCCCTAGCCCCCTCAAGATTATTGATGATTCTATTAAAGCTCTGGGCGGCCTAAACGCTCTCCGTGGACTGAGGGGGGTTACATACGAATCGGCCGAGTATGTATTCACCCCCTATCACTTGATGTGTCAATATGCTAATACTGTCAAAGTATCTTCCATACGAGCACTTTAATGCAAAACTACAAGCTCTTCACGACCGATCGCTATATTGTCAACTTGGGTTCCCAGAATCTGTCCTTCTCTTTCTCTGAAAATACCTTTCAACACAGGATTGACAGGGTTTTCCAACACTCAGGTCAGCAACTACTTCATTGCTCGCTATATTTGGGCCAAGGACTAATACCCCAGCAGACTACTTCTTCTTCGCCAACCCAACTCTCCCGCCCGGTCATTTTTCGCTTGTCATGCAAAACGGAACGGAAAATGGGTTCGCATGCTACGTCGATGGAAACAATAACGCATTCATTGCGCCTGATCAAGTGGCTGGTTATGCCGACTGTAAGTAAATTTACTCGTTGTAACAAAACTATTCACTGACACACAACAGCTGCACTTACAGATTATCTGCTATTCCAAGCCAACAAGTTTTCCCCAAAACTTTTACTAGATGTATGTTACACATCCTCTGATTTTCGCTTGCGCCGTGGCTAATGACAACATAGATCCGAAGTCATAAAATTGCTACACAGATTGTGGAGTTGAACAAGGTCGAGAATCTCGCCGTCCACGACTTCGATCTTAACATCACCGTAATCTTCGATGGTTATACACATTACCCGAAAATCATAAGATCATTTGAAGATCACGCGATATTCGGAATAACCACACAGGATCTTGAGCTCTCAAACTATGCTGAGGTTTCGGGCATTCAGTTTCCCCACCGTCGAATGGTATTATACAACGGAAGCGCAATTCTCGAAGACACAACCGTGTCGCGAGTTTCCGTAAACCCGACATTTTCCCCAGGCTTTTTCGATGGACTCGCAGCGAATGAAACCGAAACTCGGTCTGCTCCCCCGAAGAGGATTGCTGGGTATACGCATGCTGAAATTGGAGAATACTGGTACAACACTTTCTGGGGAGGCGAGTATACGGGGACATACAACAACCTGAGTGTCGTTCAACCAGCCTCCGATCTGCCCCACGTTCACAAGTTACTGTTCCTAGACCAGACAAACTTGGAACAGCTTGTGCTTGAGTTTGATGATTCCATCATTGTTTTTGAAGCACCTCCCCATCAGACTGATTTGGTGATCCAATGGGTCAACGAGACGCTGAAGAGGCCTATCACCCATTTCTGGGTAAGTTGTCGAAATCACATACTGTTAACAGAGACAATTGCTAACCAAGTATATATAGCCTTCGCATCATCACCATGACCACAACTACGAAGTTCGCAAATACGTTGAGTTGGGCGCCAAGATTATTGTTCCCGAAGTCTCTGCGCCTTACTGGAAACAGATCCCGAATGCCAAGTTGATAACCTTCAAGTATGTATCCAGTAGTTTGTTGTATACGGCGTGTATTAATTCGGTGCAGCGAAAACAAGCCTTACATCCATTCTGACGGCAAAATGCAAGCTCGTTTCCTGTGGAGGCCCGAAGCCGCCCATTCAGTAGATTGGACATATTCGATCATCACAACCGCTTGTCCGTCAGCTAACAGCACAATCCTGACATATGTCGCCGATGCTTGGTCCACAGCCTTTCCTTTCGATAGTGCTTTCGCTAGAAGCTGGCTGGTGCAGGCCAGCGCTGATGGATTGAGTCGTAACGCCTTGTATGCATTCATCCCTGTTTTCGTCTTCCAGTAAATTGAAGCTGACTTTTTCTACAGGGCAGTTCCAGCACATGGTCAACCAACACCGTTGGTGGAACTCATTGACGCATTGGCGTTCGACTATCCCGACCTGAAGACGACCGATTTCAAGACGGGTGGCAACATCTGCCTGAAGGCTCATCATTATTGATGGCCTTAATGGTTTCATGCAGGCTAGCCTATAGTATCGGCGCAGCTACGCTATAATTGTTGGAGTGGCAAAAATACGGTGAGTTTTTACATTAAGATGTATGTAGTATCTAGTTTCGTGTTAATAGTTAGATGGTACACATGTAGGTTGGTAGAAATGGATTGATTATATCTCTAATCTAACCTGACGCCCTCTGTTTTATTTTTCGGGGGTTTGCTACATACATGTAATCAGCACCTCAATCTGCACGGCTATAGCCTTCCGCGCGTTAGTTTCACAGCGACTGAGCAGATCTGACTAGACGTTGGCAGGACCGAGGTAAATATAGTACATCTTCTATTTTATAACTGAGACTATCAAAATCTTAAACATAAATACTAATTGAATCCTACTAATAGGGCATCAATCTCTAATTGCGAATGACAAAAATCTGCTCTCGACATATGCATAGTTTCAACCTTATAGGCCGCTCCTAATCCTTGTCTAGGTGTGTTGTAAGCGCTTTCTGCCTAACAAAGAGGGCGGGATTTTTGTACAATCCTGCAATCACAGTATCATCATATTTCATGCAAGCGAACAGAGAAGGCGAAAAGTCTAGAATGTTGTCCATCAGGGGAAACGAAATTCGAGAGTCTGGCGTCGATCACCGGTATGAGCCTCTAAAAAATGGCGCATCAATCCGACTGTTGTATCTACATCCGGACTCATTTCATCAGCTGCCTATTAAGGTTTCCCTGCAGGAATTCCCCATCGATGCATGTCCAAGTTTTGGGGCGCTGTCTTATACATGGGCGACTGAAGATGGGGTTGCCTCTCTGTCCCGAGAATTGCTCTGCAACGGAGCTTCTCTCAAGATAACCGAAAACTGCGAGGCTGCACTGAAAAGACTGCGGCAACCGGCGAAAGACCAGGTCCTTTGGGTTGATGCAGTCTGTATCGATCAATCTAATATTGAGGAAAGGAGTCACCAGATTGGCTTAATGCGTCAGATCTACACCCAGGCAACCTGGGTAGCCTTGTGGGTGGGCGAGTCATCTTCAGCTGTGGACGAAGAATCCGGGAAACCACTGTCGGACCTCGGCATGGACTATATCCACGATTTTGCTGTTGAGATTGCGGAAAGAAAGAACTCGGGTCAGGATCCTTGTGAGGGGCCGCTCTATCAAGAGTTCATCAAAGATCGACAGGCATTCCAGCATTCTAATAGCGAAGTCTTTACGCCTCGGGTGCGCGGCCTATGGGATGTATTCCACCGTAAGTGGTGGGACAGGCTATGGGTTATTCAAGAAGTCGCCTTATCCAAAGAGCCTACACTCGTCTGCGGTGGCAAGGGAGAAAGCTTCCACAACCTCCAGATTGTCATTGAGGCCCTCATTAGTTCAGAACAACCTGTCGAAGTGATGGAGTTTAACACGCTATTCATCGCATCTACCTTTCACCAATTTCATGTACGAAATATGATTAAAACTGGTGGGATGAGTCAAGTATCACCCCCCGGGGACAAGGCGCTCCGAATCTTGAATGCTACCCGCAACGCCAAAGCCACGGACCCGCGAGACAAGATATATGGAATCCTTGGCTTCTTTGGTGCCTCAGGAGAAGACGCTGAGAATATATTTCCGGCACCAGATTACAAAAAGACACCTGCTGAGCTGTATGCAGATGTATCGCGAGCCATAATCATCAATACTGGAAAGTTGGACGTCTTGAGCTCGTGTTACGGATTCATCAAGTCGAGTGTTCCTGACCTACCGTCGTGGGCAGCCTCGTGGAACGACACTCCTTTAAAATACTTTGACGATGAGATTTTCAATGCCGCAGGGGATTCCTCTGTCATTCATGAAGACTTTGGCGACAAATTGCTCTTGCGGCTTAAAGGCAGCAAAGTTGACACTCTGAAGCTCACAGGCAAGTTGCCTGAGTCTATAGGGTATAGTAACGGGGCCTATGTCGAGTTATGGCGCTACTGGTGGAAATTTGCGTCAGATTTAAAGACATACCCAACTGGAGACACTGTTTCGGACGTTTTTCAAGATACGCTTTGCTGGGGAACCACTCTCGACTATCACAGAGCACCACTGGAGGAATACAAGGAGACCTTTGCGGCCTGGCTTCAAGTTGTGACAGGATTGGACGACACGGATACTGCTGCCAAGAATATCTTCAATGGCAAAGAGCCATACAAGTACGCTCATAGAGCTAGTTCAATCACTTGGGGGCGCAACATGGGGATAACGGACAAAGGGTATTTAGCCATGATGCCCATGACGACCAAAGTCGGAGATGAAATCGTTATCTTCCAGGGAGCCAAATTACCCTTTGTCATCCGAACTGAAGGCGGCAAATCTAAGCTTGGGGGGCCATGTTACATTCGCGGTATGATGGATGGAGAGTTTTCTATAAAGGAGGACACGCAAGCGACAGACGAGCTAGAATGGTTCACATTATGGTAATGTATTTTCTATATACAAGCGCGGGACATTGATAAGCGCTTCAAATTCTTTTATGCAAGCTCAAATACGATAGTGTCCACAGCAAGATCTGTGTTGATGGTTGGGCCTTCGCCAATGGGCTCAATGGCAAGGGCCTCAATAAGAACGGAAGTAGCAGGGGCACCAGTAGTTTCAATGTGATACGGACCGAATCCATCTTCAAGAGTGTGGAAAACATATAGCTCTTGCTCTCCTCCGGACAGAGTGGTCTGAATCTCCACAGTGGTGTTCAAGAAAAGCTCGCTGTCGTAGAAGATAAGATCAACATCAAAGGAAGACTTGATAATCTTTTGTGACCCTTGAACTGTGAATTTGAGCTTTCCATTGCTGTTGTAGACAACATTGGAGCCAGAGGTAGACCACGAGGGGTAAGGGCGAGTCTCCTCTTCAGTTGGGCAGTTGGGTGTCGCCGTGCTGTTCAAAATGCCGACTCCGCCGCCACCGGTAATGAGAAAGCCCTAAGCGTCGACAATTAGCTCATCAATGGATACAGCAAGTGGCTATTAGTAGTGGCAACTTACGTTGTAGGCTGTCTTCTGGTTCAAAGCGGTCTGGCCGCACTGCCTGGCGTTGGAGACGGCAACATCGTCAAACTATGGGAAATTAGCCATCTTCTTCCTAAAGGCTACATGTACACTCGCAACTCACATTCAAAGTGACTGTAGCAGCAGAAACTCCGAGAGCGGCGGCGGCAGCAGCCAGCATGACGCGAGACAGAACAGCCATTGTGGATGTTATTGGAATTGTAAACGTTGGAATCTGTAGAACTGAGTTGCTGAACTGGTGTTGAACTGGTGAGTTATTCTATTCATCAAAAGAGAGAGACCATCGTTTTATATAGAAGTCTTTTACCAACAGTGAACACACTTTCTCTCAGCTTCAACAACTGCTTCTTGGATCGGCACAATATACAATCCGATGCATCAATGTGGAGTCCGATTCACGCAAGGGGTCTCTTTCTTAAACAAGCAATGATCTGTTGCTGTATTATTTCTCTTCGATTATGCTACGGGATAGAATGGGGGAATGCTAATCCTGGCAACTATAGGTGAGCACGGCAATAGGTATACCAAAGACGAATAGTTACTCCGCATAAAACCTTTTGCCTCATCTTTTGATCGGTTCAATTACCCCCTGAGGAATGGCTGGCAGGAGGGGAGATGGTTGACGGTAGCATGGGTGTAACTCGTGTCAGATTGACGCCCGTGGACCCCATTCCTCCATGGAAACGGAGAAATAAAACTAGATGAGCTCCGCTGGGGAGCTTACTTTTACAGCTTAGTGACTCTTTCGGCTACCTTGATGCCATTACAGACGCATATACAAGTATAAGGTTAATATTAATGTTTTAGACAGGTTGACATCCTATTGCCGGCCCGGAGGTGCATCTTTTGTTTGTTTAACTGTGGCTAGTTTATTGAATACTAGGTTTATTGTTTTTAGGCTGAATAGTCGTGCAAAACTCCTTGCCCAATTATACCTGATTGCGCTGTTCCTTCGGACGCTGCGCTGTCATATACATTAAGTAAAACAAACCGTGGTGCGAGGCTAGGGATGTCCGAAGTTGTACTCAAGGATGTCCGACTAATTAGGCTCCGTTCGGACTGGGGTCATTTTGACAGAATACTTCCCGTATTTGGTAGCCGATTGTAACTGCTACCCTGGGATTCAAGACTATGTTTCTTCAGTCTGTTACGCCTACTATTAGAAGGTGGTACTAATATAGTTGTTGAATTCCGGCGACGAGTTCCGCCGCTCATCTCACCGCACTTCTTGATGGCTCACCTTTCTCGCATCAACGAGGTCGAATTTGGTATGCAATACGCCATATTCTCGGACTTGGAGTTGCACCGATTGAAGCACGCGATAGAACTTCTCTTTGATACAAACTCTCAAAAATCCAACCGTGCGCTGATGAAACATAAGCCCCAACAGCCCCCTCAGGCTTTCGGCCATTTTGCATTTCAACATGCGCTTCTCGGGGTTATAGTTTTCAAAGAAAAGTCACTTTTTTCTTTGTCAAGCAAAATTTTCAATGCAAAGGGAGAAAATACTATAATCAAAGCAAATTAATTGCATGGTGTCCTATAGCTGCCAAAGAATCACACCAAAAGTCAGTTCTATTCCGCTCTAATCCATTCATATAAACTACTGCATTGAGCCCAGGAAAGGGCGCCTCAAAAGATCTAGTGCTGATGGACGCTCTTCGGGGTCGATCTTCATCAATAATTTCATAAATGAGACGAAACGCTTCCTTAGAGTCCGGCTCAGGCCAGGTGTGAAAGCTTCAGACATTAAGCCAGGACAGTTGAAGAGTATTGCGTCTTTGATACGTCCCTCATCGTCAAACAGATCGCGTATAAGATCCCGGTTCCCCTTCTTAAGTTACTTCTTGGGGAACGGCCCAAAAAGGTCAATCAACCAGGTGTTCTTTAGGCTCGTAATATCCGTCCGGGGGAACTCTGCCGTCAAACATCCGAACAGCGCGAAAGACTTCAAGCAGCACAGCATCAAAGCTCCACCAATCCGTAGACGCGTCCCAAGGAGCTCCGATGATGACCTCGGGAGCACGAAGAGCTACTGGTTGGATGACTTCATTGAGGTGCTTCGTAGTCCAGCAAGATACTCCCAGCGCCCAATGCAATATCAAATTCAGCTGAAACCCTGGCGTTGTAGACGAAGCAGAACCATCGAAGGGGCTGGAAAGGAACTGGGTGATATTCCACCTCTTCACGATCCTGTTGTGGAATGGGGATCTCTTTGAGATAGCCAGATTTGATAAAGGAGTAATCGCGGAATTTTACAAAGAGATTGTTCGATTTGATGTATTTTTGAGAGATTTGACAAGCTTTGATAGAAAGCATAAGGTTGATGCTGCTTGCTAGGATATTACTCGTACCTGTATGAATAACGCCATGATCATGGGCGAAATAGAGCGCAAGCACAAGTTAAATTGTGAATCTGTGCATGATCTCGTATGGGATCATATCATCAACGGGAAACCAAGGACCAAACGTACGAAGAGTTTCGTCCATAAGGTCAAAGATGAAGCAAGCGTGGGTGCCGTTTGGGCCTCGATGCTCAAAATCATCTATCGGGTGGCAGACATAGGGATAACCTACATGGTCTCGAATTCCATTGCGGAGACATTTCAATATTTCCCTTTCGAAAGTGTCGACTCCATAGCCGTAGCAATCAGCCCTCATGATTTAAGCGAGCGGTACATACTTGATGCATCGCTATCACCGCTGCGGTTGAGAATGTCGGCCCACGGTGTAAAGGATATAACATGCGACTGTTTACTTACATGGCTTGTAAATCTTTAACCATCCAGACTGTCGAATACCGACCGTAGCCAATCTTGATAAGGATTTTGTATCTGTCATTGGAAAAATCGCCAATACATACAGGTTGGAAGCCACCCGGGTATAAATCTCTTATATATCTTCAGAGGTTGCGCCAGGTTGAGGTGCGGTATCGTCTTTGTGTTTCATTACTTTTTCAGGCGCTTCAATACTTGTGAGACCTTTGGTTACTTCATATTAAACTACAAACTCAGACACAGATACGACATTGGACGTTAAAGTTTCTGAAAACGCAGCGGCCTACCGATCAGAAGCCAGACTTTTCCGGGTTGTCTGCCGAGATCCGGATGAGGATGCTTCAATTAGATTGTCAACTATGTTTGTGTATGTCAATTGCCAACGAATCCAGTGAGAACTGGGCCTATATATGCAGAGAATTGCTCCCCAGAGTTGGGTTGATGGCAGCAATGGCATGCTAGCAGCCTTGAGCTTGAAATCCGTCCGACCAACACCGTCACTGGAAAGCGAATAGTAGTTCCAAGTATAAAAACAATCACAAGGGTTAGTTAGTTTTCAACCCCCAAATCTCAAGCCCCCAGGTCGTATCGATTCCTGCCGTGCGATAATTTTGGGTGTGCATTTCTCTATTTTCGCTTTTTTTCTCTCTATTTGCGGCGCTTACAGCAACTGACACACAAAGCGTGCTCATTTCATCACCCAAGGGATGCAGCATTATCTCTCTAATACATACTGACCCTCAACATTAGATTCAGCAGCTCTATATGCGGCTTGACGAGCTTTGTTCCGGAAATAACAATGCTGTTCAGAATGCAGTAGCAGGTCGGCTTGAGAAATTTGTGGACTTTTCCCAGTCACTATTATCTTGAACTACATCGGATTTCGTATTTCTCATGACTTTCATGGTGTTTGTCATTTAAAACTAAGAGTTGTATGGAAGAAAATTTGGTGTAGGTTACTTCCCTCTCTCCCAAAGGCGCATCGTTGAGTGTGCACATTACAGAGAGAATACCTTCTTTTCATTTTTCTCCTTCATCGTTTTCTTTTGAGGAATTTAGTTTTCTCAGGATAGAGGCCTTAGTTATGTACCTTCTCCATCTAATCCAGCCTTGCACCGCGCACCTTATTATTCGAAAGCATCCCATCGCAGTTGAGCGGCGGGTAGCGTGTATCGTCTCTTACCGCGTTCAAGGTACTCGTGGAACCATATCAGCCGCCCGATGAAAAAAGGTGCTTTCTGTAAGTCTCTGAGTATATTCACAAATCTTGAAGGATTTGGAATCTTTCATGAGCGCCGCATTGGAGTGGTTTGCTACAGAGTCGGCCGTCCACTTAGTGTTGTAGTGTCAGTGGTGACAATGACTGCAGCTAGCGGAGAGTTACTGAGATTAGAGTCAGCAAAAGGCAGGCATCGTATCTGGCGCGGGCTAAGCTGCGGGTTAGCGCTGGTGTCGGGCGAGCAAGATCGCGTTCCCAAGCCTGTAGATGCAGCTTACACTTTCATGGCGCTTTGCGGGAACCTGGTTGAGCCACAGGCACTGAGCTATCCCATTATTGAACTTTGTGGGGGGCTAGGTAACAATAATCAACTTCTCGGAATCTTCTCACTATTGTAGGTAATGTCAGCGTATCATGTAATAGGGATTTAGAGTTGCGTGTAACTTCCGATAACTCTAGGATGTACTTACGATACGGATAGCATTACTTCCTAGAAAAGCCATCTTACACAATCTATTATGAAATAAAGAAAAGACTATTATTATCACTTGAGTACTGCTACCCGACCCAAAAGACCCTCAAACCCTCATGCCCGGTCCCAGTAGTTGCCAATCTCTCTCAAGTCTTGAATAAGAGCCGGTGGGTTATCAAGTCCTGGGAAGTGACCTCCAAACTCATGATCTAAAAAACGTCAGATTCGCACTTATAGGCTAGATAAGAAGACAAACTCACTTCTATACATGACCAAGTTTCCAAGCTTTGCTACTAGTACTTGAGGCCAAAACACAATGTTATACTGGAAAGCACTGAATAGAAGAGGTGCATCCGTTTTAGCCTTGGTATACACAGACTTGAATGCGTTCTGATTCTGAAAGTAGGTGTATACAGAGGAGGTGAAAGAGCGCGTGAGGTAGTAAAGTGATGTAGATAGTAAGATTTCGTGGTGATTCAGAACCGAGGGAGCTGTTCCCGCTCTTGGATCAGACCCTATCCCTTCTGTTAGTTCTCGATTCTTCAGAAACATCAAATTGACCACGCCATAGTATTGAGGCCGACTTACAAGCAATAAACTTTTCACCCATCCATGCCAGCTGTCCGATTGGGTTATCCTGTAGCGCAAGTCCGATTGTATTGGGCTGTCTCACTGTCAATAAAGCCAACGGGTATTGTGTGTTTTGGACTGCATTACCTTGGTGGCTTGTTCATTAAAATATGCGTTTCCAGTGGTTGTCCAGGTTACAAAGTTCTCTTCCTCTGTCTGCTCCAATCTCGAGGAAAGTGTAATATTTTCTGCTGCCAATTGATCTGGGGTGAGTGGGAAAAACGGTAGGAAGACAAAGTGCGCGGCGCGCGTTGAAGAATTATAGTTGTCGTACAGACTGTACGCTGGTCCGGCGCCAAAATCGGTTCCAAAGGTTGCGAATGACTTATAGCCCAAAACTTTGGTCATCAAGGTATTGAAGACTCGTGCCGTATCATCAACTGTCCAATTCGCCGGCGGGGCTGAAGAAAACGCAAATCCTGGCATCGATGGAACAATGACGTGAAACGAAACAGGTTTGCCGGTTGAAGTAGTCGCCTTTTGTGTCAAATTGTTTATCATTGGCAGAAACTCCAAAAATGAGCCCGGCCAGCCATGGTTAAGTAGAAGTGGAATTGCTTCTGGGTCGTGAGATTTTTCGTGGATAAAATGTATTGACAAATTCTCGATATCGGCCGTATAGTGGTGATACCTGTATGAATCGTTAGGTTGTAAAATGAAGACTTGGATGTTTCGTCGCTTACTTATTCAGCTTTGCTTCCTCTTTGCGCCAATCAAAGTCAACAGTCCATTGTCTCTGCAGATTCTTCACGACGTCAAGTGCAATGCCGGCTGATGATCCAACACCCGGATACTCCTCTTTGTCCGGAAGCTTTGTGCCCTTGACAAGTTCAAGCATTCGAGGAACTCCTTTCGAGAGATTGATAGAGAAGGGCTTCAAGTCAAAATGGTTGGCATGCTCAATAGGATTGCCAAGGGAGACGGATACCAGAGCACTGAGCCCCGCCAGCTTCAGAGTAAGAGCGTGTGAAGAGACCATATTGGGTTGTAAGATTTTCTTTCTCCTTTTGATCGTCTTTGCCAATCGAATAAGGTTTTCGGTTGCTCGCTTGGCCTTTATATACTTGTATTCGCTAAGACTGCTAAACGCCTTGAACCTTGCAAAGCATCCTTCAACTCCGAAATTGTGAACGTCATCCATATCCATTCGGCGATGTTAAGTAACTGCCCCTTATCCAACTATCCAAAACCATCATGCTATGCATCCCCCCTGCGAGTCGACATCTCGCACTAGTCCGCGTCCGCATCAATCGTGGTAATATCTCTCTACCTTGAGCTAGGCCGCAACCAAAGGTGTAGAGTTCGGTAAGCCGAGTTGAGTAATCAACAAATAACCATTGTCGTGTTGTCCGCTGCAGTCATCTCTGCCTCGGATACATATGGAACATCATGATAATTAAAAAGCTCGGAATTACAATATCTTCTCCGATGCCAACACGAGTTATTCGATTTCGTACTAAGGCTCAGTCTGTTGCCTACTACCAAACTGGCAACCATTACATGTGCTCTACTCTCTAGAATACCTGCTTGTGCCTCCTACCTAGTCCCATCAGAGATACTCTCCATCCATAACTTCCAAACACTGTCATGAGCATACTCCATATAGGAATCAAGCGCGGCCCAAGCTTGTAATGGGTCCGCCATATGAGTCCTCCAGCTAACATCCATTGGTGATCCTTCTACGCCAAAGTAATGCCATCCCCGGACTGTCACTTTCCGCTCATTTGTGGAAACAATGATTCCGATGTATATCCAATTACCAGAGAATTTGAAAGCAAGGGCAATCCCATCTTCAACTAGGGTCCTCTCTTTAAATAGAGTCGATTCTTCAAGCTGAGTCATCTTGTGACGCAGTTGCAGACGTTCCGCATCCCATTTCTTTTGCCTGCGAGAGGATGCGAGCCCACTAGACGTTAGGCCCAAGTGTGGGCACACAGGCATATGAAATGTTCTGTTTTCTGGGAAAAGCGGAAGTGTTGCACTGGTATCATTGCTAATATCCCACTCTTCACATAAGATAAATTGTTTCTTAATAATCTTAGGCTTTGCTGTATAAGAATCTGTGAGTGGATTCAGCAATGATATCCTCGTATCTATATGAGACTTCATCAATGCCGCAAGGTATTGTTGATGTTAGCCTAGCCGGGAGAGCTTTAATGCAAGTTCTACGTGGTGGTGGTGGATAGAGTACATTTCTGTATTAATCCTTCGAGAAAGGTCAGCCCGGCATGGAACCAACCGCTGTATTGACGTTTTCAGGGCTGTCGGTACGTCCGAGGTATTAATATGATGCAGCTTGCAGCATTTGGGACAAGCCCAGTAATTGGGCAGAGTGTAAGCCAACCCTGCCCAGAATCCAACTCTACCGCTAGAAGAGAGCTGCGAGATCTCGCTATCCCAATCATGATATGTACAATGTCGAAATACTGTACAGGTGTGTGAAAGAAGAAATTTATCATGTAGAGCTAGATAATTAAGAATGAGAAGAAAAATGTCGGGAGACAATCGAAAAACAGCGGCGGCGTTATGGATTTGGTCATGGCCCATTTGATGGTGGCTGTTTTTACTTGATAAGGAATGTGTACTATTTGGTTAGTTGATGGATACTGAAACTTGTTGGAAATTAGCACAGGATTTTGGAATTGCTAAAGGGGGATTGGCCCTGTATATAATGTATGAAAGCTACGTAATTATGCGCAAATGGCGTTCTCCGACGTTCCATCCATTTCACACGCAGTCACTTGAAAGAGATTATGTGAGATCAAGCAATTGATTTGATGCATTTTTTTTTTGGAAAAAAAAAAAACTTGCGTAGATCAAAGGACACTATGCTACTAGGTAGGAAACTAATATGTCGGGATTATTTGGGTTGCCACATCCTCAAACACTAAAGTCTCAGTTGGCAGTTAATGCCGGCATAGTATTAGTTCCGTATGTTTCTCTTTACGGATCATTTTGGATGAGACATTGAAAATTAGTCCAAATTGATAATCACATTTTCTAGGGCCCACGATTTGTTATTAGCGACACCGGCTTACGACGTCGAGAGAATGCTGTCAGTCTCTTTTCCTCGTGAACTTGTATGTGAGGGCGACTGAGACCAGGTTGGTCGAAGCAGGGACCTAGCCTTCAAGATTACTGTGTCAATTGTTACAGTAATCTTCTGCAACAATATTTTCCCCATCATTTCTCAGTCTTAGCAACAATATCAAGAGATAAATTACCCGATTCATAGCACGATGCGAACACTTTGCAATCACCAGACCGGGGGGGTTCGGCCAATCAAATTTTTTGGAGTTCTCATGCGATCAGCCGACCAACAGCAACACACACGACATTAGGAAGCTATCTTCGCAGGATGTGCATAGTCGAGCCAACTCGACAAGCGAGTTTGGCAGAATTGATGTCGCATCCATGGGTACAGGTAGATAAAGGGACTCGAAAGGCAAATACTGAGAAGAGGTAGTCTATTATGGATTCAGTTCTTGTGAAAAAGGATGGACATCTGGTTCCCTGCCCAAAAATCGGGTCCAAATCGTCATTTCATCCTCACTTGCCCCCATTTCAAGCACTGCATGGCGATACCGGCGGCCATTTGTCGTATCTTCAGGGTCGAGTTTAAATGTTGCGTTAAATACGTCGGCAGCATAGACGAGATTGAACACATTTCGAGTCTTGCACTTACTGGCCGTATTGGCACATTACATGCATTTGAGGGCTTGCCTTTCCTTTCGTAGAGGTCAAGGTATAGATAGCCAACAAATTCACCGCCTTGTTGCTTGTCGTTCCAAACACTGAAAACTCGCACGTCGTCATGCCAGAGCATCTCAGCGTTGCTGTTATAGCTGAAGGTGACGCCGGAATCTTGGCCTAGCTTGGTAATCTCAATGAACACCATACCAAAGAGATGCTGGTTGATTTCAAGCATGGATTCTACAGTTGGCAAGAGGGGTAAGTATTCTGCCAGTAACTGCTGATCCAAGTCATGTTCTCTCTCCATCATGAGTCGGCTATAGAAAGAGTGGTCCCAGAAGTAGTAATGTCCACCAAATGACTCCCCGCGAGACTCGACATCTCTCTTTTTCATAGCTTTCAGCTTCTCAACTTCAAAACTTGCTGTCTCGGAGAGCTTCGAAACCAAATCGGCCAGGAAATTGTTGACAACATCGGGTGTTTTGGCCATTCTATCCTCAAGTCGCAACGCAGCGTGGCTAGAGTAACCAAGTAGACGAGCACTCTCGGCACGGAGCAGGATAAGTTCTTTGAACACGGATTCATTCCCGCGACATGTGTTCTCACTAGCCATGTAGCAAAGCCTTCGTGTATCCGCATTTGTGGCAAACATCATGACCTGAAGTATCGTTGCGGAATCGCATCGAAACATCTGCTCGTTCCCAACCGTGTCGCTCTTAAATCTAGATAAAACCTCGTCTAGCACTCCTTGCATGGCCTGGCGGCTATACCAGACTTCCAAGCGTGAGTCTGACAGGTTCTTCATAAATTCGGCCTCAAGCGCGGCTATACGGGATCGCACAATCTGGAAGCGCTGGCGAGAGGATTCTTCTGCGAGCCAGAGTCCATTGCTGACATGAGCCTTGTGCTTCTTTTCTAAATATCGCCGCGATTCACAATCTAGCAGTTCACCCTTGCGCAACAGGGCATTTATTAAGTTGAAAATCTCAGTGTTCAATGAGGTTTCAAGTTCAAAGTCCTCAAACAGGGCGGCCGCGGCGTTGGCGGCATCTTGGAGAGCTGCATCTGGCGAGAAGTTCCCGTAGCTTGTGACGAGCCACCTGTCCGCCGAAACGGTATTTTCAGCCTGTGCAAGTGGTAAAAGGACATTGGAAAAGTTTGCGTCTTGTGGCAATACCGTATCTATAATCTGTCTCTGCGCCTGGCGAAGTCTTTGAATCAGCTGCCGAGCGCGCTCAGTGATGGATGACGGTTTCGCTCCGAAGAATGGAGGCGGCTCTGATGGATGTGACATGACGATGTGAACGATTATATGGCAAACTTTCAATGTTTACTAACAATGATGTCTTGTAAAAGGCTTCTGCCATCATGTGTTTAAGTACTATGTCGCTCATGCCTATGTCTAGCACAAGAACATCACCGTGTTAGACACTCTGCGGACATGTCATGCACGTATCCAACAAAAGTTCCGTGAAGTTGAAATGGAAAAAGAGGAGAGGCGACTCTGCAACCCTATAAACTCGAAGCCTTCTTTCACCTGTTGAACGAGGCTTCGCTGGGGCGGAGAAAGCCTTTCGGCGTTACCACGTCGCTCTTTCAGCCTGCTCTGACAATTTACACACCCTGTTAGACAGGGCTGAAGACCAGCCAAATTCGTATACATATTGGTAACAGCGTTTGGCTGTGTTTCACGGCGCTGGCGGTCTCTATTGCGCAATTTCGAACGCGACAAGACTGGCACAGCAGGAATAGCAACCAGCCATAAGGCCGCATGAGGCACGACCAACTGCAAGGCTCGTCACCCGCAGGCTCTTGCAGAACACACACCCAACAGCCGAGGGGGCCGAAATTCACAGCGGTTCCAAATTGTGCCAACGACTTGGTCTTCCACAAAGCCCTGAAACACATATACCCGCTGTTTGCTCATGAGAAAGAATTGCCAAAATTTAAAGCGTTCTCGGCTGATAAGGCTTTTAAAGTGTAACAGAATTACACACTCTAGAATGTGTAGTATAGCATTTCCTAAATTGCAATGCGTGTTTAGATGTACTTCCCAGGAATGGAATAACTCTGGTGTAATCAGTGTACAACGGGCTCATAACTTCATGCGACGCAGCTCAGTGGCCATTCACACAGTATTCGCATGTTAGCATGGACAGTCACGGAGCAAGGAATTGTGCTCTTGTGATCGAAGGGCAGGCAATTAGAAAGCTGGGAACATCTCCCGGTTAGGCAGGATACTCAGCCGGCTTTTGGTCCCTGGAACGGTAGGATTGGGAGTGCAATATTCCGCCTGCCGAGGTTTTTGTCCATACCATTGCCGAGAAAGAGTGGAACTGGCATATCGATTGTCCCAATCAAACAGTTCTTGCACATTAGAGAGAGATACACGGCATTTATATCACCAATAGATCAAGCGTGGAAGACCTTGCTACACTTGGAAGCTATTTCCGGGGGGCATGTATTACTAGACTTTTTCAAGGATCTGAATCAATAGAACTAATGTTATACATATGGTCCAGGCAATTAAGGAAATCGGAAACAAAGGGAAAGAGAAATGAATACCATCAATTCCGTACATCGATTTTCTGCCTTGCAGGCGACGCTGGTTGCGCGTATTCTGCTGGCCCCAAAGCTTCGAAACCTTCCATGTTCCTTCACCGCTCTAAATCACTATAATTATCTCATGGCCTGATTTGTAGCTCCTATTTGGTGGATTTAGTTCGACATCTTTTTCTCCGTAGCCTTCAAGGGTTCATCGCGGGAACATGCGATGACTCCACTCCCTCCACGGCTTGGACCGTAGAACCCCGGCCCCCCTTTACTAAATTCCATGGGAAAATGGAGGATGCCGCTGCGGCAATGCAGAAGAGAAGCTTTTCTGTGGTCGATCATCGGCTCAGACCGTCCCGACCCCGCAAATATCGCAACCCCTGATACGAACGGTCCACGATGAGACATTATCTTCACTTGAAAGGATAAGCCCGTTCTCCCGCAATGAGGCAGTTTACCTCGGGAGCGGCATCCAAACAAACGGCCTGGAGGCTTTTTCGGATACACCCTCGGAAAACCGTTCGCTGACGCGGAGCCGGCGTTGATCGCATTACTCGTATACGATCGCGAGGCCATTACTGTAGAGCGGTTTCGCCGGATGTCATCATCGCCTTCGTAGTGGCGAACGAGTCCATGGAGGAAGACGAGCGTTTTGACAATGCTTGAGTATAATCGATGACATAGATTTGATGCTATATACATGTATTAAATCTATTACTTGGCGGGTGACTATGTATGGAAGCGGCCACTTATAGAGAGAGACGGAGGCCTAAGTGGCCGCTTAGTCAAACCGCCGGGTAGATTTATTGCCTTAGTCTTTTATCTTCCATTAGACTTGAGCGGCTGTGTAACGTTATGAAACGCCAGTTATACATCCATATCTTCAAATCAGAGAAAACGCCAACAATAATGCAATACGCAGACTGTTTTCTAAGCTTCCGTAATAATCCCAAGCCTAGTATACGCAAATTGTTTGAGAGTTCATGTTCTCCGTGCAAAATTCAGGCCGACTGGGTTTAGATGATGCAATTCAGTGAGCAAGCAAAGGCGCGAGTATAACATTGATACAGATTCAATGAATGATTGGCCCAGTATCCATCAAGCGAATGTAGCTAAAGGCATGAACTATCAAAATGCCAATTTAAGCAAAGAAAGTAGCATCCGTGGCATCCAACCCAAACCCCTCAAGGCCCACCATTTATTAAACACGATGCTACCTTGTATAAACGGCGGCATTTATGAGCCCCGACATTGTGTCATTAAGACTATCATGCCTATGGAACATGACATATGTCTCCGCGGATGCTCCGGCATAGAAAATCCATGTATACTATTTCAGTTACTCCTCATACGCTTCGATTGCGATATAAGAGGTGGCCATCTCCTCGCTCAGTGAAACTATATCGAACTCGGATATGACTATCAAGCTCTATACAAAGACTTCACTATGTTGTTAACTGCCGAGCCTCTACTCTTCACACTACGGCCTGGAGTCGCTCTAGTGCTCTGGGCTGTTATTCTTGTGAGTATATCTCAACGCTGATCTTCCTCCCACAGCTCACTCCTCCCATGTCGTGGAGTTGCGACGAAACTAATCTTACCAAATAGGGGGTTGTTTATTTGGTCTCAATACCAATCTATAATGTCTGGTTCCATCCACTTCGCAAGTACCCCGGTCCCAGGCTGTGGGCCGCAACTCGGATCCCATACGCCCGCATGATCTTCTCTGGCAATTCTCATCGAAAAATTCTCCAACTTCATCAGACTTATGGAGACGTTGTGCGAGTGGCACCTGATGAGCTAGCTTACGTTGATGGCACTGCTTGGAATGATATTATGGGCCATCGAAAGCGAGGCCAGGGGGAGAACGGCAAAGATCCCGTATTCTGGAAATCGCAACAACACAGCGTCATCAGCGCTGACCGCGAAAATCATACTCGAATGCGAAGGACATTGGCTCATGGATTTTCGGCACAGGCAATGATGGATCAGCAGCCTCTTATTCAAGGTTACGTCGATATGTTGATAAACCGACTACGAGAGAACTGTGCCGATGGCACTCGGCCTTTGGAGATGACTGCGTGGTACAACTGGGCAACCTTTGACATTATCGGCGACTTGGCCTTTGGGGAGCCATTTGGCTGCCTTCAAAACTCGGATTATCACCCTTGGGTTTCTCTGCTATTCAACAGAATTCGTACAAGTGCAGCAAATAATGTTTTACGCCGCTTTCCCTTTGGAGACACACTTATACAGCTTCTTGTCTCAAAGCAGGACCGCAAAAAGTTTCACGAACATTACCAGCTTACACAGGAAAAGGTTAACAAAAGGTTGGCCGAAACCAACCCTCGATCAGACTTCATGGAAGTCATGACTAAAAAAGAGGGTGCCATGGTATGACTGCGTGACAAATAGCCCCTCTGGATGTTTTCAGTCGCTAACATGGGCCAAAGAAATTCTCCTATCCTGAGCTCTTGGATAATGCAAGTCTGCTTATTATCGCCGGATCAGAGACAACTGCTACTACCCTGTCTGGAGTCACCTATCTGCTATTGACCCACCCAGAAGCTTTACAAAAGACGGTAGATGAAGTGCGATCAAGCTTCTCAAATGAAGACGAGATTGATCTTCTCAGCGTACAAAAGCTAGGCTATATGATGGCTGTACTGCAAGAAACGCTTCGAATGTACCCTCCTGTCCCAAGTACCATACCACGCAAAACACAGCCGGGCGGCGACGTGATTTGTGGAAAATATGTTCCAGAAAACGTGAGTACTGCTTCGCATCAAAGACAATTCTCAGTCGGCTCTAACGAGAATACAGACTGTCTTGGGAATTTGGCAATGGCCAATGTATCACAACGCGAAGAATTTCACGCTGCCTGATTCTTATATCCCAGAACGATGGCTTGGCGATGCCCGGTTTTCGAGTGACCCCAAGGACGTGCTTCAAGCATTTTCCTTTGGTCCTCGGAACTGTATCGGAAAGAAGTTAGTGGTTACCCTTCGAAACAATTTACATTTTGTATTCTAACATCTTTTTAGTCTTGCATATGCCGAAATGCGCCTGATTCTGGCAAAGGTCTTGTGGAACTTTGATATCAGTCTGCATCCTGATAGCAAAGATTGGCTTCAGAACAACATGGCTTATACACTCTGGCAAAAGCCAGACCTCAATATCTATATCAAGCCAAGAGAGATCTCATGAATTAGCCGTCATGGTCTAGGATACTACTGGCTGTTTACCGAGCAGAGAATTTGTACATCATATGTTATCATTACCTTCTTATTGTATTATCACTGTGGCTTGTTTTCTGTTTAATTTTGGCGGTAAGGTGAGTTGTGGGCGGTGTTGCGCTTGCAATGGGAAAATATGAGCCAAGACCAAGTCGCAGATTGTGTTTGCAATTGTTTTTTAGACTTTATCAAAATTAAATCAATATAACTGTTTTACTTGCTCGATTCCCAAACAAATACGCTCCAAAAGCAATCTATTGGAAGTCGCTTCGTCGTAAAGAACCAATCACTACACGCCACAGCATGGCGGTAGGGAGATGTAATGGGAATACATCAAACATAGGTTGCACAGAAATGCGTTATTCGGAGATAGATTATCAAATCAATTAGAGGACAAACGATGGCTTGATGGTTCCTTTTCATACACATTGATGAAAAACTCAAGGCCAGTTTGATATCAATTGTTATCCAAAGAGAAGCAAGTATTGTAGGTCCCATTTCCCAGGCCCATGCCTACAAGATCAGGAGCAACGCAGCGCACCTGTTCAGACACATGTGGAATGATGTTGCGCCACAAATAAGATGATGTTGGGTTACCATGGAGGAACAAGCCAGTTGTATTGGAATGGTGGCTGTCGGCTGATACGCCTGTATCGACATACGCCATCTGAGCATCTTCGACGCCGACGAACTTGAGATCAAAAGGGAATTCGCTTGAGATATCGGTCTCTGGGTCCTGGGGGGAGTCTGTAGAATACGACATGATGAATTTTGCTGTAAAGGTTGTTGATATCAGAGGTAGTTCCAAAGTAGTTCTATGTTTTGCTACGAGTTGTCCCATGAGAATTACGAGAGTCTTTCGTTCCTTTATTCTCGATTTATAGGTTGCGATTGTATTGTTCACAACATTGCAATTCCAGATAGGTTACGACATAGGGTCGTACCAAAACCTCAAAATCGCCACTGTCCCTGCAGGATCACTTTGACTGCTGCCTTTGGCGAGTTTAGGCGTCAACTTGGACTTACCAATCTTCAAAGAGGATTCATTAGGAATGGCGTACGACTCGCGTTCCGCGGAAGAGCGAGGCTTCGTAAGCAGTATTAACTAACATTTGTTGGACTATTTTGCAATAATTACCCATCATCTCCACGACTGATCAGGCTTGTCGCAATTACCATATTAGACCAAAGCTTAATGGACTGGGCTGCTTATCGAAGGCAAGTGTACATGATATTGTAGTTTGACCAAGATTAATAGTATGAAGCGACCTGTAACAATGTATAATAATTTGCCCTCAATGAAGAATGTTGCCATAGTTATTTATAGGATTTCTTGAGAAGAATGGATCTACAACAGTGGGATGCATTAAAAAACCGCCGGTGCATTTCAAAAGGCGCACAAGTGACCAAACAGAATCCACAATCAGATTATGCCAGTCCAAGTGACCTACCGTCGATAAGCGCTCACGCCAAATCACCAGGTTTTTACCTTTTGAGAATGATTACCTGACCCGTAGATTGGTATTGAACGCCCGTCATGGAGCCAAGCTCCAGCTCCAGCTCCAGTCTTATAGGCGGCCGTCATCCGCAAGGCAGCGAGCACTTCTAGTAGGCTATTTTATGTCTGCTTATACGTATCTATTAGGAACATGTGGCTAGCGGATGCCGAGCCGCTGACGGTGCGTCTAAATGTTCCACCGACAAGTACAACTAACTAGAACACCCACAACTTATTTGAACTCTCTCAGAGTGTTTTTCTTGTTGTTCATCTTGAGAAAACTAGAAGACGCAGAAAACACCAGGCTCGACCGCCATGTTTCCGATAACAGTATTGCCTGTGACCGACAAGGGAGATCTGGAGAAGATTGTCGATATCGAAGAAAGGGCATACGGAGCGGCCTCACCCTTATTACTACTGATGTTTCCCATATCGCCCGCTCCATCTTCAGCCATTCTTCATAGTTCGAAAATCGCCAGACACGAGCATGTCTGGCAATCGGACCCAACGGTACATTACATAAAAGCGGTTACATACGAAACATCTCCCGAAGGCGCAACATCTGAACGCATGATTGGCGCAGCCGTATATAACGTCTATGAGTCCTCCCATACGGCATCTGAACGAAACCCGTGGCCTCACACCTCAGACGAGGTTCCCGAGGGAGCAAACGCGCCTCTTTGTCTGCATTACTTCCAGACATTGACGAAAGCTCGACTGGACTTCACCAATGGCGAACCACATGCATTCCTGGAGAATTTAGCCGTTGATCCCAATTTCCAGAGACGCGGAGTTGGGACAAAGCTTCTCGAGTTCATGATTTCCGACATGGCTGCCAGGTACGCAGGCAAGGGCGTCGATAATGCCGGGTGCTGGCTAGACTCCTCCCCTTCCGGACTAAAGACGTATCAACGTCTTGGGTGGGAGGAAGTTGGTGCCAAGTCCTTTGATTTGGAGCCGTGGGGTGGTGCGAAGGGCCAGGTGCACAAAAATGTACATATGCTGAAGTCGATGGCGATTTCTAAACATTGACAGGAGAGTCGTCATTCTCTCACAATTATTAACTCACTTGGTAATTTATTGTTGTCAAGGTCCCCAGCCTTTAATATCACGAGGATGAGTGAGGCGTCCTTCGCCTTAGCAGCTTGTAATCTTGTCGCTCAGAGTTGTGAGACGGTTTTCTCCTCGATGATACCAGTATTGAATGGGCCTGTGACATTTTCCGAAACGCTTGCACCTCACTACGAGAGGCGGCAAGGCTTGCTGCGTTTGGAAGTTGTTTAAGAGATGGAACGGCGTGCTATCGAAGCCCAGAGTACTTTGGAGTACGTATATGAAGCTATTATGAAAAGTCCTGCCATTTCCGGAATTGGAGAAGTCGAGAGTAATTGAGGAGAGGTGATGTAAAGAGACTGAAGTGGAAGCACAGCCAATCAACGCAAGACAAGACAAGATAATCACAGTCAACTGCATGTGGTATTGCCTTGACCAGATATGAAGGGTAACTGGTTAAATAATAATAAGATGAATGTTTCAATGAACATTCTTACACCTTATATCTTAGGTGCAATTTACATCCCCACGAATCTCAATATCCATAAATCACAGGTAGCATAGGCATATGGCTATTTACATAACTAGATAACAGAGTAATCAGGAGGCCGATATATTACCGTATAGTATATATAATAAGAGAGGATAAATCGTGGGGATCCGACATAGTTTCTTGGCAAGAGCAGTATGGTTAGGCAGATTCCGCATTTGGGCAATGGTATGATTGAAGCCGACTTCAATTACTCCCTTGTGTCGCCAGTCCAGTATTCCATTGACCCGGCCGAATGCCAATTTCCGCTTGTTTCGACTAATGTATTGCCACTTTAGCTTATACTTTAGCCCATGTCAAGCCTGCTACCATGTAAGCCCTATTTTCATTTCGAATGCCGGCTGGGCTTTGAATGCGGATATCCAGGTGAGTTCCCGGTAGGATCACTTAAATCGGTGCTGATAAATCCTTCGTCTTGAGGCCTATACTAACAGTCTAGTGTAGGATCAAGTACATGTATGTAAGCGCACAAGAACACTAAAGTGCACGTCAGCGCCACATAAGAGGCACGTACATCTCCAATATACATCGTGTCTGCCGACATCACATGTAGGTATTTACTACACGATGAACTTTGTGTGCGGATCATTCCATTCGGGATCCCTACAACATTCAATCGAATACGATGTCTTTATCCGAAAAGTACACGCTGCTGCGAGAGTCTAGTATGCCAACGCCGCCGACACGCCATCAGCAAACTGACAATTGGCATAATAGGTCTCTACGATCGCATGTTTTACTGCTTTCATCGCCTAGGCATCCAATCGAACATCCTTGTCTCAGCAGAATATTCCTCACACGATGGAGCTCTATCGGATGATACCGTTTACGCGGCTCTCGCATCTGTAATAAAGGCGCATCCAGCCCTCTGTGCCGTCGGCGTGAGATTGCCGTCTTCCAGTCCCGGGAAGCATAGCCTCCACCTCGCGTTGCTCCACAAGATTGATCTGCAACGATGTGTGGTGTTTATGGATGGTGATAAAGACACGGGAGTTGGCCCAGCTCTTCTCGAGAATGCGCACAACACGTGGGACTGGACCGACGATGAACCAGACACTCCTTGGTGGAAAGTGCTTGTTGTGGGGAGAAAACACGTCGTGTTTGTGTACCATCATTTCGTTGGTGATGGCATCTCTGGCACAGTGTTCCATCGCGAGTTTCTCGCCGCCATCAACTCCCCATCTCTTGATTCGAAGCCGGTGCCAACACAAGTCACACTCACTTACCCTTCCACCGTTCAATACCCACTTGAGCCTACCGAGCATTCAAATGTGACGCCATCTATTCCTAGACTGCTCTGGAAGATGCTTGTCTGGTATCTGCTTCGCCTCTTCTTTGGTGGGAAGCTTGTCTTTGGTGATCTTCCCCGGCCTCGACCACATGCTCAATCAGTAGTGGCCAAGGCTGTCGACACAGACCGAACAATCACCAGAGTTTCGACTTACCGCATTCCCTCACATAAAATGCGTGCTGTGCTCTCCGCCTGCCGTGCAAACCAGACGACATTCACACCACTCCTGTTTACGATGCTAAATCTCACTCTCGCAGCTGATTTTTATCCTCGAGCGACGTTTGGCGCATCGCGATTTGCCTTTGATCTTCGACCATATCTCCCGGCGGCCGAATTCGGCGACTTGGTTCGCAGCAACGTGATTATGAACGCCGCCGCAGGTTCGGCACATATTCATCATATGGAGCCTTTCCGCAAGGCTGTCGCAACATATAGCGGCCCAAATGAGGAAGCCGGCACGGTTTCTGTGTTTCGCAGTACTGTATGGCAACTGGTCCGAGAACACAAGTCAAAGATGGACAGTGGTATCTATGGGTCTATCCGCGACTGGATGGCGGGCACACTGATAGGAAATACCATTGAGGAATTCATGACCAGCTCTATGCCGAGGATAGGACATTTCACCAGCGATACATACCTGGTATCCAATCTCGGGCCGTTCTCGAGTACTCCAAAGGGCGTTGCGACGACGGGTGATGCAAAAGAAACATGGACCATCGACGATATGCAATTCTCGGCTGCTGCGACGAACGGGAACGTGGGATCTCGCAGTCTTGTGCTAAACATTGCTGGCGTGGCTGGTGGCGACACAGTCATCAATGCATCATATGAAGATGGCATCATGGACAGGGAGATGGTGGACGCAATTCTAGAAAAGGCAATGGAAAAGCTGGACTGGCTTCTGGAGTAGTGTGCGGCATCAGCATATCCAAGTTTGATCGTCTACTGTTTGTGTATCGCCCGAGGGCATCGTGGCCTCTCGTATGTGCAATGCGATATGCCTCTTTGGGATTGTCAGCTGCATTGCGTTGAGAATACGAGCCCTCGCAGATCGTCTCGCCGAGGCCATCACCAAATCATTACAACTTCAAGCTAAATTCACTGCCAGTCTCACATCCTCATCCTTGCACACGCATATCAGCGTCGTCTCGGTAGAAGCCACTGCCTATAGTACCTCTAAGAAGAACTTCTGGGCAATATTGAGAGTTTCCATAAGCTGTTCGTCAATGAGGCAAGCAGAAGCTTAGAAAATGGAACCCGGATGTGAAGAAGAGGGTGAGTAATGCACCGACTGCAAAAGGCTTATGACCCAAATATTCACCCAGTTGGACAACAATTCGAGCGCTTCCGTAGCTCAGTTGGTTAGAGCTTCGTACTAATACTAGAGCCTCGGCTCAAATATTGGTAATGCGAAGGTCGCAGGTTCAAGCCCTGCCGGGAGCAAATGCCCCAGATGCGTTTCGAACATTTCTTTTTTTGCAATTTTTCTGTTTTTTAGTTCTTTTTCGTACTCCGTACGGGGTTATGATTTTGCTTTTGCTACATGAAAAGCATTAGATGTGCCCCCCTGTAAAGAAATGCTGTCAACAGATCTATGCGAGGCTTGTCCCGATCAGGCCCGTGTTCCGTGATGTGCTCAGATGACAGGCTTTTAGTGAGCTTGTCTCGATATCACAGCAGTTGTCCCGCTATACAATGACCACTGCGCCGCTGAACCAAGAATTGTCCGCTAATATTCCTTGTCTGGAGAAAGTGATCGTGATGATTGTAAAAAATCTACAACAAATACGTTCGTTATCATTACAAAAAGCTCGCATTTGAATCCATTAGTTTTCTTTCCCTTGTTCGGGCTATATCTGTGTTTGTTCAATTCTGTGTAACATCATCCCGCCAAGCTTGCGGACGCAACACACACACACAAGACTTACATTCAAGTCTCCAGGGTAAATAGTCGTCAACACTGCAAAACTACATCGCCAGTCTCAATATCCCGCACTCTCACAAAGTAAATGCCCAACAAACACGTTTCACTTGGGCCCTGACAAGCACATGCTCTCTGTTTCATATCCCCTCAATCAAAACTCCCTCCAAAAAAAGGCACCCGCATCAACGAACCTTTGATATGGCCCTTCACACTCTCCTCTTGTGCCACCTCGTCCGACAATGATGGCGTGTCCGCACTAACACCAGCTCGCCTTACCTGCCTCTTCCGCCTCTTGGACAAATGCTGGACACTGTCAGGCAACCGCACTGGAAAAAAAAAAACGTAACATGTAACCGGCGCCGGAAAACGGATTTGCTTTCGTCTTTGCCCAACCGGACATGGAACGTCTGTTAAGGTTAAAGACAGAGCGAACTCCGGTTCTGCAGTGAGGCGAGTTGCAGCAAAAGACCACATCTGCGGCCGTTTTGATTCATCTGCACGAATTTCCCTTTTCAACATCCCTAGAGACGGACGCCTATATCGCAAACATCCTCCAACAATCATGGAAAATGTCTGCCGTGATTGCAGAGCGGCACGATGAACTCCTGCGGGCGAGAGGGGCGTCCTGACATGTACGGTCTGGGAATCCGCCTCGGAATCTATTTCCAGTGGTTTGGCGAGATTCTCGTCGAGTTCTTTGACGACGCAGACGTCTCGGATATACGACTTCTGGGCCTTCTTCTGTCTGGTGCCATTGTTTTGGCGCTGCTTGTCGAGATTGTAAACCACAGCGTCCAAGCAGCCGACATTTACATCATGCTTCAGCTCGCCGGTGGCTCATACATCTTTCTCATACCCATTTACATCTGGAAGACGCTCACATGCTGTGACCGCAAGTGGGATCCGCTGAAGTGGACGAGGGAAATCCATGTGCCGGTCTATAGTGTCTCAACCATGATTGTCCTGGTGATTGTTTCGTCTCTTCAACTCTGGTTCTTTAGCACCTACATGCCGACGAGGGATCACCAATGCCAGTATTATGGATTCTTCTTCACAAAGGTGAAGCTCGACAACGTCGGATTCGTTGTGGTCAATATTATCTTGCAAATCATCGTTATTCTCGTTTGCGTTGGCATTGTCCTGTCGTATACGGGGTTTTGGGAAAAGCAGTTTCGAATACGCAGACACCGACGTCGAAAGAAGCATCGCACAAGACAGTCAGTCAGCCTCCCCTCTCAATGCTCATGTTACTATCCAGTGCTGTATCTGACAAGGAAAGTCTCAGGCCGGAGCAGGATAACCAGGAGCGCATTGCAAGACGGGAGCGTGCCAGACAGGAACAGAAAGATCTCTTGCGCACCATGCGGAGCATATCCAACCTGGTTGTGTACGGACTTCACATCACCGCCATTGAACTGACGATCAAATGGAACCAGTTTGACAATGTCGATGGAGTCAACACCAGTGGACAGACAATTCCGCTGCTGGTTAGCCTCGGCATCCTGATCCGTCTCATTGCGTCTCACTATGCAGTCCAGGGCGACGGCACATCGACGAGTGCCGCTGGGTCTCGTCCTCGACCTGGGGGCTCCGGTGGAGGTGGAACGAATCGCCAAGCTCAGGCTCAAGCTCAAGACTCGACGCCTCAGATGGGAGATTTAGACGAGTTCATAGCTGGCATCACCTTGGACAACGTGAGCGAGTATTTCGCCCATGGCTCTGAGGCTTATTGGTATGCCAGGACGGCGATCCAGAGGCGTGAGGCTGCGGAACAAGCTGCGGCGAGGGAAAGATTGGCGGCAAGGGGAGTCGTTCCTCGACCAGCGCGGATTTACTCGAGAGGCGTGACGATTGTGCAGGAGGTGTAAGAGGACATGGAGAGCAAAGGGTTTAATGCCGAGTATGTAAGATGGGGATGAAGAAGTCGAGGGAGGGAGATTGTCGGATTATGGAATGGCACGTGATTTCAATCCTGTGCAATCAAGATGAATCGGATTAAAAAAATCTAGAGTTCCGTTTGTCTTTTGTCTCTTTTTAATAATTCCTGCTCTATAATAACAGTGCTTTATTACCTGTACCTACTGTAATTTGATATCGTCCCCCAAACCCAGCGTTTCCAGGCCATCAAGGTCGTCTCCATCTGCCAGGCACAAAACAGCCTCTGATTCGACGGTTTAACCCTCCCCAGCTCGCCGCCCCGCAACCTCGCATCGCCCAAAGTAAACAAAATCAGCTAGCCTTGAACCACATTCTGTCCCAAGATCGGACCTGGAATCTTACCATCGTCATCATCATCGCAGCTCTTGCTCTCTTCCTCCATTCAACACCTCAGCCATGGACAAGGAAGCCAGAAAACCGTCTTCCAAGTCCGCCTCGTCCAAAGACAAACGGCCCAAGGACAAGGACAAGGACAAGGCAAAGGACGACTCCAAGGTGCACAAGCTGTCGCTCAAGGGCAGCTCCAGGCTGGTTGCTGAGTTTGTATGTCCGACTCGCGGCCTTGATCTCCCTCGTCAATTGGTGCCGGCGACAGCTTTTCTAACAGCTTCCTCTCTTCTCGTCTCTAGTTCCAATACTCGATACACACAATACTGTACGAATCGCGACCCTCAAGCTACCGAAACTCCTTCTCAGCGTCGAGCGAAACAACTGACCGTGCTTCTCCCATGACAGATTCCAACGAGGCGTCTACCCAGCCGAAGACTTTACAGCGTACGACACCTTCCCAGGACCCCCAACCCACCTGATCGAACAAGAGCATTACCTGCTAACACATGTCTAAACCACAGCGTCAAGAAATATGGCCTCAACATGCTCGGTACCATCACCTCCCTCTTCTCAAGACATCAGCCCTCCAAAATCAAGACACACGGAGACTGACCTCCCGACCTCGTACTCTCTAGTCTCCGCCGATGACCAAGTCAAAGCCTACATCAAGAAAATCATGAGCCAGCTCGACAAATGGATGATTGGCGGCAAAATCTCCAAGCTCGTCATCGTCATCACCGACAAGGACACGGGCGAACACGTCGAGCGCTGGCAATTCGATGTACGACCCCCAAATCTCTTCCAAACCACCACCATCATCCTACAAATCCACACACAATCGAGAACAAAAAAAGGCTAACATTCACCGCTCTCAACCACAAAAAGGTCCAAATCTCAGCTCCACCACCAAAATCCAAATCCAAACCCTCCACAGACCCTTCCACCTCAACCACCGACGAACAAGAACAACAGCAACAACAACATCAACAGCAAGAAAACGCCGCCTCCTCAACAAACACCACCCCCCTCTTCGCCGAAAAAGACAAGCCCGAAGCCGAGATCCAGGCCGAAATCGCCGCCATCTTCCGCCAAATCACCGCCTCCGTCACCTTCCTCCCCCAGCTCAGCGGCGACTGCACCTTCAACGTCCTCGTCTACGCCGACGCCGACAGCGACGTCCCCGTCGAGTGGGGCGACTCTGACGCAAAGGAGATTGAGAACGGCGAGAGGGTCCAGCTCAGGGGCTTCAGCACGGCCAGCCACCGCGTCGATACGCTCGTCAGCTACCGGTTGGGGGACTAGGAACGAATTTGACGAAACTATAATAATAGGTATGGACTGATGAATGGAACGGGATGGCTAGGTTGGGTGAGTGATTGTAAGATTTCACGGTTACGGTTACGAGGCTTGTCCCTTGACTGGCCGTCCGCAACGAGACAATGGGCTTTTTGGTACGGCGTTAGAACTGGAATAAATCGGTGCATCATGTAGCTTCACGGGATTTCCTGGCAGGCTAGGGATACATATGTTGATGAATATTCTCTTGTTGGTATCGATCTCTCTGTGGTATTTCATCTATATCGAATGCATATTGGTAATTCCCTTATCCCCCAGCCCCTCAAACCAGCACCAATGACCAGCCTCATCTCCAAACAGTCTCCAAGCGTTGCCGTGCGAACGAGGCAACGCATCAAACGCCGTCTCTCCGAATGCACCGTCACCTATAAAAAACGTATTGACCCCTTGTTCAAGTTCTCTTGAAAAAGTACACATATGCAAACTTGCGCATTTCCTCAACGTCGTGAGCTTCCACCACCTTTTCATCGTTGAAGAGCACCCACGTGGGCGCCTCCCTGCCTTCCAAGGACTTGCGAACAAAGGCAACGTAGTGGCTGATGAAATCAATTAGTTTAGAGACATATACGAGAAATACGCTCTGAGAGATGTATACTTACCCAGCGTGAATGCTTGTGCCCTTGTGGCACACAATGGACTGCAGCTGGAATCTTGCCGGCAGAGTCGCGCTTCCAGCAGGCTCTTTGGGAGACGTCTCTGCTGCTGCGCCCGAGGGCTCATCCTCCGTGATGCCCTGGTCGTCAGGGTGGTTAAAGAGCCACTCTACAGCTCGCTCGACATCGCCGCCCGTTTCTTTCAGCGCCTTCTTGGCTTGGGGAGCACCGAATCCCATGGCGCCAAGCGTCTCAATCTTTTCAGGGTCAGCGATGCCAGCATCTCCCGACCCAGATCCTAAATCGAGCGGCGCATCAATATCGGCGTCGTCGAGGTGTGCGAATAGCCACTCCATGGCCGCATTTGCATCAGAGTTACCCGTCGCGTGCAGGGCCTTCTCAGCTCGGTTCAGTGGGAAGCCCATGGCCTCAAGCTGCGCAACTGCTGTAGCATCTGCCACAAATGCGGGAGCCTTGTTCTCGGGCTCTTCGGGCAGCAACTCTTCTGACGGCTGGAGTCCCTTGGAGAGGTAGTCGTCCAACAAGAATGGTTCGTCTGGGACAATGACTGGCACATCAATCTTGATAGGGACCCAGTTGACAACGGCCATCTTTCGTGCATTGACGGCCAAAACGCTGGGGAACGTCTTGAAGAGCGACTGCTTGGTGAAGCCTGCCTTGCTGCCGCACGACGAGCATGTCAGCTCGACTTTCTCGGCGCCAGTAAAGTTGTCCAAGCATTCCTTTAGAGTCACGGGCTTGTAGGCGTTGGCCGTCTCGCTACCCTCGCTTGTCTCGAGCTTCTCCAACGGCACGTCGATGAATATGTTGTCCTGTTCGTTGGAGCTGTACCTCACTTTGTGGCATCCGAGACACTGGAGCCGCTGCTCTAGAACGAATCGGAATTCGGCTGTGGGATCCTTTTGGCCGTCGTCGTTGTGTGGTGACCGGCTAATGAGCTTGAAGAGATGCTGGAACAGTTCAAAGGCGTCTTGCTGCCGCATGGTGGAAAACTCCTCGTGGCCTCTACCTATCAGATGCTTGAACATGGCTGGTGCCAATCCTCTCTGGTAGGCAATCTCCGATCCCGATCCTACAGAGGTATCAGGCTCTGAATACCGACCGGACAGCAGGCCGTGAGCAATCTTTCTCAACTGAGTCTCAAGGTCGGCTGCAGGCTCCTGGATGATGGGCAAATCATTGTCAGCACCGTAGTAGCGCTGCTGAAACGAGGGCATGTCGAATAGGCACTGGATGATGCTGGCTAGGTAACAGCTGTTGCCGAGATTCTTCAGTCCAGTGAGGCCGGGTCCAAACACAGGCTTCAGCTCTTGGCCGTCTTCTGTAGTCATGCTGAAGTCCCACTTGAGGTTCTGCTCAATCTGCATCTCCGTCAAGCTCTTCTCCGTCTTTTGGCGCTCGGCTAGGATGATTCCCCAGTGGGCCAGGTGCTCGCCGAGAAGCTCGTCGATGCGCTCATCGTCACACCTATAGCAGTAAATATCGGCAGTCCCCTCCGGTGTAATAGATCCAAGCTTGACAGCCACGCCATGGCCCGATTCAGTGGCATGGCCCAAGGCGTGCGAATTGCCGTCAACGCCACCCATCTGCTTCCGGCCACAGCCGAGGTTTCCACATTCCAGGCAAAGCCAAAGGTTCTCTCTCAGATCGCAACCTGAGCAGTGGCCAAGCTCGCCCTGCTCGATCTTGCGAGATGGATGCTGCTGCATGGTCAAGATGTGCTCGCATGTCGTGAGCTCTTGCTCCCACGCCTTGACCTCTTCCTTTCGGGAAAAGGTGTGCGCCTTGAGAATGCCGTCGACGATGGGGGCCAGCTTCGCATTCGCCGTATCTAGTTCGACTTGACACTCGATACATTTGGCGGCCAGAGCAGTATCGTATCGATCTTCTTCCGTCTCGGCAGCGATGGCAAGCTTGGTCATCTTGGCGGGGGGTTCATCGCGATGGATCGCCTTTCGGGTGCGGCGGATATTGAGAGCAAGCGGGTGGCCCCAGACTGCATTGTGAAGCAGCGAGTGCTCCCGATCACCGGTGCAGCCGCCGTTGAAGCACTGGAGACATACGTCGAGGCCTCCAGCGTTGTCCTAGAAAGAAAGAAAAATAGAACGAGATGGTGAGTTTTCGCGGGGCTGCAGCCTAGAGAGGGGGAGCTGGGCGGCTGTTTAAGCACGTACAATCGAGTCAAAACATTGTGTACAGTCTTCCTTGTACACAGACTGGACGGGAGTCGGCGGTTTGAGCTCTACGAGGACGAAACATGAGCTTTCTTGAGCTTCAAGGCAGCTGGAAGAAGGGCTGCGAAGCGCAAGCTGGCGGGGTAAGGATTTGACGTACCGATGGACTCGAGATGCGGGCACGACATGTCTTTGGGTGGCGGACAAGGAGCGCTGAAGGATCGTGACGAAGAGGTTAGCAGGATGGCGAAGCGAAAGGTAACTGTAGAGGCGGGCGGTTGTCAAGTGGAAGAATCAACGACAAAGTTCTGTTGATGGATGCTGTTTTGGAGTTGCTACAGGCACGCACTAGCTGTAGCACAAGCCGAGGGCGCTATCGATTGCGAGATTAGTGGGTGCCGCAGTGAAGCTTAGTGACTACAGCACCAAGCAGCAGCTGCCAGGCACCCACTGGGTACTATGGAAGGTATCCAGGCTGCCCCTCGATGACGGTATCGGGGCTGGACAGACGGTGGAGGGGCAAAGTTGAAGATTTTGGGTCGCATGATTCAACGGGCGCGCTGAAGGTTTCAACGTCATTTCTTGAATACCTGAAGAGGCCGGCCTTGGTCACTGTTATCAATGATGATAGCGAATACTATCCAGCTGTTATCACTCTGTCATATTGAATAAGTACCTAAGATGCAGCGAGTTATGTACCGGACAGTCTCTTTATAAATGACATCATCCCGTCTTCTCACGTCCCATCCCATCCCATCCAACGTCGATTTGCCCCGGAAGAGACAGATCTGTGTCGGTCAGACTGCGGGGTTGCAGCAAATGCTGGCTGACTGATATTTCCAGAGTGGGATCCAATCCTGTGTGCCGCAAATGTTCCGCTGCCCGCCCAAATGAATCTGCTTGGGTACCCAGTGCCGGATTCGTGACAGTGCCCGACAGATTTGGAACCAATCAACCATTGTATCAGATATCAGACAAAGCATCAACATCCAATGCTCATCTTGTTCAAGCCGTCAACGTCTACTACGGGATCGGCTCGGCGCAACTGGATACCCAAAACCCCGAGCCAACCCCAGCTTGACTTTAGATGAGTACACATCAGTCGCTCTTCCCCGTGCAGACCTCGGAGAATCCAGCAGCCCCTTTGCCTTCCCACAGCGAAATCACGGCATGTACGAGTAAGACGGAGCAGCAAGTTACAGCCCTCGGAGGACGTGTCAAAGTCCGAACCGGCTTGTGAATTTCGCGTCCGTCTGTCGCCTGTCCACGTGACCTACCCCCGTCTCACGTGCATCTTATCAGATTGATTTCCAATCTTTTTGCGGAGCCTTTGCACGCATTTACGTATTTGCGTCGGAATCTGATAGATGACTAACCTTTGCAACAAACATGATTGGCCGCAAGCTCCGACAAGGACCGAGCTCCACAAGTCTGCACAGACGTAATGGCCGAGAGGGGCGACGGCGCTGATTGGCCACTGACGAGGCGCACTTGGCCGAAATCGCCATCCGCACTTCGGGGCTGGATTTGTGCTAGATTTTCTTGGGGATTGATTAAGCAGCTGCTCCTCATCTTTTGGAACCTTCGTCATTTGCCCTTCATTCTCATTCTCACCCTTCCATCATCTCTATCATATCAATCGCCCTCACCTCAATCATCTCAACGCAAATCATCCCGCCGCAGCTCCCTGATCACAGCGCAGTATCGCTCATCATCAGCCGCATCACTTCCGCATCCGAGCCGGTTCTCGATTCTCTTGTTGCAGCTAAACTCCGCGCTCCGCCCCGGTCACCCAAATATCCCAGACACGGCGCCCTGCGAATCCAGATATTCGCCTCTCCTCAACCTAAACCAACCAAATCCCCCCTTCACAACCGTTCAAAATGCTCTCCAGAGGCCTCCGCGTCATCTCACGGCAAGCCATTGCTGCCCCCCTCGTCAGACCAGCCCTCGCTGCCCGACAGCTCGCTCCCGTCGCATCCATCGAGGCCAGGCGATCCTACCACGAAAAGGTGCTGGATCACTATGCGCGGCCGCGAAATGTCGGCTCCATGAACAAGAGCGACGCTGATGTCGGCACCGGCCTTGTTGGCGCTCCTGCTTGTGGCGATGTCATGAAGCTGCAGATCCGAGTCGACCCGGAGACGCAGAAGATCTCCGAGGTCAAGTTCAAGACTTTTGGCTGCGGCTCGGCCATCGCCTCCAGCAGCTATCTGACCGAGCTTGTCCGCGGCATGAGCCTCGACGATGCCGGCAAGGTCAAGAACACTGAGATTGCCAAGGAGCTCTGCCTGCCCCCCGTCAAGCGTATGTATTACCATTGCCATATACTTCTAACTGGGTCTCTGATATGCGATATGTCGTACTGACTCCCATGTCTACAGTGCACTGCTCCATGCTTGCTGAGGATGCCATCAAGTCCGCCATCTCTGACTACTACACCAAGAACCCCTCACGGAAACCCACCGACCTGAGCGGCACCGGCATGAAAATGCCGGCTGCCGAGGCTATCGCCGCCTAAGCGCATCTTCGACATTGGTGAGATTGAAGACGGCGAGAAAAACACAAAAAAAGAAAATGTCTGCTCTCAGTTTCCTACGAGTTTCTTTTTTTCGCCAGCGATGGTATGGGATGAAGATGGAGCAATACATATAACTCAAATTGCATGTGGGAATAGGCCAACACAAAAAAAAAACGAGAAAAGACTCAGATTGAGAGGCTTCTTCCATCGGGATACTATTCTGATTCAACTTCTATTTTTTCCCCATTCACTTTGTTTTTTCCACGGTTAACACGGTATCGGAGATGAATAATGGAGCGTGTCCACTGCTAAAAAATCAAGTAGTGAAGGGGCTGGGCAAAGAACAAAACGATGTATGTACTTTACCTGCGGCTTTTCAACAGCCGCCGAGAGGAATTTACGATGGGCAAGGATGAAACTGTAAAAGTAGAGACGCAAAAAGCTACTCTTGAAAAACATTTGATAACCAACCACTTGACAATATTCGCTGCTTCTTTTTAACCGTGTCTCGTCCTGCTTCATCTCTCTCCTCCGTACAGCTTCACTCATTCTCCCCAAACTCCACCAAACTCACCCATTCACATTCACCGGCGTCTTACTCTTTCTTACTCTTACCCCGGGAATCTTGCGCGCTATTACTGTTCATGGTCCCCAATTCGCCGCAAGCGCCGCACGCGCATAGAACCGGGCCGCCAGCAAGGGCCAAAAAAGGAAGAAAAAGAAGAAGAAAAATCTCGCACTTCTTCCCCGAAAAGTCCGAGCTTGTTGCCGACAGCATTCCGAGTTTGGGATCTGTATCCACACGATTCAAGATGCCGGGATCGAGCCGAAGATGAACATTCGTCCTGTTACCATCTGTTGTGTACAAGTTCTCTCATTCGGGCCGTATAATCAATTTTTTCTTCTCTGTCATCGACTGGCTTCTTACGGTCACAGAGGTAGACTTGCGAAATGAGTCTGTCACAAATGAGCTACGCTGTTCCAGTCTTGGTTGCTCAGCCAAACACTACATAGGGAAACTTGTACTAGATGAATGAATCTACCCAATTATCTTGTTGCATTCCATAACTCTGTTGTCATCAATCAATCACCATGTCGTCCGACTGTGAACATTGTGGCCCTACAATGCCCAAGGGGTGTAAGCGCCACAGCTGCGACGCATCGTTCTCATTCTTTTCAGACAGCGATAATGCTACGGGATGACCTCTTGTACAGAGATACCCTTCAGACCCTAAAGATCTATTCCCTATGTTTACGGCACCGCCGCCTCTTTGGATGATTTGCCATTGTTGTCCCATGCGAAAAACCGCTGGCTCGAGGCGCAGGCGACTGTCATCACCAGGATGAATACCAAGCACGCTATCAGGAAGAGCCATGGTGGAAATGGCCCAAGACCCCTTGGTGTCATTAGGCTGGAATTTCCAGTACTGGTCTGGTTGTTTTGCGTCGTTCGGCGCCAATGGAATTCGCATGTTGCCATTCGCAGAGGTGGAATCTTCTTGAATATCGACGCTATCGGTATGTGACAAGTATGGAGTGAGGCGATACCAAACATCCATAGATTTGGCTGCCGACGCGGCCGAAGGGAGAGTGTGAAGAAGCTCCTTTTCATATTCCGCTGCCATTGCTGCTGCGTTTGGCTGCCGGATATCGTTCCTGTGCGAGTCGGCGTAGTCGCTAATGCTGCGGATAACAAGGCAACGGAAGCTACAATCATGCCGATTGCCTCCGTCTCAAAGCATTCTATACCATGTTTACTCGACACTGTATCTCTCGTTGCACCGTGTTCCGTTATTTCGTTCCCGGAGGCTATTAAACCGTAATGGACGACAGAATCTGAAACACAAGCTCGTTGCAACTCCATCAGATCCTTAGGGCATCGTGAACGGTCACCCTCGTTGCCGAAAGGATCATCGTCAATGCTGAATTGGATATCAGTCTCCGGGCTTTGTAGGCTGTCCTGAATCTTCATTTCTTCACATCGGTCGAGTATGGCTTGCCACTCTTTGGAGAGTCTATGCCCGGTTTGGTGACCTGCCTTTAGCGTTCTAATAGCTGTTTGTAAATCCTTAGGAAGCCTACAGGTATCCAGGGATCTTGTCTGTGAAAATGTGCGCTCTCGACTGATTCTCCTAGAGTCGTACTGGATAAAATCTCCAGAGCTGATTGCGGGATCGCCCACCATAACATCTCCCAGTCGAAAATCCTTTGATGTAGATGGGACGTAGCCCCCAATCCCCACCATTGTAAAAACCATTAGGAATGGGAAGAAGCCTCGCATATCTTTCACGATACCCGAAACGGATAACTTTTCATAACAGCTGGATGACATACATACAATAACAACATCATGATGCCCAATGCGGCCATATGCGTATGTATCACGACCACGCCTCGTGTTACGATCTTCGTTGGGGTCGTAATCGCTGTTTGGGAAAGGTAGTTTATACTCATAATCAAGCATGGCCTTGCTTGCTTCGTATTCAGATCTCAGTGCGCATATCCATCCAACAGCGTAGTCTCTATGCCGAGGTATACGGTCTCGAATTCGGGTTCCCCCACGCCGCGCTTGAGACCACACTGCGTTCTTGCGGAGATTCGTGATTGTCTTGACAACAATCAAGGGCAGCGACCAGTTTCTTCGTCCTCGACTCCATCCTGGAGCGTTCAGGCAGCTTTCTTGAACCCATGTCTCTAGAAGTTGCAAGCGGTCAGGAGGGGGTTCATTCGCCGCCAAAAGCAAAGAAGAGAATTCATGCTCGTCAAGCTGTCTCGCTGGGTCCATCATTACCTCGTCTGTTTCTTCCCAGCCGCAGAACAAGGTGCCATCGAGCTCTGTGTCTATGGCGTCACTGCCGTCGACGTCGGTAGCAACCAAACAAGTAGCCCTGTCGCTTGCCATGGATTCCTCGCCTGTAATGTCGTCCCGCCAAGGCAGAGCAGACAACGACATGGACTCGAGATGACTGGCAATGTGCTTCAACAGCGTTTCGAATTCAGGAGTTACTTGCCAACAGACGAAACACCGTTGGGGCAAGGGATAGGTTTGACGTTGATGACGGAACCGATCTTCGGCGGACGATGGATCAAGGCCCGGATGGGAAATCATGATGTGATCTTCAAGCTTCTCGAGAGTGTTGAAAATGAGCGTCTCATCGTCGCTGGAGCCACTGCAGCTGTCGTTGTCGTGTAGAAGAGAGCATTCCCAACTGCCGTGGTGAGGCTTTATGAGATGCTTGTTCCACTCTGCGAATGAAGAGTACGTTTTTCCAGGTCTGTCGCGATTCGATTCGCGTACAGACAGATATACGGCCCCAAGTCTTTTACGAAATGTTGCTCCCAGCGCTCTGACTTGTGCTGCGTCGAGAATGTCTCGGCTGGCAGTACGAGGTAGCAGTAGGGACACGGCTTCTCTTCCTCGTTTCCAACCAGCTTCGGTGGTGGCGGTACGCCAAACGAGCGTCCGTCTCCTAGTCCGCAATCGGCGATTGACGCGGCAGATGAGGATGACACCAGGGTCGACGTTGGCGGCTTGAATCTTGTCACTTGCTGTTCCAAAGCAAATGTCTCTTCGTGACTGTAGTGGGCTCGGAAATACGCCAGTTGCCGCCTGCGTGTTGATATAATGGTCACGCAACGCTCAAGGAGCACTTGGCGGTAACTCATTTGTTCCTCGCTGAGGTTTTTCTCATTGTTCAAGTAAAAACGAAACCATTTGGTGTGTCAAGGCCTCTCGGACGAAATTCTCAAACTCTTTCCCGATATTGAATTGAAGGCCATCGACGACGGAACCCGGATGGGCACTGCCGCCCCCCTGGCTTCTGAAAGATAACAAAGCCATTGTCAAAATCAAGAAGTTCGGGGATCTCTGCCAAGGTATGCCGATTGATCGCTCGCTGAATCTTCAAAGAGACTCTTTGAGAGCTGAGTTTCGATGTCAGTTACTAATCTTTCCTTGGAGATATTAGGCCAGCTTACCAGCTAAAAGGGATTCGCAAATGGTACAAAGGACTATTGCAACACTGGCTTTGAAGCAAGGCGCCGTTTGTAGACGGTAGCCGAGCGATGCGTGGCCACCCGAAAAGACCAAGGAGTGGAAGCCCACGTATTGAAGCGAGCCAACTGGGCCTCCGCGAGTCTCCGGGGTTTCTCATCCGGGAGGTGGTCTTGACAGAAGACAAGTAGGTTGCGCACTCTTTCAGCCATATCTTTAAGAGATGCCTTCTCCATTACCGTCCCAAAGAGCTGTGAAGACGCCATCAAGATGTGAAGCCCAAAGAACGTCTGAACAAAGAAGAGCTGTGGAAGTGCATGAAGCATGCTATTGGTGGAAGTTCAAGGCCACCTGACATACTAGCGAAGAAGGTGATACAAAGAAAGTTAATATTAAGAAAATTTAAACAAAGGAAATCTGAACAAAGAAATGTTGCAGAAGCGCAAAATGACGTCTGATTGGAGAATGCTGCCCGCTTCTTCTCGACAACAGCGACAGTCGTTGTTCAAAGGGAAACAAACAATAATCGCGGGCAGCTAATACCGGGTTGCTGAAAGGAATATGTGGACGGCACAAACATATATAAGGCGTGTCTTGAGCCTTCATTCTGATCCAGTTCGTCAAGCTATACATTTCCGAGCCTAAATCATTCACACCCGCATATGAACATCACTGATAGGACGTACGAGCGTCTTATATTCATTCATTCTACACAAGAAGCAACAGTTCCAATATGTCGGGCCCCGAGTCTTACTTCCTGGTCCCAGCATTGGGTCAAGAACCGGATAGCATGCCGCTCGGGAGCGTTATCGCGGATGTTGAAACCCTGGAAAGGATGAACCCGAATGAAAACCTTTCAATCCCCATCGACACAAAAATATTCACTGCGAAGATCGAAACCGCGACGGGTTTTATGTGGAATGGCCCGGATGAGGGATATTCCCTTACAAAGTACTTAGCCTTCAGACGCCTTATCCTCGGTGATATTGAGGCACCTCTCCCCCCAGGGTCAACAATCAAGTACCGGTGTGAGCGGATCGAGACACGACACTTTGAACCGTCAGCCGAGTTTATCGCAAACGCTGCGGCTAATCCGGCTGTCAAGTCTCGACTCGAAATCGGAGACAGTGCGAAGGTCTTTGTGGTCACTGGGATCAAGACGGCTGAGGAGATCAAGGTTAAGGAAAACCAAAAGACGGACACGAAAATGCACATGAGAGGAACACACGGAAAGTCGGCTCTCGGTCCCACCATAGTTGCCTTTCAAGTCAAACAGCTTTTTCTCACTCCGGATGGTGAGCCAACCATCCAGTGCTATGTGGACGGCGCTGTTCTTGAATATTTATGATGAGCTCACGGTTGAAGCTACTGACCTGACCGACGAGGATTTGGTCGAGCAGGGTATGGAGGCTGTTAAAGTGACCATTGATGGCAACGGCGACCAGGATTGGCAGCTCGCCGCTCTACGTATGGACTGACCCGTAGTATGTCGAATTACATGCGGCAAGTGGAAGGCTGTTGCCTATGAGATAATGGGGGCAATATACGAAATTGTTTGTTTGGTTATTTGTAAATGACTTTACTACCAGCTTGTGAAATCTTACATTGAACAGGAAGAGTAGCTAATGCGAGTTGAATAATACCAAAGACCAGAACGTTCAAGTTATCAACTACCTCCCAAGGGTACCGCAATATGGTGAATCTTGGATATTTCTACTGACATCTTTCTTTATACAACGACCAGATGTTTATTTACTACGATCAGTTAGCCTTATCATGTCACCATTCTTAGCAGTGAGAATGGCTCTACTAATCGATTCGAGTCCGTCGTCGTACCTGGAAAGCCAAACGATAGAGTTAGGGCGTCAACGCGGTCCTTGCTCTCCTGGGAGAGGTGGGTGATTGCTTGCCATCAGATAGGTCAACGAAATTGCTACAGTCAAACAGCCGTTGTTATCTTCAGACGTTGGACATTACCACAATGGAAGAAACAGAGAATAGTACAACCGTCCAAGCGAGCGCTGGGATCCCAATACCCAATTTGCAGATCAAGGCCGAGGCTAGGCGAGATCGTGCAAAACATCTGTGCCAATTAGTGAGCGCTATGCAGGCATGGAAATGTATTAATGGAGAGATAATGAGACCAAGTATATGGTTGAAGTTGTTGAAAAGGGCTTGGGTTACGAAGATGTGGTTGATTTAGTAGAGACTTGTGGTGGGCATGAGGAGACGGCGAGAGATATTAAATCATCGCTTCAAGTATGAACCAGATACGCATTATATCGAATTCAACGCGGTAAATCTGAAAATCTATAGTCACCTATGAGATAATAGAGGCAGTGCACGATCTTGTTTGTTTGTCCGTCTAGCTTATTTATCAGGATTTTAATGGTTAGCAAAAACCCCTATCAAACAATACAAATAGCTTCTGGTACTTCGACTAATTAGTTACTACCAAATACCTTCATCCTCGGTGTTGTTTTGTTATCAAGATAGATGGGTAAGCCATGTGGCCTCCCTTCTACGGAATTCTATGGAGGTCTTTCCTACAACGACAACAGATCAATCTTGGTCAGGCCAGCCAGGCTTGTCGTCGTCGAAAAAAATATAGCCTCCATCTTGTAACATGTAACATGCGTTTGATACACCTAGGTGGGATGGCAGTCTCTTACTCTGCCACTGAAAAATGAGCTTGATGTTAGATGCTAGGATAGAAACGAAGATGAATGTGTTACAACGGTAAATCTTTTCGACATCAGATTTGATTTACCAATCAAGAGCAATACTCATGGCATCTCCATTTCTAGAGCAAAAGGAAGAAGAGAAATGGGAGCCAGACTAATAGTGTAGCGCGTAACATGAATCGAAAGAGTCAAGTACACAATGAGAATCAACATTACATGGATATCAAAACCGCAAAAGCAAAAGCACCATTCCCCAGCAAAACATACTATACAATGAAAAGCCCATCTCCCCTCAAAGATGTCCCTTGGCTTGATGCGCCCCATGCAAGCTAAGCGGAATCACAAAATCCGCCTCTGCCCTGCCCACCTCCTCCATCGTCCTCGCATCCAAACACAGCAAATACGACTTCTCCAGCGTCCCATCCAACACCACCGACAGCAACACTCCATCATCTTCCTCCGTGCCTCCCGGCCGAGGAACGAAAATCGCCTCTCCAGGCGAATGCCCCTTGGGTCCGCTCCAGATCAGAGCCCCCTGGGTGTGCGTGTCCGTCTTGGCGATGGAGTCTGCAAAGACGTAGAGACCTCTGTTGGCTACGGTGTAGACGTATCGATATGGCTTTCCTGCCCGTTTAGGGTGGATGGTGGGAAGCTCGCCGACGTGAGGTGAGGGAATGGAGAGCACCTCTTCCGCCACGGCAGACGCCTTTTCCTTGGCCGACTGTGATTCTGACGGGATCCTAAAGCGGTATCGCGATAGGCGGTTCGCAGTGGTTTTGTAAAAATTCTTGTCGAGCATAGTCTTCTTCGTGGCACCGTCTCGGTCGAGAAGGATGTCGTAGTAAAACATGTGCAGGACATCGGTGTTGTTGTACGAGATGGCATCCATGTTAATCTCTGTATGCTGATTCCCGCTTTCATCCGTCACCACCTCTTCAAAGGCATTGGCCGAGTGAAAGAAGAAGCCAGCTGGAGTAGAGAACTCTGCAACAACCCCCTTTCCGTGTCTCCTGTCCACAACCGCCCACGTGCACGGAATAGAGGGATCAAAGGGCTTGATGGCGTCGAGAATATTCCTCTGCCAGGGAATCTTCAAGCCGGACCACGCGTATTGCGTCGATTGGACACAAAACACAATGTAGTTTTCCGTCATGAAGAAGCTGTGCATGTATGCCGCTGGATACTTTTTGTCTGAAAAGGTCGCGAGAATGTCGACGCTCCCATCCTTGGCATTGACGCGAAAGATGCGATAAGTTGGATAAGAAGAAAGCTCCAGGTTAAAGTTGAACAAGTCTCCAGTTTCGGGATCACGCTGTGTATGGGCGCAGGAAATTGGACCCTTTAAGTCTGGGTGAAGCGACTTCTGCCTGGCATTCCCAATAGGCTCAAGAGTCCTGGGGTCCAGCTTGCTGACAGTGGCGCTATCAGTGAGGACATACAGGGCCTTCCCTTTGGACGCATCTCCTTCTTTCACGTCATCACCACCGGGCATGTCGGGAACGACGGTGACGTTGATGTTGGCTTTGCTAGGGAGAAAGATGGTCATGACTTTTGCGAATAGGCCAATACATGGGTCGGCGCGTTGAGCAAATGACATGCTCGTTTGCCAGCCCTTTTCTTTAATTTCGGCAACGACAGCATCAGCATGTCGACGAGAGGAATACGTGACAGTTGCGCTGCCCTCGGCCGACTCAGATGGGGTGATGTCGAACCGATGGCTGTGGGCAATACCGTCAAACCAATGGTGAATAAAATGAGTGCCCCTGGATGTGCCCTCCACTCTGTCCAGGCCCGGCCCTGTTCGGAATAAGGAACCAGCAGCCCATGATGGGATAGTACCCTTGACCTTTAGCTGGACTGGTCCACGATGCTCCTCTAGCCCTTCAAACTACAAAGTCTTTCTGTCAGCATCTTTGTCAAGTTAAGAAAAGGAAGCAAAAGGAGAGTGAGCGAATGTTTACCTGAGCCTTTGATGGCCATTCCTTCCACGATTCGTTTTCCCAATTGCTCAGTCTCAACTGCTCATCCTCGCCCGCGTCTTGTGCCGTGCGAGAAATGATTCCCTCACCGTTGAGAGCCATGGTTGATGAGAACTTTGAAAGGTAGAGAGGATTGAATGAAGAGGCTTGTTTCTGCCCAAGATCGCTCAGACGTACGAGAGACAAGCGCAAATGGCTGTACAATGACGTTAGGCGGGGGCGAGTGTGCATGGAAGAGACTCTGCTATATACTCGAATGGTATGAGAGAGTCGAGCGAATGATTAACAGCTGGTGGTCCAATTGTCTGACCAAGGCAAACATCACTCCATCCTTCCATGAGAGCATCACCCTCGTTATATATGCGACGGCTGCGAGGCCACAGTCACAAGCCACCAGAGTGAATGCACTCGCACGTACGGCAAAACGCGTCACCTTTCTCCTCTCGACACCAAAAGTAGGATCCTTCTGCCCCTCTCCTTGACCCATGATCCCGCAAAGAACCTCGCATCGTTCATCTCGGTCATTGGAGGGCAGATGGCATCCAATCAGGAGGCAGTGACAGGCCGGGGTAAGCCATGCAAGCATCGGCAGCCACAGGTGAATTTTGGCCCACATGGCGTCGATGCACAAGCGAATGCGAGCTGGAGAGTGCCGAATTATTAGTTACATTGAGTTGACAGTTGATCGATGAAGCATAATCGCCATGAGCTGTCACAGCGGTAATACCAAGTGGCAATCCAGAACAGCCGTTGACGCCATACCTCGGGTTCTTTTTCGAGAGAACGTCCAATGCTCTGAAAGCGCAGTCATGACATTTGATGGGCCTTTGCTTGCATCTATTTCTCTTGTCTTCATTGATGAAGGTAGACAGCACTTGGAAGTTCGGCATCTACTACAAAAGACTCGCATGGACCGAGTTTCAAAGTGGCGGCCTCGTATTGAACTGCTTGTCAGAAGTCTTAAAAATGACATTGCATTCATTTGCTCTGAAGAAACCAAAGACTTGGTCAACGGCGCCCCGCCCGGAAATCAAACATGTCAGAGTTTGGACCAACCCAACTTTCCGCTTTAGGCAATGAATTCGAGGTTGCAAGGGTCAGTCACACGCCTCGTTGCGCATATTCGACGTATTGGGGTTGCTAGACACATTCATTATTGAAATGGTTCGTGTTCTGCTCTTGGCTCCGCTGCATCTGACTGGCTGCGGGATTCCTGGTGTTCCCAATTCAAGGCTCAATCGACTCTTCTCGGCTGTTGAAGTAAGATGTGCCTCCGCTCGGAGATTGGGCTCGCATTCGCTTCGCTTGCCACCCTCTCTTTCACTAGGGTCGATGGCAAGAGGTTCAACTAATGCCAAGCTTCCATGGGGCATCTCCTCCTGCTTTCTGTATCAGGTACTTCAAAGCCGAGTGGTTGCAGGTGTAAGCCGGGAACCAGTTGCATGTGAATCATGTCTGGAGTGTCAGATATGCAATGCCCTTTTGCGAAAGAGAGCAGGCCATGTAACTGCGGCAGGCTTGGCCATGGCCGACGGCACTGCTGGGATTCGTAAACCCCCAGGGAATGGCTGCAAAGGTTACACATTTGTGACCGCAGTCGCTGCATCAGTTTCCGGGACATGGTCTTGCATGAAATCTTGCTTGAAATCCATCTTCTCAGGGCCGAGGTTGCGTGACCTCGAGCTCAGGATGGGAAAACATGACCATCTGCCAGAAACTCTTCAATGTGCCTTTTTCTTGCCTCAGTCAAAGCTTTGAGCTCTACTCTGTCTGAATCCTGAGTCGTATCGCCATCGGGCAATTTGCTCACACGGCCAGCAACGCGCGCAAGGAGAAAGCGCATCTTCTCGAGCTCCTTTTCCACCGGACCATCGCGAGTCACCAGATTCTCCTGGATGCCGACGCCATCCGTAGTCCGAAACGATTCGACCGTCTTTTGTAGGCTGCGAAGACGCTCAACGCGCTGCCGCAAATCCTTGCGCTGCCGGCTGAGGTCGGCGAGTTGACGAACCGTCTCGGCATATCGATTGGCTTCCATGGGATAGGCTTCGACGTCTTTGTCTGAGGGCCAAGTCGCAGGCAGCGTTTCGATGGCGTTCTCGTCAACTATGTAAGGAGAATATCATGTCAGATACAGCGCCTTGACAAATGGAACCAGCAGCAGGAATTACCTACCCAGATCAAGCTCTCGTCCAATCCCGCCCTCAGCATCGTCCGGGTTCTCCATCCTGCGCTCAGCATCTCTCGAGTACACGGTGCTGATCTGCTCAGCTACGTTTCGGCTCGCCTGGGGCGCATAGACGCGGCGACTGTGCTGCAGGATCGTGCGGTTCACGCTTGCGACGGCATCTTCGACGAGGCGGTTCGGGATGGCATGTTCGGACGCGTCGTTGGAGGCGCGCCAGGCTCGAGACGGCGCAATCGGCTGGGACAGGAAGTTGGTCTGCGCAGCGACAAACGTCTGCTTGACGGAGGTGATTGTGGGAGCAGGAGGCATTTGGTCTCTGCAGTCGAATTGGGCGAATGTAGAAAAGGACAGGTGATGTTGGGATTCATCAACATTGAAGTCGTCTCGATTGGAGCTTTGAAGCTGTACAGTAGAGCTCCGGTCGCTAAAAGATGCCCGCTGACAGCGCTCTACAGGGGCCTAGCTATGTCAACAGAGGGGTCCTGGTGCAACCGCGGGGTAAGTTCAATCGCGACAGCGGCCTGGGTTGGGCAATCTGGACCTAACCTACAGTCGTCAACTTACGTGGAGTTTGTAATTCATTTTGCTCTGTTCTTCTCTTTCACGTGTCGCTCATCTCTTTTTTCCATAATCTTTATCAGATTGTGATGAATGTGTTTTGGTTAGCCATTCATGTTGGTATAAACAATCGCATTGATAGACCTACATATACTGCGAATCCTTGATTACATGTACCATCATTGCTTATACTTGCAATGGGTATTTGTCAGAGAAGGGGTTGAGTTTGCAAGGAATACGACTTCATTCATCATTCCATTTGTGTTTCAAGTGAGTTTCAATACTGCATCTGTAGTGTAAGCGCCCTTTCAGCATCGTCCAATACATCTGCTCCATTCCAAGTCTCTCCGAATACAATAACGGCATTCTTCTCATGGTAATCCCGGTTAGCACGGCCACCAACAGGTCGGAGACAGCCTCATGCAGTGCCACGTTTTACATGGCCCCCAAATCCGATATCCAGTGCGACCATGCTTGATCCAATTGCAAACCACAGTGAGCAAATGTCTGGCAATCTTCAACACAAGTGGCTGGCTGCATGTTGCATCTGCTGATCCAGAGTCGCGGAAATTTATGGGTGTCTCACGCTGGGCAAGGCAGCCCAAAGGACTAACGGTATGATTAAAGGTAACACAGCGTTGGCCAGACCTTTTTCTACAGGCCTTACTTGCAAAAGAAACAGATCCAATTATACGAATGTTGAACCAAAGGCACGCATTCTACCTAGTCAAAAGAGGAGCGGTGGGAAAAGCGAGACTAACACCAGTATACATGTATGCATACGTGCATTCGTAGCAAGAGGTGGGTTGGGCCCTGATTGGGTTGAAATGCGCCTTGTGCATGAGAAGAGCTGCATGACATGCAGCCTCGCTGCCTGTTCCTCCCTCTAGCATTGTATTTTGATTCTTCATCTACTTGTTTTGGCTCTACTTTGGAGGGAAATTCCATCACAATTGATTGAAACGAGTGTCGCAGTTTGGCTCGATCCGAATCCCTATATACTGCTTCGACGGCAGATTGCGAGACATTGATCCAGACCTGCAGCTTAGAGTCGAATACTTTTCTCCGCGGGAATCCCGTTACATCCGCCGTTCCGCGACGAGAATCCCTACCATAATCATTATTACAATCGCGAGACATTCTTGTCCCATCACCACCATCAAATGGCTCCAAGACGAGCAGCCGCCGATGCCTCACCGAGCCCGTTTCGCCGACTCCGGCTCCAGGCAGACCATCCTCTCCGACGCCACCGGATATCCCGTCGCAAAGTCCGTACGCCCTCTATAAGAGAAATTCGGCGCATTGAAATCCTCTCGGAAGCATGTGTATCGGCTGCAAAGGAAGAGACCGATCATGAGACCGAGACCGAGACGGAAACCGAAACACGGTGGGAGAGAAGCACTCGTGGAGATGCCAAGGCGTTGTGGGTGGAACAGCTGTATCGTTATGAGGAGTTGTGATTGATGCTACCTACGACACCAATTCAACATGACGGCGGATTTCTCTTTTTCCTTTATTTTTATCTATTGCCTTTTATTTTCTGGATGTGGAATTGGAATGCGGACGAGGTATAGTTGGGTGAGGTTGAAATATTTGGTGAAGAAGAACGATTGGCTGCGTGGTAGATGGTATCACCTGGAGGCCAAATTGCTTCTGTTTCTTCATGATGGATGCATAATGATTAACGAATATCAATGAATTGTTACAATTAAAATGTCAATAAGAATGGTTTCATTGCTACGCCATAATGTTGCCAAGGCCAGTTTCTCGTGGAGAAGTTCTTGTGCAATGTGTTAGACATGCTGGTTCTAGTAGTACGGAGTACAGCCAAGTGAGATGCTTGACATAAGGCCCAGGCGAAGAAACACTCCCGCATCTATGTAAAACATCACCACAACTTCATCTCCAAACATCTCACATACGACTACTTATCCATTTTGGCCTAATATCAAGCGTATAATCACCCATCCAAGGCTGTTGATATGATGAACCCCCAATTATACGAGGGCGGGGCAGCGGAACCCCTCCCCCACTCTAGAGGGGCAGCATTACAGCCTTCGGATTAATTTATCTCGAAGAGCTTTGTATCTTGATTCATTCACCTCCAGGATTCATCTCTGTTGAAGAGAGCTGACTCATTGGAAAACACGCGTAAGCCGTACTCACACGATCGCCATCATGAAGCCAACCATGGGAGTTGCCATTATTGGCGGAGGCTTGTTCGTCAAGGGGTCACATCTGGTACATATTCATAATCACATACGAACACGACGTTTGTTGAACCCCTTGACAGAAACAGACCAGCTAACCATCTTCTCAGCCTGCTGTTCTCGAGTGCGAGCTCCTCAGCCTCAAAGCCATCTACTCAAGGTCTCTCAAATCAGCCCAAGAAACCGCCGACCTCATTCCCGACTCAGTCCCCAAGCCGGATCTTTACTCTGAGGATTCTGGCGCTGGCAAGTCGTATCAAGACATTCTTCAACGAGATGACATCTCCGCCGTCATCGTTGCTCTCCCCATCCTTAGCCAGCCCTCCTTCATTGAGGAAGCCCTCTCTGCTGGCAAGCACGTCCTCGCGGAGAAGCCCATCGCCAAAGACGTCGTTGCTGCACGCGCCCTGATTGCCAACGCTCAGCGTATTTGCTCATCAAGCAAAGCCACCTTGGCCATTGCTGAGAACATCCGTTTCTTCCCCAGCTTTGCCTATGCTGCCAGCGAGGCCGCAAAGCTCGGCAAGGTTCACAACTTTAGCGTTCGCGTCCTGTGGCGCATCGAGGCAGACAACAAGTGGTACAACACCTCATGGCGTCAAAAGCCCGACTATCAGGGGGGTTTCCTGCTTGATGCCGGCGTGCATTGGGCCGCTGCCACAAGGCTGCTGCTGACGGGAGACGAGAACAAGCCGGAGACGGTGCAGGCATACACCGCACAGATGTGTGAGCACTTGCCGCCCATCGACACCGTCAACGCCATCATCAAGACACAGTCTGGGGCAACGGGCGTGTTTCAAAACTCGGCCGGGTCCCTGCTCCAGGCTTTCGAGTGGAACTTGTCGTATGAAAAGGGTGCTGTCAAGATCGCCGGCGAGACCGTCACAGTCGAGCCCGCCAACGGAGAGGCGTATGTCAAGGAGTTCGCCAGGACGAGTGGAGTGACCGAAGAGGTGGCCGCCTGGGCCCAGAGCATTCTCGACGGCAAGGTCAACCCCTTGCAGACGCCTGAGCAGGCTCTCGCTGACTTGGAGTTTGTGGAGAAGATGTTTACCAGTGGAGATGAGAACGGGTCGACGCAAAAGTATGAGCTTCTATAGGAAGTTGGACGGTAGCGCTAATGCCAATATACACAATGTGAATCCATATACGAAGCGAGCCGCTGACAATAATATCCAATCGCTGACCAGAGATGAAGAAAAGTGAAATAGGCGAAGACGAGAACCAATCGCAGAGGTCAGAGCTTGCTCGCCTCCTTGGGGGGAGTGACAGGCCCCAGATGAATCTTATCCAATGCCTCCTTGAGCCGGGGTTCCATTCCATCTTTCGGGGGTCTTCCTGTGGACCTCTCCACAAAGACATGGACGAAGCCTCCCACAGCTTTGACCTCATCACTGCCCCTTTCAAACAGGGCCACCTCATAGGTGACGCTCGACTTGCCCAGCTTGGTGACACGCACGCCCACCTCCGCCACGGCAGGATAGGCGATGGAGGCCAAAAAGTCTGTGTGGGAGTGCACTGCTAAGCCATACTGAGGCGAGGAAGGGGGGTGAATGCCACATCTTTCGACGAGATAACTGTTGACGGCGGAGTCGAATCTAGAATGTCACAGATCCGATGTAACCAACCAGTTAGCGGAGCCTTGCAACGGGTTCCCGTAATACCGTTTGAGTTAAGGAATAAGCATCAACTCGAGTCAGGAACAGGGAGTGGAGGGGGAGGAGTGGATGTCCGTGTCCACGTCCCCAGGCCGAGGCTATCCGGATGGATCAACACCCGCATCATGTACGAGTAAGTCTTACAGGAAGTTGTACACCGAGTTGTTCATATGATCATACATGTCATTGTCGTTCCTGTGGCGAGAAAAGAAACATGATTAACACAGCCTCTTGTTTATGTGAACATTGATATCACCCGGTAATCCCTCCGACTGTCAACGCTACTCGGCCTTAAAGACCGGCCAGGAGGAAGAGGATTTGGGATGTACGATTGGCCAGAGGGCATGTCTTTGACACCAAAAGTTCGCCCCGAAGCGTTGGGATCGCGTCGAGACCACAGTGGAGAGGGGGGGTGAAGAAGAAAGAACTCGACGTACCATCTTGTCCTGTACTCCAGGAGGTACGGATAGTCCTGGCGTCGGCGTGTCTTGAGTGCGGCGAGGCTCATACTCGGAAAGCGTCTTGAGACGGCGAATCAGGAGTGCATATAGCACAGATGTGCGAGGTCGCGAGTTCGAGAATGAACCAGGCGCCAAAGGAACAGGCAGAAACACGCCGTGGCCAAACCGGGGAGGCAAAAAAAAACAAAAACGAGACCACAAAGATACCTGCAGTGACAGCAATCACTGGATGTCTAAGAATGCATGTGGTGAGAATTCGATAGCAAGGGGAGGCGGCTCCAGCAGCCAACCGAGGTTCGGGATCCCCCCAGTTCCAAGCTCCAGCTCCAGGGTAGGTAATCAACTGCCACAAGGTTCCGGTGCCTTCGGTCGGGCTGCCGCCGGCCATCCCGGACCGGAGCCACGATTCCCCGCCATTGCAGCGTTCTGCCAGCCCTGACCGCCTTATTTTTCTGCTGCCCCTCGTTCTTTTTTCTGCATGGCGGTACGTCACTCCGCAGACGACACAAATCTCAAATACTTGCATTTCGCCGGCCAAGTCCGTCTCGCACCATCACCGGAACAACACGGCGGGCGAGAGAGGCTGGTGCCTGGATTGTTTGCTGTGGGTGTCCGTAAACGCGCGGTCGGATTCGAAAAGCCTATTCCCTCCTATTTCCCATCTGCCAGCGCCGTCTGCTGATGCTGCGAGCCTGTTCGAGAAGCATCGGCAAGCTAGCAAGAACCGGAGCCTTCGCGATGACGACCTCTTCCATCCTCGCCACCAGCGCCGCAGCACCCGCGACTGGCTCGGCCGCTTTGCTCGATGACTCGATAGACGCAGCACTGCCCGGGCCTGAAGCCGCAGCCGAAGTGACCACGGCGAAGCAGAGGAGCAGGAATGGAGATGCAGATGCAGACGCAGACGCAGAGGGCAAGGGAAGCCCCGGGAATGCAGCCAAGGGCAGGCCACCCAAGCAGAAGAAGCCAAAGAAGCCAAGCCCCAGGGACCGCTCCGTCATCCCCGACGAAAACGCCGTCCTCATCACTCCCGCAGGCGACATCTGGCCGCGGCCATACGTCTTCGAGGACGACCTGCGCCGTGTGCAACCATACCACTTCACGTACAACACGTACTGCAAGGAGAGATGGCGCGGCCGGTCCCTCATCGACATCTTCGAGTCCGAGTTTCGAGACCGGCCGCTCGAGTACTACCGAAGCTCCATGGTGCGAGGCGACATCTACGTCAACGGCAGAGTGGTTGGTCCGGACTACATCGTCCGCAATGGAGACATGATTTCGCACACGTTGCATCGACACGAGCCGCCGGTCACGGCCGAGCCCATTGGCATCATTCACGAGGATGACGATATCATTGTCATCAACAAGCCCTCTGGTGTGCCTGTGCATCCTGCAGGCCGCTACAACTTCAACTCGGTTATCGAGATCATGATTGCAGATAGGGGCAGAGACTTTTTGCCACACCCATGCAATCGGTTGGACCGCCTGACCAGCGGCATCATGTTCATCGCCAAAAGTGTAAAGTCAGCCGAGGCCATGGCCATCAAGATCAGGGGCCGCACTGTGAGAAAGGAATATCTGGCGCGCGTAGTTGGTCACTTTCCGGACGGAGAGGTTGTCTGCGACCAGCCGATACTGCAGATATCGCCGAAGCTCGGTCTTAATCGCGTGCGTGCCAATGGCAAGTCGGCTAGGACCGTCTTTAAGCGGCTGGCGTATTATCCGCCACTGGACGGAGATGCAGATGAGCCGGCTATGCTGGCGGAGGATGGGCGACCGCACACACCTGCGAATGGAGGCGAGCACGTCGAAGATGCGACGCGTAAGCCCTGGCTGAAGAAGAAGGGCTACTCCATCGTGAGATGCTTGCCGGTGACTGGACGGACGCATCAGCTGCGAGTGCACTTGCAATATCTGGGCCATCCAATCCAAAACGACCCCATCTATGCCAACCAGCGCGTCTGGGGACTCAACCTCGGACAGGCCGACGCTGACGGCTCACAAAACACCGACGAGGACATCATCAGCCGTCTGAATCGCATGGGAAAGGAAGAAGTAGCCGAGGCCGTGGTGTACTACGACGAAATGGTGGACAGATACGAGAAGCAGCGGGCAGAGAAGATGACGGGCGAGCTGTGCCATGTATGCCAGACGCCTCTCTACTCTGACCCGGGGAGTCACGAGCTGTCTCTCTGGCTACACAGTCTCCGATACGAGGACGCCGACGGGAGCTGGGCGTATACCAGCCCGCTGCCCAAATGGGCGCTTCCGCCAAAGGGCATGAGTGGCCCGACTACCGTGGGCGGGATGGAGGAGCTTGTGGAAGCCGTCAGGGATGAAAATCCTGAGATTTCGTCCGAGGTACAGGCCAAGGCCAGGGCAGAAGCCGAAGCAATAGCCGGCGCAAAAGCAAAAGCCGATGTGGCAGAGCCTGAGAAGCGAGATGCTCGACTTGCCGATGGGACGTGATGATATCATGAGTTATGATACGTGAAAGTAGAAACAAGTAGAGTTCATAGACATGGAACCAAAAGAGAGAGAGAGAGAGGACGCGTAATCACCGAGGAGAGCTACGAAATCTGAAAGGGTTCGAGCCGATTCTCTATAGATGACATGCCCATATCAGGCCAAAATCTAGACCTTTGCATTTCACATCCTCGCATGCTTGACACCACTCAACAGTTGCGGTAAAAAACAACCTTGGCTTACGATTGCGACATCTATGCAAACAGTATAGGCACATGCAAACACACAATGCAAACAACGATGGACTTGTGAACAAGTTACGAGATCAGCCCCGGCGAGGCCTCATTCACGTTAGGACACTCCCCCCCCCCTGGCCTTGTCCCAGTCCCAGTCAAAGGCATGGAGCGGAGATGATCCCATTTGCCATTTCCGGCGTTAGATGTTAGATTGGGGCAACGATGTGCTTGCGGGGGAAAGGGAAAAAAAAAAGGAAAAAAGGAAGAACAAAGAACAAGGAAAAGAAAAAGCACGTGCAAATTTACCCCGAAGAGAGGCTTGTCCTGGGATCGACTCGACAGAGAGAGAAGAGATTTGAGAGGCGAGCTGCCTTCCCCCCTCCCCCTCTCTCAGCTGCAAGGGCCCAGGAACCAGTATGTACATCAAGTGATGAGCGACGCATTACGAGCAACATGTATTTGATTGACATGACCATGACATGACTTGAGCGGCGACATTCACCGAAAGCAGATGCTTGCGCACGTGTATGTTGATTTGGACACGCCCTAACACAAGGGGGGTGGAACAAAGAGATGGGGAAATGGGGGGAAATGCATGTGAACAAGTGAGCAGATGGATGAATGTTGGCATAAAACATGAGAAGGAGAAACAAGAGAGAGAGGCGCGAAAAGTGGCCTGTTGCAGATCCGAATCTCTCTCTCTCTCTGTGTGTGTCTCTCTCTCTCCCCAGCCCAATGCTACCAAAACTTGAATTGCCACGACCAACGATGGATCGCCTGCACCTTGACCAAACAGCATTTCATACCTATGTATGGGCAGGGGGGGGGGGGGGGGGAGGTCAATGCTTCAACACTCATCAGGTTCACGCTCAATGTTCCATCTTCCTACCTCAAATGCTTCGAGATCCTTGGCAGAACGAATATGCGGGCATGGTTGAGTAATGCCCCGATAATAGATTAAGCTGGGCAGCTTTCTCCGCGCCTGGTAGGGGGTGAGATTGGTTTTAGCTAAACTGGGCCGGGCCACCGAGCGCCAAAATACGGAGCCCTCCCCCCCAAAGAGAGCCAGCAGTGAGATTTGATGAGAAGAGAGAATTGAGAATGAGATCGAGGCTGAGGCTTGATCATCAGCAAGTAATATCAACGTCTTCAGGGCCCCCCTCTCATCAGCTGCAGCTTGGGCCTCCTGTACTTGTATAGCGAACGGGCCCCCAGCGACTAAAAAACAAAGGAAAAGGCTCAAAACGGCACGGCAGGGGAAATTTGCTGCGTGAAAACGGGAACCGAAAAATAGACACATCGAGTAAAAGAACGAGAGAGACCGGTCCGGTCCGGTAATCCTATTCATGACCGAGATTTGGAATAGCCGGCGGTCTGAGCCCAAAGACAGAACAATCTGCCATCTGGACTAATTAACAAACCAACCGCCCCCCCGGACCCGTATTAGCAGAAAAATAATAACAATCGGCGAGACATGCCCTTTTCGAAGAGACGGGGACCTTGATTGAAGCGGCGGGCGGGCGGTGGTAAGTGCGGGTCTGTCCAGTACGAGTATCTGGAACCATGTCTCAGCCCGGTCTTAAGAAGAGCGGCATGAGCCTTGTAGAAGGAACACCTACTCGTACGCACACTGTCGTTGTCAACGTTGTCCCTTTTCTTCCCGTGTTTGGTTTGGTGTGGGGTTTTGCATATGTTGCTGCCAAGTACATACTGTAAGGTTTGTAGCACGACGCAAGGGGGGGAAGAGAACCCATAATATCGTGGAACTAGAACGAGTCAATCATCTGCATCGCCGTCGAATAGGGTGCTTCTCCGTGCAAGTCGCATGCAGCCCAAACATGCATGAGAGATGGACACATAGATGCCTAGAGGGAAAAAAAAAAGATGGATACAGCGGCATGGAACACAGATGATGATCGAGGCTTCCCCCTTGCTTCTCGTCCTCTCACTTGTCAATCCCCCAACGGTCCCAATCCAAAGGGGGGGTCACTCACCTTCAACGGTCCCGTCATGTATAATGATGCTGTTTGGGGGGGCAGCTTGGCCGTTTCTCTCCCTGGGCTAGTCGCGAATCTGGCAAATTTCAATCCGGACAGATGGAAAAAAAAAACAAGGGAATATGTAATGCGGAAGAAACAAAAAGAGAGACGTCATTTCATAAGTCGCTTTCGGCAAGGGACCTGCTCTTCCGTCTCTCAATGCGCTTGACGCCGCGTCCAGGATACCTGAAATGACGACAGGAACAGACCAACAGCATCTCCCCTATCCGCCAACTAAACAGCGTCCAATGAGAGCTTCAAAGCCTTGCTAAAGGAGGCGACGAAAAAATTTTCGTTGGTGCTCTG